ACTGTCCTTTTCGACACATTCTTCCCGTCGACCCCCCTGCCCGCGGACGATGCTGGGACATCCGGCAGCCCAGGCGGGTCGCCACCGACCCCCACTGCACTGGACTACGAGCCCATCACAGATGCTCAAGTCCACCGGGCGATTCATCGCCTCGCGCCCTTCAAGGCGCCAGGCCCGAACGGGGTGGGGAACATTGTGCTGAAGCAGAACGCGACGGCGCTCGTCCCCTACCTGGGCCCTTTGTTCCGGGCCACATTCACCCTTGCGGTCTACCCGGCCGAGTGGAAGCGACATGTCACCATTGTCCTCCGCAAACCCGGCCGCCCGGACTATTCCCAGCCCAAAGCCTACAGGCCCATCGCGCTGCTGGACACCGTGGCGAAGGTACTCCTGTCGTGCGTGGCGGAGAACCTTGTAGACCTTGCGGAGACACCACCTGCTCCCGTCAACTCACTTCGGGGGCAGACCGGGGTGCACAACCACGGACTCGTTGCACCTTCTCACGAAGTTCGCACACGACGCGTGGAACCACCGCACGGACCGATGCGTATTGGCCCTCTTTCTTGACGTGAAAGGAGCCTTCCCGAGTGTGAGTGTCGAGTGCCTGCTCAACGACCTCTCAGGGAAAGGCATCCCGGAGGAGTACATCGAATGGCTCCGCCGCAGGCTGACAGGCCGCGTCACCCAACTCCTGTTCGACGATTTCACATCGGAGGACTTTGACGTACAGGGCGGCCTTGATCAGGGCTGCCCACTCTCCCCCATTCTTTACCTCTTCTATAACTCCGCCCTCCTCGAGCTCACCCGCTCATCCCACGGCGAACTGTCACTGGGCTTCATCAACGACATCGCCCTAGCGGCGCGCGCCCCGACCTTCGAGGAAGCCAACGCCAAACTCGTCAACATCATGGAGCAACCGGGGGGCGCCCTGTCCTGGAGCAAGAGCCACACCTCTACCTTCGAACTCGACAAGACTGACCTCCTCTGCCTCTCACAAAAGCTTGCCCCGCACCCCTCAAACAACGGCACACACACCCCCATACCCCGACCCGCCATCACCGTCGGGGGCCACACCATCCGACCATCATCCTCAACGTGGTTCCTAGGAGTTATCATCGACCAGGCACTGCGATGGAAAGAACACGTAGCGCACGCCCAAGGGAAGGGCATGAAGTACGTATTGGCCTGCCAGCGCCTCGCGAGGGCTGGCAGGGGTATCCGGGCCCCTTTAATTCGCCGCCTTTACATTAGTGTAGTCATTCCCAAACTTACTTACGGTATTGACGTCTGGGCAGCAGCATCATTGGCACACAAGGAGGGCTCATCAACACCACGAACATTGAAGGGATCCACGTGGCCGCCCGCACGCGTCCAACGCGCGGCAACCATCAACATGCTGGGAGCCATGGCATCCACAGCCACTGACCTGCTGGACCTACATGCCCACCTACTCCCGCTCCAACAGCTGGTTCAGCGGCTCTGCACGCGGGCAGCACTGCGCCTTGTTGCCCTCCCGTCTTCCCATCCGCTAGCGATGCATATCAAACGCGCGTGCCGATACCGCCGCTCGCACCGATTGCCCCTCCACGAGCTGCTCCACGCCATCGGCCTCCGACCTCAAGAGGTCGAAACCATCACCCCCTCCTGGGAGCCCGCCCACGTCCTCACCATTCCGGAGGACAAAGACATAGCGGTGGCAGAACACAACGCCAACGATGCCGAAATCCGCGTCTACTCAGACGGGTCGTGCCAAGGCGGCAAGGTTGGAGCAGCCACGGTTCTACGACGTGGCACCTGCACCCGCACACTCCATTTCCACCTGGGTGCCGCGAAGGACCACATGGTGTGCGAGGCCGAGGCCGTCGGCCTCCTCCTAGCCACGGAGCTCCTGCGTTGGGAACTTCGCCGCCGGGATGGCACATTGTTCATAGGAGCGGACAGCCAAGCCGCCCTCAAGGCCACCGTGCTCCGCGCGTCCAGCCCCGGTCATTACCTCTTCGACGCGCTCCAACAGCCACTGGAGGCAATCACCCCCGCCGGTGCGCCCCTCACTCTGCGGTGGACGCCAGGCCACGTCAACATCCCGGGGAACGAACTCGCCGACAAAGCGGCGAAGGCAGCGGCCAAGGGGAAGACGAGCGTATGCACCCTCCTCCCCTCCTTCCTGGTCAAGCGCGCCCGCAAGCCCCACCCTGCAACCCCAAAAACCCTCCCAGCCAGCAGGTCCGCCCTCAAACAACACATCTACGCGATGATTGCTGCCAAGGCGAAAGAGGTGGTCGTCCAGTCCAATCGGGGTCTCCACATCTCGCAGTTCAACCCCTCATTGAAGGCCAACGAGTTCATGACGCTCATCGCGAACATGCCCCGCCGCCATGGAACGGTCCTCATACGCCTGCGCTCGGGCCACGCTGACCTCAACGCCCATCTCCACCACTTTGTCGAAGACATCACGGCGGCGTGCCCCCACTGCGGCCGCCGCGAAACCACCTTCCACTTCCTGATCACATGCCCACACTACCGCGTCGAGCACAAGCGCCTCGCCGCAGCCACAGGACGCAGACGCCTCCCCAAGTTCGGCGAGCTGCTTAGCACGCCCGACTTCATGCGACCACTATTCGCGTTCATTCACAGCACCCGCTGGCTCCACCACCGCTACGGCGAAATGACCCTACCCCCCCCTCCAGAAGAGCCCTCTAAGCCATGATGTCTGCCCAGGTAACGTCTATTTCACTTCGCACGTACTCTACATAGCCCCATTGTTCTCGTCACCACGCACCCCGAGCCCTGAGCACACCACCGCCCGCTACACAACACCACACCCCGTCCATTATCTTGCTCGTTTGGTCTTTCCCCCTTTCCTTTCCCCTTTCCGCCCCTCTTTTCCTTCTCTATTCTCCTTTCCCACCCGACCAATAATCACCTTTCACGTACATACTCCCCCGCCCCTTTTAATACTCTCACAACCCCAACTACAATCAACTAATCAGCATAACCACATCTATACATTCCTCTCAAACCATTCCTACTCGCCTCAGGCCATTGTTTCGCTCTTCACCCGCCCGGATACCGCAGCTAGACCCTCCTTACATACATTGCATCCCGACCTGTCTTACATAGGGCGACGCCCCAAATAGACAATAAATGGATTTAAAAAAAATAAAAATAAAAATAAAAAAAGGCCTGGCCTGGGTTGTTGCAAAGCCCGAGCCCAGGGCCTAAGCCAGGGCCTGTAGCTAAAATTTTGAAAAATGTTGATATGACTGTACAATTACTCTAGTAAAAAAAAGTTGTATAGCTTGAACTTAAGTATTAGATAGTGTACAATGTTTCTATTGACTGTGGGAAATTCTAATCAAAAGTGTGCTGTGTCCTAATCTAGCTATGGCATTATCTGACCCACTTGCCCTATTATTAGAATATAGCCTTGAGAGTTATGTTAGTGATTATGTGATGTTTGACTCAGCAAGTTACTAATGTCCTGAAGACAGTTTTGGTGCAAACAGTGAAGCTGAAAATGCCTCAGCACCTTGGGCTCAAGAGTTTCATGCTTACCTTGGCTCTGTGATGCCTCTTCCAAAAGAGATATCTGTTGTCCATTGGTGGGGTGTAGGTCATCTTGTTGTATCATATTTTATGACTCTAATCAGTGCTACAGTTGAATTTTCCTTTGTACCCTATTTGCGGATCATTTGCAAGCAGCTGCTTGTCTATTATGGCCTCTTCAGTGTCCAGTGAGCATGCTTTTTCTGCAGCTGCTGAAATAATCACAAAAAGGTGCAATCACATTGGTGGAGATGTTGTTGAAGCTATTCAGGCATTGATGACACTCAGCTGCCAGGAATTAATTTCCCATGAGCCAGGGCCATCCTCAGCAACTGAGTTATCCTTAGAGAAAGCTGAGGACAATGGTATTGATGAAATGACTGTTGAGAAGCATGATGATGGACTTGGAGACTTAATTTTAGGTATTTCAGACAATGAGAACCATTGGGATTTGGATGAATAAGTGTCTTTTACTACAGTAATTGTTGCGACACAATAAAAAGTCGATCTTGTCACTGTTTTTTACTGTCTGATCAATCCTGATAGCTTCATTGGGTAGAAAACTGACTGCTCCAATTTTTTATGTACATAGGAAGCAAAATACACGATTTTATAGTGAAAGCCCTGGCCTAGGCCAAAGCCAAGCCCAGGCCAAGCCCTGGCCCTACATCAGGGCCTGGCCTGGGTTTTTGCAAAGCCTGAGCCCTCAAAAGCTAGGCCAAAGTCAGGGCTTTCAGGCCAAGCCCGGCCCTGCACAATACTACGGTATAAGATTGATAGCGGAATTGGTGCACGCCACTGGCCACATAGCTGAGCTGGCTGTTACAAACCTCGAAATCATTCCTAACTGCAAACTCGCTGATAATAAACTGCGTGGAAGAGATTCTCCAATGCGGGAGCTTCTATGCTACTGACAAAAACTTCATCATGATGGTAAATGAGAATCATAGTTGGTACTTTGCTGAATAAGGTCCGAGTTGTACATTGTTACCGAAGGGACAAAGGGAAAGGCAGTATCACCAAGGTTGCACGAAAGTGCTTGTCCGACAATAAGTTGTCTCGTTGATGCGGAAAATGGCAGCGCTGCAGCCACCAGTCACATGACTAGAGCCGATTTTTCAATCGCACCGCGAAGAACTGGGACGTTAGCGAGACCCTCTAACCCAGTTACCATAGATGGTAACGGGTAAAATCTCAGTGTTTCGTGATGACTACTCAGCTGTGCCCAATGCTTACTGCGCTTCAAACTTTCTGTCAGCTGCTGCATCAGGAAAAACGTCTCCGTGAATTACTTCACGCGAAGGGTAATCTATGGTAAGTGCCATAATTGACTGCGCAGTGGTGGTAATCTATCGTAAATATAGTAATTGGCAGCACTGTTGTAGTAATCACCAGATAGCTGAACATTCATGTAGTAATTATGTATTGTTATGGTAATTCAAGTCAACCACTAGCTATGTATTTAAATGCTCGAGCCTTGTGCGCTCGAAAAGGTCAAGGTCAATGTAATGATTAAATAGAAACTTGCCCTCGTCGAGTGCCGTCTCCCTCGCCCAGTTAGGACTGTTATCCCTAGAGCAGCAAGGGATGAGATGGCATAGACGGAGTACGTGTGTTAATGGGACGACGGCAGCATGCGGTTTGTGACCACGTGTAGCTGGTACGATCTTGAACATTGAAGTAGCCGAGTCGACGGATTGGAAGCGGCGATACCAGTGAATGTAGACGAGAGGCTCTTTCTCACCATAATGGTCAGGCAGCTTAAAGATTGCGTGGATGCGCGCGATGCGTAAACCTGCAGGTTGCCGAATCATGTAAGACTATGTGCTCAAACACGTGAAACCAATTGCTTACCGGTGAGAGACTGGTCATCATTGGAAAATGAAAGCTTGTCGACGATGAGCATGGCTGTGTCGAACTGGGCTGGAACTAAGGGTTTTTGTGAATCTTTGGGCTGGTAGGAAGCGGCGGCACGGATTTTGTGGAATCGTTTCAGAGGGCTGAAATGGAGCAAGGGTGGGGCAAGGATGCAGACATAGTTGTAGAGATTAATGGTGGTAGTGGCAGAGACATTTGATAGGGAGGATGAACCAGGCTGACTGGCGAAGTAGGTGTTTATGGCATCAACAATACAAGGGGCACGTTGAGACAGTTCAACTGCGGACAGGCAAGCATTGGGAACGTGACAGCAGCGGGGTAGGTAGTACCCGCGTGTGCCCGAAGAATCAAGCAAGTGAAATCGAGCGAGACGTCTTCTAAACTCGTTGTTTGGAGCGCTCACCAACTCATTGTCCCGGATAGGGACCGCGTCCGCGCCCGCAGGCTTGTCAGCTAATTGCAGAGTTGACTTGGAGGCCCTGTCATTGTACATGTGGTCGTCCGAGTCGTTGTCCGAGTCGTTGTCCGAGTCGTTGTCCGAGTCGTCCAAATCGGCAGTAACCGCAGATGAAGAAGCAACGCCGAGCCACTCTAGGTATGCGGCCCGAATAGCAAGAGCTTCTTGGCGTCGCAACCATGTTGTCATTTGTATGAGATAGTCACGTCGATTACTTGCTCTGTACGCTCGCTTTGCAAAATCAATGTGGAGCCGTTCTGGGAATTCTGTGTTGAAACCGTCCGCGGTGCCAAGCAGCCGGATTGAGTCGACATAGTGGAGCATAGCGTGCAGTTTTGCAAAGTTGAAGCTACGAACGCAGTCTTCGAATACTGACTTATGCTTATGGAACTCTTTGAGAGACTTTGTCATCGTCGCCAGTGTAAGGTCCGTGTGAGACTCATATTGAGCAAGGAATATGAAGTCCAGTAACGCTCTTGCAGCGGCTAAAACCTCTGAACTGACCAGCCCCGAGAGAGCACCTATGAACGTCCGCTCCATCTCCTTGTGTTCGGTCCCAGTCCATTGCGACACTGATGAAACTCCCTTTTTGAAGTGCCGAAGATCATCATAAGGAGGCATCGTCCGATAACGTGCATCAAGGCCATCCTTGCCGAGAATGCTGAGGCACCAGGACATAAGGTGATCCTTGAACATCCCCTTATGAAGTTGATGCAAGATGTCGGGTGTGATGCATGTGAAGATGTCGGTGTGCGGAAGCGTTGCCCAGAATGGATCAAACACCCGACGAAGCCCATGAAGATCCTCGAAATCCTTAGTCCGCATCTGACCACGCTCCACCTTGGCCGCTTTAGAAAGAAATGAAGCTGGCGTTCGCATTGTAGAGCACTTCAAATTTCCTCGCTCGTCACGTTCTACAAGGCACTTGGGGCATCGGTTTTCCTTGCAACACGAAATGAGACATTGTTCTGGGTGATCGGCCACATAAGCTGCTAGAATAGGATAGACTTGACGGATTACACAATCAGGACAAGTGATAGAAACTCCGCCTTCACCAGCGTCATGGAGTGCTGAGAGAATGATATTCATACAATAGTGATAGAGCCGATAACCCTCGAGAGAACGCACATCCTCTGAGAAGCACTCCAGTTTTGTTACGGGGATGTAGCCAATGAGGAGCATAGCACGTTTTGAGGGCTGGCATCGAACGTCTTTGGCAATGTTCCCAAGAGTGAGATAAACGGGCCACACCGTCTTGTTGCCCGAAAACATAGAAAGTGCCGTCTTATCAGACGCGAGAATGACCGGTGCCACTACTGAGCCAGTAGGCACCCTTCCCTGAATAGACCGGTGAGAATGCGGCGATGAGAAGAAGAATATGGGCGCTCGCTCACCTGCATCTCCCACCACCAGTCCCCCGTCCACATCTCTTCATATCGGCGTACCACCCCATCCTTGTCGTCAAATATTTTCTCTGGTGCATACACAATCGAGTCCTTCAATAGAGGATTGCTGAACAAGTCTTTGATGCATTTGACAGGATCATGGAACCATAACTCGAGTTCCTCCTTGAGCGGTTGACCATCCTTCCCCTCCAGGTTTCCCTTCACTGTCACTTTGCGTAGCTGCCAGTCAGCACCGTGCAGGAGTGCATCTACTCGCTGAAACAGTTTATATGCACTTTGGTAGGATGTCCCGAGGCGTTTATGAGCCTAGAGCCATACAAGTAAGCCAAATAATAAATCCTCTGCATTCGGCAAGAGCAAAACTGTGGATACTCACAATAGGTAGCTTCAGAAACTCCTCAATAGCATTCTTCCCAACATTATTAACCAGCCATCGGGCCAGTTCCCACTCCTCCTCATCATCAAAGGGCGCCCATGGGTCCAGTCCGAGCTCAAGTTGCTCATCCCGCAGAGCCTCAAACATGGTCTGGCCAACACCCAGTGCAGTAGCGACCACACCAGTGTAGGACTTGAAAACCCGCTCCCGAATGTGATGCTCATCATCAACCTCTTCGACGCTTGCCTGATGGTGATCGGAGCTAATGGGTTTACCTGTATTGAGCATGTCATGAGGACATTCATCCGGTGAGTCGTCCATGGGTATCTCAACTTCATACGACGTGAAAGGTGAGGATGCTGAGGTGGTTTCAGGCTCGACTGGTGCTGGTTCAACTGCATCACGTTTGTTCTTCCTCTTCTCCCGGCATTTTGGTGTGTTAGAGATGTGGAGATTCAGCTTATGCTCAGCTGAGAAGGGACCCGCAGTGCAGTAGGGGCAGTAGTGCATTGACGGTATTGGATGCTGAGAGATTGGTTGACCAGCAATGGTACGTATATTCGTGGATGTCATGTAGCGTTGGTTTGCTAATGTCTCACTATATTTGTAAGCTAACACGCTTGCAATTCGGGCTGCAAAGCCATGGTCGGAAATTGGGCACAAGACTTTGTTGACAGTGCGTGGTGTGTTTGGAGCCCGTTCCATTCTCTTCCGCCACTCACGTCTCTCCTCTTTCTCTCGCAACCCCCTCGCTTCTAGCAGCATCAGCAGTTAGGATGGATGAAGGAGACTGCGAGTACCTGTCCTGTTATCTTCCAATGCACAGCTAACCTTATCATTATCTAGATCGTAACAACAATGAGCAAGATGAAGACTTAGACCCAGCTGTTCGTCGTCCCCGCAAAAAGTCAACAAAGGCTAAACAGCTCGAAGGTATGATTATTTCTAACGCCCACAAAGCTGTATAGTCACTAATAAATGCTGGCCTGTGTCTAGATGAAGAAAAAGAGCGTCAAGAGGCCCATGAGAGCCGGTTGCTGAAGAAACAACCTCAATACAAAGACGGCCCTCCAATGGGTGCACGTCACGCAGACCAGCAAGCGCGTGGGGCCAGTGTATGTGATTTCCTGCACATATGTCACGTTTTCATAGCTTCATGCCGCCTGCAGCAGTCCCAGTTTGCAAGCGAAGAAGTCTTCCTCCCAAAAAGGACGAGTCATGTTGCCGAGGCGACGCTCAGAAGCAGGCCCGGTCGGTATCCTCAGCCGCCTTCATACTCTGTCAGTCCTTATTATTACACATACCATCATGGTGAGCGGGTTCGTTCACGCCGAACGGTTGCCTACACCAATGACGAGGACATGCTCCCCTCCATGCCACCCACATCCCACGAGGAGTTCGAAGATGAGCTGTCCATGGCCAGGCGAGAATCACAGCGCCCTGATGATATCCCCAACTCATCATCTTCACGCGGTGGGTTTGGTGACCATCTGAGCTTGCACCATTTGCTCACATTAACAAGGCCGTAAATGGTATCGCACACCACCAGAACTGGATGATGATGACGAGCCAGCCCCACGCCCGTCGAACGTGCAGAGGCGCCGAGTTGTTGACTCAACTTCTCCAGAGCCCGCCAACATGCCCAACCACACCAACTCCTCGTGTTCCCAATCTGCGCACTCCTCTCGTGCTGCTTCGCCTCCACTCTCCGAACTCAACTACCCCGCCACTTCACGTTCCACATCTACTCACTCCTCACGTGCGGCCTCGCCTCCGAGTCCACCATCTGAGCCCAATCGCACTGTCAGTGTACGCTCCCAACCAGCTCGCTCCCTGGCTACCACTGCACCTCCTTTATCCAAAGATGATACACCCAGTGTCGACCTCATCCAGCCGAAGCACAAGCCATACACGGCCTCCACCCTCGCACTCAAATGCTACGAGCAACCGGTACACCCTGTCTTCACGTTTGCTAGTTCTCATTTTCTCGCACTCGCAATTACGCGAGGGATGTGGTCCGATGATCTAACTTATACAGGGTGGGGCAAGGAGAGCTGGCGAGTTTCGCAGAAGAAGTGCTCGTCGAAAATCACCTACGACAACGGCCTTCTTGCTTTAGTGAGTAATCATATTCTTTCTCTGTGGTATTTTCATAAAATATATTTGCAGATGCGCAAGCGCATCTCCACGACCACCTCAAAGTTGAAGAAGGCCATATCCCCCATTGTCGACACTCACTACGGCTTCATCTCGTCGTCCGATGACAAAATTATCGCCGAAAACAAATCTCGTGCTCAGCGCCTCCGAACTAAGTTTGGCATGACGTACAAGGTGAGCGCATTGCCACTCCGCTTCATTGCCACCATTAACCAGTCAATAGCAACTCGACAATCTTCAAAAATGTCTCCGTCGCGAGGGTATGTACCAGCATCCGATCTTCCAGCAGGCCATCAACACTGCGTGGTTCCATGATGACGAGGGCACCGGTGCTCGATTCCTCAACATGTTCAAACCCCTTCCTATTCCGGCCTTGGCCATGATATGGGCTGTGGTGCGTATACTTGATTCTACCTATCAGTGCTTGTACCACGGACTCACGCGTTTCAGATACACGCGCGCATCGACGAATGGGATAGTGGCACTCATCGGCCCGAGGACTTCAATAGGCACAAGTACCGTGATCGCCTCAAGGACCACATCGCGAACCTCGAGAAATTTGCGATCATGTCGCAGGAATGCCATACTGACCTTTTCGAGAAAATGCGGACGACGTTACTGGAGAATGCATGGTACGTGAACCTGCGATTAGGCCTTCGCATAGAAACTCTATTTATGTCTAACGTCTAATTTTTTTAGTTTAAACGCGGGGGTAGCCGACAAGCTCCAAGAAGCTCAAGCTGAAAAATCGGATGAGCCCTCCACCCTTGAAGACGACGCATTCCATGAGGAGTTCCGGCGTTATCGCGAGTTGTCACGTGCTGCGAGTGAAGGGGCTGATGGCGAAGGCCGAGGCGTTGAGGTGGAAGAGGGTGACTAGGCAGCATTAGTATTCATTCCCAGGTATTTCTAGTAGTTGTGTTAATGACCAGGCGAAGTTTTATGGATGTCAACATTATATCAAACACCTGGTCGGCAGTGCGATCCTTGGCTATATGCTGGTAATAAATGGTATTTTGCGGTACTAGTTACTGTGTTATTACTAGGCTAAGTGTTGTAATTACCTTTATTTACCCAGTTTTTACTTGACCACTGGCGGTAATCGGAAGTAATAGGAGGGGGGGTTAGGTTACCAAGTAACGTCGATACTTACGAGTCATTACTGTAATTACATGTCCCTATTTTTGCTGATGTGAAGAACATTCCATCCGCGCGAGCCTCCAAGCTTGGTTTGATCGGATTCTAACAAGAACACACACAGTGGAGCTCTGCTCCGTCAAAATGATGCTATGCCAAACTTCCTTCAGCTTTCAGTTCTAGAAGCTTCAACACGCGATTTTATGAACGACCCATGCTTTCAAAATACGTGATGTTGGATGTATACCAGTCATGCGACGAATCTCAGGACTTCAGTACTTGGGCAAAGGGAACGGTTGCAATGTTATAATCTATGGAAACTTCTATGTTTAGCGCAGGCGCTGTTGTGGAGAAAGTTTGAGTCACAGAGAGATTCGTGGAACACGTGAGAGGGAATTCGCCAAAGCGAGTGACATAGGCGCTAGTTATTTGAATTCCATTCTGAGCTTATTCAAGATTTCCGTGAGACTATTACGTTTATTGGAGGATAATTATGGTGGGGATGGCAGTGAGAACACACAAGACACGCCGAGCTACGCTCCGGCTCATAATTTGAAGGATGGCTGACAATGCAACCCACTGACCCTAACCCTCATGTTGTTACCACACGTAACCAAGCAAAAGTAAGAATACTTAAATGTTGATGACAGTAAAAATAGACGTCACGCCTCGTTCCACTGTGTAAATTGCGTAGCTAAGTCTACATTGATTTATTGCAATACAATCAATCAAAATATACAACAGAAGGATTCCGGATCCTGCCACGAAACGCACCCGCTCACTATCACCCTTTACTAAGGAAGACAAAATATGAGCACGGAAGCAGTGATATCAGTATGACATAGATCAGGAACCGATTGTCACGAAAAAACCTTGTATGCCCCACATCTCATCAGATTGTTCAAGGCGATGATCACCATCAGCCTGAGTGCCAGTGCAACAAAGCGATCACCAAAATGAAGGCACTCATTTATCGATACCATTGATGCAGACGCCGACTCCCGAGTCATTCCAGTTCATTATTTGTAACATTTGCGGAGGGAAAAGGACAATGCACGGAATTGAGCAAGTTTAATTGTGGTACATTGAAATCGAGACAGATTGAACATTTAACAGAACTAATCTACCATAAGAAGTTGTGGCTGAAAGATACTTATGTACCTGCCTGTTAACATAATATCACGCTCAATAAAAGATAATCAGTAATATCAAAAATGAAGGCGAGGAACAAAACCTACCACGGCTGCATACGGAAACGGGATGAGAGCGATAGTGATATGCATCCGCATATTAACTATGAAGGAGTGAAACGGCGGCGACCCGCGGTCAAGCGGTCAAAGAAACGCCGTGAGTAAAAGATGAACCTGCATCATAGTACCGCTTGCGAAACACTTACCTAGACCAGTGCCGGGAATCCCAGATACGCGGCAGAGCACACTAACACAAACAGGACACCCAAGCATGTAGGAGGCTTTGGGCATGGGTGTGAGATCACCGAACGCGGGTTGCCGGTTTACCCTTGCGGAAGGATAGCGTAAGAGCAAGGACTTGGCCATGGACGGACCGGCCAAGGGGCAGGGACGAGATAGGGCACGCCGGGCGGCGGGGCACAAATCGACCGTGGTTGAGCATGAGCTCATGGGTAGCGAGCTCAGGACTGGTATGGACATTTTCATCAGTGGGGAATGATGTTCAAGCGAGAGGGCGTACCTGCGAATTCTGCATCGGATGCCACGAGGAGGGAGAATCATGAGCAAACTGGGAGTAGAATCGGATGGAGGCAAGGTGTTCTTCGCGAACATCAAGCGGAGTCGGGAAGAGGGAAGTTATCGTCATCTGGGAGCAGGTTTTCGTGAGCTCATAGCCCAAAAGCGATAGATATGGTACGCACTGAAAACATGCTCGGTAGTCCTGGCAGGGCTGAAATAAGCATGTGTAAACGTTAGAGAACTTGAGCGACATACCATTCCTGCGACCGTGAGGATCCACAACGCGAAAATGTGGAGGGAAGAAGGTGGGGAGGAAAGGATGGCGACGAACGAAGCGCCAGCTCAGGGACCATTATCTTATCAACGGGAGTATGGCCCAAAATGATTGAGGATGTCCGGATCGAGAGCGCATCTGATCTCAAGGGGATCTGATCAAGAGCACAAACAAAAAACCAAACAAAAGCGGGCAGAAATATTGAAGATACGAGTAATGTACGGATCCGGCAGACGCTTAGGTTACTTACTGGCAGTGTCGGGCTGAACATCAGGCATTTCTAGATATATGGTGATGCATCGATGATGTCACGTTGGAGAAAGGTGGTCACCGATAGTGGATGGGCGCCTCGATCAAACTGCCAAAATCTGCAAGCCCAGAAGCCGTACACGCCGAGAAACTAACATATGTCGGACTCGAATAGACTTACAGGGCGACAAGAGTACCGGCTCATTCGGACACGTACGCTGTACGAGTCCATACAAGATCACTCGCCCCCGTCATTCCTCTGACCCCACACCTTCAAGCTGTCCACAAGTGCTTCGATCCCAATGTCGTCCCATCACTCACAACGACAACCCACATATGCAACTTTACGCTCAAAGGCAGAATCGGTGCAATCGAGGGATGAGAGTGGTTACCTGCTTGCAGACCTCGAGCGACATCCTTCACATAGCACATCTGAGCAGCGGAACCACCATTCGAGCCGCAGCCCCGGGCAGCAGCCGTCGTTAGATAAAGGGACGAAGAAAAAACGACAACCCCATCTCAACATCCGCTTACTCGTACTAGCAGGAGGGCAACTAGTGATATTTGGTCTGGGCTGGGGATTTGTCGGGGCGCTGATACGACAATCGAATATTGCACTCCCGGACAATCTTGCACATCTAGTAAGCTCAGAGCCAAGTGCTACAACATTCGTTGTTAGCATCCTCGCTGCTATTATCTCCATGATATCCATTCGGTGAGTTCTCCTTTTAGTTGCAGTGAATTTCAATTGACCATGCTCCGTCAAGGATATACTCCCTCTCTGTCTGCCTGGCCCTCACAAGCAAGCTCCATAGGCGAGCTACGCCACTCCTTTTCTCCGGATTTTCTGTCAGCGCGTCCATGGGTAGAATGTTTATCAAATTGAGGCATCCGACGTGGACATGTACATCGATAATTACGATGGTGGTGTTGACATCATTGAGTTCTGGGTACGTCGTAATGCTGGGTTTACACTGTGATGTCCATTGTAACTCTTGACACTGCTGCAGATGGACTTCACTCTTAAATCCAACGGTCATATTGCTGAGCGATCCTATCCGTGGCAATGAGCTGGATTTGATAAGTCCTACGTTTTCTTATCTCTTGAATAACAGCAGTGTCTCTCAAAACGGAACTAATAACTCCCTGACGGCATGTGAGTAAATGCCGCTGTAGAAAAGCAATTACTCGAAAAACTTAACTTTAAAACGTAGTGAATGACGATTCTTATAACGTTTTGGGTCTCTCGGGCCCTCTTGCTGGGCATTCAGCCGGAGGGCTCGATGTACCAAGCTTCTTCAGCCTCAACGGAGCGACTTACAATATTTCCACCGGTGAGTCTGGAGGACGTCTCCCATAAACACTCCCTTATTATATTCAGGTGGCATACTTCCGTCAATCCAGTCATCTGTGTACTCAGTAGGGAATCCACCGACATCGGGTCTGCAGTTTGATGGAGGAAGCACTCGAGTTAACACGACGTCTTTCAACACCACAGGATTGTCACAGAACTTCACGATGACTCAGCAAGGTCTAACTGCCCACGTAAACTGCTCTGAAGCAAGCCCTGACAGTTTCTCGGTGGACGAAGACGTGACGAGTCCCGCTTCTTATCGCATTTATTCAGCGACTGCATATTGCAACCGTAGCTTAGGTGAGTAATGAAGCCTTTGAAGTTGTCTTGTGACTCATATACCTAACGACTCAAAGCAATGCGCAATTTGACGACAGATTATGTCGCAAATGGACCTTATTATAGTGGCGGAGGTTGTGACGGTGTCGACTGCATTTTCATTGTCCCATGCCCTCTGCAAGATTCGACAGCGCCAAGTAATAAAAGTTTCAGTAAGCCTCTCGGGTCTGGGATATTATTAATGGCTTACGTTGAACACAGCGATCTCGATATTCAGTAACGCCGCGGGGAGCGAGTGCAGATATTCGTTCATCCCGAACACGACATGCACCGTAACACCAATGACAACAACTGTCGTCGCTCAATACAACGACAGGATCATCACTCCCACGACGTCAAACTCCTCCGAATCTTACGCCGTCGGCCAGTACAACCCAAGCGCACTAGCCTTCCTGGCCAGCGTTGTTCAGTGGTTTGGTGGGAATGCGCAGAATCTGGTCTCCAATTCGGTTGGAGACTCTGTCTATGTCCTCAGATCGATGCAAAACCAGACTAACCTTCAATCATCCAACGGTACGAACCAGACGTTATCTTACATGATATTGGTGCGCTGTTTCATGACTCTGGCGTCGAAAGATCCAGATAATATTATCTTCGCTGAACAGGAAGATTACTGGAGAGGAGTGGTCGAATTCGGCGGCACGGTGAGCGGCACGCCCATTTACTTCAGTGACAACTTGCAAGCCTAGGATACCTACTGACGTTGGATTACTACCCAGTATCTTCGCTCCGGATTTTCCACAGTCGGCTCGGAGTTGCCAGAGGACATGCTTACACCCATTTCCGGGAACGTGTCCACCCTGACGATGGGCTGGTCATACCGTCCGAAATCAACTCTTGCGGCTCTCGTTCCCCAGACCCTGATCACGCTTTTTACATTAATGGCGCTGGCAGCAGTAAGGCGTGATGCTGGTGCGCTGCATGACAGCGTCGACGTGACGGACGTGAGCGACGTTGTGTTATCCACAACCGCAGGCAGATCTGGGGTTCAAGGTGTTACTGCAGGCAAAGAAAAGAAAGAGAGGTTGGAGGGGGAAACTGTTCGGCTGACGGAGGTAGATGATAGTCGGAAGATATTGGTTCTTGGTAATTGAGATGCCAGATCTTTCGTCGTCTTAGCTTGGACTATTAGCACGGATTGGAACGAGTCATTCCGCGGCTTTCAACGTCAAAGAACAGACGTTCAGTAGCATGCAAATATATGTTTATGTCGCTTGTTAGGTCACGAAAATTTAGATGCTGAGTTCATCGATGGACTTGCCAGTCGGCGGAAGTGTTTCTGAATCTCGCCCGGCTGTCTAGACAGGGAAGCAGGCTTGAGCGAGGTCCGTCAAAGACATACCTGGTTCGCGAGCGATCGATTAACGACACGCTCCAAAACTAATAGACGTCGGCCGTGTTTGTACGAATCCATCCAATATTCGTCATCTAGTGTCTACTCGGAACCCGAAGTCTATCAACACCCAAACCGTCAGAATGATCTTCCAAAGCGGGAGTGACACCTTCTGGCTCGTTCGAGTTCGCAGCATCTCGCAACGAGCTCCCGTCCTCTCCGACTTCAACCCTCGGTGGGCATCGGCCAGCCTCTCCAGTTCTATCATCTCGCTGTTCGTGTTTGCTGAGGTCGAGCTCGTGCTCGCGGGCAAGCTGTCATGACACAGAAATAAAACAACAACTTAGCACTTCTATGTGTATAGGAAAGAACAGCGATTGAAGGAAGACGGCGTACCTTGCGAAACCGCTCATGATCCCACTCCCTCTCGACATAATCAATATCCTCCCGCGGATACAGCCACTCGAGGAACAAAAAGAAAAGACAGTCCACGATGAGAATGATCGTGTATATCGGACCTGCAAACGGACCGATGTCCATCGTCCTGTGTCCACCACACACGTATGCGCCGCCGATCAGCATTCCACCTTCCAGCGCCATCAAGGGAGAGGGCGGACTCACCGCTGCATGCGCTCCCACAGCCCGCGCTCTTCGCTCGCCAAGACGGCAGAGTAGACGTGCTCCGTGCGCTCGGCGACCCTTCCCCAGTCGTACATCCTGCGGACGCGCTCGTGAGCGCGCGCAGGGTCGTGTTCACCTCGCTCTACCAGACGGATTGCGTCTGAGAGGGCACGGAAAACGTCTGTTGGTGCACGAAGATCCATTATAACGTGGTCGACTCGAGAGGGTGGTAAAGAGGGACGCACCGTCCTCCTCAGGCCTCGCGAACGAAATCATATCCTCCGGCAAGATCTCAGGCACTCCACCAACACGTGTCGCGACGACATACAGCCCCGCGCAGGCCGCCTCGAGCAGCGCGATGCCGAACGACTCGGTAAGGGACGTGTTGAGGAAGATCGCGCCTCTCGTGAGCACCTGTCGAGGGCCATCAGCCCCGCCATGCCCCGTTGAACCAGGAAAAGTATGCAGACAGACACGCACCTCCCGGACATCGCTGTGCGCCACAGGCCCGAGCAGCTCGATGCGGTCCTGCAGCACGCAGCGCTCGCGCATCTGGAGGAGGTCGTTCAGCTTGGGGCCATCGCCACCTGCAACGGCAACAGCATCGTGCTCAACGTAAGCGCACTTGACGCCGGGGAGGGCCGGGCCCGTTGCTCACCAAGCGAGAGCTGGAGCGGGAAGGTACAGCTACTGACCTACGATGAACTTGACGTTGGGGAATGCGGCGCATATCCGGGGTGCGGTGGCGACGAGGAGGTCGATGCCCTTGCGGTAGGCGAGGCGCGAGATGACAACGATCGTGACTGTTTATCCGGCAAGTGAGAAAGGCAACAGACGAGGGGAGGTGGGTACGGGTAGACGTACTGGTATCCCGTGGCAGCGGCTCGGGCGCGGGCTTGAACTGGTCCGCAACGAGCGCGTTCGGAATAACATACACATCCCGTCTAACCTCCAGCCTCCCCGACCCGTCCTCGGCGTGCTCAAAGAGCTGGCCCCTCAGCACCGTATTCTCGCGTCTTCCATACATGCGTCAACCCAGCCATCTCAGAGAAACACCAGCCCCAGACCACTCACCCCGTATGCGACACACAAACCACCGCACCCACATTCCTCAACGCCCCAACCAGCAGCTTATTCGTCAAAATGCTCGCAGCGTCCTCGAATCCGAACAAGCTATGGTCCGTGAACACCGTGCGCACGCCCATATGGTGCGCGTGCAGAATCGCCTCGTGCGCGAGCGAGGACAGCCCCGCGTGCCCGTGCACGAGCGCGACGCGCTCCCGGAGGAGGATGGCGCGGAGGTAGGGCAGGAAGCAGAAGTAGTTGGGCAACGTCGCGCCCGAGGCGACCGTCGTGAACGGGATGTAGTAGACTTTGAGCGCGGGGAGCATCCAGCGGACGCCGACGCGGTCTGGCGGACGGCTGTGCGTGATGACGACGACTTTGTGTCCGCGGCGGATGAGGTTGGCGCTGAGCATGTAGATGTGGTTCTCGACGCCGCCAACGTCTGGAAGGAAGAAGTCGGACACCATCCTGGGGTCATCGTTAGTGCGAGACAAGGTAAAATGGGAGGAAACATACGCTATGCATGTCGGTTCCATGGTCACATAGCGTCTAAGAGAATGTATGTTGTCGGTAGACGTAGATGTGGTCGTGGTCGTTGACCGTGGATTCGCGACGGGAGGGTAAACCGAAGGTGCCGGACTTGACGCGCGACGTCGTAGGAGGGAGCAAAAAGTGGTTGAACTGAGGATCGAACTCAGAACCTTCTGTGAAATCCACAATCTCAAGATGTGAGACAGAAATCATAACCATTAGACCATTCAACCGTTATGATCCCGGGCTTGAGGCGCCAATATAGCGTATATGACATGAGGAATGTCAAATTGCCGAGAAGCCTCCCTGTCAAGTCGACTGTGTTTCCGAATCGCGATCCGCTGTCCACCTGGTTCCAGTCTCTCCTACCCCACGATGCTCCTCTTCCTCGCAGACGCGGCGACCTCGAGCCCCTGGACCCTCCCGCTCACTGCTCTCGCCGTTGCCCTCGCCTCCCTCTACATCTATGCTTCTCCATCTTCTTCTCCGCGCCGAACTGTCACCACACGCCCTGCATACCCACCCGCATACCGCACGCGCCAACACCTCGCACGCCTCGCGGTGTTCGCACATACGTTCTTTGTCCTCTGGCTCGCCGCGCACACGCGCCCGCAGAACCTCTTCACCCGTCTGAGCATACCGCTCACGACGCCCACTGAGCATATACGCTCGCTGCTGCTTGATGACGCTGTCAAGAACAGGGGAGGCGCGGGCGGTACAAGCGATGTGGTTATGAGTGTGCCTATTCCACCGGATGTGGACGCGCTCTTGAGCAGACTGGCTTCGCCAGAGTCGCGTGCGCTGTATTCTCGGTGCGTAGTTTCTTCGCACAAGACCTTAAGGTAAACATGCTTAACATTCACTGGTACGCTAGATTCGGCCAACGCGCCATGCAGACCTGCTCCTTCTGCCAGTCCTCGACGGACTACTCGTTGTTCACTCTGCCAGGTATAGTGCTGGCATACCTCCGCACGGCTATACTTGTTGCCTGCCTCGCGTCCGCGCCCAACTACCGCGCACGCTTCCGGACATATGCATTGGGTCTTCTCGCGTGCGCAGCGCTCGCAGAGGGGTACGCGTTCACAGTCGCGAGCGACGTGCCCCTGCCCAAGAACGGGCGCGGTGTGTTCATGGTGCGTCCTCCCTCCTCTTATACTGTTTCACTCGGCTGATCCTTGCCATCGCTTCCTCGTTAACATGTATGCATACGTGTCCATAACTTCACGCGGATCCGAACAACAACCCAACCCAACCCAAAAATCTCAACAGTGGCACGACACTCTGCACCTCGCCCGACACCTCCTCTTCACTCTTCTCCCGATCGTCATTCAGTTCCTCCCTCCGATCCCACCGCCTGTGCCGCCAACTTTCATCCTGCAGCAGGCTCAGGCACATCTCGAGCGCGGCCTCGCACGTACACACCTCCTCAAACGCACCAGAGGCGCTGTCCTGCGCAACCCGTCGCTACGCGAGAAGGCTGTCAGCTGGTGGACGCGTAACGCGCAGGAAGGTGCAATGGGGAGAGCGGATGAAAGTGTAAGGCGTGCGGCGGAGAGGGCGGGGCTTGGGTATGGTGAGGTACCTGTGAAGTCTGGTCTGGAAGGCGCAGCGGCGGGTATGGGCAACGTGGGCGGGGAGGGACCGCTCAGGGTGAATGCGAGGGCGGCGGTGGATTCGCTGAGCGCGCAGTTTGCGCCGTACGCGGAGCTCGAGGTCGTGCCAAGCTAGACCATGGTTGGACATGTATGCAGGGGTAGATTGTGTGCTGTAGGACCTCTAATACTGTCGATAGTATGGGTCGTTGCTGTCGCTTTATTTCCTTTCCCGCTGTTGTGCAATCAATGGAACGTAGAGCTGGTGCCTCAACTGGCATTGCATCTATGATATCAGTCTCCTGGCGCAAAAGACAATAACCGACCCGGTCCGAACTTCCTGTAACATGACCCACCCACCCATAGATATACACCTACCTTCCTGTCTACCCACGTACCTATCGAGCCAACCAACAAACTGAGCGAGCAGCGGATCCTTATGTTGTTGTGGAATCTCTCATGTGGTCTGCCGTTGCTGTATTGGTGTAAAGTCGAGAAGGAAGCGTCGGAAGATGACAGCGGACCATCTTAATTAGGAGGTTTTAGGGTGGTGATATTGTGTGATGGGCGCGGATGATTGACGATTTTGTACCGCGGGGTGATCAAGGGAGGATCGGATTGGAGGATCACGGCCAGACAAGCGCACATGTGTGAGGAAAAGAAGGGGTTTATGCCGCACCAGGAGGCCTTGGCTTGATGGCGACAAGACAATAAACCCGGAAAGGCTTTGCTAGTTACGTACGAGTAGTGTCTGAATTAGCATGGGCTGAGGAGGTGCTGGGTGCGCACGTGTCTGGCTGGTGATCTCCCCGCGACTGGGCGTCGGCGTGCTGCTGCTCGGCTGTGGTGCGGTTCTCCCTTCCCTTCCTCTCCTACCACCAACCACAGCACACGTACACCCTCCCCGTCACCCACCGCACCCCTTTCTTTCTCTACTTACTACCTTTCTCCCTCTAATACCCTCCTTTACGGCCCTACCACACCCCCATCGATCGCACCAATGGCCACCCAGGACAAGGCCACCATCAACAACACGCCCGAGGCCGCCGTGGAAGACGAGGCTCCCGCGATCTCCGTACCCGACGCTGGTGACTCTGGCGAGGGTGGCAAGCTCAAGATGATAAGCCAGCTGGTCAAGAAGTCCCTTGGCGTCAAGGACATAGCTGCCATGTTCGTCTTTTCCCCTTGGTCCCGAGCTGGTCTGAGTCGCGCTAATCACACACACTTTACAGGCGTCTCTCCCTCCCGGCCTCGCTTCTAGAGCCCATACCAAACCTCGAGTACTGGCACTACCTCGATAGGCCTGATCTCTTCGCCGCGTGAGTGTTCTCTTGGCTCTCATTCGCGCGCGCAGCATGTTCACTCTATCGCCGCTTACCCTACAGCATCAACGACTCCAACGATGCTTTTGAGCGCATGCTCGCCGTCGTTCGTTTCACATTCACCAAGGACCTCAAATTCGTCGTAAGCCCTCCTTCCCTTCTCATACCCTCGCGCCGCCCCTCTCACGCATTCTCACCATTTCCCCTTCCCCTGGGCCCCCTTTTCCGCTTTCCGCTTCTCGGTTCCGTGCTCCCTTCAACGCTCGGCATGATAGCACGGCAAGGTCTGCAAGCCATACAACTCCGTCCTTGGCGAGCACTTCCGCGCGCACTGGGACGTCCCGCCCGTCCAATACCCCTCGGACCCCACGCAACCGCCTATCGTACGCACCCATGTTGTGCACGGCACCACCGGAGGTACAGCTATCACTGGGGGCAGCACCATGTCTGTCCCGATCCCGAGCGAGACTTTGAGCGTGCGCAGCGGCCGGTCGTCCAAGAGCACACGTTCCGCGCTCAGCCTGCGCAACACCAAGTCTGCGACGTCCCCTTCCACCGCCGCCACCTCCCCGCTGCCCGCGTCTGGCGCGCTGGACCCGAGCCTGCCCGGGCAGATGTCCTCGCTGAGCCTCGGCGAAGGTGAAGACGCGGCCGCGGAGGGGGAAGACACGGTGCGGATCACGTATCTGACCGAGCAGGTGTCACACCATCCGCCCGTTTCCGCGTACCACGCTGCGTGCCCCGAGCGCGGCGTCGAGCTGTGCGGGATCGACCAGATCAGCGCCAAGATCTCGGGGACGGCGGTGCGCGTCGCGCCCGGCGCGTTTAACCGCGGTGTGTTCGTGCGCATCACGGACGGCGCGGGCAAGGGCGAGAAGTATCACATTACGCATCCCATCGCGAGCGTGAACGGGATTCTGAGGGGTAGCTTCTATATTACGGTTGGGGATTCGACGATTGTGACGTGCACGGGCGGAGAGGGAAGGGAGGCGGCGAATTTGAGGGCGGTGATTGAGTATAAGGAGGAGGTTCGTCTTACCAATGGCCATCCTCATACCGATGGAACCCGCTGACGTTTTCGTTTTGTTCTCGACAGTCGTGGATTGGTAAATCGCGCTTCCTCGTCGAGGCCGTCATCCACACGTACGACCCGCGCGGCACCGAGCACGAGGCGTGGACCAAGGTGAAGCACGTGCCGCAGTCGCGCGTGCTCGCTGTGTTCGACGGCTGCTGGCGCACGCACATCCGCTGGAAACGCGTCGCCAACTTCTCCCCTCCGTCGCCTTCCTCCTCCTCCTCGTCCACGCCCTCGGGCGGCTCGTCGTCGTCGTCCGCGACCTCGTCCGCGTCGACGTCCCCTTCCCCCGGCGCGGGCACGTCGACGACGTCGCTCCAGGGCGAGGCGGACTGGGCGCCGCTGGTGGACCTTGCGAGTCTACACGTTGTGCCGAAGCGCGTGCGGCCGCTGGGTAAGCAGGATGAATATGAGAGTCGGAAGCTTTGGGAGCCTGTGACGAGCCGGCTGGTGAAGAAGGAGTATGGCGAGGCGACGAAGCATAAGCTTGCGATTGAGCAGAGGCAGCGGGATAGGGCTGCGGAGAGGAAGAGGGTCGGTGAGGAGTGAGTTTTCTTTTTTTCTTCTCTCTTTGCATCTTTCCTCGTCGTTTTGCTCTGGAGATGCTGACAGCCTGTGGCAGGTTCGTGCCGAAGTACTTTGAGGAAGATATCACCACGGGCGAGCCGGTCCTCACCGACGCGGGGCGTAAAGCGCTCGAGGAAGAGCTCGCCGAGGAGGAGGACGGGCCTGCTGTCGCTGAGTCTTCGTGATGCACTCTCGACCGCTCACCATACTAGGAGGCGTTATGGTGTTCAGCTGCTCGTCTTAATTGGGTTGCGGTGCGGATGCACGGTAGATGTAGCTATAGTGACGAATTACATACGATGGTTATGGACGGTTATGAGTGAGGTGGGCATGGTGGTGGTCTTAATGGATAGTGATGTAGATGGCGAGATGGTGGTGGTGGGTCGTTGGTGGTGGATGGTGGGTAGGGATGGTGGAAGTGGATAACGAGGATGAGGACGAGGATTCAGGAAGACTAGAGTTTTGGTTAGGTTTCGGTGGAAGGACGCATGATGTATAATATTACGCGCATACATTCACTTTGACGGTTTGTTCTTCAATCATTTGGACATGTGTCAAGGTCTTTCGCCCAAAAAGAGCCACTACTAAACAAATAAGATGCAACTCGCTCGACTCGGCCACGCAGCTTCAGTTCGTGATTACTTCCTGTCCACATCCTTTCGCCTTATGCCTGAACCAACATCACCCGTAGATTCAATTCACGCTGGGACTCCTCCAAGGATCTGCTCAACTCGTCGGTCTCCACTCCCATCGCTGAAGAAACCTCAAAAAACTACGCTAGTCAACTGCCCACCCACAGCAGTGCACTTCTAGCATCACATAGCTTGTCGTAAACCCTGCTGGCAGGACGTGGGCACGCTACGTTCCGATGTTGATCCTGAGGTGTGGTTAGACTACCGATGACGGGCCACCCTCACTTCAAGTGACCACGCTCTGAATGTGATATCATCATGCAGATCATCGGTCGGTTCTTCATATGGTCTTCGCAGCGAGCTCATTCTCAGAGACAGGCTTGAACACTTTTACAACTTCCATGAGCCCCGCAGTGCTCGATCCAGCGTCCGAACGGTGTATGAGGAGGAGCTCAATCGAGGTGCTTGTGTCCGTGTTCTTCCTCTCTCGCCGGACTCTCACCCCTCTTACCAGAATACGACCGTATACAACGCCATGAAACCGACTCAATGGTGCACCCACATGTAAGATGATCGCCTGTGATGCTATTCCTGTCGGCTACTTCCAGAGCGGATGGTGGGCTGCCTCATCTGAGGATGTTCGGGCGTCTACTCCGTTTCAGAGGTATGTTGCATACAGTCGAAGTTTGAATTGCTCAATAGACTTGGGAGTGAAGTTCATCACCGCTCGAGGGCGCCACTGGTGGACCTCGGCTTCCTCCCATCGCACGTCGGCATGTATGCTGCACGGCGCCATCTAGCTTGTTCGAGAACTGGGATATCGCTGTCTGCTATGCTCGACCGCCTTGGCGTGGATGAACTTGCATAGTTGTCATATTAGAGTTGGATTGCTGCACAGGCACGTCGAAGTTCCTGATGTAGTACTGCCATCCACTACCCATAACCTTCTCTAGCCCACCGATACTTCTCTTCCACTCTCGTATTCAGAGGAAGTCCGTATTCTAAACCTGCCACCGGCCTCAAATAACTTATATATCATCGACGGGCGACTGATAACATTCGCACACCAAAAACACTCGCACGCCGAATATTCTAAGAATCGCGAGCTGACCCGCTTGTTCCCAAAGTATCTGCACACTCAATCTCACCGAGGCCGGCGCACTGACGGTATCAGTCGTTGTCCATATATGTATACATATTACTCGGACCCACATCGCCTTATGTCTTATCTCCTTGTTCACTCGTTATCAAGCAGCTTCTCGTTATCAGCCACAGAGGACTTGCCAGCGGGCCCCACACCACAGCCATTGGCCCATACATGGCCTCACCGTCAACACGGCGCCATCGTGGTGCTCCTTGTAGTACTGAATACGGGCGATCCCGAAGCCCAATCCGAGGCCGAGTTGGTGGTCCATGTTGGTCCGATCCCGACGACGCTGGGGGCTGCGAGCTGGCGGGCCGAGAAAGCCCGACCAGAACCCATTAATTTCAGGTGCGCGATATATATACCCCACGATTCGCGGGAAGACGTATTGGAGCATCGACATGTAAGTTCGGGGTGGCGACCGTGACAAAGTGTATTGTGACGACGTCCCGGGCTGTGTGGCTCCGTTCCTGTTGGAGATACACGCAGTGACAGTGTTGCGTCTTATGGTCAAGCTGCCTTGCCAACCTAACATCCCATTCTGTGAATGTCCATTCAATAAAGATTACGAACGGATCTGCAAGTGGACTCTTCTCCCGCTCGCCTCAACTCAGGTGGGCATACTGTATTCGCCGAGACGTGGGTGCCCTTTGCCACCGAGCCACTCCCGAACGCCAGTGCCACGCCTCATGTTCCGACCATGGTCCTGGGGCTGAACGAGGGCGAAGGTGGGCGGAACAGGTCCCAGGGCTCCGGAGACTCTGTTGAAGCATGTGGCGTCACGTCATTGAGTTGCAATTTGTCCTCACTGAACCCTATGCTGCGGTGCTATCTTTGCAAAGCCCCCGTGGACGAGGAACACTTGCCTAGTTGGTGGCATGAAGCAGAGACCCGTTTTCGTTCGCTTCCGCGCCGGTCATTCGAAGGTTCTTAAAAAGAATATGCGAGACGGGGGCTCGCTCGTTCGAGGGTCCCAACTATGCGGGTTGGGATATTATATGCACAAGACAGCTTGGGCAGAAAGTTCAGGTTGAGCTCAGGTCCCGTGGAATCAAATCATGAAACCAGCTTACAGCTGGAGCAACGTGTTAGGATAGGCGCGATACACACCTTTAGGTGACGCATATACTTGGGGTTCCTGATATGAAATGGGCGAACTGTACACTCGAGGGGCCAGGGCAGTACTGCCCGAAATCTTGAGAATGACACCCATTCATGTGGACGAATACAGCGACAGCTACCGTCGGGCCCCAGGCAGTTGGTTTCAGAAAAAACATTTGCATGTGCTGTGACTGTGACACTGCTCATAAAGCCATGAGCATTGAGAATTTAACCCAAGGTAGCAATCGGACACAAAGTCCTGCCGTTGGTGCAAAAAGATGCCGCAGAGTTTGATACAAAGAAGACAAAAGGGTGAGTTGAGGTGCAAAAATGGTTCAACTGAGGATCGAACTCAGGACCTTCTGTGTGTAAGACAGAAATCATAACCACTAGACCATTGAACCTGTAGCGGAAAGTGGCCTAATAAGTAGTATTATCATCAGGTGCTGATGCCGGGAAGCCCTTGTCTCGCAGCCCAACGTGCCGAAGACCTAGATCCTGCGAAGAATCCCGTTGCGAGGCTGTCCCGAGGATGTGCCCAGAACAGCCTTGAACATATTGCAACATCGTACAGACGTCAATGAAACGAGTCTCTTCTGTCTACAGCTTTGTCTTCCGTTGACAATATTTCATCCTTCCCTTGTTCTCGTCGCAGCCCCTGACTATAGTGACCTTTCGAGAACTGCTAATTGTTTTGATCATCCGGCGCCAATAGTTGTGTGGCAGCAATCCGTTCCGGCGGTCAAACGCGGCCATATTCCACCGAGCGCGTTCACATCATCACAAGGGGGTCGACGTCTCCACCCTCAGGTCCTTGTGCGCTGCCAGCGCCCAAAGTCTCTCCCTCTCTTCTCTCCTTTCTCCACCCGCCACGTCCAGCACTAGGTGAAGGACAGCGCACCAGAGCCCACCTCGGAGCCCTTCCCGAGAGCACGGAGATCGCTCCATCACGTCGGCCCCGCGACTTCTCCCACCAAATAGAGGCACCACCTGGTGGGTAACCGGACATATCATTCCGTTGAGCTGGCACTCCCTATACTAACGACAAGAATCTTTTTGTTTGTAGCGTCGTTACTTGGCTACCCATTCTTAGCCCGACTGAATCGAGTCGTCCTTTCCCTTCTCCCTCCCTCTCCCTTTCCCCCCGCACGACGCATACAGCCATGAACCCTCTAGCTCGTGTACGTCGTCAAGGAGGACCTATTGTGGGCAGTTCCACCGCAGGGAACCCGGGTGGGCCACTTAGCACGACCCAGACCTCCACCGCGTCCTCGTCCAGCCCGTCCAACGCTGTCGTCACATTCCATTCCATCTCCAATATGGAGACATGCGACAGCAACGTTCAGATACAGTGGAGCTACTCGGGATCCAACACGCCGCTGAGCCTCTACGTAGCCAAAAGCGACAGCAGCAGCTCCCAACTTCTCACTGTTACAAGTCCACAGGTTGACTCCTGGTCGTGGCCTACCGTCGACGTCGCGGCAGGTCAGTATCGATTTCTGGGGGACATGTTGTCGGGAAATGTGTCTTCTCAAGTTTTCACGGTGTCCCAGGGGACGAACACATCCTGTCTCTCGACATCACCCTCCGGAACAATCTCGTCCACCAGCCCTTCATCCACGCCTCCCACGGGCAGCCCATCACCGACAAATTCCCTCACCCCCAACCCTGTTAGTGAGGCATCATCAGGCAAAAAGCATGCCGGAGCAATCGCTGGGGGCGTCATTGGTGGCTTGGCTGCTCTCACGGCTCTCATCGCCGTGCTCTGGGTATGCCTCAGACGGCGACCTAGCGTTCGTTTTGCGGGTCCTGGCGTCGGGCGGTGGGGCTCTCTCACGTCGAACACTTCGTCTAAACCGGGCGGTGTGGGTGGCGGCCTTGCGTCATCTCACTACCGTGGGCACGCAGACTCTGCCTCGGGCAATATCCTTGATGTATCACATCAAAGCAACAAGCCCTCGGCCATCTCGACACCCGCAGGATCTGACGTCGACGTTACTGCCCCGCCGAATATTGCAATTAGCATCCCCGCGGACGTAATCATAGCGTCGGGCCCTGGGCGGCGCAGTAGCATCGACAAGGGCGGTACCCGGCGCAGCAGCATCGACAAGCACTCGAGCATGGTCGGGTTTGACGGCATTGACGACCCGGTCCCGCAGTACAAGAAGCACCGCGGCTCTGCCTACTCCTTCTCCATCGCCAGCCCGCAGGAGAGCGCGGACCTGAACCACCAGCCGTTCGCGCACCATGGCAGCAGCCGGCGGGGCTCGAACGCGCAGCTCGAGTCACAGGCACAGCGTCTCCGCGCCTCTGTGGACGGCGCCGCACAGTTCCGGTTCGAGCGGCGCACGAGTCTTCCGCCGTACGCCCCGCACGCTCCCGCAGCATCTACAATGCCCGCGCCCACGCCCTCGCACACCCTTCCTCCCTCTGCCCACCCGTCGTACCCCGCCAGCCCAACGAGTCCCATGAGCCCCTCCAGCCCGATGCCCTTCGGCACGCTCATGAGCAAGAGCGGCGGCCACCCGCACCGCTCGAGCACGAAGCGCAAGCCCGTGCCCGCGTACGACGCGTCCGAGTTCGACAACCAGTCGACGGTGACGGGTGCCACGGGGAGCAGCAGCAGCAACATCGGCCACGCCGAGCACGGGCTGAGCCACAAGTCGAGTTTCGGGAGCGGGCCCGTGCACTACCTCATCCCCGACATGCCGCCTCCGCCGCCTCGGGATTAGCGGGGTAGGCTAAAAGGCGGGCTGGTGGTATAGAGGTGGTGGCAGATATGGCCATATTTAAGACTTTCGTTCGAACCTTTGGATGTTCACTTTTACTCGGGAGGACTGGGCTGTTCGTTTTGTGGCATAATGCACTTTTATTTCTCTAATTCCTGGGACACGACCACTTTATATTCACTCGCCCACGGTTTCGCCCTTCGTACCTATCGCAAAGACAGCTTGATTGCTCGTACCTTGCATCGGCAACCCCCCTTTTCCTTTTTTTTTTGCTTTCATGTCTTCGCAATTCTCCATGCTTCATTCGCTCGGCCATCCGACATTCCCCCGGTGCTTCTTACCATGCTATCGCTTGCTCAACGTTCATCTCCACCATCGGCCCCAGCCGCACCCTTATCGCTTATCACTTATCACTTTGGATGGATGTCCTTTTATGTTATGTCTACTGTACGACCAATCTTAACGTTGGAACCTTGTACGAACTAGTACATCGTCGCCGTCGTGTGCGGGCGTGGGTGTGACGTCAGAGCTGGCAAACCAACGCGTATCATAGTTCGCCGAGTCAGCAGGTTAGTGCCTTGGGTTTTAGGCCTCGTGTGCGCTGCGTGTATGAGGCGTGCTTTAGGCTTCACAGGGTCATCATGCAGATCGCCGCAAGGATGCGCCATGGTGGTGGTACCAGGTGGGGAGACAATGGATGTCTAGGTGTCAGCCGGGACGGGGACTTGGTTTGGGTGCCACTCCCAGAGGCGCCTGCTCACTCCTTGACGCGCGAACCAGAGAATCCCGCTTATCACGAAGAGACGGAACACGAGCCAGACGATATTATTAGAGGCAATCCAATGAGATGGGAAGGGATAATAATCAATGATACAGTAAGCTCCTGAGGCATGTGCTTTCTATGGCGGTGTGGTGAGGCAGAGTTAGTGGTGGTGGCGGTGGCGAGCGTATGTAGGGCAAAGGGAAAACAGGATATACTTGGGACAGATATATGAACGATCCGAGGACCGCAAGATATCACAAATCTAATCAGGAGGACAAACATGACGTCGGCATAACCTACGCCCATGGTCACGACCATCCGTCGGTCTTGCGTCGCCTCAGCGGCAGCGGGATCCATGGCCTCGGCACATTAGCACGTTGGTTCCCGCCGCCTCTGCGAGGACTTGACAGACCAACTTTGCGTATCTTGTCAAGCCTACGCGTCACAAAAGACACGGATAACGGTGTATACCGGCGAGCGAAGGCAAACCATCGATTAGTATATTTAGTTAGAAGATATGAAAGACAAAGGCGGCTGACCTGCGGAACCCAACCCATGCGACCAGGAGGGCAAACGCGCTCGAGAAGGCGGAGAGTGCCACGAAGCCCCAAGGAGTCTCTTCAAGGTGGCTTGTCAACTAAATGACAGGGTGTCAGTGGGCAGCCTTAGGAAAAATATGAGGAAAAGAGGGGTCTTACATTCATACCAAAGAGGCCTGCGACGAGGGCTCCCGCGCCGATGCCCATTGTTCCGATCGAAACCTATGACGTCGCCTGAGAAAAATGCCTCGCCGCATAACATATATGAGAAAATGCGTTACCTTCAGGTCTAAACCCAAAAGCGCGTTGCGGTTTGAATCGAGGATGAGCTCGACGATCTCTTGGGTCGACTGGACGTTGCTCTAGATTCAAAGAGTATGACGTCAACGTTTCAGTGTTAAATACTAGTGGGGACGAGATCAGAAAAAGGGGGGAAACGAACCTCGATATTCTCGGCCTCGTTGACGACTTCCTCGACTTGTTTGGAAAAAACCTCGAGCAGCACCTCCAGCTCTTCGTGCTCGTTCTCACGAACCGTGCCATTCATCTTGTCGGTGAGATACATGGCATTCAGATCCTCATCTGCAAAGTACAAGAACAGCTTAGCGAGGCCCAATCGGCTGGCGCAATCAATCAATCTCGCGTACCTTGCTCGAGCACTTCGTCTAACGCTTGCTGAACCTAAAAAAAGTAAAAGGCAATAGAGTTACCCCGCAAGCATCAGCGTCGGACGTTTACACGTAATAAGGCGAGCGGGGAACTAACCAGTTTGGCGCGGTTCTTGAAACTTGCGAGCCGGCGAGAATAGTGCAGGAGCCGTTTGAACTTGTCGTGATTGATGTCGTCCTCCATCTCCGCCAATAGGCCACCGACCAAGTTCCGGATGAAAACCATTTCCGCTTCAAGAGCGCTCAACACGGATACCAAGATGGAGTCGATTGCCCTGTCATTGTCAAGAAGCCGGCGGAGTTCGATTGGGCGTAAGCATGAGTCAATTTTCACGAAAAATAGGCATATGGGTGAGGGCTAGAATTACCCACCGGAATTCGTAGGGTGATCCGCTTCCCCGCGCCTTGAGGTTATGCTGTGGGAGATCAGGCCATCAGACGTTGCATAGTAAGAAGCTATAGTTTCGATGTGTTCTTACCTCCAGATGGTACAAGAATGCGGAGTGAAGGCGGGAGTCGTTCGAGCCATATGTGTCAAACAAGATGACGGCGTCGGCCTTGACGAGAGCGCGAATGTGGAGGATGTTGAACTGATTGGATGTGATCAGAGACGGACGCGAGGGGTGGCAGGGAGAATGGAGACCGCTCACCAGGATGGCTTCCTTCCGGACGAGGATGGTAGGGACCAGATTGGGAACGCGGGAGTCTATCTTGCGCAAATCACGCGGCTACGCACGCCGCGTCAGACAATACGGACGAGGCGGACAGCAGAGAGAAGGTAGCCAAAGGTCTTGCTCACGTTTAGCTTATGCTCTACACACAAATCCGACTTTTTGATCTGGCCTGAGATGCCCTGAACATTCCCTGCGGAAGGTGATGTGTCGGCTAAGTGAAACGAGTGCGGGTGGAATACGCGTCATAGGTACCTTCACGGTCTATTACAGTGCCTATATGCGGCGCGTTAGAACGATAGACCGTGTGGGTGCGCGGATGAAACTCACAGCGAAGGACAAGGTCCGTGGGCTGGCGGCCTTGCATGACTTTTTCGAGAATCGCGGCCTTCGCGCTGTCCTCCTGGGAGTCCAATAACGCTACGGTGTCCGGATGTACATGCCGTTGTCCGACCATGGTCTTCCACGAACTGCTGCGAAGCTGTGAGCGCAAGCTGCTTGCTACTCTGTTGCCGTCCCGTGTCCAGCCGCTGTCGATTCGGAGGAGGCCATGCTGTCTATTGCAGAGAGAGAAGGAGCGTGTTCTGGTTGGCGACGCGAGAAAGAGTATATGCCGTCGCATTACATTGCTGCGAAGAGAGCAGAGACTCGGGAGAGCCGCAGGCATTCACTGTGCGTGACTTCACCGGAGCAGGAGCAGGAAGCGTCAAAACTCTTGCACCGGAAGCAGTTGTCACCCGCCAGGCCCAGGCGTCATTTTTGCTACAAAAGATTACAAAATAAATATAAAACCCTGGGAAAATATGAGTTTACCGAGATTCCCCATGTTCCGGGGTCATTTCAAATTGCAGAAGACTGTCACTTGCAGTCACGACCCCGGTCACAAGCAACCACTAATAATCTGCTTCCGCTCCAAACCTGGTGAGTACGATCACTGCCCGAAAGACTGAAGACCCCCACTCTCTCAAGCTCCTTTCGGGCCTGCCTGAGAGTCTGAGGTGACCGGAACCATATGTTACGGCCCCCAGAAATTACAACTCGTGATGCGCAACGTCGAGGCACAGCGCCAACGCGAGACAGCTCGTTAATTGTCGATTTTACGTGTACGACCGTCTACCGACCGCGCTCATCCGTCCAGGTGACCCCTGCTGACCCGGGCTTGTCGCCTCTTGCTCCGGAATTCTGTCCGCTACGCAGCGTTAGGGCCGATCCATCTGCCCGTTAACCTCGCGAAACGCGTCTTACCATCTGCCCAGGCCAAACCAACCAAATCCATCCATCGGCTACTGTATACCGTCTGCGGAGGGGGTTGGCAAGATCAGATGGATCAGGCAAGTCGTCGCCTGTGCTTTTTTCAGCATTAAGCTCAAGGACGACACGGAATCTATTACCGTTGTGTACCGATTCAGAAGGGAAAGAAGGTCGTTATTTTTCGCGTCATCCTGCTGGCTGGAGACCATTCATATTTCATGAAGCGTCCCGCTATGAACTTCATTCGCCCCCTCCTCCTTTTCCCCCTCTTTTCCCTTCTCTTCTCTCCGACTCCGCCACGACTCCCCTTCGAGCCTTTGTCCCGCCAATATACCCATGTCCGACACTAACCGCCTCCTTGAAGCTGCCAAGGCTCTATCGGTTGTCCTCCAGTCCCACTCGATACCACACGCTTTCCACGGCAGCGTCATCACATCCCTCCTTACCAACAGCCCACGTGGCGACGTAAGTTTTCTTTTTGTGTCGTGTGCGGTGGCGTGCTGCCTCTAAGGAGATGCAAAGGAACTGTTCTGTGTCGTCGAGGGCGGGTCGTCTCATCCCTTCCGGCGTGTGCGAGAGGCAGTGCGGGGAAACGATAGCTTCACCACCACGCACTCGCCCTGGAGCAACAGGTAAGTCCTTGCTTTATTCACCCTCTACCCATCGTGACCGACCGCAAACAGGCTACACGTTACGTACCGACGGCTGATTCCTGCAATCGAGGTGAGATTACTGCTGCCATATCCCTTCCCTTTTGGCCGTGCCTGATATGCGTGTTGGTACACCAGATCGAGATACTCCCAGCTGGAGAACATGGCCCTCGACGTCTGGACAACTACACCACCATGAAACTGTATGGCATCCCCTTCCTCACACTCTCGGAGTTCGTTCGGGCGAAGCTGAAATCGTGGGCAATGTGCGTTATTGCAACATCCTTCCTCCCCACTCGCCCTCTTCTCTAACCTGATTATTGCTACGCACCTAGACGAGGATCCGAGCGCGACGCTCACGACATTGTCTTTGCTCTCTGTCAGTACTGGAACCGACTCGACATCAACCGCGTCCCTGAACACGACATGAATCAATTCGTCACTTGCCATCGAGCCGCGGCACTCTCATGGGCAGCACTCAAGAGGAAATACGGTATGTAAAAAAGGCCAAGACCAGGTTGCTCGTCGTGTCATTCCAACGTCACAAATGAACGCGGCTCCTGGCGGCCATCGCGGCGACAGTTAATTTAATCTCACAGCATAAGCAATTTCATGTACACTGTACAGTATCTGTAAACATAAATAAAGGGCAGTGGGAGACTCGGGTTTGGGTTTATTGTATATCATGTGTAAGCGTGAGCGTGGATTTAGACGTGACAATATCTGCCAACGAAGCTGAAAGGGTAGCGCCCGCTTGACGGCTATGCAAGCTGTGACTCGAGCGTATGGAACTGGCGGCAGCAGTCAACTGGAAACGGTTTAAGGACAATTCAGTGGTCGCATGCGTACCCATACAGGAAAGACGATGATCTAGACTTGGATTTGATGCTCATTCGGCGTTTCTCGCAGCTTGTATGAAAACGGCGACGTGTGCGCGTGATAAATTGCGTATATACGGACCGATAATCAATGATCTTCTCGATGCTCATTCGTTCGCTAACGTTGCAAGGTCCAGAGTCCATGTGTGAAATAACGTACTTGTTCCCCTGACGAGGATGAGATCAAGTATTCGTCAGGACACCCTCATCCAATAGATGATATGGATAAAGGCATGAGCTATCATGATGGGCTCGGAGAAGATGGCCGGAATCGCAAGCATCCAAGACCTTCCCGAAGTCCAACATGTCGGGGACATGTACGTGGGCAGAACCTGATGGAAGGCTTCTTTACCCTAGAAGGCCCACTGTTCGGCCGAATATATCAGACTTATTTGCGTAGTATAACGGATGAACCAATAATCCCTGCACAGTTCCTAGTTTAGATCGATGTGAAGTACAAATTTGATCGTGGTCGTCATTGGCAGCGCATTTGGCATCTCGCTACCGACGAAAATGCGGAAGAATATGAAGGGAGAGTCGGCAGCACGTTTACGACGGGGGTAAACATGGACCGCCAGCGCTCAACCACTAGGATCGCAGTGCATTTGCCAATCCTAGTAGCTTAGCTCGACCTCGAGCAGAGATGTCCGCGGAACAACGGGCCCGGGAGAAATGGTGTGGCGGTCCCATGCTTCACACAGCACGTTCGGATACTAGTTGCAGGTTAGGAGTTCCATTAACAAGTTAAACCTGAACGGCGACTTCATCTTGACTTCATCATGGCGGCCAATCAAGGCGCCAAGTCGGCCGAAACGTGACTTGTCACTATTCCTCACACGTCACTCGTGTCACTCTGCATGCAGTCACATGTGGTCACGCATTGCGCGTAATACTTACGCGTCCCGGCCAGACAGGCCTTGATCACGACGAAACAACATGCCCGCCCCCGTCAAGCCACAAGTCGCACCAGGCAGTATCAAGGCCTACTACCAGGCTAAGATAGAGGCTGCTGAACTTCTTATCAACCAGAAGACGCAAAACCTTCGGCGTCTGGAGGCACAGCGGAATGCACTGAACGCTCGGGGTACGCCATCTTAGCGTATCCGCCTCGAGTCAACTGACAGCCAGACAGTCAGGTTGTTGAGAGAGGAGCTCCAGCTGCTTCACGAGCCTGGAAGCTACGTCGGTGAGGTCGTGAAGGTGATGGGCAAGAAGAAGGTTCTTGTGAAGGTTCAGCCCGAGGGCAAATACAGTACGTCGCCCGTCCGTCGTGTATGTTTCTTCGACTGACACATGCATACAGTCGTCGACTTCAACTCGGACATCGATGTTGCCTCCCTTACTCCCTCCATCCGCGTTGCCCTCCGATCTGACTCGTACACCATCCACAAAATCCTCCCCAACAAGGTCGACCCACTCGTCTCGCTCATGATGGTCGAGAAGGTGCCCGACAGCACCTACGAGATGGTCGGCGGTCTCGACAAGCAGATCAAGGAAATCAAGGAAGTCATCGAGCTCCCCGTCAAACACCCCGAGCTGTTCGAGGCGCTCGGTATCGCCCAGCCCAAGGGTGTTCTCCTGTACGGCCCGCCAGGTACGGGCAAGACCCTTCTCGCGCGTGCGGTCGCGCACCACACGGACTGCAAGTTTATTCGCGTGTCGGGTTCGGAGCTCGTGCAGAAGTACATTGGTGAGGGTAGTCGGATGGTGCGCGAGCTGTTCGTCATGGCCCGCGAGCATGCGCCGTCGATCATTTTCATGGATGAGATCGACTCTATTGGAAGCTCTCGTGGGGATAGCGGCTCCGGAGGAGGCGACTCTGAAGTGCAACGGACGATGTTAGAGCTACTGAACCAGCTGGACGGGTTCGAGGGGACAAAGAACATCAAGGTCATCATGGCCACGAACCGGATAGGTGAGCCTCGCTTCGATTTTGCTTCGAGGAGGCCGCGTTGCTGACCCATCTTAAGATATCCTCGATCCCGCTCTTCTTCGTCCTGGACGGATAGATCGTAAGATTGAGTTCCCGCCACCTGGGCCTGAAGCCCGCGTTAGTATTCTGCGCATTCACTCACGCAAAGTAAGCGCCTTTGCTCCCATGTACACGCGGCTGGTGTTAATCATGTGTCTAGATGTCTCTGCAACGTGGTATCAACCTCCAAGTGCTTGCAGAGAAGATGGGTCAATGTTCGGGTGCCGAAGTTCGGGGTATCTGTACCGAAGCTGGTGAGCCTCCTATCTTAGCTTTTATCCATAACGGTAGTCTGACAGCACCGATAGGCATGTACGCATTGCGTGAGCGGCGTCAACACGTCACACAGGAGGACTTTGAGTTTGCGATTGCGAAGGTACTAAAGAAGAACCAAGAAGGAAACACGTCTGTAAACAAGCTCTTCTCATAGAGCACTTGATCTGCATTAGTGTGTCTCTAGTCTATTTTAATTCCACTTTGCTTTGTCGCCCGTTTCTTTCACCTATAAGCGCCCGATGCACAAGGTTTCTATGCCACCATCCATCTGCTTCACACTGATTGAGGTATGGAAGGCTTGAGTTTGCCGTGTTGAGGAAACAAGGTCTTGATCACGCAGGCTCCTCATCAAGGGCCGTCCTTGGAGAGCCGGCTTCTATGAGAAACCCGTTCTTGCCTCATGGACTTGGCTAGCAACGGATTAGTAGGTCCAATCTAGCCGCCCATTGCCTCGAGGCTGATTATGTACCGGTGGATTCACATAGATTCACATAGGAGTTTTGGCATGCCGTAACAAGAACTGACGACTTATATGAAGGGGCTGGCTGAGGCGTCTGGACTCTTCGCGCGCCCCGCTCCCCCTCTCGTTCATCATCAATGCCTGCAGTTTGCCGTGATCTTCTCCGGCAAGGCGTCTGTAACAATGGCGCCTGCATGTTCTCTCACGACGTCATCTCTTGTGACCTCTGTGGAGTAATCTTCACCTCCCGTGCGGATTATGAGATGCATGTAGCGGGCAAAAAACATCTTAACAAACTTCGTGGGGCATCGACTACTCAGTACTGCTCCGTCTGCAAAGTGTATGCGGGTGTACATTGGGAAATGCATATCAACGGGCGCAAGCACATCCGTAAAGCCGCTGGAGACCCATCGGCCAATGTACCCGCGGCCCCCGAGTCAATCCCTGGGATCACTTACTGTGCTTTGTGCAATGTCGTGGTTATCGCCTCGCATTGGTCTGGTCATCTCAATGGATCCGTGCATCGCAAGAAGACCATTTATTCAAGGTTCAAGCAAAATCTCGACGACGCCGAGAAGGACAAGCATGGGGTTACAGTGTCGGAGGAGCTCGACTTCGGCGTTGTAGAGCTCGAAGACGCAGCTCAAGGGGTGTCTAAGACTCTTTACGTCCAAACCGACGTCCCGTCGTCTCGCATTTCGATATCGGAAGTCAAGATGCTCCTAGTGCCTAGGAATTCGCCCTCGTCGTAAGTGATGTGATGGTCTTCTGATGTCACTCACCTAAACGATCCCCCTAGGTTCTGTGTCTCTGACTACAACACTGGAGTACCGTACGGCAAACGCAATCCCATCATCGTCACATTTCGCCAAAGCTTCGCAGGCCATGCTATCGACCGTGTTCAGTTCACATTAAAAGACCACAAACTCGATCAGGAGTTTGCCATCGTGCGCTCCTTGCGTGCTGTGTCTGGCAGCAAGGAGGATTACGAGCGGTTCAAGCCCAAGACGCCATATGTTTCCCGCCCCAAGACGAAGCGCCGTGAGGAGAAGGACGTCGTTGCCGGAGAATTCCCGCAGTCGACCAAGGCTATCCCGTACATCGTCGCTCTTCCCAAGGCGCCGATCCCGGAACGCTTGATGGCTGTTCTCTCACAGGGTTCAACTCAGCATATCGTGCAGCAGTTGAGGAATAGTTTCTTGCCGCCGAGCTTTACGAAGGAGACGTACGGTCGTCAATTCAAGACGTTAGTTTGGGCCGAGGAATTCAGGATGGAGTAAGTCTCGATTTCTTCATCTACCTTGGTCGCTAGGCTTACGCATGACAAGGCGGGACCTTGAGCACTATGATATCGCCGACGCGAAGCTTCGTGCACATTCATCCTTCAATATCAAGTACGTTGCAGGGCAGCTTGTGACGACAGACAGCAGAAATACTTTCTACTAGTAAGCGCCCCTCTTATAATAACCATCGCTAAGGCCTAATATCGTCCTAGCTTGGACGTTCCGGGGCTCGCTGAGAAGAGGCCTAGTGTTTTAGTTGGTAAGTATCGGCTTCGACATAGATAAGAAACGCATAAACTAATAGTTCTCTAGGGGACCGTATCCTCGTCCATCGACACGGGGACCCTGATGGGAAGTGGTACGAAGGCGGTGTTCACGTTGTCCACAAGGAGGAGGTCGGCTTGAAATTTGGTGCTGATTTCAAGCGCACATGGACTGTTGCGCAGCCGTATGTTGTCCGTTTCAAGCTCAACCGATACCCCGTTCGGCGCCAACACCAGGCACTGGACACAGCATTCGCCGTCGACAGGCTGCTCTTCCCGGTCCTAGATCACGTCTTGCCTTTCAATCCGGGCCGTGCTTTCAGACCATTCAACCCTTTGATTGCCCGAAACCCACCTCAGCTGTTGGCGGTCACGTCTATTCTCCGCCAGCCGCCTGGTTCCTCTCCATTCGTCATATTTGGTCCTCCTGGGACGGGAAAGACCATTACCGCTATTGAGACAATACGACAAATTCTCGCTTTCAATCCCAATGCTCGCATTCTCGCCACGGCCCCGAGCAACTCCGCAGCGGATCTTATTGCACTCAGGCTTGCGCCTTACATGACCGCTAACGAGCTCTTCCGCCTCTACGCGCCCTCTCGGTACAAGAACCAGACGCCGGACGAGCTCGAGGCATACACTTACATGACCCGCGGCCATTACTCCACACCTCCCCTGGAGCGCTTCAGCAATTTCCGAGTGATTGTCTCGACGTGTGTCTCCGCGTCTATCCCTTACGGCATCGGCATTCAGCGTGGGCACTTTTCCCACATCTTCGTAGATGAGGCAGGGCAGGCGACGGAACCGGAGGTGATGATATCCATAAAGACGATCGCGGACAACGCAACCAACGTCGTGCTCTCGGGTGACCCGAAGCAGTTAGGGCCAATTATTCGCTCTGGAGTCGCGCGTGAGCTGGGGCTCGAGAAGAGCTTCATGGAGAGGTTGATGGAGAGAGATGTGTTCATGGCGACATCCGGTGTCAGCCCGAATCGGAGGTATGTCCATCCTATTTTAATGTCAATAGGCAGCCGAATATGTAGCTGACGTCAACGTTCGCCCCGTGAATAGCTCTGTCAAGCTCACCAAGAACTTCCGCTCGAACCCTGCCATCCTACGCTTCCCCAATGAGCGGTTCTACTCGAACGACCTTGAAGCGTGCGGCGACCCCGGCGTTATCAATGCATACTTGGGGTACTCGGAATTGCCATCGAAGACCTTCCCAATCATATTCCATGCGGTGACAGGGAAGGATGACCGCGAGGCGACATCGCCTTCGTACTGTAACATTGATGAGGTGACGCAGGTGAAGAAGTGGGTAGAAAAGCTGAAGGGGGCGCGAAGGGGATATAACTCTAGTAAGTAGATTCTTCCTGACTGTCCACGGAGAGTCAGAATACTAACTATCCACAAAGCGGACAGCGATATTGGTGTTATTACCCCCTATCATCTTCAATGTTTGAAGATTCGTGCTTCTCTCCGGGCTGTAGCAGACGGCATCAAAGTCGGTAGTGTTGAAGAGTTTCAGGGCCAGGTAAGCGTGATTCGCTAAAGCAACAAGGAGATCACGATTTTCTGACCTGGTATGCAGGAACGCAAGGTGATTATCTTGTCAACCGTTCGCAGCAGCCGCGATTTGGTCGAGTACGATCTCAGGCACACCCTCGGTTTCGTGGCAAACCCACGTCGCTTCAATGGTAAGCATGATTCGCTCCTTTGAATCCGGGATTTATCGAGGCTGACCTCCTACAACAGTTGCCATTACCCGAGCCAAAGCCCTCCTGATCGTCATCGGCGATCCCAACGTCCTCTCTTTGGACCCTTTATGGCGCTCATTCATGAATTACATCCACTTGAACAACGGCTGGATGGGCCCCCAACCCGAATGGGACACTCGCATCGAAGTGGATGAATCGGGAGGCTATGACGCTATTATTCGCGAGGCCGCTTTGGTGGACATGAATGAGTTTAGCCGTCGCATGGAGCAGTTGACGCTGGCTACTGTACACTCTCAGGGCTACGATGGCCTGATAGAAGAGTCCGAGGCCAACGTGGACCGCCCATGGAGAGATGTAGAATAAAGGATTGGTCGAGTGGACCTGTTGAATATGAATGCCCCCGCTCACTGTAAAAGTAAAGTTTTCCTCACCAGATTGTACATAGAACGAAATGCAACTCCTTGATTCAAGTAGAGGGGTGGACAACGATCAAGGCAACGAAGCAGCGATCGGCCCCGAACTGTCCCCGAACCGGCGCGACTACGAGAGTCGCGTCCTGGGAATTCCCGGTAGCCTGCTCTCGCTCGCTACCATCTTCTCCTCAGCACTCAGCGCTCAGCCTCCAGCGATCCAAACTCGTTTTTACAGAGCGCTCCTCTGACATTGATATTGGGGAGAAAGAACATTCCGCATCGCAGCTAAAAATGCTGAAGGATCAGGCGTTGGTCAAACTCCTGAAATCCGAATCCAGTCCAAAAACCTTGCCATAACAGGGCCATTCAATATTCAATTGGGGAACCGATAGGGACGCATGCATACATGTCATTTTTCTCTGAGCCAGCCACTTGAGGGACGCATATCGCCACTTCCTGGGCTCCTAACCCGGGAAATGGCTGGAAGACGTCCAATCTCGCTCCGATTCCTGCTTTTTCAACAACATGGCGCATGTCTTACAACACTTAAAGGCCAGTAACGGTAAGCTCACTACCTTTTAAGATGGAAATCGATTTGTCGTCAATGTGCTGAGGACTTTATCTTCCATGTTTTCAGTACTCTCCTCCGTAATAGGGACTACAGGCGCGCCTCTCTGCGGTGATTGAATAGCGACTAATGGATCATGGCAAGAATTATAATTGTACCTAGGGACATCTTACATGAGGTAGTGCTGCGCAGCTCGCAAGCACCAATCTTCCTTTCATTACATCTCTCACCGCTTCTCGCTCTCCTCGCGCGGTGCTTGTTTCTCCGCCATCATCACCATGGGGCATCGACTTTCTATGGTTCTCGCGGGCTTGCTCTCGTGTTTGACGCTAACATTTCACCGCGTGGATGGTCGACGGGCCGAAAGTAGTACTCATTCTCCTCCGACGCTGGGCCCTGTCTCGAAGCTGGTCATCTCCGACCGCCAAATCTCTCCAGATGGCTTTCCACGCTTGTAAGATTAATTATAACACTATCTTCCATATCTCTCTTAGCGCTGCAGGGCCACCGTCGTAAACGGTATAACACCTGGTCCTCTCATCATGGCTAAAAAGGTGCGTTCGTCAACGGGCAGTCTCATTGGCGCCTAAGCTGAAATGCTTCATAGGGAGACGACTTCAGGGTTACAGTGGAGAATGAGCTGGATGACCCGTCATTGGCCGAGGCGACTAGTGTCGTAAGTTTACCTTCGCGACACGCACAATGCGTTTGCTAAGCTAAAACCTCCTAGCACTGGCATGGCATCTTCCAACACGGTTCCAGTTGGGCCGATGGTACCTCATTCGTCTCGCAGTGCCCCCTCATTCCAGACGAGTCCTTTACCCACGCCTTCAATGCTCAAGATCAAGCCGGCACTTACTTCTATCACTCGCACTATAAGACACAGTTTTGTGACGGCTTACGAGGTCCACTCGTCATTTATGACCCCGAGGACCCTCACTTAGACAAGTATGATGTTGATGATGGTAAGTTGATTGAGTTCGTTTTACAGTAGTAAGCTGACATGAGTTTCGTAAGAAAACACCGTCATAACGCTTACCGACTGGTATCACCAGCTTTCACCGGAACTTGCCGACAAATACGCGCCCATAATATCCAATACGACTCTTATTAACGGCAAAGGTCGATACAAGGGAGGGCCCTCAGAGCCACTGTCTGTCATCGAAGTCGAGCATGGGAAGGCATACCGGTTTCGCGTCGTGGGGATGTCATGCGATCGGCAATTTGACTTCTCCATCGCAGAGCATACGATGACTATCATCGAGGTCGATGGAATCACGATTGAACCGGTGGAAGCGGACATCGTTACTGTCTTTTCTGGACAGCGCTACTCAATCGTCGTCAGGGCCAATCAAGCTGTTGGAAACTATTGGGTTCGCGCAAGGCCTCCCGACGCGATGCGCCCCTTCACGGGCGGACGGAACTCTGCCATCTTACGGTACACAGGGGCTGACCACTCGGATCCTGCATCACAGGAATCAGAGTTCGATGATGACCTAGTCACTCCTTTGCTCACCCCTTTAACAGACAGCATGATCCATCCGCTTGTCAGCCCAGGAGCACCGGGTGTACCCGAGATTGGCCAAGCAGACGTAAACATCAACTTCGAGCTCGGAAATCGCAATGGACTATTCACGATGAACAACGTCAGTTTCAAGCCGCCATCGACACCCGTCTTACTTCAGATCCTCAATGGCAGGGTCCACCCCTCTGACATCATGCCGAGGGGCTCTGTTTACGAGCTACCTCTAAACAAGACCATCGAGCTTAGCTTTCCTACGACGGATGCTGTTCCCGGATGGCCGCATCCTATCCATCTTCACGGCGTGCGTATCTTCTTTTACTATTCCGCCAATGCCATATACTCATTATTTTACAGCACGTCTTTGACGTCGTACGTTCAGCTGGAGAAGAAGAGCCAAACTTCTATAATCCTGCTCGGAGAGACACGGTGTCCCTCGGAAACCCTGGCGATAATGTCACTATCCGTTTCGTGACGGACAACGTCGGCCCATGGTTCCTCCACTGGTAAGAACTTTTAACGCTGAAAACACCTTATAGTCTAATCTGTCTCCGCATCAGTCACAATGACTGGCATTTGTTGCAGTACGTTAGAAACTTTGTCATTCATACCTTTACTTACATTATCCAGTGGGTTCGCTGTAGTCCTTGCCGAAGGCACTCGGAGGACAGAGCATCTCCGCGTACCGGGTACGTATGGATATCGGGTTCTTTATTTGTTTCGCTGACACAAGGGGCGGTCAGATTCCTGGGAAAATCTTTGTCCTGCGTATTCTGCGTACGGAAACTCCTCAGAAGGCGCCCTATCATCTCTCCCGCATTGATACGAGAGATGCATTGATCTTATGCGAGAATTTATTTAGTTATTCATTAACCTGATTTGTACGAAGTGGTATCATGAGTTGACGTGTTGTACTGTAAATGCCTTCTTAAAACTCTCTGACAAGGATATATTTGAAGAAGACGACAAAAAGGACGAGTGACCAAACATATCGGGTACGAGCGGCCAAATAATGGGTGTACGGAGTGCCCATCCTCAGGATGTTGTTATTCTAATAAACATCTAATCACTTGATTAGCAAGGCTCTTCCCCGGAGATTGGTTGCTACTTAATATCGTTAGATTGGAAGCGGAAGGGACACTACTATGGAACGTAACAAACAACATTGGATTTGATAAAGTATCGCGGCCACGAAGTAATGTGGGAGTGAAAGTAAAGAGAGAGAATGTAGTAACTGCTCAAGCATAAGATTTAACGAAAAGTAAGTCTGCGATAATCAAAATCATGAAGCTGAAACATGGCGAAGACCCTATATATGGAGCTGAGAGTAGCGGTCACGGATCTGATTTTCCCATAAACGAGAGGGAATGAGAGCTGACATTAATTTCACATGCCAATCATCTTCTTTAGAGCATTGAACTCGCTTTCTCCGGTTGCCTTGCACAGTGAGTAAAAGCTTGAAGTTTTATCATTGAGAAGTGCCGAGGGCCTTTGGAAGGTGTCAAAGGAGGAAAGAGTGAAGTTCCAGGAATCATAGCTAACCTATCAAACTCCACGATGTGGCCGTCATTGAGGATCATTACCTGGAGGTCCATTAGCTCAGGGGCGGTTCAATGAATTGTTGGCTTACCTTGTCGTAGTCTATGACAGTCCTCAGACGATGGGCGATGGTCAAAATCGTACTTGAGGAGAATTCTCTGAGAAAGCCTATTAATTAAACATGCTTCTCTATAAAACTGTGCACTTACTCTCTGATGGTCTTACTGATAAGTTCGTCGGTTGCATAGTCCACACTTGATTGTACATCAACAACAGATCATGTGAGTGATCGAGATCATTACCTAGCTGTAGCCTAGAGCATCAAGCGACAGGCGTCAATAACGTTTCAGTCCCAGTGGCTGAGGAAGCTTACCTCATCCATAACCAGAACCCGTGAGTGTTTTAAGATTGCTCGAGCCATGCAAATCAGCTGCTTTTCTCTACGAGTAACTGGAATAAGGCAGCAGTCACGAACTCAAGGTATCGAGATTGCTCACCCGGCTGAGAAATTGTCGCCGCCTTCAGAAACTAGGGAGTCAAGATTACGGAAAGCATTCGCATTGATAGCTTCCAAATCATCAGTCTCTGCCTCCGATTGGTGAACAGAGGGTATAAGATGAACCCGTTTGAGAGCCTCGTACTACAAAATGTGGTAAAGTCATCAGTGTGTACTCCCCCGAACGTCTAAAAATACTTACAATGTCCGCGTCATCATACTCGCCAAAGACATCGAGTGTTGAACGCAATGTCCCACTCAAGATCGTAGGGTCCTCTAAGAGCGCTTAGTCAATCGCAAGTACACAGTGGGGAGCCGCAAGGAAACTTACGCGGAATGATAGTGAGTCTACTCCTCAGGTCAGTTAGACCAATCTTGGAGATATCCACGCCATCAATGACAATCCGACCCTCGGTGGCTTCGACAAAGCGGAACAATGACAAAGCCAGGGTGCTCTTTCCGGAGCCAGTTCTCCCGAGGATACCAATCTTGTAAAACAGTGGTGAGAAACATCCCGATATGTTATTGGCGACTTTCCTGTACCTTTTCACCGGGCTTCACCTCGAAGTTCAGGCGATGCAGGACGTTAGGTAAATCGTGCTTCGCTCGCAATGTTAGGCCTGGAGAATTTTCGCACAAGACCAGACCTACAGCATATCGGATGGCCAGATCTTCGCAGACCACGGAGCCACGGTCAGGCCATGACGCACATGGCCGATACTCCAGGATCTCGGGGGACTCGGGCTCAATGTTGCTGAGCTCATCCACTCGCTCGAGAGCAACCTGAGGTAATTCCATTATCATAATACCGAAGCTAGCGGTATTGACGTTTACTTACCAGTGACTGCTCCACCGCCGTGTACATCCGCACCTATGAAATGTCATATGTTTTCTCCGAAGTTTCAGACCATATGCATAATTCGGACATACAAAGAAATAGAGCTAAAAATCTATTAGTCGCATTATTCCAATGTCAAGGTGCAATAAACCTGCTCACGTTCGACGAAATACCAGCAGCAAAAGCAAGGGAAAACCCTGCCAACGGTGCGGATATTTGTGGTGAAAGCACTGCAGCAAAGCCAGTCAAGGCAACCATGGTTCCCGCGAGGAGATAGAACCGGGATGACAGCCATCGGTTCACTGAATAGCTTCAATAAGTAAGGCAGTAAGTAGCAAGAAAACGGACGTCTTTACCACCCCACGTCCAAAAGAATGGATTGGCATTCTAATGAAAAGCCTGTTAGCGTTCGTACGCAAGTAGTGAACATGGCACGCACAGTATCGGCACAACGCATCATATCCCGCAAGAACTTTGATGAGGCGCCGAATGCACGGATGACAGTGACTCCTGCAATTGTCTCTCCGTAGATTGAGTATAGCGACGAGCGAGCCACTGAGTCTGAATCGGTTGGATAAGTACAGATGCCAAGAAGACTTATCATATAGCAACTTACCTAGGCGGCGGATATCTTGTGCCGTCTTTCCGTAGAGTTTGGCAACTGAGAACGAGATTTTAGATATGGTTTCATTCGGCCAGGCGATGCTTCATATGTTACCTTGCCAGTACATGTATCCAACCAAACATGCAGCAATCAGGAACACCCAGCCTCCAACCGTTATGACAACGACAATCGTAGTCAATGATGCGAGTCCAAATAGGAATATACGCCCGAAGTCCCCTGGCAGCACGCTGTCGAGAACTGGTATCTGATATCAGCGATTGTGTTGGCCAGACATTGAATTACTGGACATTACCTTCAAAATCTTTTGCGAACCTGTTCAAAAGAACGCCACGAGAAGCGGTATCATGGAAACGGATGTTAGCAAGCAAAACTGATTCCAGCATGCCTAAGGTAATGACATCAGCTTGACTCAATTGTCTAGTGTAGAACATGCCAACGTTTATAAAGTTTTGTAGAAGCTGTGATCCCGCCAGTAACTAGGGAAATGTTCAGCTGCTTTCATGAGAGTCCTGTTGTTCGCACTTACACACCACATAGTCGGGTACTACCCTGAATACCAGACCTGCAAGCGTGATCTTCCAGCTTATGAGCTCTAGATCAATAGTTATTCGATAAGAAGTGACTCACAGCAGCGTAGACTTTGAGGTAATAAATTACTCCTTTTTCCTCAATGGCACCTTCACTCGAGCCCGACCATGTCCTTCAAGAAAACGAATGAGCATAAAGCGGACACAAATCCCAGACGTCACTCACTTCAACCACCAATTCTCGGCAACCGGTATCAGAGCCGCGCAGATAAATACCAGGAAGAAGACAGCCCAGTAAAACGAGCCGCCGCACGCTGTCATGTATATCCCCCAGATATTGCGTCCGAGGCGGCCTTGTGCACGCTTCTCGTCTTGGACGAGCTTACGAGGAGTTTTGATATGCCCTTGTTCTGGTTTGACTTTGCTTGTGTCTGTGATTTTACCCTGAGCACCTGTGTCCATCGGCTGATCTTCCTTGTCATCGCTGGCCGTTTCGGACTCATCCAGAATCTCTGCATGAGCCAACTGACTCATGATAGATGACGAACGGAAAGCGTTGGTATCGCCCCTGAACGCGACGCGGCCGTTATCAAGTGCAACAACATAGCTAGCACCGGAAGAAGCTAGCTGAACGTTGTGCGAGACGAGTACGATTGTCCTGCCTTGCATCAGCTCGCCCTTGAGGCACTGGTTGTAGAGGTGGTATGCAGTATGCGCATCGACTAGAGGGGTGTCAGCGTATTGTACCAAAGTAGAAATAGACGTTCGTGCCTGCAGACAATACATCATCCAACAAGACTACCGAGGCTCGGGAGTATACCGCTCTTGCCAAGGACACTAATGAGTGAGGTGAGTTCCTTAAACATGTGGAGTCAGCTCGTGTACGTACCTCGTGCCTTTTGACCGCCCGAGAGGTTGATCCCTTTTTCGCCAATCTCAGACTCATCGCCGTCTTCCAAGATCTGTAGGTCTGCCGTCAAAGCACAAACCTGCGTTTGACATATCAGCAAAGGCGGTCACCGATCGAGGGCAACTGGCTAACCTCAAGGGTCTTTTGGTAGCGCTCTTCATCGAATGGCAGATTAAACAGGATGTTGTCTATAACAATGTATACATGGGTCAGATCCAGTCTTTTGATGGTCAAATGGAGGAACCTTTGATCGAAGCATTGCGGAGCCATGCGACCTGGTGACAGAGTCCATAATACATTAACTGCTCACCGAAGAGACGAAAGAACAACCATACCTGCGGAACATAAGCACAAACGCCCTTGACAACCCATTCTTCTCTTTCGATAGGCAGGCCGTGACTCATGGAAGCTAGTGCATTAGGGGTAGATCGCGGGCACAAAACCTGTCCCGCCACAACGTCCGCTTCCCCAAGCAGCCCAAGCAACAACAGCGTTTTCCCGCTTCCAAGCTTCCCGCAGATAAGTGACAGCTCGCCGGGCGGGAGCTCGAACGATAGGTCAGTCAACGTGAACTGGCTACGTCTGCTATCGATAGCACCGCGTCCTCGGGGCCAGGTGATGGATGCATTGCAAAGCGAAATCTGCTCCGGTTGGCTGGCAGAGTCGGGGAGCGGTACCTCCGTGCCAGCGAGGTATCTCTCGATGCGGCAGAGGGATACGAATGCCTTAGGTACACGAGGAGTATACGACGTATGAGCAAATGTTTCGGCACGAGAAATACATAATTAGAACATACCTGGAGTAGACCGACAAATAAGTTGGGGAGCAGATACAACGCAATCTTCATTTCGTTGAAAACTGGGCAAATACTTTAGTAAACCACGCAACGTCAGCAACATCATGCACAGACCGAGAATCTAGATTGACAAGTCAGCGTCAGCTAATGTACAAAACCAATAAGACGGAGCAGATTCAAGAAAAGCCTACCGAAGCAAACGCAATAGACGGGGCCAGAGTTTGCTGCCTGACGAAGGCGAAGTGCCAAAACGCAACAAGCGTGGCCACAATAGGAGATCCATCCCTGATAAAGCAGCGGTTATTTATGCGAAACCATAAAGTCGAGAGTTCCAGTCCATACAGTATGACGCTGAGGCAGACCTGCGATTGGCGTCAATTCAAGTTGGTTTAGATGAGTCCAACAAGAAAGGGAGCGAGCTATTACCTCAATCATGTATGTTAACTTCTGCGCCTTCAACTCCCGCTCTCTGACCTTGAGAACCTTGTGCTCATAACTTCGCTCCCAGGCCATAAACTGAGTGTCACTCGCTATAGTCAATACACGTTTTCATTGATGGTAATGCGCAAATAACCCACTTTCAGCATCCGGATAGCACCCAGAATCTCATTCATCAAGGACACGCGCTCGCTCCTCGACTTCATAAGTGTCTTTTGCGCGCGCATTACGATCCCAGAGCTAAGCTGGTTCAAGGGCAGGAAGGCGAACGCGCAAACGAGGCCGATGAGGCTCGAGACGCCGAGCAACTTGTAGAGAAGAAGCGTGCCAACGACGATCTGGATGGGTACGTCTATCCATGCACAAAGGGAAACATCGACAGGATTAGCAATTTGGAAAATGGTGTGGGTTATCACAGCCAGTACGAACCTACAAGCGTGTTGATGCTCCTTGCACACTCGCCAATGCGATCCGCGTCGCTCGTCATGAGCGTCATGACTTCCGCCTTGCTCGCGAGCTCTTCGCCTTGTTCCTCCGAGTCTGAGCCAGAGGGACCAGACGCGGCACCATACGACGCGAGATCTTTTCGCGTCAGCGTCTTGTGGAAGAGAATCGTGTTAAGCTCAAGACGCAGACGGCTCTGGAGGATTGACGAGCTGAAGAACATGACCTGGTTCGACACTATCCGCCGAGACGCATTAGCAATGGGGCGGCAAACGGATGCAGAGATGCCCCACGCACCTATAACATGCGCATACGTAGCCACCGCCAAACCGAGGGCATACGTCCACCCCAACCGCCTGTCCTTCCTCTCAGGATCAGACTCGAGATACCCAACGATGTGCTCTACGAACAACGCAGGCATATACCGCAGCACCGCCGAAACAGCCGTGAGCACCAGCAGCACAACGACCGCACCCACGTTAACGCGTACGAGGCGCCAACCAAGACTCCACCCCGACCCTGGCTTAGTCGTCGTTGTCGTCACAGCACGGCGCATCCTCGTATAGAGGTACGACGCGCGCATGCTGAGCGGGAGCACAGGAAGATCCACAATCTCGAACCCGCTTTGCGCGCTGTCCGGACCAGCAGAGCTACGATGGCCGAGCATGACGACCCCGTGCGTGTACGAAAAGAGCAGACGCGCCCAGATGGACTGTGTCACATATCCGCATACATTCTCCTGCGCCTGCGCCCGCTCCTCGCCGGCTTGAAGCCCGGCAGCGGCCTTCTCGTAGTAAATATCGCGGGGCGGGAAGTATAGCGGCGCGGCCCGAGCGGCATCGACCACGCCATGAGCATCGCCATGAGGTGCAGCACGAGCGCTGCGCCGTCCAGGAGGGCCACGATGGCCGACGTCGCGGACAGCACGCCCGTGAGCACGGCGATGACCGCGAGCAGGACGAAGGGGAGCGCGGTCAGGACGGCGAGGTGTGCCACCGCGTTGCTGTGCTTTTGCACGTCCGCGCTGGCGGAGTGGCCCACGGAGCGGACGGCGAAGAGCGCGGTGTATAGCGCGTATGCGGTCAGCAGCGCGTTCACGGTGGTTTCTTGCTGCTGCTCAGCGCGGTCCCGGTTCGAATTGGTGATCGTCCATCCCAAACACACGGCTCGAAGCACGAGAATGAGTGCAAGAACTGTAGCCAGCGCCGTCTTCCAAAGCCGAGTCTACCGTCTCGTGAGTTCGAGCTCCTTTAAGACACGCATACGCACAGCTCACCTTCGCCCAAAACCGATCCTCATCAACAGGATACCCCTCAACCGCGTCTTCCGCGCGCGTCACATCGAACGGATCACGATCCCTCGTATTCAAGCTGCCACCAGCAGGCAACTCTGCAGCAAGCGCGCCATCACAGTCAGGCAGCTTGATTCCACGCTCTCTGCTTGGCCCGGCGAGCGCATTCAAAAGAAAGCTCGCGGCCGCCGTCGCAGCAAGCACCGCAGACGCGAGGAGCCGCACATCCGGCACTGGCATAGTGCTAGATTCTACCGTGTTCATCACATCAGAAAGGCAGCTCCAACAGTACGGGGTAAAGTTGAAGGAAGCCTCACCGGAGACTGCAGTATCCGTATGGCCTCAAGATGAATGTTGCTGAACCTGTATCAACGCGAAAGTTATACTGGCGAAGTACAAATAAGATGCGACCTGGACGTGTCGAAGATAATAGTCCACGAGCGAAATGCGCTGCGAAGACCTGGGGTACGACGACCTGCAGAACGTCAGCTAAAGTATCAACCCACAACGCGCCGGTGATGGTGACGGTCCCGAGTAGACGCCGCCGTTGACAGTGGCTGACTCCTCATGCGACAATATCTCACAGAAAGTTTCCACTGATTGGTCGCTGCACCATCTCACCGGTGCCGAACATATTTATCGGCGAAGCTCGGCGTGGACCAGGGTGGACCATGGTGGACAGCTCGGGGCAGGATGTGGGTGTAGGATTCCGGGACGTATGCCGCGATAGCGGAAGCCTGACCTTAGCGCATTGCTTCACGCGCAAGGATAAGTGCTAAACTATCACACGTATGTTTCCATCACATTCAAAGTTCTCAAGGCACATGTAGTATTGGCTGGTAATATACATGGCACTACCCTAACATACAACTAAACAAAGCAGATATACAACGACTTACGAGTCAACCCTAAACGAAGAAAGCGTAGTCAGCATCGAAAGTCCAACATGACATTGATCAAAAAGAAGGAAGCTTCAGAGAACAGAAATCATTTTGTCCTTCATCAAAGGTCGGACATATGCTTGTATAATTTAAACATCTTGAGCGAAGACGCACGCCGTGTCTGGCAGCGTCTTCTTAAAATAAAATACAAACGAAACGTGATGCTCACCATAGACGACATTCCAGACAATACCAGGTCGAGTTGGTGACCGCTGACTGTGTGATATAGGACGTGAGCAAGCCGAGTATGAAGAAAGCGGAGATAGATCGGAGAGCGATCAGAGGGTGGTGCGTGTTAGAAAGGGCCCATGGTATTGACGTCGCCCACTAACGGATGGGTATGATATCGTCTTTTCGCGGGAGCGATGATAGAGCGAGCAGACCAAGACAGAAGGGGGCGTGCGGGGTTCATAGAGCCTGCGCTTACCCGGGTGTCCGGTAGTAGGGGCGAACCGCCGATGTGCTTCTTCTGTGGGAAGAAAACGGCCTGGGCGGGCGATGCGAGGACTGCTGACATCTGCGTGGAAAGCGTTAGCAAGTGGGATTTGAAGAAATATCGAGAAGTAAAGGGTGAAGAAGAAGAGGGAACGGAAGAGGAAAAGATTCAGTTGGTGATGCATGATACGAGAGCGGCTCATCGCTGCGCGTCGCCGACTCGATGGATAGGTATACATCATGAAAAAATGGGGGAAACCGAGCGAGCTCACCTGCTGCAGGGATTCCGTTGATGCGCGGTCCAAATCCTCTTTTCTAGCACCATGCTAGTTCATGGGTAAGCCACCCAGCCAGGAGCGCTTGAAAGCAAGTACGAAATCTTCCGCTCGACGCAAACGGGTAAGTTCAAGCGCCGATGTCGGTGTTCCAAATACGTTGCAGCACCAGCCACCGTTCACACGCTCTTCTACGTTTTTTTCCTCTTCATCTTGCGTCTTGCGTCTTGCATCTCGCGTCTCGCGACGAACCGCAAGACGCCCAACCACACATGGTGAGCATCCGTCCCCTCATCCAACGATGTTCTTTGCTCTTCCGGCGTGGCTGCGCGATAGCGCGCCGTAAAACCCTTTGTGATGATTCCTATTCAGTTCTGCTTCCGAAAGAGCCTGGCTCTTGTGGACAACGACATACCAAAAACTCTTCTGACCTCTTTCTCCTTCTCTTTTCCCTTTGCTCTTGCTCTTCTTTAAATCCTTTAGCTAACCACTTCACTCTCCCCAGATCCCTCCCCTTCTCCAACCACACCCCATCGTCACATCCATCGTGAGTACGTCTCCCGCGCGCGTCCCCATTTCCTACCTGTAGGACGAAACCAAGTTCATCCATTCGTTGAGCGCTCCTTCGCACATGGCACCGCAGTGCGTGGCGCCGGCGTCTCGTCTTGAGATCGCCGCGCGTCGCTGCTGCGGTCGCTTTGCAAGGGGACTTGAAAACATCGGCTTCTCTGACTTTTGCATCTCTCTGTTCTATCGTTTATCGATCATATCTATGGAACCGGTCGAACGCAGTGCTGACGATTTCTCATTTGCAGGTGTTACGTTGGTGTACATCTACATATCACTGTTAAGTAGCATAGATATATGCGTTGCAATACGACTGTTTTTTCCAAAATGCTTCGGATCGATGCATCATCTCCATCGCACACGAAGGATAGCCCTGCCCACCCCTGTCGAGTGCTCCCATACCTTCTCAACTCGTCCTTGTTCCAACCCGGCTTGGCCGTCCTCGACAGCGCGGATGAACTCTACGACGCCCCCTCCGACGCCAAAGTACACGACCTTGGCCGCGACGAGGCACAAGCCTTGCCCCTGTTCTCCCTCATTATTCTCAACATCCATTCCATGTTGGTCAACGGAAGGTACTGAGGAGTCACCGAGACTCGCTTCGCGCAAGACGCGCACGAGCGGGCGCAGGCCGTCCGCGCGGTAGACGGTCTCGGCGGTGAGAACGAGGTCGTACTGCCGTGGGCTCGGAGCGGGGAGCAGCTGGGACGGATAGAGCGAGGACCAGCCGCCTGCGAAGAAGCGGAGGCGGATGCGGTGTGTGGATAGAGCGTCTGCGAAGGCGCGTACAAGGGCGGGGGTGAGGGTGAGTTCGCCTGGGGAGGAGTCGTCGTCGGTTTCGCCGGCGGGGGAGTTTGGGTCTAGGGAGGGGCGGTGTGGTGATGCGGCTGGGGATGTGTCTGGTGGAGATGGTCAGCGGTTAGTCGAATCGAGTAGGTGTTAGGGAACGCACACCATGCGAGAAATATGTTTGGGAATGTGACGAGCTCGAGCACGGAGGCGTTGTAGTCCTGCAGATGGACGTGCGTTTCCTGGGTGCCGTCTGTGTCTGCTGGCGGTGGACCGGAGAACAGAGTGTGCAGAACGTAGAGAGAGGGGATGGCGGTGCCGCACCCGACCTTTGTTCATCCGCCCCACGTCATTTAATGAGCGCCTCTGAGAAGAGCAGAATAGGGATGAGGCTCACCTCGATCACGCGCTTTCCGACAAACGACGGCCACCCGAGCCGGTGGACGTGCGCCGCGAGATCGAGGGCGCACTCCCACGTCTTGAGCCCGCCCTCGTACACGCGCGGGAGGAGGTCGGACGGCGCGTCGAGGAATGCGAGTGCATCAGAGCTGGTGCTCCCATCCGCGGCTCGAGCTGGCTCGCTCGGATCAGCCTGCGCGAGGACCTGGAAGCGGGCGTCGAAGAGGTCGCGCCGGGCGAGTGCGATATCTGTCTCTGGTACAGGGAGGGTTGCGTATGAGAGAGCGGGAGGGAGGGTGGCGAGCTGGTTCAGTCATTGAGTATTAGGCGTGGAGTGAAGCGCTAGGTGGGCGAGGACGGACGAGGTGATCGAGGGAGAGCTCGGTGCAGGGTGCTTCGGCGGGCTCGGAAGACGCGCTTTTGAGGTGCTGGGAGGGCCCGGTGGTGATGCCGAGGAGAGCGTGGTCGTCATCTGCGCGATCGTCTATGTCAAAGTCGAACTTGAAGGACATGTCTTTTTCCAAGGACGCGTTGAGCGGAGGGTGCAAGGATGATCGAGCCAATCGGGAGGACGGTGGCTATCGTTATCTGTGGCTGTGCCCTGTTTCCCTTGGACGTCCTTCCCTGTCGCGACGCCGCTCTTCCTCCCGCTTGTTTATTGCCCCCGCCGTGGCCATGCCCCACCGAAACGGGACAGAACAGGTCTGGTGCCTCTTGTCCTTTTATAACGCATACAGCCTAACACTCTTCCTTTGGTTTCCTACCATCCACAGCTAGAAGGGTTAGACCAACGCAACCCCACAGCTCTAGATACCCCCACACGCTTTATAAACCAGGATACGGTTGTGTTCATTCCCACTCGCTTCACCCACCCCACATCTATCGCGACATGCGTCTCACTCTGTCGGGCCTCGCGCTCGCAGCAGCCGCGTCGACCGCTGTTCCCTCCGTCTACGCTTGGGGCGCTGCAGGTTCAACCTTTCTCTCCTTCACGTATCCCCATACTCACCCATTCACATCCAGGCCACGAAATAGTCGCAACCATCGCCCAATCCTACCTCCACCCCTCCGTCCTCCCCCAGCTCTGCACCGTCCTCAACCTCCACAACAACCCCGACTACCCACGCGACCCGGACGCGCCCCCGTGCCACATCAGCACCATCGCCACCTGGGCCGACAAGATCCGCTACCTCCCCCAGTTCCGCTGGACCGCCCCCATGCACTACATTGGCGCCCGCGACGACTGGCCCTCTCAAACATGCGCCTTTCCCGGCGACAAGGGCTGGTCTGGCCGCGACAGCATCAATGTCCTGGGCGCCATCAGGAATGTGAGCGGCACGCTGGAGGAGTTTGTCGCGGCCCAGCGGGATGGGCTGGTGCACTTGAACTTCAACGGCGAGGGGGAAGACGACGACGCAGAGGATATCCGGACGGCGCTTAAATTCCTTATACACTTTTTGGGCGACTTGCATATGCCGCTCCATCTCACGGGACGCGACCGCGGCGGGAACAGCATCAAGGTCCGCTTCGACGGGCGGCTCACTAGTCAGTCTTTCCATGTTTCATCATTGGTTCCTATTACTGACATTCGCGTCTCGCTATAAAGACCTGCACTCCCTGTGGGATGGCCTGCTCATCGCACAGCGCCTGCGCACGGTCCCGTCCAACTACACGCGCGCGATCCCCGTGCCCGAGCTCGAGCGCAACCTCCGCGACACGATCTACGACCCGTACATCCGCCAGCTCGTCTGGGAGGGCGCGTTTGGCAAGTACGCTGACGAGCTCGAGGACTGGCTTAGCTGCCCCTCTGCTCCCTCTGAGTCCAACTCCATGTTCGCGCCCTTCTCCTCTGCTACATCATCGCTGCTCCGCGAAGCGATGGAGTACACGGGTCTGCACGCGGCGCACCAGGGCGCACAGCGCCTGTTCAGCTGGCTCGGTCTCAGCTCCGGTCTAGCCAAGAGCGGCTCGGAGGACCCGCACAAGTGGGACGACGAGACGCTCTGCCCGTACGCGTGGGCCGCGCCGATCCACGCGCTCAACTGCGAGATCGTGTTCCCGCCCGCGCTCGACGAGCCGCCGTACGGGTCGCACGCGTTCCCGCGGTCGTATCCCGCTGCGCCGCATGTCGAGGGGCACGGGTGTGCGCATGCACATGCGCACGAGGATCTTTTCGAGGAGGAAGGCGAGGTAGGGGTAGGGGCAGAGGCGGAGGGGAGGAAGAGCAAGTACATTGAGCTTGATACGCCCGAGTACGCAGGCGAGTTGCGTAGGCGATGGGTTGTGGAGCGGCTGTTGCTCCAGGCGGGTGTGCGGCTCGCGGGCACGCTTAATTATCTGTTTGCGGAGGAGGGCGCGCTGGAGGGGCGCGTGAGGGCGCTGGGTTTGTAGATTGCGATAGCGGGTGGGGTTTTGTAGGAGGGTGGAGGGGGTTGGGACTCGGGATACCCGTGTGGATACCCTTCCGGGTCTTTGTCTTGTCTTGTCTTTGGACGAACCGCCCGGTGATCGTGGTAGTAGGTAGTAATAGATGAGTCGGAGGTGCACCCAAGAATGAAGGATAATTCGCGTCGATGGACGCGGTAATGTGTATAGTAATAGTGACACTTGTACATACATATTTTTGTACCTAGTTAGAAGAGAGTGACGGTCTTGGTACCTATACCAGTGGTTATGCGCTGGGATCAGAGTGTGGGGGCGAGGGTTGGGCGTAGTGAAGGTCTGGACTACAGCACTGTGTCTGAGTACAGTTGCACAAGGAATAAGGAGTTATACCACCCCTCTACATCGAACCTAAACGAAGTTGTGAGATTCTCGGTGCGTGAGCAAAACAAGTGAAAGTGAAAGGCTTTCTGGCGAGTGTTCAACGTTCAAGGCGTCCCCGCCGTACACACGTATTCGTGGTTCTTTTCTTTTCTTTTTAACGAATCAATAAGTTAAAAAGAAAAAAAGATCCGTGAGTACGCAAAGGACGTGGTCCAGCGGGGAGGCGGGCGGTGGTGGTGGAAAGAGGTGAAGGAGGGATGGAGGGCGGACTCCCCGTTTTCTGTGGAGTGGGAGTAGCGAGTAGCGCTGGGGCACGAGGATGCTGTGGGGTGATCATGGGGTGGATCCTAATGCTGTATTAATATTGGCGCAGATCGCTGGTTTGCGTAGGCAGACCCTTTTAGATTGCGAAAAATGGGCGTTCGGACGTCGCCATTCTCATGTCCATCTCTTAACCGCAAGGGCCTCCCGTGGCGCGACTCTTAGGTCCGCACGAGACGAAACAATGAAACCACAGGGCGCAAGGTGCCACCTGATTATGAAGCAGCACAGCAAACAGACGTTCGCAAAAAAATCGGGCAAATTTTATATATATACAAGACACGCCTCCGTTCCTCTCCGGATTTTAGACAGTAAGTGGGTGAAGAACACAATGTTATTTTAGTACAACAACACGAACAATACGATAGTAATGCAAGGTCAAAATTGACAGATATGGTGGGCAAGGAGAGGTCAAGCGGGGAATGAACGAATGCGAAGAAGCTACTGGAATAGTAGCCAACCTGGTGTGGCGACAACCGTCCGTTTTATAGCCAGGCGTCGGACAGGGGCGAATATGCTAAGGGCTTGGGCAAAGCAGGTCATCCAACAGGGATGTGTTGATTGAATGATTCGCAAACACAGCTTACCAACAGACGAGCATACAATGTATGCATCAGCTAAAGTCGAGAGGGGTGGTACTGTGCCAAGCTCTCGTTTGAATACCATCGTCGACAGGAGCAGATGGACTGAATAAGATGCATAGTTAGCTTACCAACAGCCCAGCATATGGCTGATGCATCAACACAGACGAGGGGCTCAAATGGCGGACACCAGCAGGTTCAGCACATTGGACAAACAGAACCAAATGAATAACGGTAAGAAGGCTAACTATACGGGAAACGGAGTACAGGTATCGGTCACAATTGACTTTCGACTATCATCCTCTTCCTATTGTCCTGCAAAACTTCTAGCCTTATATTTTCCTTGTCTTTCCTTGATACAGTACCGTCTTTCGGAGGGGATCCATGGATTTCGGTACCATCCGAAGTCATGGCAAGCACGACATCGCTTACTTCCGCGACATCAAAGTCCTCTTCAACACCAAGCGGAAGGGTTTTACGACAAGGTAGCATCAGAATGGCGATTGTAAGTAGGGATATGACTGTCTGCGGAATGAGCGTGAAAAGCGCTGTGGCTGACTGGTATGACCATCCCATGGTAGTAGTATACACCGTCCCATTAAAAGCTCTTGACATATTGCTTGGGGTCTGGGATTCCATTTCGTTCGGATCTCCAGCGGAATACCCGAGTCGAAGGTACTAGGAGTTAACATCCAACACGTGGATCAGCCAGACTTTTACGTATCAGACGTTTGCTTATACACTTACTGTGCCCGCATACTCGACTACCCCTCGCCAGTAATCTTCCTGTCCACCGAAATAGTGACCAATAAGCATGTGTGGACTGGCACTGCACATAACAAAGTAACGCACCAAAATCGTGTTCACTAATGTAGAAGTCTGGTTCTGCGATGCCATAATGACGGACACGGAATCTGCCATCGTATTTCCGATGTCTGCTTGCGCCCGTCCGCCAATCCATTGGACCAAGCTCGTTATGAAGGCCATGGAACTTGGACTGCGCTCCCCTAAGAGCTGGGTCTTCTGAGGACTTCCGGGACTGATAATAAAGTTGTTGTAACCGACAGCGACATCCGTGATCCAGGGCGTGACTTCGCAGATTGTGGGTTTGATGAAATCGTATCTCGAGCTCGGTGCGCCATTGTGACTGCTGCCGTCGATTGCAATTGCTGGAACGTTGTGTTAAGGACGACAACATTTGAAACCGGGTATGCTTACTGAAGCTATTATTGCTCGGACCAGATACACCCTGCAGAGGACACGGTTGAACTGGAACAAAACCAACGGCACTAGAATTTGGAAGAACATAGGTGGCATAAGTCATGGGCCATGAGGACCTGGGAGCTGGAAATGTATTTTGGAATTAGACCGAGATGTCTCATCAAAATATATAGAGCAACGTGCCTGCTGTGTAGTTGCAATGAGCTGTTACCGTCCACAAAGTGTATATCGCGGAACTTTGAGCGGCCGATGTGGTGCTATGTTTATAGGTAAGGGAGTTTGGGGCTGGGAAGGTTAAGTTCTGCTGGGTGCATGAGACTTCCGCAGTGAGGCCTTGCTGAAATACAGAATAGTTCTGGGACAGTCCTGACAAATGTGTGTCGATAACTGTATCGGGCTTGACGTACCCCCCAGAGAATGCTAGATAATTCACAGCCGGCGGACGAAGTAGTTGATTCACAAATGTGGGTATCAAGGGAATGATACCTCCTGCTAGAAATGTCAGGCACTGCATCCTTGATCATCCAGGAACTCAAGCGCACCTGTAGAGATATTGTACGATGCACCATTGAAATTGAAGGTACTTGGTAACCCAACCCTTGCCCCCCCTGAAGACTGTCCAGCGAGAAAACCCGCGATATCCATGAGATCATACGACTGTGGATTTACTTTCAAGGAATATTAGAGAAGCAGCATCCAAATCAAAGAAGGTCTACATACGCGCAGTTACAATGTTGCTAGCATTAGTCATGAAAGGCTTAGAGGTTTTCTCCACGAGATGGGCGAGAGCCGAGCTTCCCAGATCAAGCTCAGTGCCCCTGACGGAGCCGGATTGTGAAACCGTTGTTGGACTAAGGATGGCCGTCCAGCTGTTCTCTCGATCAGCCACGTTCCTCTCAACCAGAGTAACTCGACGTACGATGCAGTCAATGTACATATTACCGCCCATACTGGTATTGAGGCCCATGTCCATGCCGGATGCTTCTTGTTGAGGAAGAGGGCGCCTCCTAGCACTTTGACCGAGAACCCAAAGAACTGTAGCGACATTGGACCTTTCACAAGCGTACTGGTGATAGCACGGCGAACGGCGCGAGAGTAAAGCCTGCCAAAAACGCTGGATTTAAGGGTCATATGCAGATCAGTTTGTCTGCCTACGCACCAGACGGAAAGTTTCGCTATGCATGATGCCACGATACCAGCGACGAAGGTTGTACCTTCTGGCTGCGAAAAGGCAAGCCGTGCGAGGCCGTCAGTCATTGGGATTTCCTTCCAGTATATCTTAGCGCCTAAGAATCCCCAACCAAACGCTAGGATCGTCAGTTGGCCCAATGCCAGCCCTGCGACGTAATATCTATGCTTAAATGATCCTCTTCTTTGTTTAGAAGGATTAACCTGATATTTTTCCTTGGTCTGATCCTCGAGGCGGTCTAGTAAAGGAATGTGTGGTAAACTTCCGCCGTACTGAGAAGCCATTGAAGACTGCTTCGAGTGCGATGTCTGGTAAAGCGGGGATGTGGTTCGTGAGGTTGCTGCGTATATGTACGCGCGAGGATGAAGAATGTATGTGTAATGCTGCGATGCTCGCCTCCATAATATAGCACAGTATATCGAAGAATGGTTACATCCCAGCCGTTCCACAGCATTCCCCCGCTGATCATGATGTGTATCCACAATGACCTGCCGCACTGAGAATATCTACCAAATACGGCTTAGTGGATGTCGGATGTTACCATGGGATTGACGCCAACTTGATGGGCTGATACGCCTAGTTCTGAAAGGCGTCGCAGTATGATCAACTACTAGATCTAGGGAATGACTACTTCAGGCCCGTCTACCCTTGTAAAACCCAAATGTATCTAAGCAAGATGAGGTCCGTCACAGCTTATCTGCAGTGTTCCAACCACAAGTTTGCGAAATCGCGATTGTGACCACGTTAGAGTACGCATGTGGAATCGATCAAGACCCTGCAGTGTTGTGCGGCTGCGATTAATTTAAAAAAGCACATCAAACTCAAGTATGCATAGGTGCGCAGACTACGAGCGCCTAACTCTTCTTTGTACTCGTCGCGGCCTGTAAGCGCTAGTGGTGACACAGACCTCTTATTACACTAATGTTGTGTTTTAAACCGGCGATCAACTACGGTTTTAAGGGCGCATGGTGGAATTTTGCGGGCCGCGAGCGCAAGGATGAATTTATACTTCATAAGTGTCAATAAAGTGAAGAAAATGATGCAAACTCATTGTTACATTGCGATTTTGAGATGAGCGAATCTCAGAAGATCACTATGAAAATCGTTGCATCAATCTACAGCGCAGTTGCGAGGTTGTTCTTGATCCTGATGGATTCTTTGATGATCAGTTAGTTACATAACACGGGCCGATTCCAGTGCCAGGGTCCCACCAACACTGCATAGCCAACAACAACAACAACAAAAAACTGGACAAATCCGGACTCGAACCGGAGACCCCCCGCACTCAGCAACGTGCTAAGCGGATGTGATAACCAGCTACACCATATGCCCTACAATTAACCGCGTCATCCACTCCCTATATCTTGTGCCTGCAACGTGTCGACATATCCGGTCTGCATTGACTCTGCAACGCCGTCTTGTCCGTCATCGACAAACGTTCAGTGCAATAAAATGCCACTACTAGCTAGGACCCCCGCATGCATGTGCTCCAAAGCCACAACCCCAGAAGTTCTATTATCTCTGACCGTCTCCGCAACACCTTCAAGGGGTTAGGCCGAACGAACGCCCGTATTGAAACTGAGCAGCGTTCTGGAGAGCGGGGTCGGGACCAAAACTCTTCTCTAACCACTAGCACTCGCTGGATGTGAGTGTCTAAACTATGGCGGATTTTCAATCAAGTCTTATTGAGGTATGTGGTCTGAAACGTGCATCCTACGTACGTACTCTTCGTCACAGCGTAGGCGATTCCCAGCAATCTGACACGTCTTCTCTAGTCTGAGATCAAATAATGGTTAGTCGCGGTCCAAACCACAATCCTTCTAGTCCGGACGAAAACATATAAAACGCCTCTTCATGGCTCCCTCTCCTCCATTGCGCCTCTACCCTTCATACGCATCACCACTCACATAACTCTACCAAGCCTCCCTCACGCCCATACCTCTCTCCGATCCAACCATGTCCTTCCTCACTGCTATTCGCCGCACCTCCACCCCGCGCCCCACCTCCGCATCCTCCAAGCGTGCCGCTCGTATCTCATCCATCTCATCCTCCCCGGTCTTCATCGCATCTCCGGAGCCTTCCCTCACAATCCCGCAGGCTCTGCAGCTGGACCAACGGCTCGACGAGCTCGACGTCCAGCTGGACAAGCACGAAGACGAGGTCGCCTCGCAGCTCGGTGTATACGAAGACCGGCTCGACGAGTTCGACGCGAGGCTTCGCGCCATCGACCCCCAGAACTCTGCCGCGCGGCTGGACAACCACGCCGCGCAGCACGATAGTCACATCGCGCGGCTCGCGAAGCTTGAGACAGCGCTCGACACGATGAACCAGTATGTCGAGATGCTCGAGGAGAAGAACGCGACGCGCGCCCTCAAGCTCTCGCACCAGTGTGACGAGCGCGAGGAGCGCTTCGAGAGCAGCCTGCATACCCTCCAGGAGCAGGTTACTCAGCTCTCTGGTATACTCGAGGAGCTTTGCAAGGCTGCGAAGCGCGACGAGAATCATCGCAGGGAGTGGGAGAGTAAGCAGATGGAGCAGCAGCGCTCTCGGGAACGGGAGCGCGACCAGGAGAACGCGTCGGTGATCGGCGGCGGGCTTTCGATGCCCAGGATTCGGGCGAGGGTGACGGCTGGCATTGCTACCACTGCGGGAGTCAAGTGTGCGTCCTCTACCACTCTCTCCTCTTTCTATGATCGGTCTTAAGCTGACACGATTCCGCCGTACTTGTAGACCCGCAGGCGTTTAGATCGCCATCTGTCCTTGCCGTGAACAACGGCTCTGCGGTCGGCGCGCCGGTCAACCGGCCGACGGTCGTCAGCAACCCGAAAGTCTGCCCCTCGTCGATTATCTCGCCGAGCAACGTTCGCAGGGCTCTTGCCACTCATGTGAGCCGTGAGTATTTTCGCGTTTTATTGTGTGTGCGCGTTCGGTGCTGAGGATAGTTTTTGCGATAGCTCGCGAACGTTCTAGGACCTCCATCGCTTCAGGGCGTCGTATTCCGCGTGCAAGCCGCTTGCCTAGAGGTTAGTGGCATCCGGTCCTCTCTATTTGTTCTAGTGCTTACGTATGCGTCAGCCTCCGTGTTCAGTTTTGCCAACGTAGAAAACAGGGCCCCCCTCAGCCCTAACTGAGGCGCAATGTAAGCGTCATAGTAGTTGCACCTTGTCATCGCAGGTTACTGATCACTACACGTTGACCATCTTTAGAACCGTCGTGGTCGGTGAAACGGCCATCAAGAACGACGTCCATTCACTTTGCCCAACTCATGTCATTCCTTTGATACCCACATTCCTTACAAACCACGGCCAGACGGACCAAACCCTCCTCATAGACGGACCCGACTTCATGCAATGCAAGAACGCAATTCTTCGCATATCAGCAACATCCCCATCCTCTCCGCCTCTTACTGAACGCTTCTAGTTCATCTCGCTTTCCATCCATCACTCACGTCGCATCGTGCCACATCGCCCTACCGTGTCTTTCCCACAGACACATTCCACTCTTTGTCCAACTCCAACTCCACTCTTTTCAAACCCGCTCCTTTGTCTCGCACCGCGCTCGGATCCCGCCGAGCAAGACTCACCACTGACAGCCCACAGCTTCGCCAAATCGCTAGGTACACTGAATCGGCGCCGATCTCTGAAGAAGCCGCGTACTGCGCCGCAACTCACCACTCGAATGCACGACGCAGGGCGTGTGTCGACTATCACGCCTCTTGACTTCTCTATGAATGTCGTGCATTTGGTGTTGGTGTGTATGCGTGCGCGCGCGTGCTCGCAAGATTGCTTTTCCCCCGGTTCTGTTTGTTTCGCTTTACGGTTTTTGGTCGTTTTTCTGGGCCTTTGAAGAGGCGATGTTCTTTGCTTTGGTGGTTCCTCGGTGCGTCTTCCTCCCTCCGCTTCTTTTAATTTATCCGGGCTGACATTGGGTGATTGTTAGCTGGTCGAGACCCCTCAGGGCGTACGCATGATGCCGACGCTAGCGTCTCACACCGCGTCCGCGTCTGGTCGTCCCACAACGACGTTTGTGCGTTTCTCCGCTGCCGCTCAACTCTCACCGCGAGCCCAGTCGGAGAACGCCACGCCGCTCGACCAGACCGGACGTGCACAGTCAGTCTGCGCGCGCCGGACGGACGAATCCCACCGACGTCAATCGACGCAGCAGTCCCTGCCTGCCAAGCTTACCAGGTATTGGCAGCACAGGCTCTGCGCCCGCCGTCGTCGTTCGCTCCGCGCGTCGCCTCAGACTCGGACTCAAACTCAAGACAAGACAAGACAAGACAAGACGCTTTTATGAATGATGGCGGAAATCCCGAGGTGCCGCTGGACGCGGCGCGATTCGGGTGTGGAACGGGCATGGACGGTGTTCTGTGTGCCGTTGCTTTTGTGACTGATCTGTGTTGCTTTGAAGTCACTTTTTCTCCTTTCTCCTTTTCCTTTTCCTTTTCCTTATTTCTGTTTCCTTGCTCTCGGACTTGTTCTTTCTCGGACTCGAACCCTAGACTCAGACTCAGACTCGGACTTGGACACGGACACGGACACGGACCTGGACATTGATCATGTTGCTTGAAACTCATGTATACCTAGACTTATAGACGATGCGGTGGTCTACCGACTCGCAGAGATCACTTTCTCTGCTTGTTCGTTTGACGCTGCATCACCCTCTTAATATGTCTTGCTCCTCAGCTGTAATGTTGTATGTTGCCATGGCTAATGCGCTTTGGCGCTAACCTAATAACAGATGTACCTGAATGTGTATCAGCGCAATGACGACGAAAAAGTGAGAATGTCAAAGTGAGTAACAATCAGTTGTTCTCGATTGCATTCTCAGTGCAACTTGAGGCAATCAGGAGTAAGAGACACGCACTAGAGAAAGAAACCAAAAAGTGGACAAATCCGGACTCGAACCGGAGACCCCCCGCACTCAGCACCGTGCTAAGCGGATGTGATAACCAGCTACACCATATGCCCCTTGGAACAACGTGGCTCATCTAATGATATAAAGCCATCCGTAGCAAGCTGTATTATTAGCCCCGGATGATAGCATTTTGCCCGGAGAGCGTCACACCTTTGTTTGCGCGCGCCTCTTGTCTCTGGCTCTGGCACACTACCATGGACGTCAAGCAACAGTCTCCCCCACCTCCTCCACCACAGAACAACGCAGGAGATGTAGAGATGAAGGACGCGATGGACGAACCCTCAGACGCGAACGTAATCGGCGACCGCCAGCCCTCTCGACCACCACCCGAGAGCCCCCCACAACCGGCGGCTCAGGCGGTTCACACATCCCCCGCTCTCCCTTCCACCTCCGCTCCACTGCCCAAGTCCTCCTTTTCTATCCCGATTCCACCTTCTGCTCCCCCTGCACTTGTAGTAGACGACGACATTGAACCGGGAGAGATCACGGCAGAGGATCCGCCGGCTCAACCGGAGAGCGCGGTCGAGAAGCAGGCAATCGAGCAGCCAGGCTCTGGTGACGCAACGAGGCCTGCAGCGGAAGAGACACCCTCGGAGGTGGACACGGACGCACGCGAGCCTTCTTCTTTGCCTGCAGGTGACGTACCTGCTCCTGCCAGCGCGGACCCAGTTTTGCCTCAAGGTCCCGGCGACGCGAACGAGCCCGTGCATATTTCCCCCTTACCCAAGCCACCCACTCCACCACCCGAGCCTGTCCCTGCTCCAACAGAGGCAGTCGCTGTAGAGGCAGACCCCGCTCCTTCCCGTCTCACCCCTCCCGTCGAGTCGCGTTCCCCGCCACCTGCCGCACCGCCCTCCGAATCCACACGCGCACCTTCACTCCCGTCCCCCGCTTCACGTCCCCTCACCCCCTTGCGTGCAGTTACGCATCCACCCACCGAACAGCAAACTGCCAACGACGAACGCGCACCCACTGAAATTGTGGAAAGCAGCTCTCCTCGCGTGCCCACCAAAGAAGAACCATCCCGCCATCCCGCCATATCCTTTTTCGATTCTCAAGAGCACGCACGAGATATCATGCCTATCCCTTTGTCTCGTGATATCAGGCTCCCGACGGATGCAGATGATGGGCAGCTCGACAGACAGCTCAACGTTGGCGACGCGCTCAGCTACCTCGACGCGGTCAAGGTCCGCTTCAGCACCCAGCCGGACGTGTACAACCACTTTTTGGACATTATGAAAGACTTCAAGAGCGAACTGTGCGTCTTTGCTTTTCCTATCTTTCCTTCTAAAAGCTACATGCGTGTCTGACTGAAAATTTGATGATGCAGCATCGACACGCCAGGCGTGATCCGGCGCGTTTCGACGCTCTTCCACGGCCACCCCGAGCTTATCCAGGGCTTCAACACGTTCCTCCCCGTCGGCTATCGCATCGACTGCTCCATGAACCCCCTCGAGCCCCACATGATCACTGTCACCACGCCCTCGGGCACGCTATTCCAGACTGCCACTTTAAGCGGTACGCGCCTCATTGCATCATCACACCCCACTAACTAACGAACACGGCAACACCAGAGCCCTCGATGTTCGGTCCCGGCCCATCTCTCCGCCCCTCCGACGCCCTCATGTCCAGCGGCGGCTTCGCGGGCCCCAGCCGCCCGCCGTCGCCGCGCAGCATGGTGGGGGACCACGATATCGAGATGCGCGAGGGCGACGGGAGCGCGATGGAGCCCGCGCTGCAGTACGTGCAGAAGATCAAGCAGCGCTGCGACGAGGGGACGTACCGCCAGTTTCTCGAGATCCTAGGGCGGTATCACACGCAGGGGGACGTCATCGACGAGGTGCGTTCTCTCTTCTTCATTTGGCTTTTGCTCGAGACTCAAGTAGGGCTGATCGGTGCGGCTGCTGCAGAGAGAGGTGTCGGCGGAGATCGCACGGCTGTTCAAGGATGATCCGGATTTGCGCTCGGACTTTCGGGTGTTTATGCCTGAGAAGGGTGGGCCCATCTATGATGATGGCGAGGAGATGTACGGGCCGCCTGGGCGACGGACGCGCCCTGGCACGCCATCGAGGGCTCGTCGTGGGGAGGCGTCGACGGCGAGTCTGCTGGATGGCGCTGCGGGGAATCTGCCGCAGAAGCGCAAGCGAAGAGCTGCAGAGAAGGAGCGCGAGAGGGAGAGGGAAAGAGAGCAGAGGGAAAGAGAGCAGAGAGAGAGGGAAAGGGAAAGGGAGGCGATGGCTGCTGCTAAGGCTGCTAAGGTGAGCTGGTTGTGTCCGATGTATGAAGCTAGTTTGCTTAATTCCACTCTCGCACCAACAGAGCGCAGCCAATGGTGTCGTTCGTATTTCCTCTCCCTTGCACCATATCCACACCCACTAAACTCGTTCGCATTTGCCAGTCCGGACTCCGATCCACGCAACAACCGCCCCTGCCCCACGGGCCCTCGCCTGTAGCTGGCCCAAGCGGCAGCGCAGACATGCTCAACCAAGACGAAACGCACTTCTTCGAGCGCGTCCGCCGGCTCATGCCGCGCGAGACGTACGTCGAGTTCCTAAGGCTCATCAACCTGTTCACGCAGGGCTTCATCGACACCGGCCGGCTCGTGCGCGAGAGCGGGCGCTACCTCGGCGAGGGGGAGCTCGCGCGGCAGCTCGCTGCGATTCTGGGGTGGGACGAGATGGATAACAGGGAGCGGTTTTTGTTGGAGGAGACGCAGCATTTGCAGTGGCTTGGGCGGGGGAACGGGCCGATTGTGAGGCCTGGGCGGGTGAGGAGTAATTTGCAGGCGGGGAGTTATAGGCGGATGCCTGCTAGTGTGAGTTTTTCTCTCCTTATGATTTTGGGGTGCCATGTTGGATGCTGATGGGGTTCTTTGCGGTGCAGGAGGTGAACGTGCCGTGCTCGGGCCGCGACGAGATGTGCAAGTCCGTGCTGAACGACGAGTGGGTGTCGCACCCGACGTGGGCGTCCGAGGACACGGCCGGGTTCGTGACGCAGCGCAAGAACGTGTACGAGGAGGCGCTGCACCGCTCCGAGGAGGAGAGGCACGAGTACGACTTCCACATCGAGGCGATCGCGCGGACGATCGCTCTCCTCGAGCCCATCGCGAACAAGATCGCGCAGCTCGCGCCCGAGGACCGCCCCGTGTTCAAGCTCAAGGCGAACCTCGGCGGGCAGGGCAAGAGCATCCACGCGCGCGTGATCAAGAAGATCTACGGGCGCGAGGCGGGGCTGGAGGTGCTCCAGGCGATGCAGGAGAACCCGGTCGCGGCGGTGCCGGTGGTGATGCACCGGCTGAAGCAGAAGGAGGAGGAGTGGAAGCGCGCGCAGCGCGAGTGGAACAAGGTGTGGCGGGAGGTGGACGCGCGCAACTATGCGCGCAGTCTTGACCACCAGGGCATCACGTTCCGCCTTGCGGACAAGAAGGCGGTCACGACGAAGGCGCTTGTGGCGCAGATCGAGGTCGCGCGCGATGCGGCGCGGCATAGGCGCGCGAGCCTCGTGGACCCGCTGTTTGGGCGGGCGCGCCCGCGGTACCATCTTGCGGCGGCGCTGCCGGATGTGCTGGTGCTGCAGGACGCGACGAAGCTCGCGCTGTCGTTTTTGGACCGGACGCAGGGGCAGATCGGCGCGCAGGAGCGGAGGCGGGTGGAGTTCTTCTTGAGGACGTTTGTGCCGCTGTTCTTTGGGCTGGACGCGGACGCGTTTGATAGGGCGTTTGTGGTGCATCATCATGTGCCGCCTTCTGCGCCTGTTGCTGTTGCTGTTGCTGTCGCTGCTTCTGCTGATACCCCTGCCTCTGCGGTCCCTGCGGATGGCGACGCGGGAGCGGGCGACGATGCGGCGAGCAGTGTGGGTGACGATGTTGAGGTGGCGAGTGCGGCTAGCGGCGGTTCGGCTTCGTCTAAACGGAGCAAGCGCGGTGGGGCGAACGGCGGGGCGGCAGTCGGTGCAGGCGGGGACTTAAGGAAGAAGCTCCTCAAGAGCGAGCAGGCCAAGTCGACGAGCCGGAAGCGCGGCGGGCAGGACGGGGCGTCGCCGGTGCCGTCGAGGTTTGCGTCGCCTGCTGTGCAGGATGTGGGCGCTGGTTCGAGCGCTGGTGCTGATGCCGGGCTTGCGGCTGGTGCCGGTGCTGGTGCTGGTACGGAAGAAGGGAAGGGCGAGAGTTCTGCGTCGGCGGGGTCGAAGAGGCCGAATAAGAGCGTGTTTTTTGCGAATACGACGTTTTATACGCTGTTGCGGTTGTTTGAGGTATGTCCCTTCGGTCTTCGAATTTCTAAGGGAAGTTGGCTAATGATACTCGTAGATCCTGTACTCGCGCCTCTCGTACTTCAAGGAGCTCTCCATTGAGCTCGCCAGCGAGGCGTCGCCTAGTCCCGCGAAGCGGCGCAAGCTGTCGCCGCCCGAGTCGGCCGATCGGACGACGGCGTCTTCATCCACTACGACCGCGACAGCAACGGTGACGGCTAGTGCCAGCCAGGCCGCCACAAGTAGCAAGCCAGCACATGCAGAGCAATTTTATGATGTGATGCTCGAATCATGCGAGCGCCTGTTCGACAACGAGATCGAGGTGCACGCGTTTGAGGACCAGATGCGGGCTATGTTCGGTAACCAGGTACGCTTCCCGCTTCTCCCTCCGCTACTCATTTTCTTTCCTTTTTCCACATCCCCTCCTTTCCGTACTCGAGCTAACGAAATCATGTCGTTTGTGCACACAGGACGCGTACAGGATCTTTACGATTGACAAGGTCATCGGCGCGCTCATCAAGCAGGTGCAGATCGCGCTCATCGATCCGCGGTGCCAGGAGCTGTTCGAGCTGCTCAAGCGGGACCGCGACCTGCCCGCACCGACGATGCAGGATATGTTGAACAGCCGCCGGGCGGCTGAGAAGACGCTCGGGCCGGACGAGAATATTTTCAGGATTGATTGGGTACGTTTCGTTCTTGCGGTGATGCAGACGCGAAAGAAGCGAGGATGGGGTACTGATGAAACCATGTACAGATTCAGGACGCGAAGATGATGACGATCCAGCTGCTGGGCAAGGACGACGATACCGTTGATTCGGAGATTATGACGGAGAGGTGGCAGGCGTATGTCGATGCATTTGTCTCGGTATGTTGCGTCTTGGTTTTGTCAAACTAGTGCAATCGCTTACTCATGTGCGACAGGGAGAGTCCCCGGAGAACCTCGCTTCACGCGCTCGTCAACCTTTCCTCAAAAAGTACGTTTTTGCCTTGTTTTCGTTTGCATTCGCCGGGCGTCTGATTACTCCCGCTGTACAGGCATGCACCAAAACCGAGCACCTCTCTCCCTTACGTCCTTGCTGATGGCGCCCTCGAGATGCGTGTCTGCGTGCGGACCTATCGCGTATTCTACGTCTCGCATACGGAGGACTTCCTGTGCAGCCTTCCTCGCCGCTCTCAGTCGGCTGCATCAAGCGTTGGTGAGCCGGACAAGGGCAAAGAGAAAGCAGATTCGGGATTACCCGAAGAAGGCGAGGCAGATTTCAAGAAGCGGTTGGAGCGGAAGGACGTGATGAGGAGGCGGTGGATGGAAAGCGTCGGACGAGGGGAGTGGCCGGTGCCGTCCAAGAAGGTCGTGCCTGTTGATAGCGCTGCGGATTCGGGGAGTTCGTCGTCAGCATCGCAGGCTCCTGGACCAGTGGCGACCGTGGCGACGACGGCTGCGGCTGCGCCATAGCTTGTATTTTGGTGATGTGTTCCCATAGTCTGATGTGTTTGAGCTCGTTCGTGTCTCAGTTTACTTGTTTGCTATAGTATGTTTCTAGGTGGAATGGTTTAATGCACGCTGTCTTTCCAAGACCGATTATTTCCTTGTTTCTTTTCTTTTATCTATCCTACACGGGTCAACTGAGCTGGCCGCATACCACATCGCCTTTCCATGATGTAGCGTCTGCATCATCGAGGCAGGTCCGCTGTATTTAGCACTGTTGGTCGCACTCATGATCTTTGGCTCATTCATGTTATTACAGGAGGTGCACTGTCTGGTCATCCAAACGCTACAAGATGGTTGCCCACAATAGCTCAGCAGTGTTGATTGCTGTAATTACTGGCGATACAGAAAGTCACTCAAGTCGAGGGTCATCTTTCACAGGCTTCGGGTGCCGTCACTACCCAGTTGCATATTGGCGTAAGATCAGGGGCACGACCAAGGGATTTGTGGCGGTATAGCTTCGGCACTAACTCAGGTACGACATGAACATGATACGGGACCTACGCTCTAGCTCGAGACGAGTCGTGCCCGGTTGAGTCGGAGAAAGAACGGTAAGGTCTCTGTTCATTGGCCGTTGATCACTGCTAAGACGCTATGAGTCCATTCTCTTCGCGATGCTTTGGACGCCATCATTTCTACTACGGCGAACAGACGAGAAGCCATGTATGAGTGCATTCCGGTCAATTATGCAGTACGCGTTGTTGTATTTGGATCGCTATTCATTGAAATCTGTGGTATGTGGCTGACACACGGACAGCGGTATAAAGGGCAAGACCAGATGATTCCCAAAGCCAACACGCTTTCGAGCCAACAGGTTCCCCAACCACTTATCGTTATGAAGTTTTCAGTTTCCATCTTTGCCATTCTCAGCTTCGTGTCTTTGGGGGCCGTTGCGACGCCTATTGACCCTAGTAAGCACTTCGAGTTTCTGAAGCCTGGTGATTGTGTAAAGGAAGCTTACTGTTCTTTCATAGTCTTTACGTGTGGTCCGTGCCCATGCCACTCGCCGTGCCTTCCGCCCCTCTCGTTGACTCCAACGGCGACAACTTCGACGATATCCTTCCATGTCGGTACGTGTCACCTTTCATAATGATATCGGTGCTCAGCAGAGCTAATATTCGTGCAGCTACTCCCACCCCGCTCCGCTGAAGGCTCCGTTTTAAAGTGGATCTACCAATAATTGGAATGTTTGTCCTGAATTCTTGAAGCTTGATTGTGACAATAGACTAGAGTAAATAATGTTGTACTGAGATAGTGACGCCGCGAAGAAGCCACACGAACTATATGGCCAGGAGTCTAATGAACAATATTCATCCTTATTCACCTCAATCAGCGACGGTTTAGAAGCACTGCCACGTTGCCTTCCGGAGATAACTACACAAGGGTGTGCATCTTCATCAAGGGTCGGCTATGTTGCAGCCATAAATAAAACGCGGTCTGTTTCCACTTGTCACGGAATTTTTCGCTCTCTTCTCGCCCAAGTCAAAGTACCACACTAGGACATGAGGCAGGCCTTCTATCACGCACTCGTGTTTTTTGCAGTCTTGGCAGTCAGTGTCACAGCAAGCCCTTTAACATACCAGCCAGGTGTGTAGATTCCAACCGACTTGTGTTTTGCGGGAAACTCAAGGTGCTGTGACTCATCCCTAGGTCCGAAGGAAGACATCAATTGTGGCCCTTGCGGGTGTGCGTCGTCTCTGCATCCTTGTTCAGAGTAAGTTATTGAGACCACAACATAAGTGACATCTGATTAGTCTGATATACTTTGCTATTCAGCTCCTAGAACGCAATATGGCCACGAAGTGAAAGCGCGTTCCTCAATCATAACTGAGGCAGAACCACGAATGAGAACGAGGAATGATTGGTGGATACTCAGGGTAGCGTTAAACTTTGGTATTGAGGAGCGATTTTAATCGCTATAGCCACATGCGAAGTTGCAGCTCAGCTGGCTTTATACGTATATGATTCGAACGCGCAAAAACGAGAACTGCGGGGCTAGTTAGTAGAGTAAGTAGTAAAAGCAAGCATGATGACGGAAAGTTGGGCGGAGTTCGCTTAGCAGCTTGTTCACGCGCAGTCTGCGTCGACTTCACAAGTTCATCCTGATCACAGAATATTTCCGCGCTAAGCATAGTTTGAAATGGAGACCTCGGAGTTGACGTTGAGTGTCTAGACGGCTAAGGTCGGATGGTGACAGCACCACATGGCCAAATATTCCCACAGTACTTCTTTCTCCTTCGTCTCTTTGCACTCTCCTGCCGTTTTGCTGTTCTAGTCAAGCAAAGAAATCAGTGCAGCAAACCCGAAAACCAGTTGCGTTGAGCTTCCGAGCGCCTATGACCTCATGAGCGCTCGGCAATGGCCGACTTCGGCATGTGGCCTCATGTCAGTATGCAACCCCTACAGCCTACGGCTTGGAGGGTCGTGCCAAGCTTTGGCTCGCAGCCTGCTCAGGACACTTTGTTTGACACACTACTATGATGGCAGACATTGCTTCAAGTACGTACGTACTACGCTTGTATGCATAACCTCCCCCTTTCGTCGCTAACGCGAACTTTTTTCCAGAGCGAATGGATCGCGCTGATCCATGGCAAAAGCTCGCTCAAGAATGCACTCAAGGTGCTGCATACGACTCCAACGAGCGCCAGCCGCACTCCGGATCCAAGTGCCTTCCAGGAACCAGGATAGAGCTTCTTCGTACTATCAAAGCGGCCACCGAGGACGGCAGACGCAAGATCCTGTGGATCTCCGGTGAACCTGGTTCGGGAAAGTCAACCGTCGCACACACCGTTGCGGACAGTCTTCGCGAGGAAGGGAGACTCGCAGGCACGTTCTTTTTCTCCAGAATGAATGGGAGACGGAGTACCTTCGACTTTGTTCTCCTCACGTTCGCGTATCAGCTTGGGCTGCAGCACCACCGCGCCCGAGAGGTCATCACAAAGGCCATTGCTGATGATCCTGCGCTGCTTGCCCCCGAGAAATCGCGTCTTGACCAGCTCGACAGGCTTGTTATCCAGCCTTTGCGAATACTGGCGTCTGTTTGGGGGAGGACTGGTCACGGTATGTCGCTCGTTATGGATGCCCTCGATGAGGGTGTTCCGACGGGAACAGGAAACCATCATTTCCGAGCGTCTATCTCATCGCTCGCACTCAAGGGCGTACCGACAGGCATAGAGACCCTTTGGCCGTTTGTTTCGCTCCTCGCGCGTCTCGTACGGGATACTACGCTTCCTATATCCAACATCGTTATTACCAGCAGACCATCGACAGAGGCCGTGATGCGAAGTATGGAGTTCGCAGACATCATACAGCCCATACATATTGAAGACTTCAACTCGCGCGAGGATGTCACTCTTTTCCTACGGAACGCGTTCGAAGAGGTGTACCGAACCCAAAACCTGTCGGTTTCATGCCCTCGCCCTTGGCCCTCAGACGAGGATATCCTAATACTGTCGGATCGAGCGAACGGCCGGTTCGGTGTTGCAGCAACCATAGTCAGAGTGATTAGCCAAGACCAGCCCGACTTTCGTCTCCCGTTGGTTTGTAGAATGCTTCAAAGAAGCGCGAAGGCTGCGCAAGGAGACATGAGTAAACTATACGACTCTCTAACGGACTATATTGACACCATGAGCGAGCCGCTAATCTGCCGATACCCCTTCATAAACTTCCTTCTCATTGCGTTCGGAATGGTGTCATTTGCAATGTATCAATCTAGAAACGATAGCTTGGAAGACGTCTCACGGGACTTGTAATATATCTGATATGAAGTTCTATGTTTATCATAGATTAAAAAGTAGTATAACAAATTATGCACTCACCTCCTGCGTTCAACGTATAACGTTCAACGAGCCTGGCACCACTCTGGGTCTCGTAACTAAGTAGCAAAATCGACTGAGCTTGCAGACTTCTCTATCCTCCGTGTCATTTGATCTGAAATCAGTGGATTTAAAGGGGAAAACTGCGTCTTGTAAAGGAGAGGAAATAGGAGTCGATCAAGGGAGAGCAGAGAGGCGTAGGAGGGCGTAGGCACTCGAGGGATAGTCAGGGACTTCGGACGCTTTTGTCGCGCGAGCACGATCACATGCCATACACGTGTGACGCGACTTTGTTTACTCGGCGCGTGCGAATAAATAGCGGACGGATTGTCATGTCGTCTCCCATTTCCGCTTCCTGACCGAGTCACATCTCTCTTACGCGCCAATCTGCGATGCCCTTCAAACGACCACTCGACGCTTTTGACAGCCTAGTCTCGTCAACTCCTCCGCGCGGACCCAAGCGACGCGCCCTCAGCTCTGTCCCATCCTCATCACCATGGAACACCCACGCCTCGTCTTCTTCGTTTACCACCCCACGCACAATACGCATCTGGAAGGTCCCCTCTGATTCGCCATCCAATCCCTTTGGTCGCATCAGCCGTAGAGCCAAGCGCACATCCCTCCCTACGTCAACGTCCTTCTCAAAGCATGTCGCTCTCCGCATGCAGCTCGTCTGCCCCAAGGCCGACCCTCGCCAGAGAGCGTCAGCAGGCCGCGAAGGCGTCTTCCGTATCGTCCAGGTCCCGCTCAGCTATACCCTTGCGCACCTACGACGCGTTATCAACTTTGTCTTTGACCCCGCTTCGAAGGACCACATGATGGACTCCGCATACAACCTCAGGCGGGCGTCTCGTGGTCCAGTAGACCTCACACACTTCCTCAACAAGGATCAGGGAAAGAGCAAGGGCAAAGGGAAGGGCAAATCTACTCTCCTGGACGTCGACGACGAAGACGACAACCGCCATACGCCGACAGGCCACCTCTTCGAGGTCATGAAGCACGTCATCATGCACTCCCCACTCACCCGCCCAGGTGAGATCCGGAGTGGCACGATGCGGAGAAAGGCTTCGTCTGCCAGGGACCCGTACCACTATGCCATCTTGCCCGATGATGAGGACGCGCTTCGGCGTGGCCACAAGGATGGTGCGAGCTCGTGCTGGGTGGCCGAGGAAGACTTCACGGTGCATAACGTGTGGCCGGCCCCTGGCGACTCCGGAACTTCTTATGGGATCATCTACGTAAGCTCTCTCCCCTCCCATTCTACTCGTCGTAGACTTCCATGAATGTTAATCCCCGCCTTCTTCATTATCTAGCACGTTTCCCCTCACGCACAGATTCACATCACCCTCAACACAAAGCGCATACAACCCCGCAAAGGCGCATCGAACAAGCCCTACGTCTTCCAGGCATGGGGCGCGCTCGACGTGACCCACCCCGACCCGCTGTCGCCGTCGAACCTCTCGGCGGGCCGGGTCAATCAACTCCGTTGGAACGGCCATAACACATTCGAGCGCTTCCTCGAGGCCGAGGTCGAGGCGCAGCGCCAGTCTGGCGTCTTGCCTTCTGAAGAAGAGGACGAGGATGAGTTGGAGGAGGATGAGCTAGCGACAGACCCAGATTTGGTACGCACTGTTATCTATTTTTGTCATTTTTGTTTCAACCCAATATTCAACTTTTGCTCATATATGCGCCTTTTTTTAGTCCTCGGGCACCCTCCCGTGGCTCTCATCCCCCTCGTCCACACCGCTCATCACACCGCTCCCGACGAGCGCTCTCTGCCGGCGCCGCGTCGACTTTGCGAACGAGCGGATGGTCAAGCTCACCAAGGCCGGGATGCACGATCTGGAAGATGACGACGAATCGGCAGATAAGGACCGGACCGATGAACTCGCGGAAGATGATGACGACGACTATGGACGCGATGCTAAGCGCGTGGTCCCGAAACGGGCACAGAGCGTCGAGGTGGGCGATTGGTATGATGGACCGCTCGATGACGAAGAGGAGGAGGAAGAGGAGTATTGCCGGCCGTACGATCCGTCGAAGTGGTCTGTGGAGGTATAGCCTCCGTCTCCTTCCTGGCTTACTTGCTTCGGCCCTTTGTTTGACGGCGATCGCTGCTCTACTCGGACTGGCGGTCGCATTTCCTCATTCGCCTCTACAATCATCTCATCTCATCTAGTCATCTTGCATACCTTTCACGCACGACACATTGCTATCTTAATCCGTCAATATTCCGGACCATCAGTGCCCCGACTCTTCATTCATAGCATCCGTATCGGTACTGTACTCTCACGAGTCCTCCTTCGCTCAAGCGCGCACATAGATTGGTTAAAATCAACCTCACAACAATATTCTTAGCATAACTGTAAATTAGCCACAACGTACATGCATCTGTTGCATCCAATTACAACGCACCTGCTTCTGCATCCTACGTTTCGACTGCGCATGGGTGTAAAAACGTTGTGACCGGGGTTAGCGGCCCGGTGGCTTGGGATCGGAGCTGAAATTCAGACTCCGCTAAACTTTGATGCCAGCGCCGAAGCTGTAGCAGTGTTATTAGCCCCGCTTTACAACTGGGATTCTGCGAACGCGTGCTCAAACAAGGCAACAGAGTCATGGATAAGCTTGAAGACATCCCGCAGTATGTAAAGGACCTCCTAACCCAAGCCAGAGCGGAAGTGGACCACTCCCTTGCACAACTTGAAGATCCCCAGCTTTCGCGTTACCTCGCCGAAAAAATTGCCGCGGTCTCTGATCCGCGTAGTAGTGCCAAGCTCTTTAAGTGGAGTTTCTTGGTATGTGGAACCGTCCTCTAACGTTCAAACCATCCTCCGAGCCCTTTCTCTGCTTGCAGAAATGCGTCCATGACAAGATCATGGGGTCCGCATCTACCAGCCGGAATCGAGAATGGAACACCTTCATCACAACGTGCAAGGGAGCCGGTTTCGTAGAGTTGTTGGTAACTATTGCTGGTACTGATTCCCGGGCCCAAACAACATTCAAGACAGTAGAGGATCTTTTTGAAATCACACTTCCTTTTATCGCTTTGGATACTGTCAAGGCGATACTAGACGCTGGCAGTAGCTTAGAACGGAACATGCTGCTTGATGAACTACTAAACCTTGGCTTCCTGAGTATTTGCTCGAAGGTAGGACACGTTTTGTTGCCCGAACGGTTATCGTTTAGGTTTCGTCTTCGGAATGCAAAAGAGTTGATACTGTATTAATCCACAGAATGTACTCCACGGTACCCTATTTTCAAGACTGTCGGCTGGTAGGATGCTGCAGTACCTGGCAACCAGATTCAATCTTGCTCAAAAGCTTGCTCTGCCCCTCATTGCTACTCTCCTGGAGAACCTTTGCATCTCTGCCCTACTCGATCCGGAGCCAAGCGCCGGGGAACTAAATACCCCTGGCACGAGCTGGCAACATCACCTAGACGATGAGTTCACGAGAGCGACTCGATGGAACCAGAGCGTCACCACCCGCAGATACATGAATGCTCGCCTTTTCTCTCGTGTTCAGGAATCCTCCGTCCAGATCATTCACGAGATCGTTTTAGCCTCCTCCGTAATGGGTCCAAAGATCTGGCGTGACGTGCTCAGGCATAAACCTGTTATCATCGACCTGCTGCTCGATTGTGCACTCTTAGAGCGCCCCGTGCACCACCCGGAATCTAAGTCAGGGGCTCTGGCGTGCGATACTCTGAGTTCACTCTTCTGCTGGCCTCCATGGGGTATCCCAGGCGTGCCAATGCCGGATGACCCAGTCTTTGATTCGAAAGATCCTAGCTATGTGTTCCAAACAGTGCGAATGTTGACGTCAAAAGAGGAGTGGTCGGAGAAGATCATTGCTATCTCTACTCGGCAAGGAGATGAGGATGATGTAGCAGTCAAGCAGTAAGCTGTCTCGCATTCTACTGTTAATGCACCGAGCCGATAAAACACGTAGAAAGCTTCATAGACTTGATGACCTGTTTCCCGGGTCACACAAAGATAAAGTTTTTGATGATATATCAAAGGTTAATGGTACGCTCAAATATGTTCCGTGATTGTTTAATCGACCTGACTCTCCCCGTTTTCAGCCAAGTCTCGCATGAATATGCTCCGTCTACTTACTGCTCTCACTCATCTTGCCGACCATTGCGGCATGAAGAACGTTGAGATAGAGTCATTTCTGCGGATCTCATATGAGGCAGCGGCACACGAGTTGCACACAGGCCACGCTCATGACGCTCGAGCGGCGGAGAAATCGTCATCATTATCGACAGGATTGGGAGGCTTGAACTTCCCGCTTACAATGGACTTCGTGAGCGCCACTGCTCTCATGCGCTCGCTTGCTGTTCTTGCTGAGAGAAACACTCTGAAGGGGATACAGCTGCTTAAAAAGCCACCAAGTGGCTTGTCTCCAACTACATCTCTGCAGCAGGTCCAGCAGATAACTCATCCAGATATAATCCGACGCATTATCGCAATCTGCCTACGCAAGGCGCAGGGAAAGCTCGACGAGGGAAAGCGGCATCTTTCCACGAACCATTTGCTAAACACTAGCAATGCTTGTGCAGCGTTTGGCAAGGGTGCCGAGCTTGCTGCTGCGATCGTAGCCTTCGACGATCATACGGCAAGTGTTTACGCTGGCAGTTGCCTGGGTGCACGTGCGATCCTTGTAAAGTGTTTGGGAAACTCAGCTTCTCAGTACCTAAGCCAGGAGATGTGGCGTTCGGCGTACTTCTTTGCGTTGGCAGCTCTCAAGGCAGCAGAAGGTATTCCGGAAGCCGAAGGTCTGGATCCTGCTGTCATTGTCAAGAACAAGCGCCGCGTTCAACAGGCCAAAGTGGGGATGATTAACGAAGCCCGTCGCTGATATTTATACGACATTTGGATATAGAATACGCTGAAATGTTACGTTGACGAAGGAAATAGCTATAATTTGCAGGCCTACGTAGCCATGCTCTCATATCCTGAATACCTTAGTGATTATCTGACGGTCTGATAATAACAAATTTCTCAATACGCAGCAAATCAGAAAGGTTTATTTCGAGTTCAATGACTTGCGTATGTCGCGGAGCTCAGAGTTATCAGCCGTCGTTGATGTGGATACAGAATTCAATTGTGGTACGCTTGCAAGCAGTGATATAGACCCGTCAACTATGAATTGCTCATTCTGTCTCGATTCCCTGGATAACAATGAACGATTAGAAACCTCCACAACAAACTCGAACGACGCGGCTTCAAGCTCAAGGATCCGGGCAGCTAGGGTCTGTTTAGGTGCATATAATGGATTGCTAGTTAGTTCCATAGTAGTTGTAGATCAATCTCGCATTCATATAACTATCGCTTAGTACAAATAAGGGGTATTAAGACCGCGCCTCCACCACAACTGCGCAAGCATCGTTTGAGGATGTGAATACGGTCCTATGTGGCAGATCGTGGTAGTTTCAGACGCACTATGTGTGTACTGCGTAGACGTTCGCTGCGGAGTGAACGGGACACATCAGTGCGACGTACGTCAGCATTGCACTAGCGATTGCCGCTTGAGGTGCCGAGCGCTGAGCGAGGCTGGGGTCAACGGGTGCATGCTTGAAGTTGATGCTAGATCTTGAATGAGACGTTGTCATTGTAGATTACGTGCTGTATAGGCGGTGAGGCCTTGAAGCTTGAGCTTGAGGTTTGAGTGAAGCCAATCATCGATGCGTCGTGCGGCTGTGGGCACCGCCACATCATTACTGACGTCAGCACCTATTTAGACAGCCTGCCAAGTCGACCGAGGTAAGGGTCCGAGCGGTCAATACTTCGGTTATGCCAATGGTTCCTGTTGGCCTCGCCTTGACATACTCACTCCGTGTACCTGAAAAGATCTCGGAGGCCTGCATTGTATCCGCTGTAGAGCATGCAGCGTGGTGACTAAGGTGTTTCGTACACACTTCCGTCCTCGGGCTGTCCGACGGCGATTTTGCAGAAGGCTTGGCGAATGCAACGTGAAGCTTTGAAGGTTCGTCGTGCATGCACCGCCATTCCGAGACCTGACATCACCCGATCACCCCACATCAGACGTAAGACCTCCAGAAACAATGAATGGAGCGCGACTTCCTGTAGGCTTCCTGTGAGGCTGGCATAGCCTTATCGGTCCCGGTCACTCATATAAATGACGTTCCCACTCGCAGATGACATCGTAACTCAGAAACCCCGCCTTCCTTCTACGTATATCACTCCCCCGCAAGCCATACAAGTCAAGATGATGCTTACAGTCAAGGACGGTAAAGCCAACGCGAGAACGTTTACGGACCAGGACGGTACCTTGCTCTACAAACTGGATACACCATGGAAGAAATGCCTCAGGCTCACGACGATCGTCAAGGTTGGCGAGCCCAAGGGCGGTCCTGTTCCGGAGACTACTATTGGCGAGATCAAGTGGCATTGGATACATCACAAGATTGTGTTCGATGGCAAAGAGGAGGACGTAGGCAAGTTCTTCCCTGCTCATGGGGCTTCTCAGAGGTAGGCATATGCACATCACCAGTGGGTCGTCTAAGGAGACGTCCTAATATTGCTTTTGCTTTTGGTAGGCGAGCATTTAAGGGTCCCGATGGTACGGAGTACGAGTGGCGTGTAAGCAAGGACTGCTTCTCAAACGAGGTGTGTTCTCTACTAGCTAGCCATGCCACGGGCTTGACCTCTCGGATGACTGACTAGAACGCACAGCTTCGCATCAAAGACAAGGATATGCTGATAGCGAAGTCGTATCCGCCGAAAAACCTCTTCAAAGATAGCCAGAGGCTGGAAGTGCACAAGGAAGGTGACGAGATTCTGGACCTACTCATAACAACCTTCGCGTTCGTTGACATGGAGAGGAAGACCATGCTCGCCGCTACGCATAACGTTCCTATCTGAACATTTTACTCCTCGTATTCATGTTGTAATTTAATTGCCGCCGCTCCCGCTACATTCTCCGAGAAATACGCTACTGTACAATGTATTATAAATTACAAACCGAGCGGAAATTACATGAAAGATACCCTGGATGGGTTCTTCGAGCGATTCATCACGACGATACGATTACTGACTAATATCCAAGCATTAGTACCTTTCTGCCATCATCCGTAACCTGCAGCTGCACGCTTTCCCTCTCCGTTCTGACTTTCTTCTGTGCTCCTGCCGGCACGCCTTGAAGTCCAGCACTGTTTGAGGTAGTAGAGAGAACAACATCGCCGACGTCTGTCAGGTCAAATCCATCTCGGAGGGCAATAGCATCGCCACCGGCCATCGCGAGGACGACGAATGTAAGAAGCGCAATGAAAGTTTGCGGAAGAAGCGTGACCAGAGTCCCAACAGACTGATATGACCAGCCCATCGTGAGCACATAAGACACTCCCTGCAAGGATCTCGTCATGTTGGGAGGGATGACGTTGTTCTCAAAGGTGCCTTCCGCTGAGAATCCGGAACGGATGAACTATATGCGGAGCCTTAGCCTAACATTATGCTTCTGGGGACACTGTATTACGTACCGTGCCTCCGAACTCCACAACGCCCCGCCAATAGTCCTCCTTAAGACAAATGTCAACCATTATCTTCCATTGTCACACTTCACAGAGAACGCGTACCAGAATCGTATTGATTGTCGCATTCGTGGTTGTTTGATCTTGCTGCTGAGTAGACTGAATGAGAAAGACCGAGTCCCCGATCGAGTTTCCAACAGGCCCCTGAGCACGTCCACCGATCCATACAGCGAGTCCGACTATGAACGAGAGCGCCGTCGGGTTGGACTCCCCAAGCGCGTAGTAGTTCTGCGGGCTCTGGGCGCTAATTATCCCGTTGTTGTAGTCAGCGACCACGTTCGTCACGATCGGCGTCACTTCGCAGATGGTGGGTGGAATGAAGTCGTATTTGCACTCGCCCATCATCACGATTGCTATGCGGCCCTGAGTGCTGCTACATATACGTACGGAGATAGATACTCACTGAAGCTATTGTTGTTTGGCCCTGACGTGTCTTGCATCGGGCATGCTACGACAGGTAGGAACCCGGTTCCAGCACAGTTGGCATAGTTAGTGGCGTTGGCGGTTGTGACATAGCCTTGATCATAGTAACCGATCTGTGCTAGATGACGCGTCAGCATTTCTACCAAATTAGGGGGCCGGTGCCCAAAGCACTCACCTGCGCTGTTGCTACAATTGGCCGACGAGGTCCAGAACCGGTATCCCGTGTTATTTCCCGGGGAGTTGGGAGGGTTGTAAAAGACGTAGTTGTTGAGGAGCGAGAATGGTGACGGAGAGTCCAAGTCTTGTTGAGAGCATGATACGTTCGCGGTGAGACCTTGCTGGTTCACGGTATAATTCCGCGACATGCCGGCAAGGTTGTTATGCACGGTTGTGTTTAAGACAACAGTTCCCCCACCGAATGCGAACATGGTGGCTGTCGGCGTGCTGACATTATCGACAAAATCAGGAATCGCAGGTAGTATACCCCCTGGATGGATACATCAACTTGTTGTTCACAGTGAATTTGAACGGCTTACCGGTAGAGAGGTTATAAGAGCCTCCATTGAAGTTGAAGAAGCTAGGTAAACCGAGACGCGTTCCTCCCGAAGAATGACCAACGAGGGTACCAGCTATGTCCATTAACTCAAAAGCGTTGTTAATAGCTAGCAGAGTATTGTCAGATGAAAACCTGCATCCTCGCGTGCGTCCACGTACTCGCAGCAATGGAGCCATGGGACCCATCTTCCGGTATCGCGACTTGAGACGTGTACTCGGAGAATGAGGCGCTGCCGAGGTCTATCTCAGTACCGTCGATATAACCCGGAAGCAGGATTGTCTTTGGATTCAGAAGGGCCGTCCACCTGCGAGACCTTAGTTTAGGAAGCGTAATACATGAGGCGAAGAATACATACCCCGACGCCGAAGTTCCCACTGCTAACCATACCATTGCTGAGCCCCATGTCCACCCTAAGTGCCTTCTGTCGATGACCAGGCTACCTCTTGATATCTTCACAGAAAACCCGAAGATTTGGAGCGGAATGGGTTGTCGAATGACTCTGTTGGTTAGGGCCAACTGGATAGCGAGAGAGTAAATCCTGCATTGACACCGTGATCAGCCTCGAAAACTCGGGGATGTGGCATGAGCACGTACCAAATAGATACAAGGGCAATCGCAGAAGCTATCAAACTCGCAACGAACGTCGTTTCGCTCGCTGACGAATACACATAATGCGCAGCACTGTCTGGCAGCGCTATGTGCGTCTGATACACCGTGGCGGCTAAGAACCCCCATCCCAAGAACAGGATCGCCGTCTGTCCGGCTGCAAGGAGCATAATCCGCCCGTTACGGCTGAACCAGCTCCTCTGGCTAAGAGGGTCCTGGCCTGCAAAGTTGGTGGGCGCCCGATTCGGCTCAAACTTCACATCTTGGTGGGACATTGGATCATCCTGGTCGTACAGTAAGGAATACCTGTCGCCTTTGTACATTGATCCGCCTGACGAGTAGGGCGGCGAAATTGGTGGCGACCGTGGTTGTGGAGAGGGCATGGTTGCAGTGGACAAGGGACGAAGAGGGCGTAGGTGGTAGAAAAGCGCCGCTCATATGTGATAGTTTCCAAGTCATAAAAGCGCCGCCGGAAACACAAACACTGACGAAGCCTAGTGTGAAAGACAAATTTTCCAACATGAGCGCTTATAAGGAACACCTCAGGTGAGAGCTTCGGCGGTTCTTGTAAGGCTAGAATGGCGCGAGGCTGCGCTGCCTACGAAATATGATGAGCGTTGCGGGTTCCTGACTGGTGCTTTTCCCGGCGCACCATGAACAAAAAGAGATGAAGTGATCACCAAGGAGACTCGAAGGTGCCGGCTCACCTACTGTAGCCCATTGCAAGAGGCAGTGAAGGAGAAGGGGGATAAGTATTAGAGTTCCTGATCGTCGTGTCAATGATCACTGACATGATCCATCCAAGCCGTGCACGCCGGTAATTACCGTCGACGTCAGTGCACCAACATCGTCACCGCAACTCCGTAACCAGACTTGGGTCATGGAGATCTGCTGTAGCTGAAACGGATCACTGAGTATCAGTGAGGACATGGAGCACCTGTGATACAGCGTTACCCCACGGATCAGAACAATGCCGAAGGTCCCTGCAAATGATCACACAGTCGCCGAGGGGGTGGTGAAGCTACGCTGCCTGAACTTGCCCTTAAGCGTCCAGTGGCGCAACGAAGCTGTGGTGTCGTGAGAGGCCTTGATCAGCATACGGAAAGCATCGATAATCTCCATGAGAAAAGGGGCCACAGACCAGCGCTAATCTCTAGCTCCTGACTGCGTTCAATGCATCGAGGGCGCCTCGCCGCTTCAACGTGCCTGGACCGAAGCCTAGATGTGAAGGCTGTTGCAACAATGGGGCCGAGTTCATGGGAGCCAGGCGCACCGATAAGGACGCTCGGGCGTCAAAACTAGTGATCAGCAGCGTGCGAGCGCCCAATCGGACATGAATGAAGTGAGAATTCATAGGGAATCATAGCTGGTGGAATCCTCGTTACGTTCATCACAAGCAAGCAGGGGCCAGCGCTACAGACAGAAGTATCAGCCACTGACTCTCGGGGATAACTGAAGGACGAGAAAGAAAAAACCCACAAGGCCAAGACAGAAACCACGGTGAGGACTCCGTTGCCCATCACTTCGACACTCAATTGTGGGCAATTGCTTCACCTCGGTCGAGGACGGCCCAAGAGAGGTTGCCGAGACGATTATGGTAATCAGTCGTCATAGCGCTTTTGAGAAGCAAACATAGTTAGCTATTAGTGTGGCTATATGCGTACAATCAACCTCACGCAGAGTGATGTCTACCCAGGTCAGTGATGCAGACGACTGGGCTCCGAGCGGCACGCACAGCCCTTCGGACAAGCATACATACATCAGTTCCAGCATCGTGTAACGAGGAAACGCCATTGTGTCCCGCCCAGCCACGCCGAAAGAGACCATGAAAGACCCCTATGATAAACTGTTTCAAGAAGTGCAGAGTTGTCGATAAGGACCTGAATACAGATGCCACGAAGAAGGCCAGCCTCTCAGAACACCGTGTGCCCAATCGGAGCTTGAAATTAGACGCCCAAAACGCCTCTTCACCTTCGTCCGCGTCCGACGGTCGCCGCTCACCAAAACGTACGTCATCGACTCAGCATCCACCATCCACCCTCAATCCGCGTCCACGCAAAAACATGAAGATAAAAAACTATGCATTTATTTCACTTTTTCCACAATTTTTGAATTTCCTTTCTTTCTATGCTATGGAGCTATCGAGTATCAAGAAGCAGGTAGGTAGGTAGGTGGGTGGGTAGGCAGGCAGGCAGCCTGATAGAGGTAAAATCGTCAACGAAACCAGAAAGAATCCCAACATACGAGACGCTGCCGTCACACCATAACGGAGGCCGACAGTAGCGTTATTATGTACAAGCGAGCAAAACCACACGGAACGGCGGCACAACGCATACAGTCGAGAGGAAAGAATCGCAAAGTGGGAATGAGGAATAGAAAAACGCGCGTTGGGTGTGGATAGAGAAAAAGGGAGAGCTTCGACGTAGAGTGCGCAACGCGCGAATATATACGGACGGAGGTGTATAGTAGACTAGAAACTGGTAGGCAATCTGAGTGGTGCGGTGGATGTTTGTGTCCGATGTGATGATTTGGATGACGAGGAGACGAAAAGGGGATGGGGAATCGGGGAGAGACGGGAAGGAGAGTGTAGGTCGCCCACGCTGGGCGCCGATAACGGAATCCAGGACGAGGATGATACTGAATGCTTTGCTTCGGATGGGGTTTCATTGCTTCAGAGGCTCCTCGCATAATGCACGGAGCCAATAGCAGATATTAAAGAACATCATCTGTCCGGCTCACGTCAGCGCACCGCCAAAAACCACACACAACAGCAAAACGCATATACGCACTGTAATACAGGCTACTAAACTTCACGTAACCGCCAAGAACAGAGAAAAAGACAGAAACAACAGCAAGCGAGCACGAAAACACGCAGACGACGAATGACGGAACGAGAATGGACATCTAGTTGCGCTTCCCGATACTGAGACACCGCATGCTCTCCTCGAGCAACGCCGCGCTGCTGCATTCCTTTTCCTTCTGCGGGACCGCGGTCTTCGGTGTAGGTGCGGGCTTGTTTGGCGTAGGCTCGACGTCCACGACCTTGACAACCGCCCGTCCCTCGAGCACCTTGCGCACCTTCTCCGCATCGAGGTCCCTTGCGGGCTTGGCTGCGCCCACACCAGCGGGCGAGGAGCCCGAGAATGCCTCCCAGAACGCGCTGCCGAGCTTGCTCAGCAGCGTCTGCCCCGCGAGCGCGGCGATCTGCGCCTCCTTGGGCGTGAGCCCCGACGTCTGGCCTGGGATGGTGGCAGCCGAGGGCGCGAGCTTGGGCGTCGAGGGGGGTGAGGGGTACGCTGACGCAGCGGCCTTGCCCGAGAGAACGGACGAAGGTGTCGATGAGAAGAAGTGCGGACGCATGTTGGACACGTGGCCCGAGAATGGGCTTGGTGCGCCCGAGGCACCGTTTGCGGCCTGCTGTCCCTGCTGCTGCTGCTGGAGCTGGTGGTTGTGGTGCGCCTGCGCGGCCATCTTGCCCCACAGATGCATGCGGTACGCATCGAGCGTCTTGAGCGTGAACGGGTTCATCTCCGCGAAGCTATCGAAGCCCGCGCCGTTGTTGGCTACGCCTGCACCTGCGCCAGCCAGTGGTGCACCCGACGCGAGACCCTTCTTCTCGACGACGTTGACTTTTTGCTGCGAAAGCGGGTTGAGCCCCGGGTTGATGTTCTCGCTCTCCTTGATGACGATGGGAGCAGAAGAAGGCAGCGAGGGGGAGTGCTTGCCGGCCAGGACGGCCGACGAGACGCTGAAAGGAGGGACAAGGGTGGTGTGCACGGGGGTTGCGCCACCGCCGAGGGAGTTGAGGCCACCCCAGAAGGCGCGGCCGCCGAGACGGGGCGACGTGGGGAGGTCCTTGCGGGTGTTGGGCACGATGAGCGGCGAGCTCGGGGTGGAGGAGCTTCGCTCCTTCTCTTTCTCCTTCTCCTTGTGCGCCATGCCTGCTGAGATCTCGGGCAGAGGAGCCGGAGGAGGAAGCTCGGGGACGGTCCCACGAGAATCGAGGAGGCATCTCTTGAGAGCGTCAATCTCCTGCCGGAGGGCGGTGTTTTCTGATTGGGACGAGCCTAGCTCGGTGCGGATGGCGTCAATGACACGATCGCGATCCGCGATATCGCCTTCGAGGGTCGTGATATACTCTGAAATTTTACGCATCAGCCTCCGCGTTTGCCAAATTCGAGAGAAAAAACAGCTAAAATACTAACCCTTTCGCCGCACACGGAAATTACGTGCACTGATCTTGTTCCTCAGCTGACGCTTCTCCTTGCTGCTCATCTTCTTGTACTCCTCGGGGCTCGGCCGCCAGTCCTCGGGCTCGAGAATCCGCAGTGACTGTGCCTCTTTCTTCGTCGGCCTATCGCCTAGCGGCGAAGAAGCCGACTTCTTAACGACGCCTCCGGACACCACAGTGCCCTTGCGGGAACCCTTGGGGCGTTTGGCAGGTGTCGGCTCTGGCTCAATGTCTTGATCGTCCTCCTCATCCTCGTCTACATCGTCGAGATCCTCGTCCTGCCCACCGCCGAGTGCACACGGGTCCTCGTCCTCGCTGTGGGAGCCGAAGTCCATGCTGGCGGGAGTGCCGACGAGCTGGGGGTCGATGGCGAGCGGCGGGGAGGGGCCGACGCCACTGGACCCGGGGGACGAGGTAGATGATGGGTTGGAAGCGTGGGAATTGAAGACGGACATGGTGTTGAGGCCAGACATGAAGTCGAATGGCGAGGGCGCCGAGAGTGCCTCGGAGGGAGGAGGGATGGAGGGAGCAGGTCCGCCGGTGGGTCCAGCAAAAGATTTGCTGAACTCATCGTCCATGAAGAGATTGAAGAAGTCGGCGTCTGCTGGACCTGACGACGGGAGCGGGTCGGGGTGAGATTGAGGAGGGGTGAGTGGCATGCCGCCATCGGAGGGAGAACGTGGAGAGGAAGAGTTGGATACGTTGGAGGAATGAGGGTTGTTGGATGCGGCGAGAAGATCCATGTTGAAAAAGTCGTCAAAGGAGATGTTCATCATGGACTGTTGGGTGGGGAAGGTGGGTGTGGAGAGAAACGGAGAGGCGTTGTCGACGAGCATCGTCGCAGAATTGGAGTGTGTAGGCTATCAATCGATGGGAATGTGTTTGTTGAATGGAATTGGTCTGGGGGAACGATGGTTATCGGGAGAGAAACGTGTTGAGGAGAAGAGACTCGGCTTTGGGCAGCTGTGCACCTCAGCCACGGACGACACGGAAACAAGGACAACGCCCTCGCTCGATGACTAAGCACAGCTGACTCACTCCCCCTTCGGCACGCACCAACGCGTCCCTTGTCGGCCTCGCTTCCACGCAGTTCCACCCAATTCCACCCGTCCGACCCGCAGTCCGACGTCGTGTCTCACACCGAGTCACACGTAGCCTCACTCATCCTCCGTCGGACACTGCAACTCAAGACGCTCAGTCACCTCGAAGCACGGCGTCCGTGTCGTTATCGCCAGGCACCAGCGGTTCATTGGCTACTGGTCTCGACCAATCCCCACTCGCACCACCACTCCAATTGCTGACGTCTACGATGACCCAAATACACGGGGAGTCCCCACGCTGCTTGCGATCCTCCAGACATCTTCATCGCACCATTCGCCGTTATCAAGCGTTGCCGCGTTGCCTCCTACACGAAATCGTCGACCCATCGGTGGTGAACGGAAGTCATGACGCATGGTACGTCCTCACTGGATCGCGATTACTGCTAAGTCTCGCCGCTCACGTTCTTTAGATCGAAAGGATTGACGCTATCGTTAATCTGACGTGGGTTTAGACCCTCAAGTGTCTTCATGTCTTCGCAGGCATCTCAGGCGTTTCGCCGTGCTGGTACGTTCGCTGCTTATTAATTATTCCTGCATATTCCATCGAAGCTGAGGCTCATTCATCGTTTGCAAGCAGCCATCAGATGAACTTGTCATCGTCTACACGCCGACTGCGACGCTCGCTATCACCTTCCCATCATCCACCCTTACCAGGCAACCCGTTCAAGTCCGAACCGCGACTTGCAGTGTTATCCAGCTCGGCGTCGCGCACTACGGCGAGACTTTGAGCAAGATGCACAATTCTTTCGAACGCGTGCGCCTTTGGAGAGGAAAGTGGGGCGTCATTCTGGTCTCCTTCAGCGTCTTTCTCGTTAATGCTGCCGACGACACATGGTCCTACGCACGATGAATCCTGGTACTATCCTGGTACGTTCTCTCTTCACACACCCGACGCGGTCATCACGTCGCTCGATGCTCATCGCTCCCGACAGTACCATGAATGTGCGCAGCCCCGAACGTCGCTCGGCGTTCTGCTACCGTGACGTTTTCTTTTACCGCTCACTCTCGCGCCGCAGTTGCGTGTGCATCAGTGGTGTAGCTCGTCGTAGCTCGCAATGTCTGGGTGTTACTACCCTCGAGCGTACCTCCTGCGACTCGGTCGGGTCTCGTCTATTCCCTGTCGCTGAGCATGACGAGTCAGCCCCGCGCCGTGTTCATCGCGTGTCTACTTCCGTCGTTCATCCGTCTCTTGCTCCGTATCTAAGCACAGTGTATAACGCCATCACTCATGACGTATCGGTGCTTTCTCTACCCTCCGCTTTGACCCACAGCGTGAAGCCCGTATGTTACACAGTCCCTATTCTACTTCTTACGTTGGTGTGGACGTACCTGTCGGTTATTACTAGGTCCATAGTGTTTCCTCGCGTTCATTTCGGTGACCCTACCTACCATTCCCCTCGTCTACAAGGCGCGTGGTGAGCAACTCGCGCCGACTGGGTGAGGTAGTAGCTACGCCCTCCTGGTTTGTTTAGTAGTTCGCGTGTCTTGTGTTGTTGCCGCTCTCCACGTAGCGTTCATTACTTTACTGCTTCCTCTAAGTCTAGTTACATGGGTGCGGTCACGGTGTTACCATCGTCGACCCCTTGCCTGCAGCGGTTCAGCTGCAGTTACTTATTGTTATTGGAGTGTAAAAGGTGGAAGTATTGTGGTTACCTTAGCTGCTTGGTGTAGCACGGTACTTGGGTCTACTAGGTAATGAAGGAGGCTCTCTCTCATGGTCCCTCCGTGTCTTAGTACCTCACGGGTTACTATTGGTACACAATGCTAATCCTACACATACACCCTAATATGAATACATGTACATGACAACTCTGAACTACTCTTACATTGGCCAATGGCCCTCCAAAGCAAGAACTCAGTCAAATGACCTAGGCATTATCTCCACTGTCAGAGCTGGCTTGTCAGACATCTGCATACCATAAAAGCTGAGCACTTACATGTAGCACTTGGTCCAGTCAGTACCATGGACAAAATTTGTCATGTCCAACTTGACCTTGGCACCAGAACAAATGACCAATGTGTTTCTGTCCCAGTACAGGCCTGCTCTAGCCCACTTTGGCACCCACAGCATCAAGTTACCATCAGGGTCTTTGAGCCAGCCAGTGATCTCCCCATAGTAAGCCTCCCATGCCCAACTGGATGGGATTCCTAAAGAATTTGTATGGTTTGGAGCCTTGATGTACAAAAATTAGTGAACTACACATTATTCAAGTTATCTGCTTTACTTACATTTGGAACACCTATACCATGGCAAAAGTTGTTAGCTGCATTTCACAAGGTCACATAACTTTACATACCAGTAGGTGTCACATTTGTGGTGATGTCTTGTCCAAGTATTGAAACTTCCCACACTCTGATGGTCTTATCCCCTGAGCTTGACATGATGCGCTTGCCATTAGATGAGAATGTGACTGAGATCACACTATCAGAGTGTCCTTTCAATGGTCCCAGAACACACACTCCTGTGGCAGCATCCCACACTCTGATGGTCCTATCATCTGAGCCTGACACAATATGTTTGCCATCAGGTGAAAATGCAACTGAGTGTACCCAACCAGAGTGTTCTTTCAATGGTCTCAGAACACACTCTCCTGTGGCAGTATCCCACACTCTGATGGTTTCATCATATGAGCCTGACACAATATGTTTGCCATCAGGTGAAAATGCAACTGAGTGTACCCCACCAGAGTGTCCTTTCAATGGTCCCAGAGCACACTCCCCTGTGGCAGTACTCCACACTCTGATGGTCCTATCATCTGAGCCTGACACAATATGCTTGCCATCAGGTGAGAATGCAACTGAATTCACCAACTCAGAGTGTCCTTTCAATGGTCCCAGCACACACACTCCTGTAGCAGCATTCCACACTCTGATAGTTTTATCATCTGAGCCTGACACAATGTGCTTGCCATCAGGTGAGAATGCAACTGATTTCACCGAAGAATTGTGTCCCTCCAATGGTTCCAGCACACACTCTCCTGTGGCAGCATCCCACACTCTGATGGTCTTATCCCATGAGCCTGACACAACATGTTTGCCATCAGGTGAGAATGCAACTGATCTCACTGGGCCAGAGTGTCCTTCCAATGATTTTAGCATGGACTCTCCTATTGCAGCATCCCACACTTTGATGGTTTTATCATGTGAGCCTGACACAATATGTTTGCCATCAGGTGAAAATGCAACTGAGTGTACCCAACCAGAGTGTCCTTCCAACGGACCCAGCACATACTCTCCTATGGTAGCACTCCATATTCTGATGGTTTGATCATTTGAGCCTGACACAATGTGCTTGCCATCAGGTGAGAATGCGACTGATTTCACCAAAGAATTGTGTCCTTCTAGTGGACCCAGCACACACACTCCTGTAGCAGCATTCCACACTCTGATAGTCTCATCATCTGAGCCTGACACAATATGCTTGCCATCAGGTGAGAATGCAACCGAGTTCACCAGTTCAGAGTGTCCCTCCAATGGTTCCAGCACACACACTCCTGTGGCAACATCCCACACTCTGATGGTCCTATCATCTGAGCCTGACACAACATGTTTGCCATCAGGTGAGAATGCAACTGAGCTCGTTGGGCCAGAGTGTCCCTCCAATGGTTTCAGCACACACTCCCCTGTGATAGCATCCCACACTCTGATGGTCCCATCATTTAGGCCTGACACAATATGCTTGCCATCAGGTGAGAATGCAACTGAATTCACCAACTCAGAGTGTCCTTTCAATGGTCCCAGCACACACACTCCTGTAGCAGCATCCCACACTCTGATGGTTTCATCATCTGAGCCTGACATAATGTGCTTGCCATCAGGTGAGAATGCAACTGAGGTTATGCAATCAGAATGTCCTTCTAATGGTCCCAGTACACACACTCCTGTAGCAGCATCCCACACTCTAATGGTTTCATCCCATGAGCCTGACACAATATGCTTGCCATCAGGTGAGAATGCAACTGAGCATACCCCATCAGAGTGTCCTCCTAATGGGCCCAACACAACAACTCCTAACTGATAATCATACATGCAAACTAACCCTGCATCTGATCCTGCCACTACATTGATACCATTGGGTGATACTGCTATTGCAAGAATCTTATGAATATTCCCATTGATAACTCCCTGTGAAGATGGCCAGTTTGTAACCAACCCAGATGAAGTATCAGCACATGTAAATTTTGCATTGATGAGTTTCTTCCTGATAAATGATGCCTCAGGAAAAAACACCAGTGCAGAAATATATAGATGTGCTGTAGATTCCAAAAAAGGGTCTTTGTACTCTGTCAAGAATGCCAATGCATCAGCAGCCAAGCTTTTGATGTCCTCATCATGAGCCCAATGCCTGAGCATGTTCATGCAGCTTGATGCTGTTGGCAGTTTTTGCATCAAAGCCAAAACCTCGATCCAAAAGAATAGTTTTTCAAGTAACCAGTGTCTGATCAAGGTCTGGAGGTCTCTATCACCAACATCTGACACATGTTCCATCCAATGGCATGAAGCATATTTCAGCTGAATAGTAATGTTGGCTTCAATGTCATTTTTCAGCTCTTTTATGTCTTCATTCCTTTGGTAGGAAGTTGGTATGCAAGCCATGTTAAACCTGAGCTCTTGATCCATAACTTTTATAAGGGACTGGCATAAATACAGCATGTGATCTGGCATATTTATGCCAAACCTGGACTTGTTGCTTGGATCTAGTATCCAGTCTCTGAATGAAGTGTGCAAAGGTCTAACTGCATCACTATCACCCTCTGTTACTCCAGCTAAGAGAGAACCCATATGCTTTAGTGTAGCTTCTGCAATGCCTTTATTACCATTGCAGTCATGCAAGGTTTGAATAGCAGCAAGCGGTAGTGGGATTTTGGTTCCAAAGACAAATGCCAATACACTCCTGCAGTTGGACATACTGTCTTCATCAGGGTCAGGAAATATAATGTCCATGATAGATTCATACAATGCAGTCAAGTCTCGATTCTTGTGTGATGACTTCATGATTTGCTCATAGACAATGGAAGATGTCTTTCCTGCTGGGGGTTTGGACAATGCATTGCACACAGTTGAAGCCCATTGAAATAGTCCTTCAGATTTCAGAATAATCTGCTTTTTCTGATCATCCTTTAGCTGGTCAACACCTTTCAGCTTTTGGTGGACAAAAGTTTGTACATCTTCAGGAGAATGATGCAACTGTATCTTTTGAATATGGTCTTTACCAAGCTGATCCATAATTTCTGACTCTGGGCGAGCAGTCACAAGAAGTCGGACATGTAATGGTAGCTCATCTGCTTTTCCAGCTAGTGCTTCAAGAACAGAGTTTTTGTCCCCTCCTGCTTCATCTACTGCATCCACTACCAGTAACAATGGACCACACTGGGATTTCTCCACCTGATTCAGAGGCTCAACTATAAATGACTCAAACTGCCTTTTGGGAATTGTAGTAGTCCTCAGCTCCTTATCATTGGTAATTTTTTCACTGAGTTCAGACTTGAATGTCTGATTCCAATCAGCAAGATTTCTAGCCATAGTGCTGAACATCTTTTGGGCATCTCTACTTGAATCACCCCGTTTGCATGCAAAGGATGCCCCTGTTCTCCCCAAATCATGGTACTTTTTGGCCACAGAGTGGGCAATAGCAGATTTTCCTGACCCAGCAACCCCAGTCAGGAGAAGCACTTTGGGACAATCTGCTTCTGTGCAGTTGATCCACTGATCAATCTCCTCAAGCACTTGAGTGCGAGTGCCTGGTAAACACAACTTTCTATCATCTACACAAGCTGCACCACCAGCATATGACATATCATCCAGTGTCATCTCAGTCCCTGCAGAGAAATGATTAAGTCAAATGCAAGCATACAGCCTGTAGCACTATCCACCAACCTAGAGCCTCAACCTTACTCAAAATGCATGATGAAACTAGTTTAGTCTGGAGCCAAAGTTGACTATCAAAAGCCCTTTTCAGATCACTAAGACCATCTGTGAGCTCCTGGGCTTTAGCCTCCACACCTGGCCAGATGCCCTGCTTGAGCCTCTCCACTGAAAAAGTTTTAGACACACTCTCATATAAACACTAAGAGAACTTACAAAATGAGTCCTCAAAATATTCTTTAACATAGTAAGCACATTCAACAGTTTGCTTCACCAATGCTAGTGTAATGTCCTTCAACCTGAGATCCTCCTGAAGGCTCTCTATGCTTGGCCAGATGAGATCATACATCTCCTTCACCAACTTCAATAGTTTCAACACCAGACCATCTCTGTCAGACTGGCTTTTGATTGTCTACACCCAGTGTAAACAAAATGAGAACATGAATGCAATGCAAATTACCTTTGGAACCATGCCCAAGATTGACCAAGCAAGCTTGGCATATGGGTGAATCTGTGATTTTGTGTAAATCCAATATTCAACACGAATGATAGATTGACTGCTACCTCAGAAGCAACATCAAGAATCTTAATCAACACACTCAATTTCTCCAAAACTCCGTCACATGTGGTACCACATTCAGCTACTGCATCCACAACAGCTGGTACATCCTCCAGTCTAGCCAGTAGTGGAGGCATAGCAGAAGTATGCTCTGCATTTGCAGTGGCATCTGCAATGATGCTTGGTACAGCCCCCAACTGATCTCGGATATGCAACACCAACACCACGGGAGGTGAGGAAGACTGCAGCTGCAGCTCCATAGCTCCACTCGAGAGCATCTGTGCACTGAAGGTACACTTTGCACTATCTAATATGACATCTTTTCTAGTTCTATGGTGTCTGCGGAGGGTGACATCAAAGGCAGAACCTTCAGTGCTACACCACGTCACACCTATCAGATGACAGTAACAGACATACAACATGCAACTTACAATGAGTATGGCTCAATGTTCCACCTTGATTCACCACCCTTGGACTCCTTAGACTTAGTCCTCTTGGAGACATCACCAATGAAAGTGATCTCGACAATGAACTTGCCCTTGGGTAGAGCAGAAGCGGTGATGTGGTCTAGTAGTAACATATGACCATGAGGGACATGACATAGACACAACATGGTGACACTGCTTACCTATGATGTAGGACTGTGCTTGGTGGCTAGCACTAGCAACAGAACCTTGAAGCCCAGGGGTAGTACCTAGTCAAGGTGAAGTGAGCAGGTGCGCCATGCACATGTATGATGATGATGATGGTGACTCACCTGGGGCATTGGTGCCAATGACGGCAGGGGAAGGTGCACGGGTAGGGGTATTGTCAGGGGTATTGACAGCCGAAGTAGTGCCGGTGGGGACTAAACAGGTTCAGTTAAGAATTGAGGTGCTGAAGGGACCAGCAACATACCGGGCTGTTGGCTGCTGGAACGGCTGTGGATGGAACTGGGAATGTTAAGGAGCCTTGATAGCCTGCCACGGGAAGCGTCACGACGGTCGGGATCAGACATGATGCAGAGACGTTGGGTTGACTATAACAGTGTCAGCACACAGTGATGAGGTGTGTACGGCATGATGAGCACTTACCAATGAGGCGCTGGGACAAAAGTGAAAAGACGAGATAGGAGACGAGCAGGATGAGAGCTAGGCACGGCGAGCACTGCCGGGGTGAGACAATTGAGCGTCGACAGATGAGGGTGATCCCGGGAAGATATCCAGTGGTGGTGACGGCAGCGGCAGCGGCAACAGCAACAGCAACAGCAACAGCAACACGATGAACGATGCACAATGAGATGCACAATGAGGCAACGTGAGCAAGCAGCCTCACGATAACGAGGAGAGGAAGCGTACATACCTAAACGTGAGATAGAGCCGAGACGTTCGTGGTAGTGACCTGCAGGGACAGACGTTGGTCAGCGACGGCGTCCATGATGATGCAAGATGTCGACAACGGGATGAAACAGCGAGGGCCGAAAGCCGCCGATGAGCTCACGAACAACAATTGGTAGAACGTACCGGAGAGAGGACGTGAGGAGCGAAAGAGTCGTTGAGCGTTGAGGTTTTTCTTATCTGCGAAACGATCGATCAGCGACGACGTTCGAACACGACGAGAGTCGAAGAGGGAAGAGTGTGTTGCCCAGTGACGGGTCGGACAGTGGCGGGTCGGACGGTGCCGACGAGCACGAGGTAGGGATAGCGTACCTGAAGGCGAGTACAAGACGAGAGGGACGAGAGAAGATCTGCATAACGACGACATCAACAACCTCGACGGGTGGTAGAAGCTGACGAGGGGGTAGACGTACCCAATGCACGAAAATGAGACGAGAGACGAGAGACGTTTTTGAGGGGTTTGAGGTTTCTGAGGACGGAGGGTATGACAGGCAACGTTAGTCAAGAGACGCGGCGATAGGAGAACGGTTGGCATACCTAGGACGAGACGAAGAATACGACGACAGAATAGGAACAGAATCGAGGTCTTGAAGTTTCTGTAACCGAACGACGAGCAACACGAGTCAGAATACACCGCGAGGAATAATCGCATAGCAGCAGACCTTGAAGAGAGAAAGAATAGTACGAAAGAGACGAGATGTTTTTGTCGGTTTTAGAATTTCTGAGGTACGATTAGTGAACCGGAAAATGATACGGAAGATACGTCGCGATAAAAATGAGAGACATACCTTGAAAGGAGACGCAGAACGGAGGAAGAGAGACGAGATGTTTTTGTTATTTTGAGAGTTTCTGGAGGTAGGCGAGCGGAGACATTATCAGCGGGAGCAAAGTTCGAGATAAAGGGATCGCGGGGCATACCTTGAGACGAGAAGAGACAAGACGAGAAGGGAACAGAGCAAGAGAGACGAGATATTTTTGGGGTTTGGATTTTCTGTACGAACCGAATGCCGGTCAGAGCGAGAAGAAGAGGAGGAGGAGACTAGGAGGAGGAGGTTGACAGATGGAAGGTCAGATGGGCGTACCTTGACGATAGCGACGAGAGAAAGGCGTGATCCTTGGGACACTGCGGGATGGGCTCGATCAGCGTCGATCACGACAAGGATGAGAGGTGGAGGGACGAAGGACAAGGGAATGCGACGACTGTAACGCCGTCGGAGCGACATCCTCGCGATACAGATATCGATCATAACGACGACAAGACGTACCAGCAAGAGAGGTCGACACAGGGGAGACGGACAACAATCTTGACGACGATGAAGATAATGACGATAATTTCTGGGACGTTGAGCAGCGAAATTTTGAGGACGACGGAGAGCGATTTTACGACGAACGTAAGCACGGTATGGGGGTAGGAGGAGAGGGAAAGGGCGAACCACAGATTCACCCAGCAGCATCTCCCTCCACGCAGGATTGCGAGCGCCAGATTAGAGTTCGCCCTCTGAGGTCCCCGTCGCCTCGTGCATCAACGGGCACCGCAATGGACAGCTCGTTTCTCAGCGCTTGTGCAAGGCATTGAATTCGCGAAGCGTTGAACGTTCACGAGGGACACCCAGAGAGGCAGGATGGGTCCCGGATACGCGTTGGAACGTTGAGAAGGTGGTAATTTGAGCACGATGCACGATGCATGATGCATGATGCTCGAATAGAGTTCACTGGGGCATGCACACGGCATTCTGGATGCACACTGAGCCTTTGAGACGAGCTTGAGCGAGGTGAGTTGTTCGAGAGGATGGATTGCCCATGGAGCTGTTCACCATCCGGCTCTGGAGATACACTTCATGCCACCTCTCGGCCTTCCCCGAACCAATGTCCTCCCGAGGCGAAAATGGGAAAAACATACGTATGAGCAGGTCATAACGGTGACCATCCTGAAGTTGGTCCTTTCTAAGGCTGGGCGATGGACAGAAGATCACCTCTGAAACGGCGCTAAGACACGGCAAGTAGTTGACAAGGAGTCCGATGAGTGCTAGACTGCGATATGAGAGGTGGTGAGCGTGAGTGCTAGCTGAGCGGCGAGTGGAAGACGCGACGCGTCCGTTCTTGCGCCGATCCGCGTTCGTCAGCACGCTGACGGCAGATAAGCAGTGCTACAAGTCCGTGCATTTTCATTTCTGTACTGTGAAGCATTGACCCCGAGCCACAGTTATTCGAAGCGAAGCAACATACATCGAATAATAAGCCACGACCCTCGCCATTGGCCTCCAGTCGCTTGGCCGATTCATTCAAGTTACAGTAAAAGTTTACTAGTGCTACAGCTGCTACACGTTCACGGACTGGATATGCGGAATCGGAAAGATATATACATTACGAAGGATCGCGAAGTGGCGAGTTTAACAGTGAAAAGAAGTCAATGATGATGGTAGTAAGGTCAATGAACGATGATAGACAGCTACATGTTTTTCGCAGCACCAGGGCTTTGACCTCGACACCTCGACCACACGAATAGAAAACACGGCGAGAGCCTGAAAAATAACGAAAAATTAGTTCAGCAGGTGAGCTATGAATGAAACGAACAAACCTTCCAACACCTCAAACGGCGACCCAACCTCTTCACGCTCACGTCTTCCGCCCCCTCCACCCACCAATATTCCCAACGCCAAAGCTCCCAAAGGCACCACCAGGCGCTGGCACACCTGCGCCTGGAGCCATACTCACGCCCGCACCCGGTCCTGCACCCATAGGTGTACTTCCCATGTCCTGGACTGGGGGCAGCCCCAAGGGTACACCAGGGGTCGTCGGCGTACCAGGTCCGGTCGACTGCCGATGGCTAAAAGTCGGGCGGAAGGTCGAGTTGGGCATGGCCTGAATGGCCAGGAACTTGTTCGGGAGGGGACGGTCGTCGGTGTTGTACTAAAGTGTCATCGAGTGCATATTAGAGACATATGAGAGGATGAGGAAGATAAAAGCAACACGAACCTGGAACTCCAGCCCAATCCCATCCGCCTCACTAACATCCAACAGCTTCACGAGCTTCTTCCCGATCCCATTCAACCTCTCCACATCCTCCTTGCTCCGCGTCCACACCTGTATCCTATCCACCTTACTCCTCAAACTGACCACCGCCCCGCAAATATCGTCCCCCTCCTCGAGCTCCTGCCCGACCAGCGCCATCGTCAGCCACGCCCAGCAGCGGTCCAGCAGCGCGCTATTGTTCTTCATAGTCAGCACCCACTTGCCGCCCGACGCGTTTGACGGGTCCTCCCACATCGGCTTGATCCCCTGCTTGAACAGATGGTAGTTGCTGTTCTTATCAAGCGCCGAGGGCGGCTTGAGCCAGTTGAAGTAGCGGCAGTAGCCTTCGACGCTGTCGAATTCGCCGATAACCGTAAGACCAGCTTCATAGTCTGCGCGCTCGACGGGCTGCGGGTAGGCTGAGGCTGGGCCGGAGGCGGTGCCATCGCCAACAACGGGGGCAGGAGCGGGCGCGGGCGTGAATGGCACTTTAGTCTTGGTGTCGTGATAGATCACCCTGCGCAGGTACCATTAGCGACTACCCTCATGTAACGCATATACACAACAAGATACACACCAGTCAAACTGCAACGGATGCTCCGGCGCACGCACAGGCACACCGGGCGTCTTCGGATCCTCGATCATCGCCGCCTCGGGCGGGCGGGCGCTCCCGTCGATCGACAGCGAGCGCGTCTTCGCCAGCCTCGCCGTGATCGCATCCAAGCTGGGAATGTTCTTGTACCCCTTGACCTTCTTCTCGGGTGGCGCGGGCGGGTTCTCCGCGTCGTGCAGCTCGAGCCGGTCGCTCGTCAGCGGATCGGGCTCGCCGTTGCTTGCGACAGCGGCGGCGGCACCATCGGCGGCTGCGCCCGAGGTGACGGAGGAGGACAGCGAGGACTGGGGAAGAGGGCCGTCCTCAGGGATGGAGGGAGTGGTGGACTGGGGCGGCGTGGCAGTCGCAGCAGGAGATACAGAGCGGGTCGTCGGTGCATTCACTGCCATGGAATCGTTGGTCGAGGCGGACAGGGTGCTGGCTGCGCTGCCCGTGCGCAAGACCGAGACGGGAAGCCTGGGGCGGGACGCAGTGCTGCTGGATGATGTTCCAGCGTTGGCGTTGTTCAGTGACATCCTCGCTGCAAGCTGGTTGAGAGATGGAGGACGTCCACCTGCAGCCAGAGGAGAGGCCCGTTCAGGTTTTGGAGCATGAAGAGGGCCTGCAGCGGTGGTCGTGGGTGGGCTGGACATTGTCAACGACGTCGCAGGGAGCGGTCGATGGTGGATCGGAGGAGCGAGTGTCAAGCTCGACCGAGACGGAGACAGCCACAACTCGACACCATCTAACAGGGCACAGGGAGCACAGCCACACCTCCATACCATCTTCCCGCGCTCTGTTCCTTTTGTCCATCAGAACAAAAACAAAACAAGGGCCATCTAAATGACACCTCAAAATGATATCGTATTTAGGGCTTACTTAGCAATAATCGACAAGTACATTACTCTACTACTTTTGTACCCAGGTCACAAACATCACCAGGGCGTATTCAGCCCAATCCACTCCTGCAGTATCGTCGTCCGCTCCGTCCCAATCTGCCGCGTCATCTCGCCCTGCCGCGTGATGCCCTGCGCCTCAAACGAACTCAGCAGCTGCCCGTCTAAAATACCTTTGGATAGTGGCTTTGACACCGTTTCGTTCCGCACAATTCTACCAGGCGGTTAGTACATCAGAGAATTCTGTGAAGCTGTAAGCGAAGGACGCACCGGAACGCACGCGGGTTCAGCCCAGCAATATGCTGTACATTCCGTGTCAGCTGGCCCTGGAGCAGCTGCAGCCTCTTGAACGCCGCTTCATCCACCGGCGTGAGCGCTGACAGCGAGCCATCCCCGAAACCTGCCGCATCCCATCAGCATCTATGAAGCACGCAACGTAGTTGACATGAAGGCGACGAACCTGAGATCAACTTCGCCTGCGGAATCTCGTGTTCCGTCTTCGTCCTCCGCGCAATCGTCAACGTCGTCGAACACTCCTTGTGCCCGTGGAACTCGGTGTGGCACAATAGCTGTTGACCACTTCTTGATTCCGGATCTGCACCGCGTCAAACATAATACATAAACAATGGAAAGAAATATTCGCTTACCATTGGGATCGTATTCATACGCTCTTAGCACACCCTCCTCGTCCTCCGTCACAATCGACAGCTCGCCGTTCGCAAAGAAAAAGTCGACCGAGGCGGCGTATTGCCTCCGTATGTCCTTCGAGAGAATGACGAGCTTGTACGGATCCTCCTATGTTCCGGCACAACAGAATTTCAGCTCCAACTTCGGAGCGATAGTCAGCGGGGAAGGAGACGAACCTGGAACGCAACAAGCCACACGCTCTTCACCGCGTCTCCAATCAACAGCAGATTTTTGAGCGCCTTGAGCGATGTAACGTACACCCCTGCATCGAGGAACGCGACGCCCACGAGCCGCTCATCCAGATCAAACGCACGTATAAAGATCTAGTGTCCCTTAAGTTAGCCTCGAAATGTTCAAGGGGAAAAGTGAAACGCACCTTTTGTCCCATAGACGAAACCAAATACCCATTGATCCCGCACAGCGCCGTGACAGGGCCCTTCGCATCGTCCCTCACGCGCATCTTCAGCTTATACCACCGATCTAGTTTTGACGACGGGTCGGGCACGACTTCGACCACTTCGAAGATGTACGTCTGTGAGACACGTCAGCCTCGTTGCCATTAAAGGAGAAGTAAAGAAAAATAAGGGACGTACCGCTCCCCGCACAGCGAGATCCTCGCCCCTATTGATCGTCGTCCCCACCGCGACGAACTCTTTGCTGCCCGTCTCGGTGCTGAGCGTCTCGAGCGTGACGACTTCCACGGCGTTCACAAATTCGTTGGGTGCAAATTCATATCTACCCATCCGCATCAGCACCGGACTCTATACGGCTACAAAGAAAGAAAACACGTACCCGTCCAGCGTTATCCACAACTCCGGCGAAATCAACTCCAGCGTCGAACAGTCCGCCTTCGGGAAAGCCACACCAGGCGCTACAAAACATCAACGCCACCAATCAGCCAAACCATCCTGCACATCCAGCCTCAGAAACACAGGAAACCAAACGCACCATCCGGCTCCCAAACGATCGCCCCATCTTCATCATAACTCGCAAAGCTCGCCCACCCATCCGCACTCGCAATAACCAGCCCGCTCCCGTGCTCATACACCACCTTCCCGTACGTCCTCCCCTTCGGCACACTCCGGCTCGGCAACGGGCCGTGCACCTCCAAATCTGGCGCCCACTCCAGCAGCGTGGGACCCTCGTCCGAGTACACCAGAAAGTCGCCCCGCGACTCCCAGAGGGAGCACGCGGAGAACGCGTGCACGAGCGCGTGCCCGGAAGGATACAGGCGGACGCCGCCTGCGTCGGTGCGGATGATCCAGTGCGGCTTGTCGCCCGTGAGGAACGCGCCACTCAGCGTCGTGGACGAGCCCGGGTGGCCGGGGCGAGGAGGAGATGTCGTGAAAGGTATGAATGCGCGCGAGATGCGCTTTTGCTCCGCGAGCACGCTCGCTGTTGCCTTGGCGGACGCGGACGCACCATCGGATGACGAAGAGGAAGGATCATCCGTGGCGTGCTTGACGTCAAGTGTCTTTGATGCAACTTTGACAAATTTGATTTTGAGGTAGGCGTTGCGCGTACCGTGAGCGGACGGGTCGGGCGGGGGCGGATGGTGCACGGTTTCGTAGATGGCTACTTGGCCTGAGCGGAGGAAGACCTAGATAATAGCGGTTAGAACATTCTTCTCATCTAGAATTTGGGCGACCAACCATAAGATGCGGCGTAGGATTCGATTCCCCGAGCTGCGCCATAACGATGTTCTCAACATCCAGCTCTTGTGGCTTGCGCGGTGGATCCTGCGGAAGCGACAGCGCTGCCGGATCGTACGAGTCCGCGCAGACGTTATCAAGCGTCGCGATCAGCGTAGTCGAGAAGACCAAGGTTAGCTTGGGCAGCGTCCATATCTACTCCAAACAAGAAAACACCGTCAGCAGCATCTCCCAATTGCCTGAAAGAAGCGCACCTCCAGTACACCCTGTGGCCGCACCAAAACCAACCACTGGCTGTTCGTCGCAGCGTTCACAACACTCTGCATCGTCTGCGTCGCGCCCTTGTCTTTGTCGCCCTTTGATGACGCAGCAGCAGCCTTCGGATCCATGAACGCCTCAAACAACCCGCTCGTGTCTGCGAAGAAGCACCCTGCGATATACCTCGAGGACTATTATCGTCATCCATCCGTCAGCACCGCCAACTCACCCCAACGGTGATTGATACGAAGGGACGCACCTTTTCGCCCATAGGCGACATATCCTTTCTCCTGATTCTGCCCCGCTCCGGCTCGCCGATGAATAAGCCAAGCGTGTCGTCCTCGCGGATGATGAGCACCACCGGGTCGCAGATGCTGCACCACCGGATCTTGGCCCGTGGCATATTCCCGTCGGTGTCTTTGATCGACTGGCGTTCCGTACCATCTACACAACATCCAGATCACAATGAGCAATGATGGGAGGAAAAAAGACAGGGAAAAGAAGGGGGAGACGCACCGGGCTCAAGGACCCTGATCGAGTTCGTCATGACATGCAGAATTGCCGTACGCCCAAAGAACGGGCCTGCGCCAACGGTCGTGCCTGGTATGCGGGTCGGGATGGCCAGGTCGGTTCTTGTGGACCGTGTCGCAATCTGTCCAGATTTAGTGTCAGCATCCATTCTTCGGCCCGGGGAGAGCTGAGGGGAGAAAAGGGCGTACTCGGGAGACTCCAGGACTCGGATTCGCATCCGTGCTGATGACCACCGTATCATTCGCGAGCTCCGGATTTGGGCCAGCACCTGCAGATGAAGCGGCGCTTCCGCGCGGCGACTGTTTCACGGAGATAGACCAGATACCACGGGCGCCACCGAGGACGTGTAGCTTACGTTTTGTGCGTATTGGAAGGTCGCGCTGCGAGGGAGAAGACAGAAGACATCAGGCAAATGCTATGATACGATGTGAGGTGGGCTTACCTGGAAGAGCGTGAACCCGCCGAGGTGCTCAGCGCCAGTTGAGGCCACGAGCTCGGGTACGTATCGGTCCTATCGTGGAAGTTGCGTTAGCAAGCAGACAGGCTGGGGAAGAATGAAACGTGAGCGCACCCCCCATTTACCGAGAGCAAATGCCATATCGAGAATAGGACCATGAGCGGGTATCGCGTCACAGAATGCGAAACGCAGAGCCTCTTCCGCACTACCAGAGGAGGGCTGAGACGTGAGCGTGGTCGGCCCGTACAAGTCTGTGATATGCGTCTCAGTGTTCGATCTGAGGCAGGATAAAACTCAGGTACATACCGTCATCGTCATCCAAGTCCACGTCCATCTCCATCCCCGCATCCTTATTCTCCACATGCCCGTTAGCACCACTCCCATTCACCCCGTTCCCGTTCGCAGCGGCAGTCTCTTCAACACGCTCCGCCGACAACAGCGTCGCTGGACCAACAATAGAGCCAACGAACACCATTCGCCTCTCCTTCGCCTTCTCCCCTTCGCCTTGGCCCTGGCCCAAAGCTCGCTGTGGTGCCTTGACACGCACAACCGTCGCCGGCATAACCGTTTGCCCTACACAGGGCCCCACGTCCACACGCCCAACACTGCGTCCCTCCGTAACCAACCTCACAACGTGCATCTCCCCGCTCCTCAGCACAAGCAGCAGTGCAGTCGGCGTGAGCAGCAGCGGGAAGGCGCCCTCCAGCGCGAGCGGCTTCACGTCTCCCTCCGCGTCTTTGGCTGTGCCGCCGGTGAGGTACGCGTTGCTGATGCTCAAGTCACTCGTGCGTGTCGCCCACCCACTGACGGCTGCGCCGACGCAGCGTGCCTGGTCCGCGTAGAGCACCGCGTCGGGTGTGAGGACGACGACGCCGTGTGCGTTGGATGCGCCACCGCTCAAGCCACTGGTGAAGTCGGGAGGGAGCGTCGCGGGCGAGAGGGAGAATGCGTCGGAGGGAAGGCCACGTAACGTGGAGAGGATGGGGAACGTGCACGAGAGGAGATCGAGGGTGAATGTGACGACGAGCGTTGTGTCGCGGTGTTCTTTGAGTCGACTGAAAAACAAATAGTGAGTCGAGCTCGATGATGGAATGACAGCCAAGATAGGGTGAGGTCGAAATTGGTCTCAGGAGTGCTCACCCGGCCCATGTCTGTTCACTCTGGCAAAGCACCGCGAGGGTGGGGTTATTAAACCCGGGAAGGAAAGCAAAGTCAATGACATTGCACAAAGACGAGTCTACGTCCACAGGTAGGTCCAATATGAACGACGGCGAGTACGGTACATCCCTTCATTTTCCGAAGTCCGCCGGTGCGAGCAACAAAAAGACGGCATCGCACAAGAGGAAGGACAGGGCGAAAATTGAGTCAGCATGAAGTAAGCTGACAAATGGTATGACATACCGCATGCCCTCGGTTTCCCCCTCTCCTTCGATAACGTCGAACTCTGCTTGAGTCTGATAGAAGGGTAGAATTGCTAAGGCATTGTTGGGCAACGAAAGCGCTGCACATCGCGAAAGAGGGTCGACTCGTAGAGACGAACGGAACAACGGAGCATCGATGGACATCTAGAGAGTTAGGATTAGTTGACGAAGACGCATGTGACATCAAACAAGTCCTTACTAGCTGCTCGGACCGTTCATACGTGTGAATGGAAACTGTAATGAGGTCGTGCGCGGCATCTGACCACTCGAGGAGGGCAATCTAGAACACGACAAGGTTGAGCGTCGTAGTTCAGGTATCGAAGCAACTTTACACACTTTGGCATCCTTGAACGAGACAAGAAGACGGTCCATTCGGTCTTCATTGGAGGATATGGTGCGTATACAGTCCATGCCCGTGACAATCCCATGTACGACATGTTCTCTGACGAAGTGAAAGCGGGTGACGGTGGGGGGACCTGATGAAGTGGACTAGAATGTTGAACACATAGTCAGCTTGGTTGATAACAGCAAGGAATGAAAGAGCCAAACACACCTTAACGGAACCCATATTCACCCAACCGTCGCCGCCCGTGTCCATCTCAACCTCGCCCTCCACCGCCTCAGTTCCCTTCCTCACATGCGACTTCCGCTCCTTCTCAGCCTCCACCTGGGACGAAAGCGATGCAGCATCCTCGCGGACCTCGTATATGCGTATGATATTGGAGCGTGCAGTGACGAGGTTGGACAGAACGCGAGAAGACGAAGTAGAGTACTCGTTGAGAGACGAAGGCGTGAGTTTGAGTGATACAGCAAACTCTGTGCCGCTCGCAGGGAGGATGTCGTGTCGGAGAGCGTGCATGTTTGACAGCACTCGCGATGCAAATATGCGCCTCTGCCAGTTGCAAGTCAACTGGAGGAGTTTCGCGCGTGTCTCTTTGGCTGCCGTCCGCCCGCGTTTCCTCTTTGGGTTTAACTCCGGACCGAGCCGACGGGCGCCTCTAGCTGAGCGCCTATCTGAGCCTGCCATCTCGCCTTGTTCGACAGTGAAGTACTTTGAATTGACGGTGTAATCATACGAACGTCGCTAGTGTATCATATATAGCTATTGACATATATACGAATCAAATCGTTTGCGAGTCAAAAATGTACGTATACACGATGGTCAGTCTCCATTGCCACTTTCGCTTCCTGAACCCGGCGTCTGTTAATGGCGATGTTAGATAGATCCGGTTGGGGTCGGTTGGTCGGAATGATCGATGGAACACCTTTTCCCAGACTTTCAATTTGCTTGCAACCATGCTGGTTTGGTGACACTTTGATAACCGCTGTTGGAACAGAGGTGCAGATGTCATCAAAGACGGTAGAGGATGGCCTGAGAACCGTATATCCATCGTAGCCTTGGACATAGTAAAGCTCCCGCTAGACTCTGGCAGTAACGGAGAGCAGGATGGGCTGTTTGACGAGCTATTTAATCATTATTGCCTGATTCTCTGCATGAAGATGCGCCTCATCTCATTAATATTTTATTCCCAACATCCTTCTAGCATGTTTTTGTCTATATGAATGCTAACGGCTGAACAGGCAATGGTCACCGAACTCTTCAGCGCCAGCGTTCGTCTCAACCTGTCATGCATCATGTCGTAGGCAGGGCTGCTCCTCTATGACTAGCATTTCTCCATCCAACTGGTACATGATGCTTGCTAAATACAACCTTTATCACGCTACTGGATGTGCCTCGCATCATGGAAGTCAACATGAGCTGAATTGAACTGAACCAAAGGCAGATAGCTATCTAGATACGCATGAGATGTGCACTGCTATCGTTTGATTCCATCTTTCCCCTCAGTAGTAGACTTGTCGTGCTCTTTCCAGGACCCAACGGGACTTCCGATAAGATCCCACGCATGCACATCTTCTTTTTAACTCGACTTGCTTATCATTACAGCCTGGGGCTGTATACATTGATGCTGTAAACGGCCGCATTATTTTCTTGTGCCGTACGTCTACCCACATGCGGCAACTGTATCAGACTATTTACAAGTTGAACTACCGTTCGGCCCGAGGCGGCCTTGTGGAGCTCATCATTGAACTGCGACGTCAAGCTAATGGTGATTCCTTTTGTTGGATTTGAGATCCGGCAGTAGTGACTGCGTGTAAGCTCCGAGAATATATGGAGGCAGAAGCTCTGGCAAACCAAGCCCTATATACTGCGGATACCCTAAATTATTTATGAAGAAGCGTATATGTTTCTATCTAGTATGAAGGTAGTCGAGAACCGACTAGAAGCGCAATCGGCGGATTGCCCCATTTGAGCGTGAATCCTAAAACCTTTGTTGGCCGATGGGAACGAGGATGTCAAGGAAGTAATGGGGTTTACCATCTATGAATTATTGGAAAACCGTTGAGGCCATTCGTTTGTCCTCTCAATGCATACCGCCTCATATTAGCGCACGATGGGGAAGAAAGAATGTTTCAACAACGTTTTGGCAAGAATTCACAGAGTCAAAGCCTCAATTCAATCTCCGAGATGAGTCGGATGCCTACATCATGAGGCCAGTCTCTCGAGCAGCACTACCGATGTCGGCTCCAGCAATAAGGACGTGCTACTCCTGGAATTTTAGGTAAAAGACCATTTTCTGCACAGGATGGCTATCACCGAAGCTCGCGAAGTCCCCGCCTTGGTGTTACGAGACCCATGAGGTCGCTTGTGGTACCTTAGATGATAGTAGATAACAGGAGAATTTCCGCGCGATGCGTGTACGGTGTGGGTATATCAGGTGCTCGATCAGTCCCTTGCATCTTAATATTGACCATCAGAAGTTACAAGCCTATTCTCCAGGCTCGCCTCCTTCAGTACCTAGGACTGACTTTCTAACACATCTTTTGAGTTTGATCCTGCAACGGCGGCGTTTTACTTAACTGCCATGTCACCAATCACGACGAATACATTGTCGCATCACCATCCCACTAGTTTTGGACACAAGACAGAAGCGGCTCTCACGCCGCTACGGCATATCGGAGTTTCCAGAGGGCCTATCTTAGGACAAAGGCTTGACAAAAACGTACAATAGACAAACGAACAAAATTTAGTAGTGTAAGGTACAAAACGGCTCTGAGGCGCCCACATTAGTTTTAAAGTGTTTCCTATTTGACAGAAACCTAGTATGTGTTCACAAAAACCAACGCTCCGCCGAAACCAACGTAATATGTCAGGCCAGAGTATACACTCTCATTGGGGATAGAGACTCGATGTCCTCTGCTTGCACTTATAGATAGCTAGAGGTATATCCGAGTCATAGAGTGGATTACGGATGGAACAATTCTCTTTAGGCCTTACGTGAATGGTTTCTTCGATGTGATCCAAGACTTTATCTTCCTGATCCGACCCCTCGAATTTCACCACCAGTGGCTCCGCATGGTTGCATTGGCATTGACCATGCTTATCTCCACTTTATTCGACGTTAGAACAAGCCAAGCATCAAAGTGATGGTTTGCAATGATGATTTGTTCCTAAAGAAGACATGGGACTGCTTGTGAGAAGCATTAACGCCCCAAGGCTCTCACCCCATGACGATAACAATTGATTTGTACTGGACCTTTCTTGTAACTAAGCGTGCACTCCGCAGTTGACTGGTCCTAGCTTTAGTTTATATAAAAGCCAGTTGGATTTCATGTACTCCCTCATCGTCTACTCTTGCATTTACTCAAGGTCCTCGAGAAAGCCATGAAAATCACCGTTTCAGTCTCCTTCGCGGCCCTTATCCTTCTGGTGATGCAAACTCACGCCTCGCCCGTTGCAGCTCCGGGTGTGTTTTCCAACGTTACTAGCCTTATAATGATGAATTGCTGATGCCTGGCATTGTGTTTAGAACCTGAAGATGACTGCATTGGAAGAAACTGCGTCTGCGATGTCTGTTAATTAGTCCGGCACGCCGACAGGGTGTAGCGGTGGGTTAGCTACTTGTAGTATGATCTTACGAAAGTCCACTCAGATAAAATTGAAGTTAGCAGTGCGACTTTACATCAAGAAATAGACTTGCTGATGCATTGCACATATAATGGCCTTTGGAGTAGCTCACATTTTGTCAAGTTGGGATCTGTACCTTTGATACATAACAATGAAAATTTGAGTGCCACCAAACACGTTGTTGATCGTAAAAGCAAAACGAGTTGGTGATGTGCCGTGACGCATACGGGCACCGATTCTGGGCTTCCCTAAGCTGATTATCTAGTAGACACATAAATAAAACGACAAAGGCATTAGAACAAAAGGCCCGTATTATCCTGCGTAATATATTAGGTAATACAGCTCCTGTAATCTCAATAATATCAAGGTGAAAATCTGTTTAGTTACATGAGTTTTAGAGATAATAAAGCTTAGATCCTGCCGGAATTCCACGTACAGACATCGCTTAAGCTCTGGGGAGGAGTGCCTTTCGTCCGTCCTCCATGATTTGGAACTGGACGTTCTCGCCAACCTCAACTGCTTCCGTTACCCTACTGGTGCACTTTGCAGTCCATTGCTATTATTTGCTATGGAACGGAGAGCGTCACCCACATTAGTTAGGTCAAAATCATCCTTAAGAGCTATTGCATCACTCCAGCTTTTGATCACGAATCCATCCCAAGTTAGTGTACACAAATAGCAATATATTCTGCATCATTCATTTTCACATCCGTAAAGCTTCATGGCAACAAAGGCTAGCGATGCTATTGACGTGAACTATAGTAAAGGAATCGAGTTCTGAGGTATCTCACAGTCGTAGCACATACTTGTACTGATGGTGGTCAGTTTCCATCCCCTTCTTTGCTTCTAGAGCTCGACGTCTGTTCATGGCAATGATAGCTGGATTCCGACCCTCAGACTCCGGTATATCTTCCGCTGTCCTCACAGCCGCAACCGCGCAAGCGTACGCCGAGCTGTAGCGTTTGAGATGCAGCCACAGGGAAGCCGCACTCCCTAAGGTTTTTGCTAGCATCTGCCGCACGCCTTGCGTTTCTTTTCCATATAGAGAGCCGGAGTGATCGTTGAGGCCCACGAGCGCCACGAGAAGCTCAGTTGCCGAGTGGTATGCATTACATGCCCGTGTGCAGGCAACGAGGTCTTTTCTCAGGATTGTGCATTGACTTCCTGCTTCGACCTGACTGTTAGCTTTATCGATACATATTGCGATGACGCGCCGAATGACATCTGGATGTGTTATTTGTTGAATCTGAGCCAAAGACGTCGTAGAAGAAAGGCCATGGGGAGGTTTATGAAGCAGCTGTATGTTTGTGAGGCCATTCCGATGTGCAAGGACTGCGAGCAAGCGGATGAGAGCTATAGCACCCAGAACGTCCATCGGTGGGCCTGCGTTCATCCTTTCAACCCCCGTCGCTATGCCGTCTGGTATTTGATCGCCATGAAGGTACTTTTGGGATGTTGTATCCGTCAATGCCTCGTATGCGATACGTAGGAATGACTCGATTTCGATGTTCTTGATCCCGCAGTGGTCGGAGACGTGAGAGAGAGAGATGATAAGACGAAGCATAGCAACGCGAGCTCGAACTATAGAGGGAAAGAAGTCTCGTTAGTTCATTAACTTCACAAGAGAAGCACATGCATATACCGTGATCTCTCTGAATGCTATTGTAAAGCGTCTCTTTGGGCGCATTTGGGATCAAGGTATCGGGTTTACGCAGTTTTCTGGCACAGTTTCTTGAGTATCACACGGATATCTCAGATCACGAAGACAAATTCTACTCACTCTCTTATCGCAATCTCGTCCTCCTCATCTTGCTTGGTAAAGATAGCTATGATTCTCTCTGACCAATCCTGGTTTTGCGTGAGGAGTTTCAGTGCCTCTGTGACGTGCCGCAGATCTAGTAACTCCGATGCTAGTTCGGCTGGGACAGCTATTCCTGGGATCAGGTATCGAGGGGAGCGGAACATTGCGTTGAAGCTCTCGCAAGCCAGAGCTGCTGCATCGGACTCGGGATAATACGTCGGACGCTCCAGGATTGTGCAGTCCAGTAGTAGATCTATGACGATAGGCCTGCGCTTTAGAATACGGCTCCAAAGCCTCAGCGGCACCGCTTCACTCGACGAAGCAATAGCATAGACTGCTTGCATGGCATCCTGTTGAACAAGGCCAAAGATACGATTATCGGTGCATTGCCTGGTGGTATCATCTTGGTTCCACAGGCTCGTGTTTCGAAAATCGGGATACATGTTATGCTGCCAGCTTGTGTATGGGTTGTTCAGCTCCTGAGAGTTAAGGTCTGGATCTTGAAGGGCGCAAGTGCATAGAGTTTCTAGAATGGCGCCAACAGATGAGGAGGAAATGGTTTGGGCAAGATTAAACTTGTTCGCTACTAGTAGGTGCTCTAGCATCTTGATGGCGGTTATACGCCAATACATCACACCGTGGTTTACACGCTAAGAGGCATCGCATCGGAGACTACCGCTTTAGCCTTCCCCCGTGTTTGATTGTACTCGCAGAGCTCACCCTTAAACAAAAGTCGAGAAACGCAAGTTTGCGCAACTTGTCGAATAGCAGTGAACATTCTTGGATACTACCAGTGGACAGCAGTGACTTGATGGTGTCCATCGCCACGAACTGAGGAGTGATTTCGTATACAGTGCTCAACGTTTCCTGTAGTTTCATTGGTCCGTTCATAGAGACGGCTACCAGTGCCTCTACCAAGCCTGCTTGGGTGTACGTCTTTACGAGGGAGTCCCAATGCCCTTCCTGACCAAGTCGTTCTTGTTCTTTTGCTTGCTCTTCTGATCTGGTCCCTGCAATCTTCTTCTGAACACAATCCTGAGAAAAGAAAGGATGCTAAGTATCAAACAACCACTCATACGATCTACTCCTACCAGGAAGCACCACCTGTAAAGGGCGTTGCAATCCGGATCGCTTATGATGGCAAATGATTCCGTGAGATAGTGCGAAAGCTGCGGTTCTGGCTGTGCCAGTGCTAGCTCGACTTGATTTCTTCCTTGCACCAGAAACTCCGAAACTTCCTGTTGAGTACGAAGCACCATGATGGCTCGATAAGGTTTGCTTGTGAAGGCTCGTGTGTCGCCGTCGCTTGGCCGTCGCTACACGAAACAGCAGAGGGCTGCGCCGGCGCCATCCGAGAGCGGAGTTTGGAACCAAACGCTACATAACCACTCGGGGTCTTGGACAGTTTTATGTTTCCGCACCCTACCGATGTCCCTGTGAACTACTAAGAAACAATGAAAAGTTCGAGGGGTATGATAGGGTTTGATCCTGAGCGAAAACGCGTAAGCTCCAGTATATCACCAGGGGCACCGACTTTGGTGTCTCGGCCGACCCACACCTTTTGATGGAAGCACTTCTTGTAAGACGGCAACATTAACCACGATATCGTGCACAGCATTAATATTGGCTGCCTTCTGTCTGCCGACCTTGCCCTTTCCTTCGCTCTAGTCATGCTCCTCACTTACAAGGCCTGGAACACCGACGTCCTCAATACTTGGTTTACAGACGAGGACGGTCAACTCCTCTTCAGTGTCGTCACCGAGTTCCAAGAAGACGGAACTCGCCTCTCAACTATCATAAGAGTGGAACGAGACTCGCCAATCGAAGATGGCACTGTCATTGCTAGAATTTCTTGGGGCTTTGACCAGCATGTGCTCACCTTCGGGAACCAGGAGGTACCCGCACAGAAGTTCCTTCCTGCGGTAGGTCATACGAAAAGGTGCGCTCAAACATGACGCGCATGTGTGTAGCTGACCTGGGTTTCCCTGGACTGGGGTGCTATGTATCGCGGTGCAGAACTCGCATTCTCACTGGTCCCGGTAACTGCGAGTACCGATGGATTCTAGGCCAAGACACGTGCGAGGTGCGTACTTCTGCGATGCTCGTTTTCATAACTTCCCGTGCCCATCACTATCGCCAGCTTCAAACCAAGGGAGGTAACCCCGTAGCTCGTTCCCTCAGGACTAATCCGCCCACGTTTGAGATCCTCCCTGCGGGTATACACATGGTTCACCTGATCATAACGACTTTTGTTTTCGTCGAACACATTCGTAGGAACAACAAAGATGAGAAGAAGTCATTTTGATCGCGGACGGTAAGAACTCGGCCTCGAATCACACCGTCTCCATTGGTTAGTTAAGTTGATGTTCATGAGCGTAGTGATTATGTATCGACTGATGACAATGAAATATGAGAAGAAAGTAATAAATTACGAGCTGAATGTCCCATATGTGGCACAACAATGAAATCAAGTCGGAGATGACCCTCCAATCACATCATAGGAAGTTTGAGAGCACCCAGCTGGATCTTCCGCTCCATATCAACGAATGCGAATGTCGTAATGAGAAGGTCAAGAATAGGGTCAGCCTCTGCATATATCTCAAGAGTCGGCTTCTGTTTGAAGATATTCTTCGGTTGTTGCAGCTTTGCTATCAGTAAGTCCCTGTCCTTTATGCGAAGCTGGAACAGCCGAGTCAGCCTTCAGCGTCAAATAGTATGAGACAATCAAGTGCATTGACACAGACCTCGTTTGAGTACAAGTCCTTGCTTACGGTCCATTCGTACATCGTACCGTCGGGACCTCGGAACGTTCGCTTCTTGAATACACTACAGACAGAGGTATTCAATAAACTTCTCGCATCGATCGAACCGTTGACGACGTTCAGAGAGATGCGTACTCACTCTGTTAGTTTCCCTTTGGCCGGAACCAGGAACTTGTCTACGTCCATCTGCTCTCCGTTGATCGTGATCTTGCGGCGGATGAAGCACCACTTGATCTCGCCAATCGTCGTGTCGGATGTAACCTTCTCACTGGAATTGGGTGCGCCCTCCTTGTAGATGATCGTCGTTGTGAGCAATTTCTTCCACGGCATGTCGGTTCTGTATAGCGCGACGCCGTTCTGATCAATGAAGGTGGTCCTGTTCGTGGCGTTGCAGTGGAGTGTGAGCAGCATTGCAATGTGGTGTACTCAAAGAAGAAGAGATGGCAGTAGGTGTTTGGTAGGTGTCGTAGAAGTGAGGATAAGACTATCCAGGTATTCTTAGAGTTATATATGCCTCGCATATCCAGAGAGGCCTCACAGGAAGGCTGAAGAAAGCAGCATGCAGTGCCCCGCGAGTTCTGATGAACTGAGCCACTCACCCCACGACGGGGCAAGCGCGTCGCCAAGCTCAGCTGGTAATTGACTAAGGGCGCCGGCAGGACGTCGGCAGATACCGAGGCAGCGTCTATGAGCACCGCCACGTAATCACCGACGTCAGCTCTTGTCTGGACTCTAGACAATCTGCCAAGTCAACCGAGGTAAGGGACCGAGTGGTCAATATTTCGGTCAAGTGCCACATTGTCGCAACGTGTCACTACGGATCGCTGTGTTGCTGTAGATGGAGACAACGTCACAGCAAGCAACAGCTTGGCGATGGCAGTTACCCAAGACTAACGACAGGGCGGAGGAACGCTCATGCCGTGACGTCCTTCAAAGACTTCCTTCCTACGTCAACGTTCAGAACTCGACATGGCCTGAATTGCCCTCCAAGCGTCCAGTCAGAGCAGAGAACTCGACTCTTCGCTGTAATGGTATGTTATAAATATGCAATTAATGTCGTAAATACTCGTACATCTCCCCGTTGTGATCTACAGTAGGCCTATCCGTCATCGCTCTCGCTGTTCACAATCAACCAGAAGCATTGCTAACGAACCACCCTACAGGTTTGAAGACCCTGGTTGCCGCCTTGTAATGGCCGCTCTTCGTCTTGCGAACGTGGTCAACGAACACGAACGTGAAGACGATCGTATCGATGATGTGATCGCCTCCTGATAGCACTTCGAGGTACGGCAATTCGTTCTCGCTGAACAGGTGCTTCTTTGGAGGGTGCGACACAGCAATGGTACGCTGATCTTTTGACCGAAGCTGTCATGAATGAGCATTAGTAAGTACTCGATTTCAATGCTCACACCACTACTAACCTCGCACTTATCATCACTCAAGAGCCAACTGTATTCCCCCTGATCTGGTGCAGTAAATGTTCGATATCTGTGCTTGCATTCAGCGACTGAATAAAACGAACGGCTATGAACGAATTCCCGTACCTCCACATAAAACGGTGTGAGGGCATGTAATCGCTCGCTCGTACCTCCTGACCACCATTGAAGCGGAGCTTGTCGTGGCCAAAACCCCACTCGACTTCGCCGACCACGGAACCTTGCAGGTTCTGATCCGGCGAACTGCGAGGCTGCGCCTTGACGATCTTGCTTGTGCGCGAGCCGACTCCACGTGGAGTGTTGGCCCAGTACATGATTTGGCCGCTCTCGTCCTCGAAAGAGGCGTTGCGGACGTCAGAAGACTTGTAGGTGAGTTTCATCTTTGCGTTAGTGAAGAAACGTGAAACCAGGGAGGATGGTGTGAGTTTACGCCGCCTTCCTTGCGGTATGGTCATGATATTTTATATATGACATCGGTGGCAATGAACGGTGCTAGTTGTGGGGTAGAAGCACCACCAGAACATATCATTTCTCCACACCTTTGTGCTCTATGGTACCTTCGCTGCCGCGCAGGTTGCAAAGTGAGGTACAGCATGGCCACTAGCACACTGCCACAGCTGTGATGACACCAGGCATGATCAAGAAACGTCGACGATGTCGTGGACATATGGACATCGCCTCTCATCGCCTCCCTCATTACGTCGGAGTTTCTCGCACTCCACACCGAAGCCTCCGAATTATTCTCACACTCGTTCAGATACCGAGCGCTTGATACGTACTGCGACATGCCGCTTTGAAGTTGGGCGCTTGACTTGGCTTAACTACTCGCTTGCATCGCTTCACGGGCAGAATACTTCAATCTAAATATGTGACACGAGTTTGAGATATAGTAATCAATCTCCTGCTCGGAAGCTGAGCGCTGAGTTCTTGGAGCATGCCTAATTATCTGATAGAATGACGAGGAACTTTATCTGCACGCAAATGCACCTTTGCACGTGTCGCCTCGGTGATGCGAAGCACCCCTGGGGCTTAATCTAACGGTCTTGGGGCTGATCTTGGCACTCTGTTCGTAATGGAGGATACAAGATAGTTATAATGATGAAATTCCCTTGACATCCGTGTATCCATGTACATCATTCTAATCCTTAGAAAAGCCTAAAGCACATATTTCGCCAGTCGTGAAAACCCCGGTAGTGCTTTAAAAAAGGTCCATCAACTTAGACGATACCGATGGGAGTAGCGGTAGCAGGCGGGAGGGTCGTGAAGACCGTGGTGGGCTGGAGAGCCGTGTTCCAAGTCGCGGTGGTGGGCCACGCGGTCGACGCGATCACGGGCGACGCTGAGTTGTACGGGTCAGGTCCAGGGACTGTATAGCACAAACCGCGCGTCAGCTCCGAAATTATGTCAAGTACGACGATAACAAAAAGAACGCACTGGTGTAGTTGTCTAGCTGCTGGTAGATGTTGATGAGGAGACCGGGGTCCGTCGCCTTGTATGCACCGGGGATCTTGACAGTGTCGGGGGCGTCGGTGCCGTTGCCGCTGACAGACAGCTGGTAGCAGGACATGTAAAACTGCGCGCCTTCGGTTACGTTGGCTTCGTGCAGCGCGATGACCTCAGCGCGGAGGAGGTAGTCGCCGGGCACGACAGGGGGAACAGGGAAGGTGTAGTGGCCGCAGTTGTCCTGGATTGGAGACGCTCTGTCAGCACGTCGAAGGATTAGCTTATAAAATGAAGACGCACAATGAGAACATTGGTGGCCCAGTAGTCAGGGTTGTCAGAGGGCAAACCGGCCTCGGAGATCTTGAACCAGTCCGCGTCGGGGCCAGATGCGGTTAACGCGTCATCGACTTTGGCCATGTACAAGTTGATCGGGCCAAGGTGCGAGATGTCGATTGCTTCGGTGGTGCAATTGCGATAGCCGTTCAATTGGTGCATCTCGACCGTGACCTTGTCCCCAGCTAGATCAACCAGTGTCAACATCCCTTCAACCTCGGGTATTTATGGGAGCTACTCACGCACGACGGGACACTTGTTCGCGCTGGCAGAGGGCGCAGCGTTGCACGTAATGTTCTACGTGTCTACTTGTTAGCTGACATCTCTGCATACAGTGAAATAGTAACATACAGCGGAGGTAACATCGACAACGGGGTCGTGGTTCTGCGGCAGACGCACGCAAGCCTGAGAGTAGTCAACACCGTTGATCCACAGGTCCTGGAACGTGGCATGGGCGGAAGCGCTGGCGGCGAGGGCAGCAGCAACGAAAGCAGCTTTAAGAGCCATTTTTGTTCGGTTAGTGTATGAGTGAGAGCGGTTTTCTGGTGGTGTAGGAGTGGAGGTAGCAGGAGCTGGAGCTTAGTAGTCGACGAAGTGCTGCCTTTATACCTTTCTATTCCATTGACTCGGAGAGAGAACTGCGGAGGCTCCCGCGAAGTCGACTCGCCACAGTGCAACATCTGGTCAAAGCTAGGTGTACAGCGGAAAACGACGGGACCAGCTCGAGGCAGATTTGCCTGGTGTTGTTCAGGGGTGTAGCTGAGGTTCTTTCCACACGAATGTCATGTGTCGGGATCCGCTTGGCAACCTCCGAGGCATATTTGCGGCGAGCGTCAATAGAGTCTGTGGTTGCCAAGCCCATACAGAACGGACATCAGCATTCTTCCCATAACCTAGGGTATGTAATCACGTTACGCACAAGCTGGTCAAGAGACAGAACCTAGAATGAAATATAACATAACACACGGAAGTTAGGTCCAATGCCTCGAGTAAGATTTATCACAGTACCGAAGCTCAACTCGGGGAGGCGGATTGAAGGCGTTTAGTGAAGGAATACTGACACAGTCCACCATGTTACCGAGGCTGCGACCGAGGCCGCCGGATTTGCCGTCGCTCCTTTGGCCTAGTCAACAGTAAGAATCGTCGCCTGCAGCAGGGCGTTCACTTCTTTGTTCCCAGACATTCCAGATCCGAACTCAATGTTTCAACCCACGATGCAACCCGTCTAGAACCGAAACGCGAGTCGGAGAGCTGCGCTTTTCAAGGAGAAGGGATGGTGGGATCGGGATATCCAGGGTCATTTGGCGTAAGCAGCCACAAGGGAGCGTAATTACGCTCGGTCGACGTCAAAGTCAATCACCTGAGTCACGTACACATGATGATCATTACCGTAGCCAGACAATCTCTCACAGACTTTACGCTTTGCCGCCGGGAGCGTCCGGAGATCATTCAATATTCCCAAGAGCTGTCCAAGAAGGAGGGTAGCCATTCGTAAACCTTCGGAGGACAAGTCAAGTCGGAGAGTGCAAAATCTAGAATTCGGAATCGAGCGTGAATTCGGAATTGAACCACGAAATTCGGAATTGGGCAGTGCCTAGCATCTGAGAGTGTCATCAGAAGGGGCAAGAACACTTAGAAAAGGGATGCACTTCGATGTGAACATACTCAATACAGGAGATCGAATGTGAGTGAGTCGGGCTCGAAGGCGCTGGGCTGTTGGTGGCCTACGAGAGATGGACGATGGTGAGCGAGCGAAGGTTTCAATCGTGCGCGTGAGAATTCGCGCTTGTTTGGTGCCTTTAAGCTCCGCAAGTTGCGTGCTCTGCCCCGCCCTGCCCGTGCTCTGCTCACACGGAACGACCATGGGCTGACCCAACGCCTTCATTATGGCTCACACGTTCTGTATCTCTTACTGAATCGTGTTCTAGTACACTATCCTAATCAATCGCCGCCGAGACCGAATCTTTCCTTGCTGCCCACCAGGACCTGGTTCTCTGCCCTCATCACATATTATACGACGCTATAAGTACACACAATATACCATGTACTAACCACTCAGCGTCATCGCCATTCTTCCATCATCACCTATGTGCAAATCCACCTTCTTCTGATTCATCACTAACTCCCGCTCTCTGGGGAGAAATCCCCCAGATGCGGTGTTACTCGCTGACGTGGCCAACAAGGCATCGGCGATATCTGTGGGATCGAAGCCGGGTCTAAACCCGAGCGAATCGCCCCCAGACCTAATCAGAATGACAAGTGTCAAGAGGGAGACGATCGTCTGTGGGATCATAGCGAAAACGATAATAATGGCAGCCCGAGGTGACCACCCTTTGGACCAGCCCATGGTGAGAACATAGGCATGCCCGCTGATGGGGGATGTCATGTTGGTCGGAAGGTCTCCAGCGGCGGAGAAGCCAGACCTGAGGAACTGCGGAAACACCCGACTTGAATACCGAGGGAAGTGCGAAACGACTTAATCCTACATACCGTTCCTCCGAATTCAATGACGCCTCGCCAATAGTTCGCCTGAATGATACTGTCAGTAAGCATTCAATCGTGCGATTGAGAAGTGAGAAACATGTCACCATAACACCGTTGATTAGGGTCACGTTGGCTGAAGTGCCATTCATGTTCGGCAGAGACGACAGTATGGTGTTGACTGAGTCTCCCACGTCGTTGCTCACCATGCCCTGCGCTGTTTGCCCAATCCAGTCTACGAGTCCGACTAGGAAAGCCATGGCTGAAGGGTTGACCTCTCCGAGCAGCCACGAGTCGACGATATACTGCTGGCTGATGATACCGCCGTTGTAGGTGACGACTGTGTCAGTGACGAGCGGCGTAACCTGACAAATGGTCGAGTTTATCGCGCTGTATTTGCACAGGCCGGCCATCTTGATCGCTGCTTTAATCAGCCTTTTTGAAACAAAGAGAGCGGTATGTAGGGAACCATACCAAAGCTGTTGTTGTTACCCTGAGTCAAAGTCTGTTGCGGACACGGTATGATTGGCATGAACCCATCCCCGATACCTTCTCCGAGGCAGGCGTCAACACCAGTGTTGAATGTCTGTGTGATGTATCCCGTCTGACGCGATCTTATTGCCTCTGAATACACGTAATGGATGAGCCAGTTCAAATGAAAGGAAACGATGACACATACCTTCGCCATTGCCAGCACTGCTGCAGTTGACGGCCGTAATCCAATACCGATATCCAGCAGTGCCAATGAACGTCCCATACGGTGACGTGATTGGCTGGTATTCACCGCCAATTGTTCCGTTGGACGTTTGAATGCATACGACGCTGGCTGTGAGGCCTTGTTGTCTGACCGTGTAATTCATCTGGAACCCCTCTATCCTCGTCTCCACCACAGTGTTTAAGGGTACCTGTCCACCTGAGTACGAAAGACCCCACCCTGTCGCTTGGGTGTGGGCAGCGATGTACTCGGGGATCATCGGCAGCACGCCAGCTATATCCATCAGTTAAAGAATAGAAGGAAAGTAATTGTGTTGGTCAGAACATACCGGTAGACAGGTTATACGACGCCCCATTAAAATTGAAGAAGCTGGGAAACCCGAGATCCGATCCAGCAGCTGATTGGCCCGCAAGCGTTGCCACACCCAACAGTTCGAGGGCCCCAATTTCCGCTGACCTTGTCAAAATGTGGGCTCATGTTATCAAAAGTTGGGCTTACTGTTTGTGATCGAGTTCTCGCTTTCAGTCGCGTATATCGATTGGGAGTCCAGTAACTCATAAAATGCAGGGCTGCTGATGTTAAGCTCGCTCCCCGTGATATACTTTGGCAGCAGGATGAGAGTTGGGTTTAGGAGAGCCGTCCATCTGCGGGAATAAGTCCAGTCAACAAGGTCCACGACAGGGTATCAACACGTACCCGGATGTGGTCGTATGAGCGGCCAGAAGCACGACCAGCGCGATAAACGCCCACGCGGGATACTTCGTGTCGAAAAAGAGACGGAAGTTTGAAAGCGTGACCAAGAATCCAAACCGGTGCAAGTAGACGGGCTTCTCAATCAGCGCCGTGGCCAATATCATGCGAACTGCCCTGGCGAAAAGCCTACCACGTGGAAAGCATTAGCAAAGAGGCACCGTGCGATACCGCCGGACTACATACGCACCAAGAAGACAGAAGACTCAGCACCGTGGCGGCCAAACTGGCTAGATATGTCGCTCCACGCGGATTATTGAGGGCTACGCGGGCGGCCGCATCCGGGAGCGCAATCTGGTAGTACTCGTGGTTAAGCAAGACCGCCACGAAAGTCCATCCGAACGCGAGTAGGATCAGGTGCCCAAGCCCAAGAACGAGTACCGGGGCGATTCTGCTGAAGCGGCTCCGCTCTGTGCGAGAGCGAGGAGTCGGTTGGAGAGGGCGCTCCTCGTCCTCTCTACTCTTCCCAGAGATCCAGCTGTTACGAGGTAAACCGAGCATGAGTCGAGAGTTATGTCAATACTGATAACCTTGCCACTGACCGCTTTTATGCCCGTCTAGGAGGGAGCACGATCCCAACTCCTAGACATGGGCGTCAATAAAACATGGGATGGAAAAGCCATTCAGTCATATGAACCGGCATTGGAGGAAATTAAGGTACTATCGTGTATAAGCCAGCAGCCACCACTGAACGTCACGCAGCATGTTGGCCTGCAGGCAGGATTAACCTGGAAAACTGCATATCACCTTCGGGGTAAATGCGAAAAACATGTGTTTAGCTGGTCGTTGTTGAGCTTCGATTTCTACCACAAAGAAGGCGATCCCCGACGCCCGCTGCCAGGACTAGCAGTGACTTTCTCTAGTGATAGAGTCGCATACAGCCATGAATCTTACACTTGTCCGGAGGAGCGCCGTACATAAGGATACCCCCAGGAAGAGAGAGAGCGAGAAAACGGAGCATCGAGAAAAAACATGGGCACAACGAGGCCACAGCGTCCCAAGACCAAGAGCCGAATTCCTGGACAGAACGTTCAGAACCGCCCTTACACGAATACGAGTTCTTGGGCAGTGGGCGGGAACGTTCAGAACAGCCGATAGTATCTGACCGTCAGCCTGGACCGCCTCGCTGAGAAACTGGAATAACGTTCCCGTGTACACGCGAGGCTAAGTCGTGGCCAGGTCCCTTTCGGGTGGGAGGGCACCAGCAGGTCACATCACGGAGAGAGACCGACGAAGTGTCTGTACATGTGTCTTCTCCACGGCGCAGAGAGAATGGGGAGGGTACATCCAGTAGAGCACAGGACGAGAATCGGGTTTAAGTGCAGAACTAGGGAACCAGCTGCTTCAGAGCGTGTCTAAGAGCTTCAGAGGACTTTGGGAGCACAAAGCAGTGGCACGAAAGATTGGCGCCGCAGTGGGGTCTGGAAAAAAAGACAAGGCACAATGCGGAAGGTTTCGACTCAAATAAATCAAATGGACCAAAATCCTACTATAAGTAGCATAATCATGGGATAACTCTAGCCTTCTCACGTTTTGACATGTTTTCTGCCAAAAGCATCCGATGTTGCCCCCGATTCAAGATAGGGGCTATTTCCTGCGTTACTTCGTGTTGACGACATATTCAAAACCACGCTTCGCTCACACTTGAACTAACGAACGCAAACAACCAATTATTACGGCTACAAAAGAGCGGTCCAAAGAACCGCCCCTCGCCCGGGGTATGCTACTACGGCGTTACCGGTGTAAGTAAAGCTACAGTACGGAGACAGACATATGAGAGAGCGTAAGACGCGAACAGAAACTCGCGGGAATCATGGAGAGATGTATGTATGTATGATGATGAGGGATGAGGGATATATGCAAAGAGTCTAGTAGACGTGTCCATGGGGTAGATCATGAGAAATGACATCTTGAAAAAGGCATTAGAAAACAACGAAGATCGAAGGACGCATAGCGGGCGTAATGTATATGAGGTATCGGGTGCGAGGTGGTGCAACGTGACCAACAAAAAACGAATCAAGTAGAAAACATAGAAGAAAACCAAACAGGCGAGAGAAACCGTCCAGAGAAACGTATACAAAACCAGCTGCAGTTTTTGATTTGTTTCGTCAAGCGCGCAAAAACATCTCGACGGGAATCGGCTTCCGCCTGAGCCCCTGGCTCCCGTCCGACACGCAGCTGCCGCAGTCAGACCCGCCCCAGACGCTCGAGTGCGCGCTGCCGTGGCTCGACGTGCTCCACCTGCTCTCCTTCCGGCGCACGACCTGCTTCATCGCAGGCTGCTGCTGGGCCTGGAGCGAAAGCCCCGAGGGACCAGCGGGGAATGCGGACGAATAAGAAGGCGACGCGGGGGAATACGAATGCCCGCGCGCATGTCCGAAGTGTGATGCAGAAGAAGAAGGCGGCGGCGGAGAAAGATGGAAGCTCGCGCCGAACGCGTGCGACTGCGCGCGCGGCGGTGCGCCTGTGAGCGCGAACTCTCGGCGCGGCGTCGTGATGGGCGAGCGCGAGTTCGAGAGGCGCCGTGCGCGCGCGAGGCGCTCGTCTGTCTTTGCCTTGGACTGTTTATCTTTGGCTTTCATCTCCGCCGCTGCCTTGTCTTTGTCTTTGGTGTCCTTGTCCTTGTTGTCCTTGGCGGAAACACCAAACGGCAGCTTCTTGCTGGGCGACTTGGGTGACTTGGGCGACGACGACGCGCGCGACGAGCGCGAGAAGAATGCGGTCTTCTTCAGTGGCGAGAGGGAGAAGTGAGGGAGCGAAAAGTGCTCGCGCTCCGCTTCGGCGCTCGCGAGCGTAGACATGGACCAGCGCGAGCGGAGGTGAGGCGGCGGCATGTCGAGCTCCTGTGCGTCGACGTCGGCCTCGGGGCAGGACTGATGTGAATGGTCCGAGTCCAGAGACGTACGCGGCTCGTCTTCCTCCTCTTCGCCGCGGTCGTCCTCGGAGGACGAGCGCGGAGTGGAAGGGAAGGACGGGAAGGACGGGAAGCTGGGCGAGAACAGCGTGCTCGAGAAGGCGGGGGTGAACTCGGGCGCGAAGGACACGTTCAAATCCACGTCGATACCGGCGTTCGAGGCACAGGCAACAGGCGACGAAGGGAACGAGAACGCCGAGAGCGTCGAGTAGATCGACTTCTCGTCCTCGCTTAAGGGGGCACTGAGCCGGGCGTCGGCGCTGCACTCGACACGCGGCTGCAAATAGTCGCGTTGGCTCTGGCTCTGAGACTGGTGCGAGTTCCGGCTCGATTGGTACACCCGCTCGACAATAATCCGGGGCTCGTCCACGAGCGAACGTGTGCTCGCGCACTCGTCTGCGCCGTTCTCCTCCACCTGCTCCTCTTCGACCTCGACCTCGACCAGCTCCTCAGCCAGTTCAGGTTCACATTCGAATTCGATGTCATCCGGGATAGACATCTTCGGAGGGGGACGCGTCGGCGTCGGCGGCGGGGGCAGCAGCGAAGAGATCGGAATGACGCGCTTGGGCACCGGCTGGCGGATGATGGGCACTGGTACGGAGAGGAGCGAGTGGCGGAAGACGGAGGACGTGGCAGAAGGAGGGGGGAGAAGGGGCAGAGGCTTGCTGTGCCGGCTGCGGCCCACCTTCTTCAGTGGCTTCTTCTCTTGCGTGTAGGCCAGCTCGCTGACAGGCGAAGGCTCCTCCTCAGTAACAGACACCTCCGGGATCGTAGGCAGCGACGCCGAATCGCGGCGCACCTCACCTGCTGCGCTTGGGCCGACGGGGAACGAGGGCGGGAGGGGCGAGTACAAGGAGATAAAGTCCGCGAACTGGCGTGTGTAGAAGTCGTGGTCGTCCTCGGTGCTGCTCTCCTTCACGGACTCGATGATGTCGGACTCGAACTCCATCTCGGGTGTCGGCGTGATGATGCAAGTGGGCAGGTCAGTGTACTCGTACCGGCCCTCTTCGAGCTCCTCGAGCTCGAGGCTGGTCGAGTCTGCAATGTCGAGACTGCGAGACTTGGAGATATACAGAGGGCGGATGGTGACAGGACGGGGGCGAAGACGGGGAGAAGGGAGAGCGAACGAAGACTCTTCGCAGTCTGACTCGCCATCTGATGTAACGGGGGTGCGGAGGGGAAGCGAGTCGCTGCTGCCAGACGTCGAAGACGAAGAAGACAGAGAGGGAGGGACAGGGGCTCTGGACCTGGAGCCGCCGACGATCTTCAAGGCCTCGTCTATCGAGAAGGCGAACGCGGATAGGCTGATTCGAGGCTTGGAAGGTGAATGCCTTGATGACACGAGTGAAGAGGTCGATGAGGAGGCAGGGTTATGGCGAGAAATCGGGGAGGACTCTGAATCTGATGGCTCTGCATCCTCGGTGATGATATGCAATGGCTTGGGGTGATCGTTCATGATTGATGATGAGGGTGCGAGTGGGCAGCCCATGGGCTTTGAGATGGTAGACTTGCGCGTCTTGGGCCCGCGTTTAGGCGAGCGGTTGAAGACTGCGGTGCAAGGTGAGTCAAGGCAAAAAGAATGAGAAAAAAGAGACGTACAAGAGTTCATGACGGTCGTGACGTTAATGTTCTAGGCTACAGTGAGGACGGAGACGAGGATGGCCGTCGCCGTGGACGATGGTGGGAGAAAAACGTGTGGTGGTGAAGCGAGTCTGCGGGTATAAATTCACAGCCAGTGTGAGGGAAGTACAATGCAGTCCATAGCCGACCGACGCCAGCCTTTTGTCGAAACAGGCCATTGTCTTGTCTCCCATTCCGGACACAATAGCCCACAAACAACGCTGTCCAAATACGGCACCGCTGACAGCCGCGGAGTTTGAATGGTCCACGCGTTCGTTCCGTTCATTGTCCTCCGCGTCCTCGAGGTCCTTCTAACCGCCGCACACTCCCGCACAACGTCAAGTTCTGCGCAGACGTAGACAAGCAATCCAGCGCACGCAAATTCATCTAAGTCAACGTCCACGTCAAGAGCGACGCGTCTAGTTGTCATTGCTCGGCGCAGCTGACGAACAATATTGCCCAGGGGCCTCTCCACGTCGTCTCGCGAGCTCGGCTTTGTCGCGGACACGAGGCTTCGTGCTCAACCACGAGGCACGTTCGTCGGACCATATCGGACCGCGCCTGACTCAAGACGCGCTCCAGTCGCGTCAGACGCGTTTGGGCACTGGCGCGAACCACCAATCTCAGCTCTGAACAATTGCTAAGTCCCCTATCCTGTCAAATTCTTTCGTACAACGCGAGTTTTTTGGACCTAGCTCTATCCCTTCAATTGCTGACCCATATCTCACCGACAGAATGTACAAGTACTGGGGCCATGTCGTCACCGAAGACCAGCTCAATAACGTCCTGGTTGCCGAAGGCGAGGCAGTCACGACCCAGAGAGAAACTCAATCCCTGCTTCACATTGACATCATGTACCACGCCATGATCATCGCCAAAGTCCCCCACTGTACTCCTAGGCGAATCGTGTTCGACGACGGCAGGCGAGGCTGGATCTTTGCGTTCAAGGTCAGCAACGCGCTGTACGACGACAAGCTCCCAGAACGCGTTCCGCGGCAGTGGATGGAGCAGGTGGAACAGTTGCGAATCGCCCTTGGAAAGACGAAGAAGCCAGCGTGGTATAGAGCCTTTGAGTTTGACCCAAATCTCGATATGAATCCGTGGCTCCCGTTCCGAGGGAAAAGTACGCGTCGGTCTCGCAAACAGCGCGATGTTACTGCCGTACTAGAAGAAGCCACTGCCGTACCAGGAGAGCCCTCTGCGAGCAGTGCACCGGAAAGATCGAGGCGTGTTAGGTTCGATGACGAGTCCTGATTGCCTTCGGGGTCGCCTTGCTTGGCTTGATTGTACGACCTGCGTCGCGCCTCAGAGTTGCGCAGTGCCATGCTCCGTAAGGTTGCGTTCATATAGGCCTAGCACCAGACTCGTTTTGTACTCACACTACATGCGAAACCCTTCAATGGGCCATTCATACTCCTTCGTTGCACTTCTTTCTTCATCACTTGCGCTCCAGCAATGATTCTATAGTCTCGGACACAGGTGTTTTAACAGTCCAGTCCATCTTAGCATTAATACAGTTCAATTCACTTCTAATATCTTTCTGAGACAACGTGTTGCTAGCAAAAGCGTTAGAGAATGGTAAATGTCAGCCTTCATAGCACTCAATTCTCGTATTACGCTCGGTACGCAAGTCTGCGACCATATACTATATGTGTCAGAGTCTCTTAAGCTAACGCAACGACTAGCTGCATTTCAAGGCTACGTCGGCGTATCACCCCAAGTGTTGAAGAGATACGATCCCCCGTGTGCATGGGTGCTAGCCCGTGGCAAATAAATATCAACCAGCAAACGTTATTTTCGGACAAGGCTATTCTCTAACGTTCCAGCATCCCTCTTCGCTTATAGCACACCCGCGACTGCACATATTCACGCCAACTTTACATCAGCTTTGTACGTGGTTTTCCTCTTATCCAACCTCGCGCTTACCCTTGCCATCCGCTCAGATTGCCTACCATGCCTACGTACATAGGATATGGCTGGTCCGAGGAATTCCTGAACCAATGGGCCCTGAGGAAAGGACGGAAAGTGACAACTTGCATGGATAAACAATCCAACCTTCACTACGACCTCATGTGCGAGCTGCAGGACATGCTGAAAGTCTCGATCTACACCGAGGTTCGTTAAGTCCTGATGCAAGACGACCACCGGGGTTGGGCCATCGCCATTGACGTCAGTGACCACGTCTTCGGTGACAAGATTCCGAGGCGGAACACCGCGGACTTGTACAGAGAGCTGGCGCTTCTGAACATGGCGGTCGCGCTAGGGGCAACGCCAACAACGTATGAGGCATGGGAGTACGATCCGGAGTATGACGAGGGGCCATGGCTTCCGGTTCGAGTGCGCAACGACGCTTCGAAGGAGCACGGTGTCTGAGCATGGTGAACAGCGTACCAGTGGCTTTCCTGGTTGTCCACTCTCAGTAGAGTTGTTTGTTTTGCACCGAACTGTCTTGACAGTCTAAGATGAGTCAAGTAATGACGCCCCTGAGCCTCATGGCAGCACTGTGCACTGTGCAACCCCGTACGAGGTGACGCATTAGATATACCAGATATGACCCCATTATTCGGCGCTAGATAGTTATGTAGCGATACAGGTTTGTAGTGCATAGATCCTACAGGTATGGTTGTTCCGCCACGAGGCGCGTCCACTGTCGGGCTACATCGGATCATGCGTGGCTCGAGACGCGTTCTAGTCGCGTCATACGGGTTTGGTCACAGAATCGGACGCGAACCACCACAGGTCTGCACTAACGACCCTTAAGTCCACTATCCCATCACAATCTTTCGTACAACGTGAGTCCTTCAAGTTGGACCCAACTTTGTGCCTTCGACGTTGACCCACTTCTCAGCGCTAGGATGGTCAAGTACTGGGGCCACGTCGTCTCCGAAGACCAGCTCAATGACGTCCTGGTCGCCGAAGGCAAGGCAGTCACGACCCAGAGAGAAACTCAATTCTGGCTTCACATTGACGTTATGTACCGCGCCATGATCATCGCCAAAGTCCCCGACCCTTCTCCTAGGCGAATCGTGTTCGACGACGGCAGGCGAGGTTGGATCTTTGCGTTCAAGGTCAGCAACGCGCTGTACGACGACAAGCTGCCGGAACACGTCCCACGGCAATCGAAGGAGCAGGTAGAACAATTGCGGATCGCCCTCGGAAAGACGAAGAAGCCAGCGTGGTATAGAGGATATGATTTCGACCCAAAGCTCGATAGCGGGCCCTGGCTTACGTTTCGTGGGGTACGTGCATCGAAGAAGCAGCGTCGTGCTATCACATCGATTCAGGAAGAGCCACCTGACCATAGCGCAACGACAGTAGCATAGGTGACCATGGTGCGCCTATTTTTTCTCCTATTTACGAGCGTGAGCTGACCGAGGCCGATAAGACTTCCCTTGGGCAGGATCGCCGAGCTTTACGCCTCCGTCACTCCTCGTTCCAACTCCCAACCCCCTTGCAACCCCCTCTCAATCCACTCGCAATCCACCCGCAATCCACCCGCAATCCACCCGCAATCCACCCGCAATCCACCCGCAGCATCCCCTCCCAGCATCTCCTCGCAGTATGAACGGCGCTATCTCCCCGGTATAATAGCGTGTCTTTGTCTCACCATTTAATCACAGTTTACTGTTGTACATATAGCATGTGACCAGAAGCAGCGCCGTGCTATCACGCCGATTCAAGAAGAACCGCCTGAGCATAGCGCAGCGACGCCAGCCTAGTAGGTGCTTATGGTGAGCGCACTTATCATGTTGAGTTGACCGAGGCTAGCAAGACTTCCCTCGAATAAGAAACCCCGAGTTTACGTCTCCATCGCTCTTCGTTGCAATACAAGTATATTTTACTGCTCGTCCTCCAACAGGCTTCGTTCAAGCTCTTAGATATAAGACAGCTCATCCTCGTCGTCGTCGTACTCGTCGTCTTCGTCATTCTCTTTGCCCCCATTATCCTCGTCATCCCCATCACCCTCAACGCCCTCAACGCCCTCAATGCCCTCAATGCCCTCAACGCCTCCAACGCCTCCAACGCCCTCATCACCCGATAAACTATCCGACTCATCGTCTCTCCTTGCTTTCTCCTTGCGTCGTGCGACACGCCAGCTCTCCCCGCCATCTCCATGATACCGACGATTCCTCCCCGCGCCTTGAACACTGCCTAAAAATCCCGACATCTCACCGCGCCCTCTAACATTCGATCCACGCATGCCGCTCTCGTCTCCCGGTGCACTGCCACCGCCTTCTTCATCACTCTCGTCATCGACCTGCATTGCGTCAGGTTCATAAGCCGGTTCCGGGCTCGACGCCCGATCGTCCATGTCGTTCAAAGCAGTCGGCATAGAGTCCCTGACAATTTCCACAAGGTCTTTGAAAGCCTCATCTGACTGAGGGGTCCCGATGCGATAGGCAGGGGAGAAACCATCCTGAGCTTTCGCCACGTTCGGTATCACCGCCGGGAATTGGGAGTTGACTACATCATCGGGGTATACGTCAATTAGTGACTTGCTAGTTTTGCGGGCTTGTCGACGAATGCCTCGAGAACTGGACTCCTCCCAATCAGAGAATTCGTTTTCGTCGTTCGATGGGTATTTGCGAGATAAGCCCTCCATAGGATGGTCTGCCTCTTCCTGTTCGCTCGGTTCCCCGCTTTCGGTACTTTTTACGCTCTCGTTTGCCCCATTTTGAGCTGCACGCTCTGCCGCTACAGGCCGTCTCTCGGAACGACGAAGATGCGCAGGAGCAGCATCACCCACTGATGGAAACGCGCTCTGGGCTTCCGTGGAAGGAGGTTGTGTTGACTGCTCTCGCGGCGTCTTCTTCTTACGCCGATCGTGAATAAGAGTGAGCTGTTTTATGATGCCTTTGTCGCGCCTAGATATGGTCCGAAATGCCCAATAAGTACCTACAGTCAAATATCAAATGGATATAGTGTTGACCAAAAGCACAAACTTGAGACCCACCGGCAATAGCAATTCCTACCACCGTTTCCTGTTCTTCGTTGATAGTAAACAGCGCGGCCGCCTGATACTCGAGGTCCACTTTGGCGAGCTTCAAGTGCTCATTGACTCTGACAGCGAGGTCCACCTTCTGCAGTCGGCGGGAAGGATTATTCTTGAGCTCTACGAGCACCGAAACTCTAGATGTCTTGACCCTGTAGCCAGTAAAGCCAAGTCGCCAGTCAGTTGTATCCGACCCCTTGGTTTGAACCAAAGCAAAATCGGTGATGGGTCCGAGAGCGTTTGCAATAGGCTCAGTTCTGTCGGAAGCTCCAGAGTATCTCGGCCCTCGTCTCGCGTTAGCCGAGTTGTCATTGCACGGGTCTGACTCCGTTTCTGGGTGAGGAGTGTCAGTCCAGGACCGCTCACGTCTTGGCTCACGTGGGTGAGTCTGGGAGGGCGGTGAAGGTTTGGAGAGTCGTGGTGCGAATTGAACAGGGTACTGAGGCACAAGGTGAAGGTTGTAGAACTTGGAGAAGAGGTTGCGAATCTCGTTTCCCCACGGCAAGTACCAGTGAAACTCGCTGCCTCGGGGGTTGGACGCGTAGGAGGCAGCAAACGACCAAGACATCTTTTGCTGAATGTCAGCTCGCCTCTGCGCCTCTTCGGCCGTGGCTTCGGCGCGTTGAAGTTTGGCTTTCGTTTCTGAGAGGGCAATACGCAACGTTGCAAGTTCAGCCTGCAAAGATCCGCAGCTTGGGCACCAGTGTAACGGGTGTGTGTCAAATGGCATAGTTTATCTGTAAACACAGGAAGCAACGTAAACTTGATAAGGAGTGCAAAAAAAGCTTAAATATGACCAGTACACACCTGTGCTTGGTATGTGGCGATTACAATCACCCACGCGCCCTAGTCAGCGTTCTCTTTATACTACCACCCTCCACTAGTATCCGATTTGATGGCCATGTATGATCAGATATCGGGCACAGTTCCTGTACTCTAGATCAAACTTTCTCAAATGAGAAGGTCAGCTGCTTGCAGGTTCTTCGCCTAACATGTTCAGCTGGCTTGATTTATTCACTTCCAGGGCTGTTTATGCCCTATAGTCTGCTGAATCGGATCGCTAATCTGCGCCGCTTGACCGCAGTATCATATATGTGCATCCCATCCTAATAATAGAAAGCTGAGTCCTTGCTGAGTCCTCTTTTGTTTCTTGTATTTCTATATGTCAACGACTTGTAATCTGCGACGAATGATCAGCTTAGACGAGGTTCTCAGGAAGGGAAGGGATGGTGATCAGCGCACTATGTATATGAAGCTTGAAGTGCCGCCGACTAGTAGTGCTCATAGTTACGCGTCAACATTTGGACTTCTGACGATGGGGTGCCGGCAGGACCCCTGAATATCCCTACGAAGTCCGAGGTTGGCCTGGTCCCATATTCCGTACCCCAGCCCCGGGGTCTTCTTCGTCCGGGAAGTCTCCAACCCGGGTGCCCTACCCTAGACGTCGGCCTAGGAGAGGCCCAAACCCCGGGTTCTACCCTGGACATCTATGGTGCTTGACTTTCACTCTGAAGGCCCCAAAAACGCGTTTTTGGGCATGGCACACGTCCAAAAATGCTTGGATAACGATGGATGATGTAGTGTACCATGCAACTAGACATCCATCCCCTCGTCCTTCCTATTCTGCTGCTGAACCGCCAAATTACGAACCATGGAACCAATAGTATCAGCATGTTGAAGCAAGAGGTGATAAGATACCGCGTCAGCGTCCGACAAGACCCACTTCTTGGGAGCAAACGTGGGTGAAACAGTCAGCTGCATCAGTACTGAATGAGGGGTTAAGAATGCAACGCGAGGCAGATCGATCTTGCGAGTCCCGGTCTTTCGAGGCTTCTCACGGAATGAGCTGCTGTATCCACTGGGATAGACCAGCTCGGACACTTCAGCAGGGATATAGGATGCCATCGAGATGACCTCAATAGATGGTAGCCACCCGTGAATCCCATACCTGCCATTTTTTTTCTTCCTGACATCGAGAACTGGTAACCTTTCAGTCAGGAAAAGAGTGCTACTATATCTATAGTTGAATCGCACCGCGACCTAAGATGGTTTTGCTATCATGCCAGACCAGTGCAAATGAACAGTGTTGTAATGGAGTCTGCGGAGTGACCGCTGCATCTCGAACGATGTAAGGGACGTGGTGCTTGCAGCATAGCTCGACGCGTCGGGTTTGGTCCTGTAGAGCGACCAGAACAGTCAGAAGTAAGTGGTCTTATCGGATGGGTGTACTGACCTGTTGAACGTGCGTCCGTTTGACAACATCTGCATTGGACCGTGTTTCCAGACTCGAATGAATGAGAACGAGACGCGTTGTGTTGGATAAAGCGCTGGAGGCGAACCTCGAGTCCGGGGGGTAATTCCCGCTACCTTAGGTAGTGGGTCTTACCGGCACTTCGTGTGACCGAGACTCCTGCCAAATTCTTACTCCTGTTGGGTCACGTGATATTTCCAGCTCCGTTGCTTCTCCGCCATCGTCTTTTCCCATTTCGGGAAGCATTTTAAGCTCCGCTTCAGCGGCAGCGCGCCGCTGCCCTGCTGCTTTTACCTCTTGAACGCATTATCATCATTCAACGTTCAATTGCTAAATGCTCACGCCGATGCCCGCTCATTCGAACGGAGACCCAGGATCCTCAACCTGTTTTCATCAGTCGTGCTCTTTTAATAGTTATTTGCCTGTCCATGCGGACAATTGTCAGTCTGAGCCACGCCATTGTGCTGGGTTAACGTTGAACAGTGTGACACAAAACAATGAGGAACTCACGGAACTCATTTGCTCTGATATTGCCTCTAATATCTGTCAACTCCTTTCGAATTCTGGTTCCACAAGTGTTTTCAATTGTGAATTTTCTGTTGTAGTTGTGCTTGCATCTTTGCACGGTTTATCATCTCGAGTCCCTGAATCAGCTAATAATATACGGTCCATATTGGCCACTCATCTGATCCTTGGACACTGTGCACACAGAAGAGTAAATGTTGCAACTCCTTCTGTCTGCTCACATATTTCTCATGGGTTACCAGCCCTTGAATTGCGCAGATTCATTTTCTCTGCAATCAGACCTACTATATTAATATTCTCTCCTGCCACCAGTATGTTTGATCTAAGAAATATGATATGATGGTGTTCCCCACATGTTTTCAGACACGAATTGAGATATTTGGGATAACACCTGACGGTAGCGGGCTTTTGCTGCTGCGCGGCCTTACCTCATTCAGGGGTCCTGTGGCGAGCTCCGTTATCAATGTCGGATCGGCTTAAACATTCCGATCACGTGAGCTCATACAAATCCAGCCCGGTTTTCCAACTCAGCCCATGTTGTCAACCAACTTCCCCCCGCATTACCACTTTACCAGCCGAGACGCTACAATCAAGAAGGTTTATGTGAGTTATCAGTACACTTTGCTTGCCTTGGAGTTAATCAAGATAGTTAGAATGACATGGTACTGGGGCCACGTCGTCTCCGAAGACCAGCTCAATGACATTTTGGTCAAAGAAGGCGAGACAGTCACGACCCAAAAAGAAACTCAATTCTGGCTTCACATCGACGTCATGTATCGCGCCATGATCTTCGCCGGGTCCCCCGATTGTACTCCTAGGCAAATTGTGTTTGACGACGGCAGGCGAGGTTGGGTCTTTGCGTTCAAGGTCAACAGTAGGCTGTACGATGACAAGGTGCCGGAACGCCTCCCACGGCACTGGAAGGAGCAGGTGGAAGAGCTGCGAATCGCCCTCGGAAAGACAGAGAAACCGGCGTGGTATAAGGGGTACGAGTACGATCCGAGGCTCGATCGTGGGCCGTGGCGTCCGTTTCGCGGGGTACTTGCGTCGAAGAAGCAGCGTCGTGTTATCACACCGATTCAGGAAGAGCCACCTGAATGTAGCGCAACGACAGTCGCATAGGTGACCATGGTGCGCGTACTTATTTTCCTCTTCGCGAGCGTGAGCTGACCCAGGTCGATAAGGCTTGCCTTGAGCAGCATCGCCGAGCTTCACGCTTTGGTCACTCCTCATTCCAACCTCCTTATAACCCCCTCGCAATCCTCTTGCAGCATCCCCGTAGAACGGCGCTCCCTTCCTGGTATATTAACGTGTCTTTGTCTCACTGTTTAATCTCAATTTACTGTTGTATATATAGCATGCGACCTGAACTAAGGCCACTGAGACCATGTTGTATTACGGGCTCACTCAACCTGCACATCGTATCACAATAATAATTCGTAGCAGGTTTCTCATTTCTCATAATTGCATCTGTCCATTCAACCAATCAACACGCTTCATGGTACCTTCAACGTTTTTAACATCTCAGAGTGTGTCATACGAGACACGAACGTATTTCACACGCTTATGAGAGCCATGGTACAGACGCGACGCGCGAAGCGAAGACACATTTTCAACTCTTTGACCGTGACTATCATCATCTACGTATGTATTTTCCCACTTCATCGTTCCGTGTAGAGTCCTGAATCTATACCATAGAATGCCTCAATACTACGGATACGGCTGGACCGAGGAATTCCTGAACAATTGGGCCCGGAAGAGAGGACTGAAAGTGACGACTTGCATGGGCCACCAACACGAACTCCACTACGACCTCATGTGCGAGCTGCAGGATATGATGTTGGTCTCCATCTACACCGAGGTCCGGCGAGTCGTGATGCGAGACGGCCAGCGGGGTTGGGCCATTGCCATTGACGTCAGCGACCATGCCTTCGATGACAAGTTTCCGAGAGGATCCACTGTAGACAGGGATAGAGAGGTGGCTCTGAAGCGTATGGCACTTGCGGTCAGGGCCATGCCGACAACATATCAGGCATGGGAGTACAATCCAGAGTATGATTCTGGGCCGTGGCTTCCGGTTCGAGTGCGCAGAAACGCTACGGAGGAGCTTGGTGCAGCACGGCGATAGGCATAGTGAGGGCAATATGGCATTTTTGTCTACCCAGAGGGCTATTTTACTCGTCGTATGTCTTGGTTCTCAATCTAAGTGGAAAACAAAGGTAACTCAAGTTATGGCGTACCTGAGCCTCACATCACTGAGCATCGGGTGAGCCCATACGCGTACGACGTGACACTCTGAATAGTGTAAGCTAAAGTTAGATAGTATAGCTACAGTTGCTAAAATTGATGAAATTGTTAAACAAGAGCAAGAATTGAAGACTTTACTGAATGGAAATCTAAAATTCAATATTGAATACTCTAGCGATGAAATCAAGCGCGATTTATAGTACACAGATCCTCAAGGTACAATGGCATAGGGCGCCCGAGGTTTAGGCAAAGCACACCCTGCACAAAGTACACAGGTATCAATCCGGATCGACTATTGCAACTGTTCCAGTCAGTATCAATAAACGGGAGCGCGACGCATGCAGATGCTTACCTCCAGTGAAAAGGAAAGGAAAATGCTCGGTAAACACGCCCTGCATGTCAAAGCCCAGAGCCTCAAACTTAGCTTTCGTCGCCGGTCGAAACCTCACAAACTCCCTGGCCCTCTCCCTCGCATCTCTCCTAAACTGCCGTGGCAACCAGTCCGCGTCCTTCATCCTGATTCCTGCCCCGACAGCAATAACCAACAGCGCCTCGAGGTCCGCAACGTCGTCGACCTGCTTGACCCTGTAGTACTCCAGCTCGGCATCACGATGGTCCACCCAGCCACGCAGCTTGAGTCCAATGAGCACTATGAGCGGGACGACAGGCACGTCCGGTACACGGGTGTAGCATACGCGCGTCCGTGGTATGCTCGGGAGGTCGAGCGTGCCCGGGATGAGGATGTCGACCTTACACCGCCGGCCGACGGTCTTGGCCGGGTCGGATGGGTGCGGATTGCGCCCTGAGAGCCGGAACCAAAGGACCTTGTAGGTCTCGTCGCGTTTCTTGGACGGCACGAGGAAGAACTTGCGTTTATCGGAGTCGACGAGGATGCGCTTGATTTCCTCCGGGTCGCGGGCTGTGAAGACGACTATGTCTATGTCCTGTGTGAGAGGTATGTGCGTAGGACCATGAGTTGAATGTGTGGAGAAGAGGGAACGTACGCGAGGTATCCTATTCCGCGTCCCATACATCGAGCATGCAGCACTCCCAAATACACAACACCGGAGGTCATTTTCCTCTAGAAGCTTCACAGATATACGGGCAACCCGACGTATCTCTTGGATCGTGGCTGGTCCGGTGGGTCCGGCTGGTCGGTTATCCATCATTCAAGGTCGTGTCGATGTCAAAGGAGGGCGTTAATGTCGAGAAGTCTAATCCAAGGCCAAATCCACGAGATAAGGAATGAGATTATGGGTTATAGTAAAAGAATGGAGCGACGATGTCGCCGTCGAGGGCAGACAAGTTGTGCCCAGAGCCGCGGGTACTATATGAGTCGGCGCGTCCAAAGCGATTCAGGGGCGGCATCTTGTTTTGAGTCACCACCCAGGCTCGAAAATTCTCTCTCCAGAACGAAATGTCGCGTCGAGGTCAGTTACAAAACCCTTCCCAATATTAATCACTTCCCAATGTTTATACAGAAAAGAACTTGTTCTTATTGGACCCTAAGATTGAGCAAGAAAACATTTCCTATCCAACTACCAATCCCCGTCGAACCCAAGTTCCCTCCAAAGCTCTGCGGTATCCATCCTCACATCCCAAACAAACGACCTTACCCTGTCCTCCATTTCCTCTCTAAATCTCCGCGGCAACCACAGGGCATCCTCGAGATGATCTCCTCTATCGACCGCTATCTGCAAAGTCTCCACGATGTCCTCGACATCGTCGTACTGTTTGTTGAAATAGCGTGGCTCGTAAGCCTCGCAATGGTCCTCCCAACCCCGCAGCTTCATTCCGAGAAGCACGATCATTGGTACGCATGGAATCCCTGGCACGTTCGTGTGCTCGACCTTGCTCCTGGGTACACTAGGGAGGCCCAGCGTCCCGGTGACCAAGATGTCTACCTTGCATTGCCGCTGCCTCCTCCCGCTGGAGCGTAAGCTGAACCACAGCACCTCGTACGTCTCGTCAGGCGTCTGCGCTGGGAGAGTGAAGTATCTGTCGTCAGCATCCACGAGGGTTTGCTTGAGGCCCTCTGGATCATGCGACGTGAAGACGACCATGTCAACGTCCTGTCAAACGCAAAAAGGTCAGAATCGAAATGGATGGTAAGTATAATGAGTGTACTGACGCACGTTTGGAGTTCTGTTCCGCATGCCGTACATCGAGCATGCTACACTCCCGAACAAGCAGCACCGGTACCCTGCCTCGCCAAGCGCGCTCGCGGTTTTTCGCGCTACTTGGCGGATCTCCTGGAGCGTCGGCGGGCCAGTCGGAGGGAACATGGTGGCGGGAAAGGTGGTTGTCCACAGGAAAGGGATCCTCGATTCAACAATGAGATCTGTCTCACGTACGTGCTACTTAATATGTCGAGGCTGCTGACCAGTGGGGCTGATTCTTTTCGCACGGCTGTACTTATGTTTGCACAGATTGTACAGGACGTTACAAAGCGTAGCGACGACTCTTTGGCCTCCCAGTTCCTTTTGTGCTTGAATAGATTTTCTGCCAATAATCTCAATGTAAGTGCCCTGCTCACTTGTATTTGTCATGCTGTTACAATAATCACATCATCGTCTTAGACGGTGGCCGATTCCTTCGTGTTTTGACTGGGATCACTCGTCTTACGAAACCTCTTCACAAGCTAAAATCCCTTTCCCACATGCTGCGACCTTGCTTTGAGGTCAACCACGCGAACGTGCTCCATTATTTGGCCAGCAATCAGCGACAAACCGTAAGTATTCTTACTAACACTAAACGAACATGTCCTACGCATCACCAGTCTCCGTCGAACCCAAGTTCTCTCCAAAGGTGCTCGGTATCCTCCCTCGCATCCCGACAGAATGATTCTATCCTAACCTCCATATCTTGTCGAAACTTGCGCCGCAACCACGAATAGTCGCTGACGTGCTCCCCTGCGGTTACTGCTATGTGCAAAAGTTCTGCGATGTCTTTGATGTCATCGTATTGCTTGTCGGAGTAGTAGGGCTCGGGATGCTTCCGATGGTCCACCCAACCGCGCAGCTTCATCCCGAGGAGCACTATCATAGGCACACACGGCACGCCCCGCACTCTGGTATACACGACTTTGCTTTTTGGTACATTCGGCAGGTCGAGCGTCCCGGTGATGAGGATGTCGACTTTGCATGTGCGTCGTCCCTGAAACCCGCTGGGTCGCGGCAGCCTGAACCAGAGCACCCGGTATGTTTCGCCTGGTTTTCGTGAAGGAGTGGTGAAGAATCTACCGTCAGCCTCCACAATTACTCGTTTGATGTCCTCGGGGTCGTGTGACGTGAAAACGACCATGTCGACGTCCTGTCAAAGGATCAGCCTCATCTCGGTGGACTACTGGCGGACGTACTCGAGGGTCTCTGTTCCGCATACCGTATATCGAACATGCTGCGCTCCCAAACAAGCAGCACCGGTAACCCGCTTCGTGAAGCACGTTCGCGGTTATTCGCGCTATGCCGTTGATCGCCCGGCGTTTGGATGGGCTTGTTGCAGGGTACATTTGTCGTAGACGAGGTGGTAGTGAGCTGAAACGCGCTCCCTGATTATAAGGTGAAGGGACCTGTCCGATTGCTTGATATGTCGAGGCTATAAAAATCCAATTTTGGTCGCGCGAACTGGATTTTACGCATGCTGACCCAACACTGGCTCAGTGCTGACCCAGAGCCGACTTATGAGAAGCTCATGAGAAGGTCGAAGCCGAGAAGTGACTCAGTAGGATTGTTCGGCTTCTCGGCTCCTGTGTGGCGGTTAGCTATAGTTTCCCACTTGGGTTTCTCCATTGTTTTACCAGAGGTTTGGAAAGTTTATGTTAACACACGCCACACGGTATTTGATCTAAGTGCGATCACTCGTCCCACGAACCCTCTTCAACCTCGAATTCAAACCCGATCTCTTCCCAGAGTTCCTTAGTCTGCAGCTCCTGCTGCACGAACTCGAGCATACGGGCGCCCATATCAACTCTGAACTGCTCATCCATCCAAAGCCACTGATTCGCGTCCGCAACAAAGCCCTGATCAACACACACCTGCAACAGCTCCTTGATGTCATCAACGTCGTCCCACTGCTTCCTGTGGTACCGTACTTCATGCGAATTACGATGATCCTTCCAGCCGCGCAACTTCATCCCCAGGAGCGCGATAAGCGGCATGCAGGGTATTCCCTGCGTCGGATACGCGATATTTCGTGAGGGTACGCGTGGGAGGCCGAGTGTCCCTGGAGTCAAGATGTCAACTTTGCACCTGCGCCCGTTCCCGCGGAGACTGAGCCAGAGGATCTTGTACGTCTGGCCTGGCGCGCGGGAGCGGACGAGGGTGTAGTTGTTGTCCGAATCTGCGATGAGGCGCTTGATGTACTCGGCATCGCGGGTTGTGAGAACGAGCATGTCGACGTCCTGCGACCAGACTCTTGGTCGGCATGGGCTATAGTGCTGAGAAGGAGTGAGGTGTACTTACCCGAGGAACCCTGTTTAGTTTCGCCCCGAATGCTGCACACGCGGCACTACCGAACACACAACATCTCATCCCATGCCCTTCGAGCAGGCTGGCAGTCGTACGCGCAACTTGGCGTATTTCTTCGCGGGTGGGTTTGCCGGTTGGCATGGATGGTGATAAACACTGCTCCGACCTTCGCCTTTGAGGTCGTGCCGGCTGGGCGAGTCTCGACGATGCGAGATAAGGGTGGAGTAGTGTCTCTATACGCTATATAAACGAGGACGTGGGGCGTATAATTGGGGAGAACGCTGATCAGAACAACTCGGGGCTAGGTCATGGGGCTGCACAACTCAAAGTAGGCTGATATTGCTCAAAATAGGCGGTCACTTTAAGTTACTAAACTCTCCCTTCGCTCTTGAGATCCTTGTCCTCGACGCTACTGGCTGAGTACCATTTGATTCGCCATTCTGTTAGTTGAGCGAAAACTAGTTGTTTTGACGTTTGTAGGGCAGATTCACTGACACATTAATCACTTAGCACTAGAAACTAACAAGCGCTTAAGCGACTTCTTCCTTCGGCTCAACAAACACGCGGGTGATAATTGTGTATGTGCGGGAACAAGATAGGTATAAGGTTCTAGGGCGAATCAGCTTGAAAACACGTGTATCAGCTTCTCGGTGTTGAGTCACTTTACTTCCCTGGACTATCTTTAGGAGGTTATGGGAATCGTAGCGTACCTTGAATAGGACGCACCGATGTGGATGTGCCCAAAAACAATGCAGTGAAGATTTAGAGAGAAGCTAAATCACTAGATTAGGGAGCGGGAATCTTGCTCGACTCGGAGTCCTGTTCGATGCCAAACAGAGCTGTAGAAAAACAAGCTCCGGGCCGCCGCCGACGCAATGCTAGACGTCGAGTCGCGGGAACGCTGAAATCCGCTCAAACAAAGACATCCATCTAGCCCGATCCACCGTGCCTTCTATTTGACGAGCTTCGTTCGGTGTGATGTGAGTGTTCCAACGTGGTACACTACATGGAACGGTATTTCATGGTATTTCATGTGTCTGTTGAACACGGTGGCACCGTCACCGTAGGGTTGTTTGAGGCCCTGGCTTCGTCTACTAAAGAAGAGCAGCCGCTAGTTGCTGCATCCTGTGTGCCTCACGGATGCCGATCTAAACATCTACCCACATCCGTGGCTCGGACGCTTGACAGTGTACTGGGTCTGCTGCAAGAAACACGGCTGCGCATGACGGTTCTGCAGGCCGATGTCACCAGCACTGGGTCAATTTAGAACGTTACTGGAGGGTTGGAATGGGATTCAGCGAACGAGACATTGGAGGCACTAGTCGTACTCGGTCCTTCTATCGCTGGGCACGAGTGGGTGGATGTGGGCAACACCCTGGCAAGCACCCTGTTCGTCAGTTTCGCGAGGCTAAGTGCACGGATGCGGCGAGCCAAGGGTGCCGAGTCGAAGGTGGACAGGAGATGAGTGCTGCATTCAGGAGATTGGCGGAGGTCCACGAAGAAGAACGTAGCGGAGATGAGCGCTAATGAGCGCTGATAAGCTATGTACCATTGATGGCCGTGCCGACATGACGTTGGCGCAGCACAGGATGAATGGAAACAAGAGCTACTAGTGGGCGCTCTTGTAGACGCTTGACTCTAAGCATGAGCGCTGAGCTTTCGATACTACTTGTGGATTATAATGTTTGGATTAGTTCAGACGCGGAGAGAAGGATGAATTGCATGACGATGGATATGCTAGGACAAGATGCTTACCGATTGCCTGCTGATGGTAAGGTAAGGAGCAAGAGACAAATATACTTAAGCTTCGGGCAACGGCGCATGTCGGGAGGGCAGTGGCTGTACATCAGCATGGCAGTGCAATTATGTCACCCAGAGAAAGGCGCCGAAGCCTTTTCTCTCCACACTATCGATGCGTTCGTGCTCAACGTCTCAAATGATCACAGCCATTCATTGTCTTGACAGCAAAGGTGGACCTTCCCTGGATCTCCAACGATGCTCCACCGTTAGCCTGACAATGTTCACTTGGCACATCAATTCCTGTGACCTATGCCTTTATATACCCCAGAGCTCGCCCATGCCAGACTTTGTTAACGTCAACTTGAACGCTATTGCCAACACGCACTCATCTTCGCGAACTTGATCAACAAAAACATCCATCTCATACCTTGCCCACATATCGACCCCATGCTCCTCACCCTCGATCAATCTGGTGACGCACGCCAGGCTAACTTCATCGACGAGCGCGGACAGCTTCTTTACAAAACTGACACCCCATGGAAGTTCGGGCACCGCACAACCACGATCGTCAAGGCGCCCTCCAACGTCCCAGGGATGAGCGGGGGCTCGGTACCTGTCGAGATCGTCGCAGAGATCGAGTGGGGGATGATCCACCATCGGTTCAGGTTTGCGGGGCAGGAGCTCGAGGCTGGGAACTTTATTCCATCAAGGGGGTTCACGAAAAGGCACGTTCGTTTTACTCGCTCTGCATCTGACGAAAAAGGGCTGAACAGTGCCCATTGACCGTAGAAAACGCGTGTTCAACGGTCCCGACGGGCGCGAGTACGAGTGGAAGATGTGCGATAACCTGACCAGCTGCGAGGTGAGCATCTGGGCCCTTGCTATCCCCACTTCGCGTCGTCTGCCTCGACTGCATTGTTGCTGACCCAAGACACACATCGATCGCAGCTCCGCACAACGCAAGATAAACACACCATCGCGCGTTCGCACCGCGCGCACTTCCACTTCTTCTCGGACAACGAGCGGCCTAAACTTGAAATCTTCCCGGAGGGATGTCACATGCTCGATGCGATCGTGATGACGTTTGTGTTCGTCGACCATCTCCGCAGGGAGAAGAAGCAGAGTCAGCAAAGCTCCGCTGCTAATAGCGGGGCGGCGGCTGGGGCGAGTGCCGGTGCATGTTGAGTATGTTGCTCATTTCTTTCTCTCTGAACCATCCTTCGCTTTACAATAATGTAAGGCACCGTGCCCTGTATTGTTTTGAATGTCACAACAACATGCCTTTATGTCGTATCCGAAGGCGGGGCATGATTTTGTGAGGAGTACCTGGTCTGCAGGCACTCAAGAGGGGCCACCTTCAATCCAATATTCTCTTCGCCGTCACTTTCGGGTCACCCAAAGTATCTCTATGTCGTTCGCCTTACCATCAATACGATCCGCCTATGATCGGCAAAGGTTTGATGTCACTCTCAGAAGTTTATGGTCCAAGGTTGGGCTCTAAACATATACAATGACAACTCATTTCTCGGTCATTTAGGCGGCATATTGCAATGCTTTCAATCGAACCTCGTGTCTCTATTTCTGGCTCGCATGCGGAGAGGACATGGACGCGCTCCTTGCTATGATATCGCGGGTATTCCTAGCTCTCGAATCTCTAACTTGGTAGTTCATACATCCATTCCACGCCATCGTCATCGTAGAACGCTTGAGCCATTGCTATGCCTATACAGGCTGAGAAAGATCAGCCGTCCAGTTGGTCAGTCCTATGTGCCTCACAGACACCGATCTGGGCGTAATGACAACAGCCTGGCCGAACATAGAAACACTCTTCCTGGGTGGGTCGACTCGGGATCGCGGGACAACCGAACCTCTATCCGCGCCCGCGAGGCTCGGTGGTGCACTGGCTCTGCTGCGAGATACACGGCTGCGCACGGCGGTGCTGCAGGCCGATGTCACCAGCGCCCCAATCAATTTGGAGCACCTGCTGGAAGGTTGGAGGGAGATCCCGCTAAACTAGGTGATGGAAAAGCTAGATCTACTCGGTACTCCTGTCACTGGGCGGGGGAGAACGTGGTCCAACCTGGTCGTGGGTTTTGGGAGGCTAAGCGCGCTGAAGCTGAGAACCGAGGGTGACGAGGTGTATAGCGATGGTAGTTGGGAGCAAGTTGGGAGCGTGGCTGTACACGAGTGTGGCAGTGTAACGTCCCGAGAGCGGAATCCAGATGCTCGTCGAGGCTTTTCCTCCCACCCCACACCACCGACACGTTCGCACTCGCCGTCTCAGAGGTCAACAAATCACAGTCAATACTGCGTGCCGCCACTAGCGTCAAGGACGCATAGGAAATTTATACAGGGACTCCAAGGGACACAATGGTGCTCCATCGCCGGCCTATCAATGTTAGCCTTAGCATTCTCCTGCACACTGATAAACCCAGGATGCTAGCGGCTGCTCGCCCTTACCAGCTTGGCACTTTATCCCCAATCCCACTCATAAACGCACTATAACTTAACCAAGTGAAGAACCTCGCATCAACACCACTTACCCATTCACCACGACATGATCCTTACCCTCGACCATTCCGACGCACGTCACGCAAGTTTTTTTGACGAGCGTGGACAGCTCCTATACAAGACCGAAACGCCGTGGAAGTTTGGGCACCGCACGACCACGATCGTCAAGGCGCCTTCCACTGTCCCAGGCATGAGCGGGGGCTCTGTGCCTGGCAAAGTTGTCGCGGAGATCGAGTGGGGGTTCATCCACAAGCGGTTCAGGTTTGCCGGCCAGGAGCTCGAGGCAAGTGATTTTATCCCATCAAAGGGGTTCACGAGAAGGTATTTCGATTCTGCTCGCTCCGTGTCTGATCAGAAGGACTGAGCAATCCACTGTAACTATAGAAAACGCGCGTTCAACGGCCCCGACGGGCGTGAGTACGAGTGGAAGATGAACAATAACCTGACCAACTGCGAGGTGAGTCTTTCTCCTCATTTGGCGTTGTCTGCGCCACTAGATTGCATCGTTGCTGACCTCAGGTCCGCATTGATCGCAGCTCCGTACAGCGCAAGGCAAACACACCATCGCGCGCTCGCACCGCACGCACTTTCACCTCTTCTCGGACAACGAGCGGCCCAAGCTTGAAGTCTTCCCGGAGGGGTATCGCATGGTCGACGCGATCGTGATGACGTTTGTGTTCGTCGACCATCTCCGCAGGGAGAAGAAGCAGGACCAGCAACGCTCTGATCAGGGGGTAAGCGTAGGTCCATAGGAGGGGTCTTGAATGTTTTGATTTCCTTGCCTTGTTTCTTCTTTCCTCTGCGTGCTGCTTCATTTTACGAAGCTATGAGGCAGCGTAGCCTATTAACGCGCTGGATGCCGTATATAAGTTTGTATTATATCACAGATATTAGTACTACAAGTTAATGACAAACATAAGCTCTCTGGAGTAGATCTGAGGCCGGCAGGGCGTGGTTGTGCACCTGGTCCACACGGCGCTTACGTACTGCCCGAAGCGCTTGCCCGGCTCTCCCCGTCAACCCAAATATGTTTGTCTCCTAACCGCATTGCCTTACCATCAACAAGCCTCCCTGGACTTGTGTAGCCATCGCGGCATAGTCCATCATTTTCTACGTAGCTGAACATCATCAACATTTCAACTCTACAACCATTAATGCACACTGCCACCGAGGTCGGGTCATACAGGACAGTCGACACAGGATCTTGAGAATTCTCGCCTTGGCGTTCTCGTTTACGTGCTCGGAGCTCTGATAATGGATGCTCTCTCTTGCACCTGACGCTGTAACTTGACCAGAAAACCCATATCACCACAATACCACCCACTCGCTCATCCGCCCACCCAGGATGATCCTTACTCTTGACCAGGACGGCGACGCGCGCCAGGCCAACTTCATCGACCACTGCGGGCAGGTCCTGTACAAAACCGACACGCCGTGGAGACTCGGGCACCGCACAACCACTATTGTTAAGGCGCCTCTCGCCGTCCCTGGCATGAGCGGAGGCCCCGTTCCCGGGTCGATCGTCGCCGAAATTGAGTGGGGGTTTGTCCACAATCGGTTTAGGTTTGAAGGGCAGGAGCTCGAGGCGGGGGATTTCATCCCATGGCGTGGATTTATGGGAAGGTGTGTCATCCCTGGTCATGTTCTGCGTCCGACGAAAAGGGCTGAACAATACACTGGTTGTAGGAAACGTGCTTTCAATGGCCCCGACGGACGCGAATACGAATGGAAGATGTGCGATAACCTGACGAGCTGCGAGGTGAGTCCATCCTCTTCGCGCTGGGCGTCGTCTACGTTACTAGGCTACAATCATGGCTAGCGCTGACTCGGAAATGCATGTTACAGCTGCGTACGGCACCAGACAAACACACCATCGCGCGCTCGCATCGTGAGCACTTCCACTTCTTCTCCGACAACGAGCCGCCCATGCTCGAAATCTTTCCGGATGGATATCACATGGTCGACGCGATTGTCATGACGTTCGTTTTCGTCGATCATCTCCGCAGGGAGAAGAGACAGAGCCAGCGGCGTCGTAGACGGTAGGGCGCGTTGAGTGCGCTACTCGCTTTCTTTCTTTTGCATGCTGCACTTTGAAGTTAGTCTGTCGTCAACTTTAATTCAGTTGAATCCACGAGTTCACGATACGTGCTGCGGGGTATGTTGCCCCGAGATTATTGTATAAGGCGTTGGATGGTGTACGCCAGTTTGTAGTATACCCCAAATACCACAAGTTAATCACATGAACATTATCAGAAAGCGATGAACTAAGTCTGTTGGAAGGAGGGAGGCTATTACGCGTGGGAGAGGACGTGCTGGCGTGATTGCAGCCGGTGCCCTCGAGGGAAGCGCCCGAGAAGCGCCTGCAGCTCGCTAATTTTTGCTCTGATCCATTGAGCGACTGGCAGCTCGCTTCGTTCCTTGTCCTCAGCCCACCACGTTCATGTCGTCCATCGAGAAAGCACACCTTGAATCGATGTCCCTTCCGCCAAGCAAGCCACAAAGTCATCTCGAACAGCCAAGCTATCCCAATCAGTCTCGCATGGCTGTACCCAGCTGATATCACTGTCAAGAATGGAGTCTAGCCTGTGCAGGGGTCCGACGGCGAACTCGATCCAATTCAGCTCGTCTTTCTTCAACCCATGCCCTCCTCTCACACAATCTCGTGAACATTCCCTCCTCTCCCGCTGCCACATTTCCCTTCCGCGCTTCAGACTTTGGTTTCTATTTCTGAATACGACACTGTGGCCATGCAGCGTATCCAAGGAGACTTCCCTAATCCCTTCGCCTCTATCATAGGCTCTTCTAGCGGCATACCATTCCCATTCCCAATGCCAGCCATCCAACCGCCCAGGAAAGACCCACCACCACATCCCACCGTGCGCGACATCGGCTACGCGGCGCGCACGATCGTGCAGTGCTTTCAGCAGCATGGGCTCAGGTGCTGCGTCTTCGGAAGCGCAGCGTGCGTCATGTACGGTGCGAAGTTGAACAGGATACCACGAGTGCGTACTTCCTCTATCTAGCATTACTCCCTCTTATCTCGCCGCTTATCAACTTCGGCGCTTTCGCGTACACAGGACCTCGACATCGTCGTCTTCACGACTCACCTACCCGAGGACCTCAAACGCCTCCTCGCCTCCACAGACCGGCGGTTCCACCTCATCCCGTCAAAGGCACCTAATTCCCCGTCGCATATCGTGCTCTACTTCCGGCTGCGCGGGCGGCGCCCCGACCCCGCGCGCGAGCCAGGCTCGCAGCGAACCCTACCGCGCACGCTCAAGGTCGACTTGTGTGTCCCCGGGATGCTCGATCTGCCGTTCGTGCCTGCGTGGCACATGGTCTGCGGGCCGTGCGAGCCGTGTGTACCGGTGGTGCCGCTGCTGGTGTTGCTGGGATTAGAACTCAGGGGCTGGACGGACCATCGCGACTCAACGAAGGAGAAGTACAGGGAGAAGACGAATGACCATGTGGATGATGTGGAGAGGTTATTGGAGGTTGCGGTGATGGGCCTAAATGATGAGGGAGAGGGGAGGCAGAAGAAAGCGAGATGGAAGGACGTGGATTGGTTGCCGGAGCAGTTGAGGGAGAACGTGCAGCGAAGGGTGGGCGAGTTCGTGAAGGAGAGGCCGGGAACGGTGGATTGGTGGCGAGCATTGGGATTTGAGGTCGTATGGGGGGAGGGATGACGGTATGCTTCCATTCGGTGATGATGTTGGTATCTTCTTACCGGGTCGTTCCCTCCAGCTGTAACATAATCTTGTATATGTCACTCAAGTGCTTATATTGCTGGTCGATACGAAGCCTAGAGGACCAATTTTCACATTGCAGTATCATAACAGATTGGAAGCTATCCACAGACAGCCTCCGCGTCGCTACCACGGAGAGTTATCGCAAAACAGACATAAAACACGCAAAACTTTATAGGTGGCGCGTGTCGGTTCGCTCGGGCGGTTCACCTAATCTCTTATTCATGAGACGAAAGGAGTCTAACCATCACAATTTATTAAGGATTAAAACTCAACAGGCCAACACGTATAACGTTCAATGTATCAAGAACGTCGATGTGAAGCTCGATAAACAACTTCCTCCCAATCAACACCCCATACCCGCGCCTGCTCCTGCGCTCGAGGTCGTTGCACTCATATTCATCATATTCATCTGATTGTTCATCTTGTTGTTCTGATTATTCATGTTCGTAGAATCGACAAGCTGGTGCTCGCTCTGCTTCTCCTCCCTGCAGAGGTGGTTGATGAACACGAAAAACGTTCGACACAGCGAACTCACGTCGCAGCGGTACGGCTATCAGAGATTCGCTGTTAGAAACGTACGGAGTTGGTAAACGTCAAAGAGAGCCCGTTTCGGATTCGAGGAGGTTCGACCTTTCGAGACTAGGTCGGTGGTACAGCGACAGACAATTAGCATCCGTTCTCGACCGCTTTGAATGGTTGAATGGCACTGTAATTGACCCAAGCAACGCTGTGTTCCTGGGAAATTGTTGCCCGCCCGCCGGGCGCTGGCATCGCCATACGGGAAATTCCGGTCGGTGTCATGGGCGTGTGCCCTCCGAGTATAGGCTCATACCGTATGCAATCCCTGGATTGCCCTGTCATCATTCGCGTATCGCCTTCGTGTCTATCACTCCAGGCGACTTGTACGGGTTGACGGATCAAAACTCCATCCTCCTTGTCGACCCGTTGGAGTACGATGCGTTGATCATCCAGGTTGAAAATATCTGACTTGACAGATGCATTCATTTCACCTTCATTTCACCACTTCCCCGTGTCAACAGACGATCCCAGACCAGGTCTCTAATGCTAACCAGAAATAGGCACATGCCTGTCTCTAGCAGCTGTCAACGGCGCAAGGAAAGATTCATATTGACAAAGTGCGGACGCCACCATCTTGGCGCTTGGCCTCGACATGTTTCAGACACAGGCGCGTTCATAGTCAGGCATGTATCTTGCTCCAATGGCTCATATTCGATACAGTTTAAGAATAGCCTCCAATGAATGAGTCACGGCCATGGTGGGTTGCCAGGAGTATATTATTCATTCGAGGCTAGCAGTGCTTATCATAAATGATGCCAACGCGCCCGAACGCCGAGCGAGGAACACTCTTTGTCAAAATGCTCGCAGAATCCATGAACCATAAACATGTCGTATAAATACTGTGCCATTCCGACCATTCTCACGTCGAGCAGATCCTCTTGTCCTTCCCTGAAGACGACCGTCTACCATGTCTGCCGACTTTTCTCAAACTCAACAGACGTTGAATTACGGGAATGGTACGTGCCCCTATCCTTCGATAAACCTTCGATCACGTAACTTACTGCCGTCTGTCTTTCATCTACAGTGGCTATATGCGCCCTGGCAGTGTATGACTATGGCAAGTTATTTGAGTATGACATTCCATTCCTTGTTCTCATCCCGCCCAGTGGTCTACTTCGATCAAGAGGTAAGTGGTTACAACATGTGACAACGATGAAGAAAGTCAATGCTGCCTTGGCAGGTCAATTTTATCTGGGTGAGCATAATTGGCCAAAATTATGGACTACACTGACAATCTGCTAGAGAAGGGATGAATCTATGCCGTCGAAATGTCTGTATGCCACCGTGAGTTTCAGTATGACGTTGACACGATCAATGTGTGATATGCTACTTTACTAGATGCGATATTGCGGGCTTTTGTATGCTATGTAAGTCATCGGATACCCTCATTAATTTATCTTTTCTTTGAGCAGTATATGCTGACATTCCTTATCAGCTACGGGGTCGGTGAGGGTACATTCTTCTAAAGTGCCAACGGAGCCTGACCAATGTCCAAGTCCCAATTGGCCAATGGGGCGTGTCTTCGCATTCTTGGTATGGAGTAAGTGGAGTTGCGTTGTTATCTAATTTTCGGCTACATATGTTCTCTGAAGATGTAAGTACCCCATGCTCTGTTATGATAACACGGTGTCTGATTGCGAGCGATTTCTAGCTGTGAGTCATCTATCAAACCTTCTGATTTCGGCTGCCAGAGCTTTTCATAAATAGGTTACTCAGGGATCGTTATCACGATCGCGACAAACTATGCTGTCGCGATTGCTCTCGACGGTACGCACTCAGATCTATCTAATATTTGAAAATCTAGAACATTCTCGTTAGCCATGATGACTTTACGTGTTTACGCCCTCTACGGCCAGTCAAAAGTTGTGATTGTTGTACTATCTGTATTCTTTGTGCTCTCCCAAGGCGTAGTCTTTGTATCACAATTCATTCCATACGTGCCCCAGAAGCGCCACAATACCATGCCGACAAGGACGATCTCATACGCGCAGCCGGCTGCGTTTCCTGCGATAAGGACCCAGCCATAGTTGACAGCGCGTATGCAGTATGGTGGGACCAGTCACTTCATGTCACGCCGTAATTTTTGGTTTTTCCCACTCGAACTCAAAATTTGAGCTCTCAGGATGCATATTTGAATCAAATCTCGCTTTCTAGCAAAATTCGAGAAAACGGGCGCTTAACGGCCAAATTTGGCCTTGAGCAACGGTATTATGACTCTGGTAACTGGAATTTTTGGTCACCGGGATCCGCGAGCGCATTTTCTACACCAATCTCATTACTTCTGCTGTTGAAAATAGCCGTAAAAACAATTCTAACATCACATTTAGATTAGGTTCACGGATTAAGCGCCCATAACACGTGACAAAAATGGCCAAATTCATGTGGGAATGATCTAATTTTCTATTAAAATGCCAGCAGTCAAAATCTGGCCCGACAGTCCTTCTTGCAATGTCAAATGGAGCTCAAAAATGCAATCTAGGCCAGTTCCAGCTATATCACACCGAGTTATTGAGGGCCCAAGTCACTCACCTTGGTACTTGTCACGAAGTGACTAATCCCACCATACGACCCTTCCGGGACTCCTGGTTGAACCCCTACTCCTCGATAAATTTTCGGTTAGCATTATTTGTGGCGGGTAAAGGACGTACCAATGATTTGCAGATGGGGACATGTTTTGGAGTTTAGACGAGATACGCTCCGATCATTTCAGGGATTCCTGAGCATCCTCGTTCGCGATAATATACTTTACTTCATATTGTGAGTACTTCCGTGCTTTTCATGCGCAATTGAGGCTGACGTGAGGGTAGTATAACCATAAGCGTCGTGCTTTCTGCGTGTTCGTATCTGCCTATCTATATGAACGTGAGCAGAGACTCTCCCATTTAACTTCACAAAACCGTAATTGACTACTAATTCTCCAGGGAGATCCACTCAGCGTGCTTCCTTTCAACCTCGTGACCGAGTTATTTGCAGGAGCCATCACATGCGTACTTGGTCCTCACATGATGTTTAGTATCCGACAATATGACGCTGATTTAATTAAAGGTGGAACATCCAGCGGAGGTGAAGTGGGACCGTTGCATTTTGCGGCGGATCACTCTGTTGGTGATCCTGAAGCTACTATTGGCGTGGTTTCTGACTACTGATCGACCAAGTTTGGCGATCAATTACATGACCTGATATCGATTTCTCTAATCAAACGCAGTATATGTACAGTACATTCGTTTGTTTGCGCCGTATGATATCTTCAGGTGCTTGAGTAGATAGCGTCATGGCTGGTATAAGATATGGATAACTACCACTTGGTCACTGTTCATCCTCGTGTAGGTTTCATGCAAACATGAACGAAGTAAGCGTATCGCTCGGAACACTACGTCGTCCTTGGATTTTAAAAGTATCACGTCTACGAACGTTCATGATCAGATACGGTCCAACTAGCGATGTGATAACTGTTTCCAACACGAGTCTTATCTCGTTTGCTACTGCCTTCTGTCAATTAGTCTGAGCGGTTATTTTGCTACAGCAGAATATTATGTCCAAGTAGAAGCTGGAACATACCTGCCCGACTGTCAATTTCTCCGTCACAAGAACAAACACCATGAATACAGATGACCTAGTTACACGCGTCACAACCATAAGCTTGTGCATTATTAGGATACTCAACGCGCAAAAGTAGGTCAAGTCCTCCCTGACTACTAGATAGAATAGATCATTCGACCTCCACAGAGTATTGATTGGAGTCTGCCTTGACGTCTTGATATGAATCTTAAGGCGCCATGCTACTATGACAAATGCAACGATCTCGAATAGAAGACTTGAAACGGAGAACAATAGGAACGGCCAGGAGGTGCTGTTGTATGTCCACACACAAATTCGTATACCCGAGAAGATCTCGACCTCGGCAGACGCTAGCAGAAACCCATTGTTATTGTATCCTTATAAGATGTGCACGTAAGTGGATCAATACTCGCCCTCTGTGATTCTACCAGTGTAAACGAACGTCGACGCAGTAGATATTACATTTCCAACCTGAGCTATGATGAATGAAGCGAGCAGCAGGTATGCGGAAGGTGTAATCGTCCTACAGAGTGCGTGCACTTATATCATGATTACACCTACAACAATCATCAGTGGAAACTGATGCAACAGTGCAGCCACGAACCTTGAGCCAAGAAAATCACTAGCATTAGAAGAACTACTGTTAGACCTAGAAGACTGAAACCTGTTGAACAGTGTTAATGAGATCTATTCCGTGACCCCTTCCGTAAATCATCGTACATGTCCCTCTGAGGCAACACCTCAAATAATGAGTGTTGGTAGCCTTGCAAGTGCTGACTAGACTTACTTATAGAGTGTGTAAAATCCGTTAGCGTGGAACGTCTGATAGAGATCCACTTTGTCGATGACCGAGTTATGTAGGCTGCTGACAAACATTATCGTGTCTACAGCGCAGAAATCCTCGATAGTGAGTCGAGTGTACCCGGGCGTGTTTTTTCCTAGGTTCCAAATGAGTCGGAGAGACTTTGTCTAATAGTATACTGACGTAACAGCAAGAATTCCACCGTAGCATAGCTACTTGTCATACTGGTGCGGTTTTAAGGCCACAGCATCTCCTAGTTCATGTCGAGGTCACGCACAGCGGAATACAAGACCGCTACCGCTGACCATCGTTGTCACTGCATATTACGTGATATGATGACGCACATGTTAGCTTGAAGTTACAATAGTCACTACATAGAGGATTTAGTTTACTAAGCGTAGAACTGTCCATCTAGGGGTTACTTTACCCCACCAGAACATAAGAATGACACTTCATTCATTCATTCATGATATGATGAACCTTGCGCTAGATCTGAGTACGAGAACGAGATTCGGACCCATATAAAGCTGAATCACGGCGAAAATTCATTGGAGAATTATCTTTGCTTTGGCCTTATTATTATACCTCGTGTGCGAGGCCAATCACTGAAGCTTAGAGCACAGTATCTTTTGTCAGACGATTTAACGCGTAGATGGTAGTACAAAATGCAACATATACATGAAGGTTTTAATTGACGTTAGCTATAGGCGCCACGGATAGTTTACCGGACAATTGTTCTTAGCTTCATCCATCATGTTCATTACAACCACCGTGCCCAGGTGCAAATCCGATAGAAGACACGGAATGAGCGCCCGGCAGGAAACGTCCATTGATACGATCGGTATCGTGCCTCCGGACGTTTAGTATCAAGTATGGGCCAAACATGGTCAACCAAAATGTTTCCAGTACAAGTCGCAGTCCGGTGAGCATTGCAGAGGCCTGTTTACAGTGGATATCGTTATTAATACCTGCCTTGGAATCATATGAGCTGCTTGCCTCATTATACCCGCTTGTTTTACCTAGACCGACTATAGCCATGCACGCAACAGAACTACGTCAAACATGTGCGCTTTAGTAAGAATTGATTGGATTCTAAGAGAAGCTGCAGCAACACTTACGCGAAGAAATAGGTCAGATTCTCCCGGGCAACAAGGTGGAGGAGATCATTGGCTTTCCACAATGAGGATGTCTCCAATTTCATGTCTTTGTAGTGTGTCCAGAGGCGGTGAAGAGAGAGGGCAACTGCGACTATCTCAAAGGAGATAGTGGTGCCTATGAAGATGAAGAATGCCCATAAAGATGTCTTGTACGTTGCTTTGCAGCCTAGCACCCCGGAGAGAAGCTGTATCCCTCCGAAGCCTGTTGACGGCACCGTTTTTAAGTAAACTAAACGCTCCGTTTGGAGTTGGAAGTAACTTACCGGAGTCGTCCGAATGTCTATTAGAGACAATGAATGTATCCATGGTGGATACAACATTGCCAGCTTGCGAAAATGCAAGAAACCCGTACAATATATATGTGATTGTTTTCGATTGTCGGTACAATGCCCTAACTCTCACTGTTATGAGGCCTACATGTTTCTTCAGTAGTCAGCTCTTGTGTCAGTATCCAGGGTAAAGACGGAAATTGCCTTGCAAAACAAATATCAGCAACACTTGAACCGTGTTTGTGAGTAGAAGTAGAGTGTAGCCTGCACAAAGCAGCTCTAGTGAGGTTACGATCCCAAAATACTATCCATTATGAAGGAACTTACAAGGTACATTTTGGCTGGTACATGGAAAGGTTGTAAATTGACGTCCGACCGTGAACGCCGGTTAGAGCAACATATGTTACAACTTACCCCTAGAAAAAGCTTCGGTGGTGTACTATGGAGTTATATCTCAGCGGCTCACGTTAGTCTGGAACAGCATAGACAGGCCTTGAAGTTCGTAGTAAATACCGTCAACTGACAATGACGAATTAGCCAGTATTAGGGGGAAGAAGGTCAATCCATTATAGAAAATGTAATACCTGCAGTTCCACTATTGAAGTACACGATCAATTATTGATTATCTCTTGAATATATACGATTATTTTCACTTACGCAGCATATGCCATTCCACCGTACCGAACCTGACCACAGCCTTCTGTTAGCCGCTCGCGACTTTGAAGTGAGATCGTATATGAAGGTACCCACCACCACATATGCAGCACTCATCAATGTCCATTTTCTATTCTGTCCAAAGTGTGGTGGGGTTCAGGTGGCGCATCAAGATAAAATGTTGTATGTACCCATATCAATTCTAGCTACAGAAATAGAGGCGAGTGGTTATTGCCGCGAAGCATGAAAAGGAGAAAAACCGATCATTACCTCTTCACTGAAATTGAGAGCTAAGGATGAAGTAGGGTATAATGTGCATCAGAATCAACCGATGTTTGTACTCGAAAAAAAGAACTGACCGAAGTCATAGCAAACCCAAGCAGTCATAGAAACTATTTGAGGTATTGAGTCACAGTCGCACGTGAGAAAATCAGGCAATGAGAATTATGATGTAGCCAGAAACCTGCCTGTCAAGCGACTTGGTATCTCGACACTGTTGATTATAGTTTCAATTTCTTCCAGTACCCATTGTACCTCAGCAGGGCTTGAGGTAGAGGAGCTCATTCTTACTGTCAGTCTATAGAGCGGTCAATGACAGAGAAGCGTGAGCATATTGCACGACAAGGTGTCGATTTAAGTAGTAGCTGCATACCGTTGATGCCGCCGACATCATAGGAAGGTGGCACTCTTTTCAGCATCAAGATGCGCAGAGAACTATTATGGGATTCATCGTCAGTGGCTTCTTGATAGCTTGATAAAACGTGGCAATGTTTTGGACACCGGCCTGAGAGAAATGTAGGGTGAAGTGACCTGGTGACTGGACATTGGCCCGTATTCCCTTGTTATCCGGAACCATCAATCCTAGATACGGTTCGTGATGTTGGACACTGTCAGCTGTGAGGTGGAGTTCCTGTACAATGATACTGATGCTGATATCACAGGTTTCATCCTGGACGGGTTTTCCATGTGCTATGGGTTCGTGCACCACCAAAATCTTGATACGAGTTCGAATACAGGTACGCTATCCAATAAACCGGCTTCGGGAGTAGCGCGGCGAACATTATCATTCGACAGCTGTTGCCTTTGTCACTGTCCTGACCGTTTGAATTTGAACGCTTATACCCGCGTCACTTCTGTTCCCTGACATCTGTTGGTCCCGGTCAGCCACAATGCCTCCGAGTCCATCATGAGTTTCGGCTCAATAAAATTTAAATTGGGCCATTCACAATATGGACATTACTATGAGTGTACTATGAGATGATCCATCCGAAATATCCACGCCGTTTTTTCACGATTGTGGGTAGTTTGGTGGACCACGATTGCGCATAGTACTAGCCGCCACTGATTAATGATTAGAGCTATGGTCTGCTATGTTACGTACCATTACTCTTGAGAATTGAAGAGGAAGAAGGGAATGTGAACTTAGATCGGGACCATCGAAATAGTGTAACGCTGCAGAAGTAGGACGGGTTTTACCTGTGATTTCCCGGGAGGGCGGCCCAGACAAAACCGATAGCGATAGCCCTCTTGTTCTCTTTAAGGAGTGATTGCCTGAAGCGGACTCGAGGAGAAACAATGTAACAGAGCGGTTGTTGTATACAAAGAGTTTGTGTATTCTGCGGGATTTTTACACTAAAATACAAACGATTAACCTTTACTGAGCACATTAGGTAGGGCACTCTCCCTTGATGAGAAGCACTACCCGACTATACCTAGTTGCTGAATCGCGCCTTGTAAACTCCAATAACATGTTCCTAAACCAACGTTAGATGGGTTCGATTCTCTGTGATGATCAGAGACTTACGGGGTCCCAAGTAGCCTTGAAGCTCGGACGCTCAAGTAGCCTCTGAGTGTACGCGTTGAACTTTGCGAACTCGGGTGCCGCGAGCGCCTCCAGGAGCACCTTCTCCTCGCCGGGCTGGTACTTGCCAAGACCATGATCGAGAGCGAGCTTCAGCCGCGCCCAGAACGGTGCGAACGCGATATCCGCGATCGTAAACTCATCTCCTATAGCGTACTTCTTGCCTTCAGGGAGGAGTGCCTGGATGGCACGTGCACCCTCGAGGGTGGCGGTGTGCGACTCGCCGCGGAGGACGAAGCCGACGTAGCCAGGAGAGAACTTGGCACCGACCTGGTCGATGAAGAAGCGGGCCTTGGCACGCTCGACGGGATCCTTGGGGAGGAAAGTGGCATTGGGGAAGAGATCGGCAACGAACTCGACGAGGATGAGGGATTCGGCGAGTTTGGTGGAGTCAGGCGAGGGCTGGTCGGGAGCGACATCGGGTCCGCCGTAGGCGATGGCAGGGACCTGGGGAAGATGCGTCGTCAGTATTGGTGGACGTACAATAGGCCGATGGGTAATGAGGACGCACCTTGCTCGCAGGGTTCACCTTGGGTGCATACCATTCGGGCTTGTTAGAGAGGTCGATCTGGTACTCCTTGTAGTTGGCGCCAGCTTCCTTGAGGGCGAGTTCGGTCCTCTGTGCATACGGGCAGACCTAAAGAGGCGATCAGATGAGTGTCGTCATCAACCCCTAAGCGTTATCGGTTCATGGTACCTTGGCGGTGTAAAGGGTGATGTTCTGGACAGCGGCGGCCATTTTGAAGTTAAAATCGGAGGAATGGATAGACGAGGGTGTTCTGAGGATAACCGTGGAAGTGAGGACGATCTTATATGTAGTGAGATGACGAGCTTACGAGTGCAGAAGGTAGGCTGCTTATACACCCCCCCTAGTAGGGAATCGCGGAGCGGTCGGGGTCAGTGCCTATCCTTAGTCAGGCGATAGTATTATGACGTGAGAGAAGCCCGAAATTGCGGGACTCAACCATTTGTGTGTTGGTCTTGTGGGTGGTGGGAGAGCTTAGACAGGTCATGTCGAGCTTTTGTGAGGTGCTGGCGCAAGTACGGGACACATGTATGCGCAGTGAGGACGACGAGGCGAATGTGGTTTATGTCAAGGTGATGACACGCGGGGGAAGGTAAACATGGCCAAAGAGACGCGACACGCTCAACTGCTTCCGTCACCTCGCGAACACGACCTGAGTCCGACGTTTCCATCCCGCCAGCACCCCTGGGCCACACTTGCTGGACCTCAAGCGCCTCCTGGGTATCATCCAAACGTAGGCGCCTCGGTAGGAGATGAGCTACGATGCGGATCGTTTGGGCTCGGAAGAGGTGAGGTGCTATCTTCTTGGATGCTCAAGTCACCGAACCGAGGGCTCACTGAGCCATTCTTCCCAATTGGTAGCTTGCGGACGTCATTAAGAACCTCCATCAACCCGGTTATGCCACCGCGTCCTCGTCCACCGCTGTATCGTCAGCTTCTTCCCTGAGCGGCAACAAGCCCTCCTACCTCGACCAGAGACATGGCCTCAAGACTCGTCTAGGCCAACTAGACTCCGAGATCCGCGAAGCAGACGACAAGATTGAGCAGTGGAAAGCCTTGCGCGCGCAGCTCGTTGAGGAGAAGAGCGGCGTGCTCATCCGGATCGAGCAACTGAACCCCGCACGCCCCACTGCAACGAACGGTACCGCGTCTGGCGCGAAGGGCAAGGGACGCGAAGTCCTGATCAACTACTCAGGCGAGTTTGAGTGGAATCAGCAACTCAAGGGGACCATGAGGCAGGTGTTCGGGATTAGAGAGTTTCGGTTATGCCAGCAGGGGTGAGTCGTTATATGCGTTCCACTCGACATTATTCTCACTTGCTGATAGAGTATGCAACGCTAATATGGACGGACGCGACATCGTGTGTGTTATGCCGACAGGTAAGTTTCTCATCATGAACCACCCTATGAGCATCTGATCTGACCTACACAGGTGGTGGCAAGTCCCTCACGTACCAGCTACCCGCGCTCCTAGCACCAGGCTGTACCTTGGTCATCTCGCCTCTCATATCCCTCATGACGGACCAGATCTTACACTTGCAAGAGAATAAAAGTACGCATGTCCCCTTGGTATATGCGCTGCTTCTCACACGTCTTCCATCGTACTGCCAGTCGAAGCCGTCATGCTGACTAGCGCTACCCCAAAAGCTCAAGTCAACGCCGCCGAGGCGCGACTGTACGCTATGGCTCGGGGCGACGCAGATCGTGAAATAAAGCTATGCTACGTCACAGTGCGTACTACCTTGCCACAACGGACTTGGCTGGACTAACGATGTTGCATGTACCAGCCCGAGCGAATCGCCAAGAACAAGAAGTTCTCTTCACTTCTCCAGAGACTATCAGACGGCGGACAGCTTGGTGATTGAATACCGTTTTGCGATATGCGTCAGGTTAGGCTCACATTCAACGCCTTACAGCGAGGATTGTGATCGACGAAGCACACTGCGTCTCGCAGCTTGGCCATGACTTTAGGTATACTCGCACATTTAGCTTCTCGATAATGTTCTAGCTTGAACTGATCAACAATTCAGACCGGACTATCAAAAGCTCAGCACCCTCCGCCAATTCTTCTCACAAGTTCCCATCCTAGCCCTATCAGCGACGTGTCCACCCGCAGTCATGAGAGACATTCTCAAAACCCTCAAGATGAAGCCAACGGTTGACGGCACTGGTGCGATCACTTACCTGACTCATCTGCGAAATGAAGAGCTGACCCATTGCTCACGTAGCCGCTCCACGAGATGGGACAGTTTGCTTCACTGCACCTCTGTATCGCAAGAATTTGCACTATACTGTCTTACCCAAGCCGGCTGCTTCGAAAGACGTCCTCACTGTCATGGCGGATTACATCCGTTTCAACCATAAGGATGAAAGCGGCATCATCTACTGTCTCAAGCGGAAAGTCCGTCTCTCTTCACCGTATCTTTGAAGTCGAGTTCTGCTTAACAATGTATCTTCCTCCAGGATGCCGAGAATGTCGCGCAAGTCCTGCACGAGCTTAGTAAGGGGCAGATCAAAACCGGCGTATACCACGCGGAAGTCGGCGATGCGGAGAAGGAGCACTTGCATAAGCAGTGGCGGTCGGGTGCCGTGCAGGTTGTATGTGCAACTATTGGTACCTCCAGCATTCTGATTCCCGGCTGCTCGGATTTGGACTTACAAACAGTCATTTAGCGTTCGGCCTGGGTATCGACAAAGGCAATGTCAGATTTGTGATTCATCATACGGTACGCGCACTCGCTCTTCATTTCGAGTACGTGCCGCTGAATCATCATACTAGATCTCGGTATGCCTTGCCTGCCCCCTTGATGGAACTGACTAGCTAACAAGAGTGCGCAGAAAACGCTAGATGGCTATTACCAGGAGTCTGGACGTGCTGGGCGTGATGGCGCAGACGCAGACTGCGTGCTTTACTACCGTCCTCAGGACGCTGCACACCAGGCCTCGGTGTCGTTCAGCGACAAAGATGGGCCGTCTAAACGTGCGTTTTATCCTCCTCAACGACTTGACATCGTAGAGACTAACTCATACTGCTGTTCTAGTTCGGGACATGTTAGCCTTCGCACAGGACCTGCAAGAGTGTCGCAAGATCTTGTTCGCCAAGTAAGCCGCAACCAACCCAGCCCGTCTCTCTCCCTTCATCGCTCGAACTCCGCGCTGATAACACGGCTGCTTCAGGTACTTCTCCGCCTCCTCCGAGCTGCAGATGTCCGCGTGGACGACCGCCGAGAAAGGCTCCCTAGATCGGTGCGGGCACTGCGACAACTGCACGCGCTCGCCCGAGACCTTGGACGTGCGCGACGTGACGCTCGAGTCGTGGCAGATCTTGCGCGTGCTCGAGGCAGTGCACGCCGGCGGCGGGCGCGTCACGATGAGCGGGCTCGCGGAGCTTGCGATCGGGCGCGGGGGCGGGGCGTTTGAGCAGGCGCCAGTGCGGGGGAAGCGAAAGAAGGCTCAGGGGGCGAAGGAGAAGATGACGGTGGACTATGATGCTGTTGCGGGAGGAAAGGTTGCTTTGTCCAAGGACGTAAGTAATATCTTATTCATGCTTCTATTTGTTGCTATTCACTTGCTTGGGAACAGAGGGGGTGAGGGTGGTGCTGAGAGATCGACGCTGACACATTGAACGTTATGTTGCAGGATACGGAGTTCTTGATCGTGCACCTGCTCAACGCGCGATACCTCCGCGAGGAGTTTGTGCAGACGGCGTACAGCGTGAACGTGTACCTCGCTCCAGGCCAGCTCGCGCTCATGCTCACGGGGCACTCGAAGGAGGACGTCGTGTGTGGCAAAGGGCGGCGGATCGAGTGCGCGTTCCGAAAGGAAGGCAAGGGTACTGCGCGAAAGAATGCGAAGCCGGCGGCTATCAAGGCGATGTTGGTGGGGGCGAAGAAGGGTGGGCCTTTGACCAGTGGCGCGCAAGAGCTTATGTTTGAGGACATCGAGAGCGGCCGTGAAGGCGGAGCGGACGATGACGACGATGTCGCCCTCGACCAAATACATATGGAGGGTAAAGTGTCGAAGAAGCAGACGAAGAACTTTTTCAAGTCGAACCGGCTGCTTTCCGAGCTCCAGATGGAGGCGCGCGAGGACCGTATGACGTTTGGTGATGTCGAGGAAGCAGTAGAAGAAGACGGGGGCGAAGACTTCACAGAGGCTATCTACGAGATTGGCGATGAGTCATCTGCGGAGGACGATGACGACTGGCAGTTCTCGCAACGAGGGACCAAGAGGCAGAAGACTGGGAAAGGCGACGTGGCTGCCAGCGTCAAGACGGGCTCGACTAGTCGCCGCAGGGTACCACAGCGAGGGAGGTCCATACACCATTCGAGCGAGGTGATTGAATTGTCGTCGGACTAGGGTCTTACAGAAGTAGTGTACTTTTCTAATTTATCTTGTATGGACATTGGGTTGGTGTGGTATACCATGTATCGTTAGTATTCTCTGTGTCATTCACGGCCTTCAACATTCTCCACGTCCAAGAAGCGAACCTTTACAGTAAATTTACTTCCCTTACTATACAGTTCTCGGCGTAGTTCAACCTGCTTCGGTCCCGTCCGGTCACCTTCCAATACTTTCTATTTTTCCCTGCCTTCGAGCTTGGGAGCGGGGGACAAGTCGCCTCTTTTTAAAGGGCCTCCTTAATGGGATACATCGAAACGCAAAGTTTGGAAGCTTCTATGATGGGATATGGGCCCTTTATCTAGTTATCAGTCTACGACCCTACTTAACTGCCGTGATAAGCGCCACCAAACTTAACTTGAAGGCCATCAAAAATTCCAAAAAAAAAAAAAAAAAGAGACCACACGATCCATGCATGATAATTGTTCTATATCCGTATTCAAGCTATCCAAACACAGCTGTTGGCAGTTGAAAAAGACAACCCTGCAAATGATGACAAGCCCTGATGGTGGTGTTGGTCTGGATTTTTCTTAGCAGAGCGGACATGTGCACACTAGCCCGATTTTATGCTTTGTCCGAGGCGAATGCTGTCATCCCTCCGTATGTATCACCATCGATAGCTCAGGGTTATGTTCTAGAACGTGATCGCTGAGGACGTTCGATCAGGTTGGCACAATGTACTTCCTCGAAGCGGTGAACATCAAAAGGTAAGAACCGGCGATCACTGTCCGCGGATGAGACCGTTCAACAATCGCCGAAAGATAGGCAGTAAGCTCTAAAGTCGTTGCCGTCTAACATCTCGCAAGTTCTCGTGGACGACGTTTTGTTATTGCAGTTACAAATACATATTTCGGTCTACATCCATAGTATGATGAATGGGTATGGTGCTGGAGATATTCGTCGACCGGACGTCCCCTTCCTCGTGGTGGGCGCATGTGTGCATACTGCATAGTTCATACCCATAATGCTGTGCATGTGTCGTCGTCTCTGTCGTCGTTTGCCGTGCATTGTGCTGCGCGTGTAGCGCCATCGTGTCGTGTCAAGAAGTCGAAGTTTGAATAAAGTTATCAATGCCCATGCCAAAAATGCCAATGCGATCAAAACAGCTCCGCTCCAGCGGACAACAAACCAATAAGTTATCCCTCCTCTCTCCCTCTCTCGAACAAACCTTTTGCCCTGCGAAACGATGTGGTTATGGGAAGGGCTCCGGCGAAGACGTACGGAAGCCATCTGGGAGCACCGGCGGGCGGTAATTCGTGCGCTTGAGCGCAGGGCGGGGCGGCGCTTTTGGGACATGACGGTGCTTAAGATCGATGCGCACGCCGTTCTCGTTCTGCCACCCCTCGGACGGCTCAGGGTAGTCGTCCAGGTCGAGCGGGTAGTCCTCGCCCGGCGGCGGCGCCTTGTACGCGCCCGAGTTCGTCCACAGCTGGTCCCTGATCGTCGCGCAAAAAATCAAATCATCGTTAGATTCGTTGGTCTCGTGATGGAGAGTGTGGTGACGACATACCCTCTGCGATTGAACCACCCCTTGCGCTTCGGGATCGGCGATGGGCAGATCAGATTCTCGCTCCAGCGCACGGAGCGAGCGGCGGGCATTGTAGCCGAGCGCGAGGGCCGTGGCGGCCGGATGCGCTGCTGGTCGCTGTCCGAGTTGCGGCGGTGTGGCAGCGCAGAAGGGCGCTGCTGCTGCTGCTGCTCGGCGAGAACGACGTAGTCGTAATCGTACTCGTATTCATAGCTGTTGGGGTCGAGTTGGGGAGGGTCGCTGAAGGCGACTTCGCGTTCGCGTTTGGAGAGGGAGCGGGACATGCCCTGAGCTACGGGCACCGCTGATGATGACGATTGTGCGGGTGGGTTGGGAGCGTAGCCATTCAAAGTGGCGCGGAGGGCATCAGGGGGAGATGTGCTGAGCCTCTGGGGCAGCTGCTGGCCCGGGATGCCGGACGTCTGGTAAATATATTGACTCTGCCCCTGAGTGGGACCGAGGCCCGGAGGCGCGTGGTACTCGTGTGGAACGCGTTCACTTGCGAGCATAATGCTGTCCTTGCGGACGCGGGTGCCTACGGGCGCAGGCGGAGAAGGCTGGGATCGCGACGACGCTGTCGGGTATGAGGAAGGCATGCTAGAAGGAGCGCGTGTCATTGGCTGAGGCTCGGGAGCGTATGCTGGTGCAGGGGGGTAGGTGTACATGTTGTAGCTCGTGGGGTATCCGACCTGCTTCAGCTGCTCTGCAGGGCTCTGCGAGCGCGAGCGACCTCGTGGTGGCGAGTCCGTCCGCGGCGGAGCATCGGCGGTGCTGCTGCCAGAAGACGAGGAAGATGCCTGCGTCGAGAGTGAATAGATCGAATCACCGTCGTCGTCAATGAACTCGGAGTTGGCGCCGTCTGACTTAGCGGCCAGCGAACGCTCGTAGATATACATGTCTGGAACCGACGCAGGATGGATAATGTACATCATGGATGCCTCGGCACCGCCAGGCTGTTGCTGTTGTGCCTGCTGCTGCAGCGACACGGGGAAGACCGCGGGCTCTTTTGACACCGGTGGCGGTGGTGGGGCCGTGGTCGTTTTACGCGTGGAGTCCTCGCGCTGGGCATGAGGTGCGGGCTGCTGAGAGATCGACTCGGTCCGGCCCATGGGGCGGTAGTCGAAGTCGCCCTTGCTCGAGTATGTCCTCGAGGACAATGTAGGAACCTTGAAGGCACGGACGGAAAATCCGCGACCAGCTGGGAGGACGTAGTTCTATGAAAGCAAGGCGCGAGGGCGGTGTCAGGATCACGTGCTGGGATGCGTGAAGAAGGCAAAGGGGGGAGGAAATGAGCACACACCTTATTGGGCTCGCTGCTGCGCTCACCAGAGCGAGGAGGAGAAAGGCGTGAGTTATCTAGCGCAGCACTGGGCATAGCTAGAGCTAGAGGGAGCGTCGAAGAGGTCTGAGAGAAATAATCCCAATGAAACTGGCCAACTTATATAAACTCGTGAGCGGACGCCAAAGCTGTTGATCTAGCGTGGAAAATCACGCCAAGGACATGAGTTTCGCAGGCGGTAGGGCATGAGGTTGATGCACAGGGGATCCAAATGAGATTCAAAAACAAACCCGTGCCGAAAGAGTGAATCTGCAGGCTGGTCTGCGTGAAAGAGTTCTGCGGCTACAATCACTCCAAACGAGTCCTCTTCTTCTCTAAAAGCGCTCCACATCAAGAAGGTCTGACAGTCAGCACTCGTTGAGCGTCAGCCATTTTACCCCGCGTTTTGGCTTTGAACACGCATTCTCCAGACCCCTTATAACCAGCAGCCAAAAGCTTGATTGGCAGGAACGAAATAGCGCACAAGATCTCGAGGCCACGTTATCCTGTAGTGGCGGCTCGTTCCCAAAGGGGAAATTCATCTCGGGCTAATGTAGGCTTGTTAAAGCAGCAGTAGCCAGTGCGTCGAGTGGACTGTAGACATACCAAAGAAGCCCATCAGAGCTTTGTGGGAGTGGTCGAACTACGAGCCCGAATTGGCGAGAAGTTGCTGAACGCGGCTCAGCTTCTCGAAGAGTCGATACATATAGCATCACGCACAGTCTCCCCGATCACACAGGCGTCATGGTGACGTAAGGGCTAGGGCTGGCCCGCTCATACCCGTAGGCAGAACGAGACATGATGAACTCGGGAACGTCTCCGAGAAGTCTTAATGCTACTTGAGAAACGTGATGCTTGTCAGAGACCGAGAGTTACTGAGGAGAACTAAGCATGACTACCAATAGTCGACAAGATTAAGACGCACGTTGAACCATCTGAGGGTTTGGGCTGGATTCGAGAACGAGTCTCTTCCGCAGGCAGTGGTCATTGCAGCAGAATTTGACTCGCAGATATGGGTGGGCTATGTTGCGTACACGTCAGTACGCCCTGAAAGGGAGTTCAGGAAGACGCACCGGTAATAGGAGAGCGAGGTGGCGAACGGCGTTCAGGGAGGGGTAAGGGCTACACCTTCTCCCCTTCCAAGTTAAACTGCTTACTGCAAGATGGAATGAGAGTATACGGAGCCCCACAATTTTCTTCTGTGGGGCACCACATACTAATGTCTGTTTTTGCGCCTGAGCCTCCTGCTGGAAACACGAAAACCTACGAGTGTAATGTCAACTCGTGAAACAATTTTCCTAGACTTTTTCGCCTCAGATATGCTCGTGCACGAGGTTCAGGGATGAATGCTGCATTCATAGGCTAACGCCAGACAGTGAGGATCGACAGGACCACTATCCAGCATGAGACACAGCGCGTGGCAGGGCAGGGGGGTGGGCCTCCCCAAAGGTGACATGTCATCGTCATCAGAACTGCGCAGAAGTTAAAAGGAAGTGTATCATTGAACTTTGCTGCTTTGTGGTATCTACATGCGCAACTGCGAAGCTGTCCCAAGGTGTCTATGCCCTAGGCTGTTCGACGCAAGGCTCAATGTATGGTGTGGAAATCCGTGGTGACTTACCTGTTTCCGAAGAGAGTTTGGCTTCCTGTGACGACGAGTACACGCTGATATGTTTAGGCTGATCATGACATAGCACAGGGGTGGGACGTTCATGAGTAGGTTGGCAAAGTTTATACAAAGTTTGTAGATGACGGTGCGAGGGGCAGTACGGAGTTTAGGGCCGGCGCGCGGGGGCATGACACGTCGGATTGGACTCTGGACCATTTCACGACTTACGACGAGCCATGAAACTCAAGGAAATACACAGGACATCCACATTCGCGTGGTCACCCACCGCATCCCTTCCTCTCATCGCGACTGGCTCCGTCGCTGGCGCACTCGACGAGTCCTTCAGCAACGAGAGTCTCCTCGAGATATGGGCACCCAACTTTATGGACAAAAACGAGTACGCCCTCGGGCAGGGCGACCTCGCAGGGCCAAAGGGTATCGTCAAGGACAGCTCTCGGTGCGTCTCGCTACAATCCCCAATCAGCGCCATCACTAACGTCGACCAGGTTCAATCGCCTCTCATGGGGTAACGTCAACGCGACACGTCCACGCGGCGTAATTGCAGCGGGTATGGAGAACGGCGAGCTCGCGTTCTGGGACCCAGACAGCATCGTTCAGAACGCCGAGTGAGTCCCTACAATCTCCATCCAGGTTATCTGATCCTTATCCCGGCACCATCAGACCGTCCTCGTCCCTCATCCTCCGCAACACCACGCACACAGGGCCCGTCCGCGGCCTAGACTTCAACCCCATCCAAGCGAACCTCCTGGCATCTGGAGCTGTCAACGGAGAGGTGCGTTTACGTCCATCAGAGAAGGGCTGATACTGATACGCGTCAACTAGGTTTATATCTGGGATCTTAACGACCCAAGTAAACCGTACTCGCCAACGCCTGGAACACGCAGCACAAAACTCGACGAAATCACATCCGTCTCGTGGAACCAACAGGTGCAGTACGTTCTTGCGGGCGCAAGTAGCACGGGCTACACCGTCGTTTGGGATCTTCGTGGCAAACGTGAAGTTGTCGCCCTCGCGTATGGCGGTGGAGCGGGTACCCTCGCGGGGCAGAGCGGTGTGGGGAGTGGGATGGCAGTTGGAGGTAGACGGGGCATGAGCGCCATTGCCTGGCACCCGGATAACGTGAGTCCATCATATTCACGTTCTCCCAACCGGACGTTAACCAGACGTAGGCAACGAGGCTGGTCACCGCTTCCGAGGACGACATGTCACCCGTCATTATGGTATGGGATCTGCGCAACGCCCGTGCTCCGGAGAAGGTACTTCCCCTCGATCTCCAAACACCTATTCGTTCTCATTATATGCCCCTTTAGATCCTCACTGGTCATGAAAAGGGTGTGCTCTCGCTGTCATGGTGCAAGCAGGATGCAGATCTCCTTCTGTCGTGCGGCAAGGACAACCGGGCCCTTTGCTGGAATCCGCAGACGTCTGAGGTCATCGGCGAGGTACGCCCTTCGTAGCGTGTCGACGTCCAATAACCTTGAGCTTACTGTCCATTCAGCTCCCCTCGGCCGACAACTGGGCGTTCCAAGTTGAGTGGTGCCCTCGCAACCCAGATCTCCTTGCAACCGCGTTCTTTGATGGCACGGTGGGTATCCACTCCCTTCAATCCACAAACGATGCCCTGCCTGCTGCCGCACCGGCACCGAAATCCGATGGAGCCGATGTCTTCGACGTTCCAGGGTACTCGAGAACGACCCAGGGATCTCTCACCCTCAAGCAGCCCCCCAAATGGCTCCGCCGCCCCGCATCTGCATCTTTTGGCTTCGGCGGCCAACTTGTCACGGTCTCCAACCTTCCCTCGGCACAGGGCAAGAACCAGAGCAGTGTCGTGCACGTGCGAAAGGTCGTGGCCGAGGGCGACGTCGTCGAGCGCGTGCAAAAGCTGCAGCAGGCGATCAAGGATGACACGCTCTCGGCGTTCGCGGAGGAGGTTACGACCCAGGGTGGTGAAGGTGTCGAAGGGTGGAAGGCGCTGCTCAGCCTTTTCCGCGCGAACTCGCGCGACGAGCTCGTCACGCTGCTCGGCTATTCCAAGGAGGAGGTTGCGTCGCATGTGGAGGCTGCCATCGCGAAGTTGAAGGAGCAGGCTGAAGCGACGAAGAATTATACGGCCGATGACGACGGCGCGACGGCCAAGCCTCATGACCCTGTGGTGTCGTTCGTGGAACCCGATAACGAGACTGAGACTGAGGAGACTCCAGATGGCAGTGAGGGTGAGGGAGACGGCGAGGGCGAGGGCGAGCGTCTATCGATTACTGGCGCGGAGAAGACGCCCTCGGAGGTCAGTGCCAGCGCTACGTCGGATGCTACTGGCGGCACCAGGCTCGCTGACGGCGAGTCTACCACCACGGCGCCCAGTCTGTTCGGCGATGAGCACGCCGTTGGCACTCCTCAGGTCGACGCGGCTGCCGACTTTTTCAGCACGATGGGCCTCGTCCAGAACGATGAGCAGACCCCCGTCGTTCCCCACCATGGTTACGGGCTGGACTCTTCCGTCGCAGCAACTGTTGGCTCGGGCCCGTCTTCTGTCGCTTCGGAGAACCTGAAGAGTAACACGTTCAAGATCTTCCCTGCCGACGAGTCGGAGACAGACCGTCTTGTCACGCGGGCGCTTGTTCTGGGCGATTTCGAGTCTGCTGTCTCGCTCTGCCTGTCCTCCGACCGTTTCGCCGACGCTATCCTATTGGCGATCAAGGGCGGCGAGGAGCTCCTCCAGCGCACCCAGAAGGCCTACTTCGAGAGCCGAACCACCTCCCCTTATCTCCGCCTGTACCAGTCCATAGTCACCAACGATCTCGCCGACATTGTCCAGAACGCGGACCTGCAAGAGTGGCAAGAGATCTTCGTCGTTATCTGTACATTCGCGAGCCAGGAAGAGTTTGCGAACCTTGCCGAGCAGCTTGGCAGCCGGCTCGAGTTCCAGAGCTCCATCACGCGCGGCTCCGATGCTACGGACGCGGCGCAGAGGGCATTCGAGCTGCGCAAGACGGCGACGTTGACCTACCTCGCTGCGGGTCGCCTCGAGCGCCTGCTCAATGTGTGGATCGAGGAGCTTGCGGAGGAGGAGAAGCGCCTTTTGAACGACCAAGCCAAGCAAGAGGCGTCCCACTACGCCGCGCACGCGCACGCGCTGCAGACGTTCATTGAGAAGGTGACGGTGTTCCGCAGTGCTGTTGAGTACGTCGACGGGGACCTTACGAACCGCGCGGGTGAGGACGCAGGCGCGAAGACTTACAAGCTCGCTGCGCTGTACGACCGGTACTTTGAGTACTCGGACTTGCTGGCTTCGCAGGGTCTCATCCAGGAGGCAGTCTCGTACCTCCAACTTGTGCCTGCTGACTACCGCGGCATGACTATTGATTTCGCGTCTGGCAAGGAACGTCTTCTTATAGCGTCCGGCTCGAAGATGGCGGCGCGTGCTCCAGTGCCTGCTGCTTCCACTTCCAGGCTTCCTCCAGCCCCCGTTGCTCCTACAAATGGTTACTCTGCGTATTCAGGGTATACACCTGCCACTGGTGCCGCTGCGGTCCAGCCTGTTCCTCAAGCGAACCATTATACTCAAGCCACCAATCCTTACGGCCAAGTGCAGCAGCCGTACCAGTCCAACCCGGCTCCTTCACCGTACACAGATCCGTACGCTCCGCCTCAGACTGCGAAGCCAGCCCTTCTATCCCAAGGGCCTAGCCACGTGCAGCCACCAACGACGCTCCCGCCGCCTCCTTCAAGGCTTCCACAGGGCGGTCCCGCTCCACCACCCAAGGCCAACGGCGGTTGGAACGACGCCCCTGCTGTCGTTGACAGGCGCACGCCCAACCCGCCCAACGCGGGCAAGCTCAACGCGATCACCTCGCCTTTCCCGAACATGCCGTCTCCGGGCATGACGTCGCCCCCGAATCCGTCCTCGCCCTTCATGGGCGGCGGCAACGCGGCTCTGCCCCCACCTCCGCGTCCGGGCAGCGTGCAGGGTCGCCCACCGCCACCACCCCAGGCCGGTCAGCGCATGGTACACCCGCCTCCTCCGCAGGGCATCGCGCGTCCACCATCCGGCCCGCCTCAGCCGGGTATGGGCGGTCCGCCACGGATGATGTCCCCTATGCAGCATCCTCCTCCGGCGACGGGTCCCTACGCTCCGCCACCCCACCAGCAGCACCAGCAGCCAGGCGGACCAATGCCGCCCCCAGGCGGCCAGTTCGCGCGCGCAACGCCTCCACCTGGCCCACCGCGCGGACACGCTGCTCCTCCTCCGCCAGGTCCATACGCACGTGCGACGCCGCCGCCATCTGGGCCGTATGATCCCCACGGTGGGCAGCCGCAGATGGGCGGGATGGGCGGACCCCCGCCGCCGCCGCCTGGTGCTGGTCCGAGGCAGACGCCTGTGCAGCCGCATAACCCGCTGGGTGGGTTGCCACCCCCGCCGCCACCGGGTGGAGCTGGGGGGCCGCCGCCTCCTCCGGGTGGGCCGGGGGGCCAAGGCGGGCCTGCACCTCCGAGGGCGGCTCCAGCATCGAGGGGACCCCCGCCGCCGAAGCATCGTATGTCTTCATCTGCATGATTATGTTAGGAGTTTGTGCTGAGTTGTTCGTTTACAGCTTCTGGTGACCGTACGCACATCCCCGAGTCTGCGCTGCCGATCTACAACGTGCTGTCGACACAGTTGACACGGCTAAAGCAGGAGGCTCCGGTAAGCCTGCATCGCATTACCGTTTCCTTTCGTTGGCTGACTTCAGTGTTCGTAGCCCCAGAGAAGACGCCAAGTCGATGATCTCGAGCGCCGCATCAACCCGCTCTTCGACGCTCTCAACTGCGAGACCCTCTCGCAACCCGTCGTCGACCAGCTGCTGGTTCTCACCAGAGCCATCGAGGCACGCGACCGCGACGCGGCGCTGTCAATACACGTCGACCTCCTCACGCGCGGCTCGCGCACGGACGATATCGGATTGTGGATGTCTGGGATCAAGCAGCTCATTTTGCAGCTGTAGGCGCGGGTGTAGTACGCGAGTGAGCGCAAAAAGTGATTTTCTAGATTTCATTCTTAACGCGAACGTCTGGCTTGTTTCTTTGCTTCCCTTAACTCTACGTCTCGTCTGTCTTGTCCGTCATCGAAGAGTAGACTCATTATTTGTCAATATAATTCCTGAATGTGACCCTCGCACTATCCCTTCAGACCAAAGCGATGAGTAGCTACAAGTATAATTACTATTTTCTTTTGCAAGTGGAGGCGCAAAAAATACTCGGCGTTGAGGAAAGGGGCAGAACTCCTGCCGCCAAAATGTTATGCCAGGACCGTGGATTGAACACGGGACCTCCAGAATCCAGATAGGCTTCAGTCTGTTGCTCTCCCAGCTGAGCTATCCCGGCTACATTAGTGGCTTTCATAGGTGTTATACGATGACTTTCATATTCAACAGTTCCCCCTCTTCAATATTGAACCAAGCAAACTCCAACAACCTCTCCGTAATCTTCAACGTATCCCAAACGCCGTAATGACATCCGTGAATCATTGTTCGAGTGATATTTTTCTGATTAGTACAATGTACTGTGGCACATAAAAAGTGAGCCAACTTTAGCCTGATAGCTCTCAGGCTGTCCAGATCATCAAGCTCAGCCTGCAGCCTGTGTTTTGAGGTTTACATAAAGGGTTTGCACGCTCGCATAGTGACCATCAATACTATTCTCACTAACCGCCCACTTTCTTCCAAGAGCTGCCTCAGCCAAGTGCATTTCGCAAGTATAACAAGCACATGACATTCGAGGTTATCCCCGACTTGGACTTGCCGGCGTATTGGCCGGCTCTTGTGGAATACAGAAATACAAGTACGGTTCAATGTGAGTCTTATACTGTCGTATGCTGTGTATTAACCTCCCTTCGTGTTCAGTATCAATGGCTACGTGGGTATTCTACGATTATCGTAAGTCGTTCCTGTTGCGAGCATGATGTAAGGTCAGACTGATCGGCTTTAAGTGCTTCATTTAAGCCAGGAGGTACCGGCCAATTCTTTATAAAAACCTGGGCGTATTCTAAATACCGAGAACCTTCTTAGGTAGACCTAATATGGGTTTGAGTTCCCTCGCCTGTACCTGCCTGTACTGGAGCTCATCGGTCCTGTTGGGCAGTGTCAGCGGTGGTCACCAATGACGATGTGGTACATTTTAGTAAGTGGCGCTGGTACGAATCTGCAGTAGGTATCTTACTCATCGACTCGAACTATTATATGTGTAGCTACGCTACGGTGGTCTCTTGTTTGCCACGTATGTTATTGAAGTAACTAGTCTCAAAAGCGGGTGCTCACAGCATGCCTTATACAGCAGTGCAGCAGGTAAGTACTGCTCTTGGAATTAATATCCTTCGATGTTACACTGATGTTTACTCATTACCTGATACTACTAGTGGATGGTGTTCTTGATTCAGCTACTCTCAAAGTGAGCGTACATTGCCCCCGCTTATGACGAAAGCTTACATTATGAGTAACTCTTCACAGCTGTGAGTGACGAGTGGGCTATGCTGTTCATGGTAATTATAAAACACTGACTTGAGTTTTCAGATTACCCTGTATTAACTTTGCTCAACCCGGAAAAAATGCGGCGCTTATATTGAAATATTGCTCAGGTTCCGCGTTTTGGGAGATAGTAATAATTGACCAAACACTCCTGATCTTCACTATCGAAGGTAGGTATTTAACCCTATCTCATATCGGTAACACTTCATGCGAGATTAGGTGTTGTATTGCTACGAGTGCACGCTCTCTACCTTCGACTCAAATCAGTCGCTTGCATGCTTGGCACCGTCTTCGTAGTATCGCAATTCGGTAACATACTGTCTTCGGTGAACTCAATTGTTTCATCGCGCCACATGACAGAAGGTCAGCCACGTAGTAATATTCTAAGAGTATAATTATAATGTCCTTTTATTTGCTAGCTTCCGAAGTGTCTGCGCTTCTCAATGGTAGTGTTCTTTGTCGGTGGCGGTACAGCTCCACATCGCAGGATTTTGTCGTCTTCATAGTGACAACACTAGCGTTTGAGATAACCGTCTTCTCTCTGGCTATCTGTCGTCTGTGGGCATCTTTGTACCACACGCGCCGGAAGATATCGTTGATGTGGCATTCCGATGACCTTCTCTATCTTGTAGTCCGAGAGAACTTGGCTTATTTCTGCATGTGAGCACACCCCAGCTTTTCGATCACCCTCAAAGCCTGAGATTGCTTCCACAACAGCTCAACCGTCGCTATTGTGGCAAATGCTACGGGGACCCTGACGATTGTCGGCCAGGAAAGCCGCGCTTGAATTTGGCATAACACGTTGAATGCTGACTCTCTGATCGGTAAAAAAAACAGAATAGTAAATTCGTGCCCTACCTGAGAATAGTTGCAACACATTTCTGGCTAACCATGTTCGGCCCGTATCTGATCTTGAACGTTCGAAAGAACGAAGCAGACCGAGAAAGCGGACTTGCCACCAACACGAATACTATGACAGCTCTCATATTCGCGCCAGCGCAAACAGAGCAAAGCTAATAACACGCTCAAAACTCTTTGGAGTGGAGTTCATTATAACGTACAGGAACACCCGAAAGTGAAGTATACACGTTTTACCATAGAACCATATAATCTGATCAACAAACCGGCAAGTATATGCAGCGAGCGTTGTGATCTTCGATTTCCCCTCCATATAGTTTTACCGTATTCCGTCTATACCTATCAATTAGCACACTAGATTGTGGTATTATCACCCTCATTCTCAGAGCACTGGTCCGTCACACATATCTCCTAGGCTCGATCGTGTGCCATATGTGCATACGTCCAAGTCGCATTAGATGACTGGCATCTACACCTACACTAGCATACCCCGTCTACTCTCAATACCTCGAACATACAGCATAGCCAAATCACAACGTGCGCCCGACTCGATGCCAGAACGCATGATCTAGTACGCCCTAACGCCCCAGCCGAGCACAGTGAACATGACGGGTATAGCCTCGCACGCGAGGAGCGCGATACCAGCATATACGACGACCTTGGTAAGCACTGTCGAGATGACCATCAACACACCATTCCTCACAGTTCACAAGCAAAAGAGAAAGCTCACCATCCGCATCATAATGAGACACTCCCGGCTCGTCCTTGCCTCCCCTCTCCACGACCCCCGCCTTCCCCCTCTCCCGCCTCTCTTCCTCTTTCTTCTCCTTCTTCTCCCCGCTCTCGCTCAGCGGACTCGGACCCAGCCCATTCCGGCGCTTCAGCGCCCCGTTCCCACTCCTACTCGCATTCCAATTATTATTCCCATACACCCCACTCGCCCCCGCCCCACCCGCATCCCCATCCATATCCGCGAGCGCATGCAGATCAATCACCGACGGAATCGGACGCAGCCCCTCCGCCGGCTCGACGTGCGCATAGTCCGTCGCGGGCGTGTAGAACCGCCTGTTCGGGAGGCGCACGCACGCCGCGAGCGCGCGGAAGAGCGGCGGGAGCACGCGGTGCAGGACCACTTTCGCGAGGATGCGCCACGCGAAGATGACGAGCACGCCCGTGCTGACTTTGAGCAGCGCGACGCCCCACCAGAGCGCGCGCGCGTCCCAGGTGGTGAAGAGCGAGCCGGGCATGGTCGAGGCGGAGGAGAGGTACGTGGAGGCGAGGTCCGCGTAGGCGATGTGCCACCGCGCGAGCCAGCCGCCGAGGATGACGGAGACGAACGCGATGGCGTCTTCGAAGCACGGGCAGTCGTCCACGGGCTGAGGGTGGAAGTGCACCATGAGGAGACAGGCGGGGATGGTCGTGAGCGGGACTGTATACGCCATCCAAGTCAGCCAGTCGCCCGTTCCAATACGTCTGGAACTCACCGCTCCAGGACCCGCTCGCCAGCCACCGCTCCAGCGCGGGCTTGACACCCTCGTAGGCCGCCCAGACCGCGGCGCCCATCACGACGCCCGCGACACAGTCCGTCGCGCTGTGCATGGCGGTGTACACGCGGCCGAGCACGATGCTGAACGCGTACACGGCGAGGACAGTGCACGCGAGCGCGTACCCGGCGGGCGTCATCGTGGACGCGGGCGCGGTGTAGGCGGCGTGCACGTGCGAGAAGACGAAGAGCGCGATGGAGACGGCGTTGGTGGAGTGTGTGGACGGGAAGCCGTATTCGAGGTGGTGGGTGCTTATCGCTGGTGGTGTGTGGGAGGTTAGTCGACGTTGTGTGGGGCGGGGAAACGTGGGTGGCTAAAGGGTGGGGTGGATCATACGTACTGAGGCGAGTAACGGGAGGTGAGAATGGTCGTGGTGAACAGACTAGGTCTTTGACAAAGGACGAGGTATACACGCCGAACGCGAGGTTGAAGAGGAGACTAGCAGATTGAATCCATGTTCATATGGTCGGGGTTATGAGAGTCGTTGGTCAGCGCATAGAAGAATAAAAAGCCAAAGAACAACGCACCCCCGTCCGAGCTCGTCATACCCAAAGAAGAACAGCATCGGCAGCGCAATCATAAAGAACGTGTGCGTCCCCAACGAACTCGTCGACACGAAATACGCATCCAGCCACGGGCGCCGGACCTTTGCCTGCTCGTCGCCCCGCCCATATCAACAGCGTACATCATCCGCACCACCACCCAATCCCACCGGCCATCAGCAATCCCGCCTACTGCATCCGAGTGGGGGGAGGACTGGACGCACCTGCACGCGCGCGATGACCGGGCTCTCCCGCTCGACCGCCTTCAGGGCCCACGCACGGATCGCGGCGCGCCAGGGAGAGAGCGACGAGGCGTATGCGTCTGCGGGGAGCTGTCCCGACATGTGGTGCTCGGCCTGGGGGCCCGTTGTCAGGACGAGTGCCGTCTGCGGTGCGGATGCGGGTGCGGGTGTGGACTCGTGCTTGGTGGTGGTATCGTTGGGGTTAGCGTCGCCCATGGTGGAGGTGACAGGAGACTGTGCTCGTTTGTCAGGGCTGAGCTCGATTGTGGATTAGTACGTTGAGTGCGGGGAAGAGCACTGGTCCGTCAGTGCTGGTGTTCTGATCCAAGACAAGCCAACTCAAACCTGTGTCCTTTGCCTAGAAAGTGTCTATCTCGCCGTTGCCGTCGTCGTCAAGAATACAAACAAGGAGTGGTGAGTATAAGATACAGAGAGAGCAAGATGATGATAGCAGGAACAAAAGGACCGTCTTAGTGTAAACCACCCTCGGCTATTTTCGCACTGGCACCGACGTTCCCAATCACGCGCACGCAAAGTTGCACCGATTTCATCACGGCACGAAACAAACATAGCTACCGCATCAACTCTACTATGCCGGAACCCGCAATGAAAACCGTCACCCGCAATGAAATGTAGGTTGATTCGACTGCCCCTCCTCCGTCCCTTGGCGTATACCTACAAAATTTAACATGGGCCATCTAATGTAACTACTCTATGACTGTATCGCACGGCTTGGTGGAGAAATCAAAACTACAGACGCTATGTACAAAACAATCGAGGATTCAGTCTTTCTTTTCATAAAACTGCTCAGGGTAGGTACTTTCCTGTATTCCGTTTGCTACCAAACTTGATTGGCTTCATATTCCATGCCATAGTTAACGCATAGCGAAGTTTTGAGAGAAACAAGGATGTTCTGAGCGAGTGGTGTTCGTCGCAAACTCGAAGAAGGGAAACAAAGGTTAACCATGACTCTCGCGCGGCATCGTCGTGGCAAAGTTGTATGGACAAATTACAGCTTAAGGCTTCATATGTGGTTTCAGAAAGCCTCATACTATGTCTCACAAACAAAAACAGGGCTTGTTGAAGGCCCGAAGCGAGAGGGAGGAACAAAATATCTGATTTCATTTCATTGCGGGTGTCGGATTTCATTGCGGGTTCCGGCATAGTAGTAGGAGTGCAAAATTCAGTGTCGGTGTAGATGTAATCGCGCGATATGTCGTACGCCAAGCCACAGCCCGAGCTAGTTTGAAACTAGACAGGCTTTGAGAAACGCGTTAAAGCAAGCAATCTGGAGATTTTACTTCAACGCCTTAGAGAAGGCCGACCGATGAGAAAGGCAACATCTATTGTTACAGCAATCTATAGAACGCATACACGCTTTAGCGTCTAAAACTCTACCCCGCTACTGTTATAGACAGCCTCTGCGCCCTCCACGTTCCCAACTTACCCTACGAACATCATCGCGTCACCCATGACCACGCTCGTTCTATTCCCGCTTCACCTTCGCCTCCCCGTCGAGCACCACCCCGTCATCCACCGCGTCACCCTCAACCCCAAGCACCGTCGCCCCAATAGACCCCATCATAATCCCCTCCGCATCGACTCTCCACCCCGCCCCGCTTAGCGCCTCCATAAACGGCGCAAACCAAGCCTCCACAGCCGCATACGCCTCCTCCACCACCGTATTTGTATCCGGGGACACGGACGCCGCCCGCAGACGCGCCGCAGCCTCGAGCGCATGCGCCCACGCCTTGAGCTGGTCACGCGGCGTCGCGCCTTCCTTGAAGCACACGGTCAGTTCGACCTTGCTCTCAACGCGACGACGCGGCAGTGCAAACAGCATATACCGCTCCTTCGCGAACTTGGCGTCTGACGAAGACTGCAGCGCCCGCCGGACGTTCTCCGCCCCGCCCCGCGCAACGACCCGGGAGACGGAGGCACCGAGCTCGCAGTACCCGATCGAGTGGCCTCGGGCATCGCGCAGTGTCCCCGGGAGAGCGAGAATCCGCTCTCGCCGAGAAACTTCGGCAGGCGTGAGCGCAAGCTGTCCGCCCGCCTTAGCCAGACTTGAGATAGACGGCGAGACGTCATCCGCATCCTCCCGCTCGCGCATGCGCGCTGCCCAAGCTGTCCATAGTATACCAGCGCGCTGGCGGTTCAGTGTGCGGAGCGAGACGCTGCGCACGGCGAGGTAGTTGGCGAGCAGATGGCCCGCGATGAGAAATACAAGTGTGAGCCACGTCGCGCGCACGGAGGTGAGCCGCGGGACAAGGAGCGTGCCTAGCTAAGATTACGCGCATGACATTCCCCCGCGTCAGTTATGTCTTGTGGAGAGAGCATACACAGAAAACGCACCAGCATCCCAAACAGCCCAACGACCGTCTCCCGACTCGCATCTTTCGCGTTCAGCTCGCCCACATCGCCCGCTACCACCGCCTCTCCTCCTGCAGCGGTCGAGGCAGGTACAGTGCACGCAAAATGATTCGTCAGCGCCGCCTTGCTCCCGCCCGCTACGAGCCCGCACAGCGCGCGCAGCGCCGCAGAGGCGCACAGACTCGCGACGCGCAGCGATGCGTCGCCCGGCAGCACCGCGGCCAACAGCGTCGCCGGGGGTACCCATGACGAGATTGCGAGGAGGAAGGTGTGAAGGAAAGAGAGGGAGAGGCGCGGGCAGAGCGTGTCGAGCACGATCGACGCGTCGTTGACGAGGTCTGCGACGAGCCGGAAGGTTTTGGTTTCTGGGTAGAGCGAGGTGCCGAAGACGTAGGCGGCGCTGATTGCTGGGCGCGTATGGTCAGCGTCGGCGATAGCTATGGGAGGAGGGGAGGACGTACTGGTTATCCGGCCGAAGACGTCTTGGAGGACGGTTAGGAGGAGGGCGCTTGTTGCTGTAGCAGAGGCGTCGCCGACGCCGACGCCTTTGTCGTGTTAGCATACATGTTATAAATAAGTGCAGAAGAACGTACCTTGAAGCGCGCCTCTCGAGGCAATGAGCCCCGCTAGGGAGCTGAAGAATGCCTGGAGGGCGTTGTATGCGTGGTATCTACCCCACAAACCAGTATACGTCGTCAGTCACGTCCCAGATTCTGCAGGAGAGCAAGCATACGGGAGGTAATCTAATGTCATGGCCATTCTTATCAGTTGGATGCAATTTGAGCAGAGGAAGTAACTTGAACTCACCAGGCGTCACGCTTGCTGGGTATCCCGCAGGGAGGAAGAGGTCTACCAGAACGCGGCGTATACGGTCGAGCGAGGGGACACGCAAGCCAAGCTCGTCCCGGAGATTATATCTACCGCTTGCTTTGTACTTTGTTTGACGAAATCAGGGTGTTAGCTTGAAGTCTACTGTAAGTAGGTGTGATACATCGGAGAAGGCATACCTGCTTGCCATCCGACCCGAATGTCGTACGCCTGAGATGTCCTGACTCGTCGCGCTCGAGGACACGTAGTGATCGCTCTTTCCCTTCCCATGACATGCTTCGTCCTCCCTCTGATGCTGGTTGATTGTCTTGAGTCTGTCTGCCAATGGTAAGACGAGCGAAGGAAGCTGTGATGTCGACTGCGGGTCTCGTTAGTTCCCCACTCACTTGTCCGTTTCGACAAAGACTCACAAGCTAATGTGTGTCAACGACAAAAAAAGGATAGTCTAGAAGATAGGTGTGTACATTGTGCCGAACGTTCAACCAGACTCCGTCTCAAGGAGCACGTCGCTGGCGGGAGCTTCACCACCTCCGGACCGAATGCTCCGGCGAATAGGATTTTGGCGCGGTCAGGGTCGCGCGAATTTACACGCGGGGAACGGCCACCGTCGCCACCGTCCAGCGCTCATCTCGACAGGACGTCCTCTGCGATAAGAACGTTCCACCAGCTATCCTAGACACTGCACCAGAGTGTTCTTCAAATCAAGCGGGTCTGTTAAAGAAGTTCAGCGCCGGAACACCCACTTGCGACTGTTTCGCGACGGGACACACCGTGACACGCGCGGTCGGTCAGTGCTGGCAATTCATCACAACTTAGAGCCATTACATATCAGCGGCAACCAGGCACTCTCTTCTTTCTGCTTCGTGGCTCCTAGTTGCCGTCGCCGACGTCTCACTCAAGCCAAACTACACCACCGCCAACCGCCAGTCCCCGCATATCTTCACTAACCCGACTCCCCTGAGATTACTCGACGAACATGGAGAAACTCAAGGACGCCATAGGCCACATCTCCTCCTCCCTCGACGACACCGCCCGGAAGAGCGAAGAATACCAGCTCCTCCGCGCGCACCCCGACGGCGAGCCCTCCTCGCCCTCCTCGCCCACCCCATCAACATCAACATCAATATCTCCGCCAATACCCGCCCGCCACGCGCACGCAGACCGCCCGCCAATATCGTGCGCGTCCCCAGGGGCATTCGCGAGGAGCGCAAGGGCGCGCTTCGCGAGCCTGTGGACGCCCACGTTCACGTTCTCGCTGCTCGCGGGGCAGGCCCTGAGCGTGTCGATCACGGGCGCGTCTGTGCTCACGGCGCTGCTCGTGAAGCGGCAGTGGGTGCTGCCTGCGACGCAGGCGTTTTTTCCGTGAGTGCTCCGCAGTGGCTAGCTGGAGTAAGGCTTGACCTGGTCGTGTGCAGGTATGTGGGGTTGATGTTCGTGTTTACGCCGTATACGATGTATAAATGTGCGTCATGTCTTGTGTCCCTTCTCTCCTTGGAGCGAAACTGACGAGCGACAGACGGCCTGCGGGGATGGTACAAGATGGTCCTAAAGGACGGGTGGAAATGTGCGTTCCCCATCTCTCTCCATACCGGTTCACGAATACCAACTCTCTCGAATCCACGCAGACTTCCTCCTCGCCTTAGGCGACGTCGAAGGCAACTTCCTCGCGATCAAAGCATACGACTACACCGACCTCCTCTCCGCGATGCTCCTCGACGCATGGGCGATCCCCGTGTGCCTCTTCTCGTGCTATCTCTTCATGCACACGCGATATCACTGGACGCAGATCATCGTTCGTCTTTCTCTCTTCCCTCCTGACTCTTTAAGAGCCACAATGCCGATTCTTTTTGGCAGGGCGTCGTAGTGAGCATCCTCGGCCTCTGCATGCTCGTCGCGTCCGACTTCCTCGCGGGCAACGAACAAGAAGCGGGCGTCGTCGCGGACCGCGCCAAGGGCGACCTCCTCATGCTCTGCGGCGCGACGCTCTTCGGAATCGGTACGTCCCCTCTTTCCTTCTTCCCACTGTCATCACGTTCTCCGCCGCTGAACTTTTATCGTGCCATCCGCAGTGAACGCAACGACGGAGCTGTTCGTTCGGAATACGCCCATGTACGAGGTCGGTGCTCTTCATCTCCTCACCGGATGTGAAGCCTCGATTCTGACTACCGCGCACCAGGTCGTCGGCCAGGTCGGCTTCTGGGGCACCATCGTCTGCGGGATACAAGCCTACGTCCTCGAGCACGAGCAGGCGAGCCGCACGCGATGGAAGGACGGCACGGGCTGGCTTCTGCTGTTATACGTTATCGGTGCGTCTGCTCGGCCATCCTGCGACCTCTCCTCGTGCACCTACGGCTGACGCATCTGCACATTCCTCGCCTTTTTAAAGCCATGGACATCGTTTATGCGCTCGCACCCGTTCTCTTCCGCACCGCGTCCTCGTCGTTCTTTAACATTTCGCTTTTGACAAGCGACTTTTACGGGCTCCTGTTCGGTGCGTGCCTTTACCCCACCACTTTGATCTCCCTCAGCTCATTCTTTTCACCCCTTCGTCAAAAAGGCTTGTTCCTCTTCGTACGTATCACACCCTCGCAACCCACGGCAATCGATGAGCTAACTGACCTCCCACACGTAGCACTACTCGCCGTACTGGCTCTACTTCCTCGCATTCCCCGTCGTCATATCCGGTCTCGTGCTTTACTTCTGGCACGCCGAACGTACGTCCACCCTTCCCTTCCCTTTCTACAGCCCTGTGCAGCAGAGACTAACGCCGGCGCAGCGGAAGACGAGGGCGAGACGCACGTCCGCGCGCCGAAGTACTTGGACTCCGAGGCTGGGCTTGCGGAGGAGGAGGGCTACGCGCATGAGCCATAGCATTGCATGCATTTGGATACCCTAATATGCGGTCTGCGAGTGGAAGGATCCATATTTAGACTTTACAGTTAATCGATCTATATATCTAATCAAGAGCACAGTATAATATTCGACTGGGGGGGTTCGATGCGGTACCGAAACTTGGAACGGCTCTTGAGCTCACATGCGACGACGGCCATATCGCCTTCGCAGCTTGCAGAGCTTTGTATTGAGCTTAAGCGCTTTGCGTTACAGTTGCATGCACGCGAATCTGGGGAGCTAGCGCACTGGCCTTCCTCTGTTCCGAAAGGCAAGGGGCTTCTGACCGACGAAGGGCACTGGACGTCACGGCGGAGGGATCAAACACCACTGATTGATGTATATTGAAGACTCCAGCGTCAGGTATTGTGAGACCCAGACAAGCGGTACACGTATGAAGGACAAGGCAGCCGCGCTCCGCTGCGGCACTTAGGGCTCTCGTCCTACCAATCTGCTCGGTGAGAATTGCAATTCCGTTATACTGGAAAGGAAAACTCGAACACGAGTGGACCCACTGCCTGTCAATATCTGCCGTGCAATCTAGAGCCCTACGTCGTATACAAATACCGAGCACTAACGTCAAAGCGAGAGATATACCACAGCCACAAAGCCAAACATGTACAATGCCAAGCCGGGCATAATTTTGAATATACGAGTAATAGTTTCACGTTAGGTTTGATATTGATGTCCTCGGCTTGTGTTTTGATGCCTCGTGATAGGTAACTGGAGTGGCGTGCAACCTTGCGTGCTGAGCGGAATATCCTGCGAGCGAAGGACATCGCTTCATTCAGTAATCTAAGTAGCGTCACAAGAGCAAACCCAAAGTTCGTAATCCACATACCGAAGGTACCAGTATTTGACCCCCACGGGTGTCCACCCCTTGCCTCACCAAGGCTAGCATGTGTATGTTTCTTTTGCACGAATAAGTGATAAACTCACGTCAGCCACAGCCTTTCTGGTCGAGTTGGCTGTTTCAGTGGCGTCACCAGTGCACTACCATCTGACAGAACTGGTACTATCCAAACAGGCTCCACGGCTTTCCAGCTCGCACATGTGTCATGGTTGTGGGTCCAAGTGTATTCTCAAGTCCCAATGATAATCACGTCCTGTTCCACTTGATGCTGTACGCGAACCCGAACTCAAAACTCGGTATCGATCTTCCCGCGTTTCGGGACGCCATTTCTACATTCGGGTGGATGACATGAGACTCGGATTTTTGCGTCTGTCGAACCCAGTTGACATATAGAGCAGCTTGAAACCATGGGCTACAACCTTATTTTTCCCTGTCCTAACTGTTCGGACCTCTAGCAGGCCAACTTATTTCGAGTTACGGTACATGTCTTCCATCGATAACGTCGCTTATGAAGAGGAGTTCTTGCTTAAATTTGTTACTCGACTTAGTGCAGTACGTTCACTTTCTTCTTTAAAAAGCTTACACAGACACCGGGACTGATCATACTCCTTTAGTATGTAACACGTACGTATATTCACCCGAGTACAGAAGCACAATACAACGTCGTTGAGCTGACCGCATCACAGTTGCTTGCGGAACAGTTCTGGTATGAGAAACCACGACGCCCAGATGCACATACTAACTTTACACCTCTTCTGTTTAAGACACACGACACGCTAACAAATCTCGACTTCGAAGTCAAGTACATCTGGAAAGCAAAGTTATCCGTCATCAAAGTACTGTATCTGTTGACGAGATACATGGCCTACATCAACGTGGTGCTCGCACTTTGGTATTGTGAGTCAAGGTCGATCGTCGTCACAGCACGCGCCACTTACCTTCAGCCTAGTTACTTTTGGGCACAACTTGACACCACGAATGTGTGAAAATGCTGCGACTGCTGTTTACTGTGAGTGCGCGGTCCACTAATCATGCGATGTCACAATTTTAAGTATTACGCAGGGCTCGATGCCATCGGTATTTGTTTATCAGAGAGCAAGTCTGCTTACTCTACAACACCTTAGAATACCCTGACAACACTATGCTCACAGTAATGGTTGCAACACGAACCTGGGCGATCTGGGGTAGGAATCGCAAAATTGCGGTGGGAATGGTGTGTTTATACCTCGGCTGCGTTGCCGGGGGAGTGTATACAATATACATGTTCTTCCAAAGTGCCATCAGTAAGTTCATCAGGCGTTGAAATCTCAATGGTACTTTAATCCATGTATGCGTTGACGGTTCATTTTCGCTAGTCACTTCCAATCCAGGACTTCCGGGCTGCTTCGTTGAGGGTTCCTCATTGATGATGAAATTATCTTGGACTACGATGCTGATCGGGAATTCAGGTGTGCTGATTTGACTCTGTGCGAGAAAATGCTGGCTCACCCTGTTCTCTGCCGATCAGCATTGGTAGTCCTATTATTGATCGAATCGTACCTCGTCTGTGAGTATCTACGATGTACAGTAGAGTGTGACTTTGGTTTATATCAAAACAGACAAAGAAACGCGCAGCTTTCCAGCTTTGTTCAAGACTGTCATTACTGATGGTGATTTCCGTCAACCTTGTCGCACACCACTGCTGACAGTTGCAACTAGGCGTCTTGTATTTTGTGCTATTGTCCAGTGTGTCATATTTCCTGCCTAGCCTTCAACATTGGGTGCTTGAACAGCAACTGACGATTTTTACAGTACTAGTGATACTAGTGATTGTACCTATTCCATCGGTACGCTCATGCATCGCAACTTCTATGGCAAAGCTTACCCATCCTAGGGATTTGATTTCAACATGACGGCGATACTCAGCGTGTACGTGACTTTACTTAGTTGTTTTGATAACAGCAGTTCTTGACATTCTGGTGCATACCAATAGCCCTGGACGCATACTCTATTCTGTCCTTACAACACACTTCATACTACATGTTAAAAGGGTAGCTGATCCAGAGTCATCATACGAGTCCAGTACGCTCCCTGTATCGACCTTTCGGGTGGCACATCACAATGGTTCAAACACAAACGCCTAAAAGGATAAAATACAAGAGATGGTGTCATATGTATATAACTTGGGATCATAGGTATATCCGTGGTAGTGAAACGTTATTGAAATAAGATGTACATGTAGTATGATGGCAAGCACGTAGGCAACAGGAACATTACCTAACGCGAGAGGTCATACAAACTTTTGTCGACGCATCCTGCACCAAGCTCAGACGACTTTCGACGCTCTGTTACGGACGAATGAGACGATCAAAAGGATGTTGGGACGTCTAACTTTGTGTCCTGGAGGTGGGTTTCCCATTGAGCTCAAGTGAGCGAGAAGTGAAAAAATCGGGGGAGGTAAATGTGCGGGTCATGCTCTCTTGGAAATTCAAGTCAAGTGCCTTATTTCTTCGTAAAGGCTTCACGGATAACACCTTCTCAGCTGCACATCCCAACATTCCTTCACTACACACAAGCGAGTATAACACAGTAAGGCATATCGATATTTGCTTCATATATCAAACATCGTTACTAATACATTCACACTTCCACTTCCTCCCAATCTACACCGTTGTGAGCACAACAGAAGAACTGGCACTCAGCACTTGCAAGTATCCGCAGCGCATTGGCAGCTGCGAAGGCGTCAGCCGACTCAGAAAAAATAGACATAACAAATGTACTGACGTGTTACCGCAGCTGCAAGTAGAGACGCCGCAAGCGCCTGCGTTGTTGACGGGGGTCTGAGTAGCCTGGTAAGGGGGAGGGGGAAGTTAGCATTTTCGGTGCGGAATTTGGCAGGAGTAGTACTGACAGAGTGCATTGTGAGTAGTGAGGATAAGGATGAGTTGTCGAGTTGAGGTCTTTGGTTGATGGAGATTGTCGTTCAACTTGAGCCCTTTTTATACGTTCTGAAAGCGCAATTTGTTCTGGTTTGCGACATCATCCACAAAAAGCTTCAGTAGCACAAAGGGGGAACGCTGGAGGCCCGGACTTCCACTATGGATCACTGCCAACGAGTGACGAGGAACGGAAGTTCCTCCATCGAATCGCGCATCTAATTTTGGCCACGCGATGATCATGAGCCTTGTCGACTTTGCTGGTCCGATTGGTCACAAGAGCTGGAGAGGATGCTTCGACGATCCAGGGCAGCGGTCATCGGCGCCAAGTCATTGGAGGATTCCCATGGGAGTCATTGTGAAGGAGTAACTTTGAGGGGACACGCCTTCCTGTCGCTTCATCAGATGGTTCTTCGATCCCTTCCGTGATGTCGGATGAATTGCTATACCCCCGTATACCCAGATGAGGTGGACCTGGACATCATTACAGATGCTGAATCAGCGCAAGGTATAGCGATAATTACTGCTACGCACTTCTTTCCCTAAATCTAAGACTGGATGTCGTGATATTCGGCTCTAACCATCACACAGAAACTAACGTCAGTCAGTCGCAGTAGTCGTTAACATACCCAAGTAGCCATGGACACTATGGAAGAGAGGTTTCAGTGACAGTGAGGCGTCTGAGTGTGGATAGTGAAACACCTGTCACATAACTCGACAGCTCGTATTGCGCAATATTCGCCCCGTACGCGGGCGAGTTAGAGACAAGGGTCATTTCAGCGATTGAAACTCGGATCCTGCAAGCGCGAAAACGGCCCAGATAGAGCGGATAATGTACATGTGTCGCCCTGTTCTATGCGGACCATTGCTTTTGAAGGGGGCCCATGCACTGTGCATGAGGGGATCAGCTCCTGACTAGTGACTCACAGCATGACTAAAACTAAAAGTAGCAGAAGAATACGACATAAATCGGTTAGCGCGTTTCGTTTCATGTTTATGTCATCGCACTCACCGAGCTTCGTCTCGGCTCCAATGTTCCCTGATCATTTACAAAGCTGTTAACAATGCTTTCCAAAGCTAAAATGTGACAATTATGGCTGTCGACGGCCACACGTTTTTCGTCGCACGTATGGCTGACACATTTATTCTAAAGCATCAGATGTTGCTAATGGTATATCTTATGCCGTGATCAGAAAGTACAGCACCGCGTGGCGTTTATTTGACTGATTTTGTTGCCTAAAATATGCCAGCAAGGTAAGTTAACGCGACATTGCGATAATCATAGCAAACCCAAACAGCCGATCGTCGTGAGCATTGCTAGGGGTACCAGGTTGTCACTAACTCAGCTCTAGTGATGGTCCTCTACCAAAGGCTACTCGTGAGGGAAATCTTGTAAGTTGTTTGTCCAGGATGGAAGAAAAACGCAAGAACTGTTGGCGTCGTCACCGAGAGAAAGGGGAGGCTGACACAGTACTTACGTGTATTCTCCATGGGAAGTGTCCCTTCAAGAAATTGAGTCTGAGGCTACATTAGGCGCCAGCACTGATACACGAGTGTCAGAAATGCTAAGAGTGTACAGCACTTTATGAGGCTGTCGTAGCCCGGGCTTGCTGTGCCACAAACGCATCGGACCAGCTCCATAGCGTTATATATTGGGAGACATTCTGCTCATAATCGTAGTCACGTACCTTAAACTTCATGTTTGAGTCCAATGAAAACGAGAGAAACACACGGATACATCTGATTAGAGAGTCAATGTTGTTTGTGGGAATGTGCATGAGAGGCAACAGCCAAGAAATTTGCGCCTTGACTCAAATCGCAGCGCACTGGCAGAGCACAGGCAAATTGTCGCTGAGCACGCGAGTCATCCATCGCCGGTCCTTCGCAAAGTACGCGGATCGATTATCGTGCCCCAGAAATAATTCGTACAGTGGGACTGAAAAAAAACCGATGCGACGGAACCCGGACTTGTGGTCGTTGGAACATCGACAAGGCATGATCATTCTTGTATTTTCAAGCCGAGCGGTTGTGCAGGGAAACGACACACTGAGCGCCAAGTACGCCGAGCTACCATCAGATAGCAGCCGTGGTATATGGCCTTGATACGGTCCAGACGCTAGCGATTCAGAAGTACTCAGCAAGGCGCGCACCCAACAGGACCTTAACCTCGGGTTCAATCGTCATGGGACCTCAAGGTGCTCGTCGCAAAAGTAATGCATGTGCATTGATAGCCGAACTAATAGGAGAGAAAGGTACGATATAGTACAAGAATCAGGAAAATAACTGTTAGCTTTCAAATGTCAATCAACCTCTGCACGGCAGAAAGGGGCACGCACGCACTTATGCCCATCGTCACTATCGTGATAATCGGTGCTTTTGAGGCGCTCAACCAGCATTCACCTTCCCAAAGGGCCGCCCCACGTCCTCTGTCAGCTCGCACCCGGACGTCCATCTCCATTTATGTGACGACAGTGACGCTCGCACCGGAGTTCTCGAGCGTAAGCTTCTCAAAGGCATCATGGAATTGCTCGTCGCCGCTCTCGTCATCCTCCTCCTTGTCTTCCTCCTCCTCCTCTCCCTCAGAAGTCTCGTCATCTGGGGGCTCGTCCTCGAAGTCCAGCTGCACGGAGAAAAAGTCATGTCAATACACAGCGCCCCGATTAGACGCAGCATGGGCGCAAACGAACTCACCGGATCGTATATCACCCTAATGATCAAGCTACAGCTTGGACATGTCGCAATGTCCTCGTAGTTGGCGAGCTGCGAGCGCGAGATCTCGAAACGGTCGCCGCAGGGGCACGGGTAGTGGTACACGCCCTTTGATTCATCCCAAGCCATGTCCTCGATCTCGATTTCGTCGTAGTATGCGCCCATAGTATCGTTTCTTTTCAAATGGGGGATGATTGAGGGTTTTATCGATAGCAGCCAGTGGCCGAGAACAAAAGGAGCCCAGAGGCCCGAAGGGCGGGGTGAAGGTGATGAGCGAAAAGCAAGGTCTGGTGTCTGTGGGGCGAAGGAGACAGTCGCTTGCGCTGACTCATGATTAGATCTGGCAAATTCTCACGATACCCCTATCCTAACATTGAAGCTTGACTTCCGAGTTGCCCAATAATTTACAAGTGTATTGTAGTACAGCAAAGCGCTCACAAGTGTTACAGAGAATCCACCAACAAAACATAACGTGTGGGCTTACTGCTCTCCTTCGCCTTGCCAGAGCCAGGAATCGACATCCGCAGCGACGCTGCTATCTCCTTCTTCGACTCCTCGATCTCCTTCTGGAAGTTCCTCTTCGCAACGCCCAGCTTCTTCTGTGCAAAGTGCGCCTCGCGGTCCATACTCCTCTTGACCTCCTGCATGATGCCACGGGGATCCGACTCGTTCCGCGAGACGTTCAAGTTGCGCGAGAAGCTGCTGAAGCTGCCGACAACAGCCGAAGAGAACGACGCTGCGAAGGCATCGCATGCGTTCGAAGCCCGCGACGCACCCGTCTTGGGAGCAAGGTCCGGTGCATCTTCTTTGGTGATTTGGACCATCATACGACGAGGGCGGAAGAAGTGCTGATGGACGTTATCAGGCCTGTTCAGCACGTCCTGCATGGATCGTGAGCATCACACGTACCCTATTCCAGTCATCTATTGTTTTGCGCACAGAAGCCAACTCCTCAGATGGCAGCGACGTACTAGAGTTGCCTACACCAGAATCAGCATGAAGACATGTTTTAGAGGATAAGCTGCGAACCGGCTTTCGACGCTCCGAGAACAGAGCTCAGCATGCCTGATGATCGCAAGGTCATAGCTTGGCTAGGAGGAGACGCAGTCCTCTCAACATCACCCAAAAAGCTAGTGTACGCAAGCCACGTTAGCATAGTGAACTGCAAACGCAAGGGAGAAGAGACGTGCCGGATCCAGTCTTCCTCGTCCACATTGTGTGTCAAGAACGGGTGCACACGACTACTGCAATTCGGTGGCTGCTTCAAGAACCCGCCACTCAGATGCTCTCCCTTCGAGTGATGCACCATCCGGTAAAACCTCGCATATGACAAGCCGGACGGAGGGCTCCGCAGCCATGACTGAGAAGTCGAGGGATTGCGAGATTGTGACGTGGAAGCCGAAGAAACGGAGGGCAAACTTGACGTACTGGCCCGACTCCTCCTTCCTGGAAGTGGTAGCTTTGGAAGCGGTTTTTGTGAGTCCACCAACGAGAAGTCGCCTCGAGCGTGGGTAGGCGTGGTGACATGCTGGGCAGGGACTGGTGGGCCACTGGTAGTATCCAAGAGTGGGAGGCGGGCAATCGGGGTGGATGCAGGACGAGGAGGGGGCTGAGTCGATTCGATGGCATTTCCAGAATAAGAGTGTACCTCGACGAGATGCGTGCGGAGGCAAAGGGACGATGTAGATGGCCCGGGTTCCGTGCTGAGTTCGTCCCTCTCGGAGTATGGTGGCGGCAGATCTTCAATGGCAGCCGCATCCGTAGTGGGGAAAGCGCCGGGCATATCAAACGGCTCTTGCTTCGTCACGATAATCATTGTGGTGCTCTGAGTTCGGTGGTCGGTGGTAAGGAAGTGAACATACAGCACTCCATGCGATCCAGGCTAAGTAGGTGCTGCGTAGGATGCTGTAGGACGCGAGCTGCGGGACGGCACATGACGGAACGATGATATTCTGGTGCGTGCACTGCCAGCGTGTCATAGGGCAGGCGTAAGTGTCTCCGCAGCCCCCAACCTTACTTTCTTCGCGGCCTCGGTGCTTGCCGTCGGCACCGCGTCACGAACTCTTGTTATTGTCCATTCTTGACACGCAACGATATCTCTTCTATGGTCATTCCAAGGAAAACGCAGCCTTTCAAGAGACAGGATTCGAGGACGTGAAGTTTCAGGCAAAAGCGAAGAGACAAGCGCTTACTGTAAGCTGGCAGTTGCGCGAACCTACACGGTTGTTGGTCACGCAGCGTCGGATCGGCCCCACGCCGAATTTCCTGAGCCGGGCTCGTTTCTATGGCAAACTGAGGTTAAGTCAACGAGGTCGCTCAGAGGTCGGATGGCTCCAACCTCGCTCCGACCATGGAGCGTCAATGTGAATCACACGTGGAGCTATCAATGTTGATATGAGATTTTATTTCCCAGGCTGCGCCGAGCCTTTCACCAAGGTCCGAGCGGCCTCAGCACGAGAGTCGGTGCAGCAGCCAACTCAATCCCAAGGTGATGCAGGGGCCGAGGTCTGAGTGAGATATGAAAGGGACCTAGGACGAGATGAGCTTCGCTTTCGCATGCACGTCGTTGCGGATGTTGCAGCAGGCAGGCAAGGGAGGTTCTAGCAACATAAATTATTCTATGCATTCTACAAATGTCTATCGAGATACTTATAATATGAAAGAGGAATGCAAATACGAGTGCAATAACGAGATTGAAAAACACAGTACGGCACGGCACGACACGACACGAATTGCTTAAACCGTCACGCCCTCAAGCATTGGCAATGCCGCCCTCTGGCTGACCCTCATCCTCGCCCTCAGCTCGGTTGCGACAAGCAGCGCGCTCGGCACGCTCAGCCTCGATGTCGGCGTCGATATCTTCAAGAGGGCGATCGCCAACGGATGTGCCTTGAATAAGCGCCGTCGTCTCCGAGACATCGTAGTCGTTCATCTCCTCAATGGCCGCCTGAAGCTGCCGCTGCCAAGAGGAGATGGGGAAGCTGTCCGGGATGGGCTTTGCGCCCTTCTTGGGCTTCTTCTCCGCCTTGTGTTTCTCTAGACAAAGATTGAAGTAACTAAAGAACGAATATTAGTAACAGAAGTGAATAGTAAAAATACGAACTTACACACTGATCTTTTGCGACTTCACCGGCTCGTCGTAGATCGAGTATTGGTACCGGATATCCCGAAGCTCAGCATCCACGTCGTCCCAAAAGTCCTTGTCTTTCTTCTTCCCTTTCTTGACAATCTTCTCGTGTTCTTCAAGCGCGTAATACTAGTATAATTGAGTAACAGGACAATAATATTATAAGTAGGTGTGAAACTCACGAGCCAGGCAACACGACCCCACATCTGCGGGGTGATTGCGATCTTCGAGTGCGTACGGGTGTTGGTACCACCAATCAGGGATTGAAGGAGGGTATATATGTCGTTCTTGCGGTTTTCTTTGCTGCCGAGCTTGCCCTTTATTTCAGACCTCAGGCCAGATAAGACATTGCTGATGTGAGAGCGAAATTTGTGGTTGGCGAGAAAACCCCAGACATGCTTGGGGACACAATAACCCGAGGGCTTTGTTCGGACATGACGCTTCAACAATGTCAGAGTGAGATACCGCAAGGAGGGAAGGACAACTTACCACAAACCGGTCTGTCAATCCACCTTTGTATGCAGAAACGTTGCCGTCCAGAAGGTATCCAGAAAGTGCGTCTTGAATGTGACTCTAAGACATTGAAGTTATTGAGCAGAGATATTGGTCAGACATAATGCAATAGCTCACCTTGAAATCGTCTGACTGGAGCCACATCTCACCCATCCAGACAGTACGATCAATATCCTGCCGTTTCATCTGGGCAGCGAAGAGGATGAAGCCATCGTAGAAGGATGGGGCCTGGTAAAACATGTGATATCGTTCACGGAAAGAATGCAGAACAACTTACCTCGGCGACCTGGATGAGCTCTGCCGTCTGTTCACTGTCGAGGCTGTATTCTTCAGCCACCTTTTCGGCGTAGTCGACATGCTTTTTCTGTTTGCGAGGCGTCCATAAATCCGTCTCGCTTTGGCGACGACGCTTGAGGGGTCGTCCACCTACGAATGGTGCTGAGAAAATTTTAGCTGAGTTCGATGCTAAGACTGATTGACTTACCAGGGGTCACAGCAACCGCTGCAGCTGCTACACCAAACAACGGCCCGGATGCGCGCTGAACACTCAAAGGCCCAGGCGTCTCGGGGATGTCCCAGTTGACAGCGCTGGGTGCGCCGGACTGAACAGGAGTGCCGTTACCAGGACGCGGCCTTGCAGGTGTCTTGTTTATTTCAGCCGCCCGGCTCTTGATACCGTCTAGAAGGCCCATGGCTGAAAGAAGAAAGAGAGGACAGAAAGTAGAATGAGCAAGGAAGAAACAGCGATGTGTCGCAGGCAAAGGGAGGCTCACTGCAATGCGACAACGTGGTGGAAGGAGGAAGAGTGCGGGAAGGGAAAACTCACAAAGTTCAACCAGAAACGTGCTCCACAGTGCGTGAACAACTGTGGAGCCTGGCAAAGGGTCCGATCGCCGGTTTGTGCCAAAGGCCAAGCCAAGTCCGCATATCATCCGCACGGCACCTGGGAGACGAGAATGCAAGATGCAATGAGGAAGTGGCGAGAGTGCAAAGCAATGAGAGTGAAGAAAGTTGGCTCAAAGATCGACAGCAGCAGAAGAGGACATAGCATGAGGAGCAGTGATGTCTGTCGAGTGGGTGAAGAGCAAGCATGCAAAGTCAGTGTGCATGCCTTCATCACGGCCAATAAGCTTGTTAGAGAACGTCACGCCTGGCAGCAGGCCACACTTCTTCAACCAGAAAATAGACGCAAGGGATCCAGAGAAGAATATACCCTTGACGGCGGCGAATGTAACGAGGCGCTCTGCGAAAGTGGATCGCTGGTCCGAGATCCATCGAAGTGCCCATTTGGCTTTGCGTTTAACACAAGGAATTATTTCGACGGCGTCAAGAGGTATTCTCGTTGAGCAGGGTCCTTGATGTAGGTGTCGATGAGGAGTGAGTAAGTCTCCGAGTGGATAGAAACCGTAGAAGCATCGAGCCTCAGCAGCCTGAACCTCATTAGAAAAGCGCTCGAAAGGTTCTCATTGACAATACCATCAGAGGCGGCAAAGAAGGCGAGAACATGGGAAATGAAATGTCGCTGATTCTTGTTGGGACGGTTGTTCCAGTCATGGAGATCTTTTGATAGGTCCATCTCCTCAGCAGCCCAGAACGAAGCCTCAGCTTCTTGTACATCTGCCAGATCTGAACTTCGATGAGGACCTATGAAACCTTTGAAAGCAAATGTAGAGACAAACCTCGTGATACTGGATGGGGAACAGAACGAAACGACGCTTCGACTCCTTGAGGAGTGGCTCCTCCGCTAAGAGGACATGTTAGGAGACTCAAAAAGAGTCGTCCGCTCTGACATACACTCAGGTAGATTGATGTCTCCAACGAACTTTGTGCGAAGTCCCTCAAGCGGGTCTCTTGCCTCCAGGTTGTCCGAAGCTTCTGAGATGAGGGGTAGGGATAAAGAATGGTGCCTATGTTTGATGAGCAGCCTTAATACATCAAAATTAGTAACTGAACTTCGACAGTGTTCCCAACAGAAACAAACCTTTTGCTCGGGGTCAGGCCCAGTGACGGAGCACGAGTGCGAACAGCAGCAGAAGACATGTCTTCTTGTGCTGTTTGACACGGACCACGACAAGGTTGAGGAGCTCGACTGGCTTGCGACGGAGCTATCCGGGTTTATGCAAGCGGTCAACGGCACGAGGCAGATGTACTCGTGCAAGATCGATGTAGACGCACTCATGCCGCTGGCGTCACTCGGTGGATCACCGCACTTGTAGGAAGGCAAGGAGCCATTTGAGAGCATGCGAGTCAGCTCGTCCACAACAGCGTATAAACACGACTTTATGTGGTGCGCAAGTGTGTCTGCTTGCTCGCGCAGCACCTCACCATGCTGCACTAGAGTGTGCTGATGACTGTGTGGGCATGCAGTGGTTCGAGTGCATGCTTAGCAACAGCGCGAACCAACGCGTGATGCTGTCCGAGGCGTTCTCCACGGAGGACATTGTCCTCGCGATGCTGCGGAACGTGTCCGAGGGGCTCATCGTGTACCCCAAGGTGACCGCGGGGCGGTCAGACGTCGGTACGTGGCCATTTTGCAGCGCGCGAGCTGTCCTCAGGCTCTTCGGCCTCTTCTGCTGCTCTCTTGCGTTTCTGATCATCGCCCAGTTGCGTCTTGACCAGAGCTTTCTCAAGTCTCTGAGTTTGCACGACCTTTTTGGCGATGACAAGGTCATTGAATGAAGGAGGCGGAAGAGACGTGCTTTGGGGCCGACAAAAGTCAGATGTATGCGTGAACTGGCAGGAAGAATGCAGCTCACCGTTCGAAGTGAGCCCTGAGTCTCTCAACAATATCAGACTTCTTGCCAGTCAAAGGAACCTTATTGAGGCGGCACCAATGTTTAAGGACGTCGTTTGGAGCGGATTCCCTGTAGCAGGGGTCAGTAATTAAGCCACCAAGTTGTACAAACCTCAGACGACGCACCAAGCCTTGTTACCATTGCCTGTCTGTGATGATTCATCATGGTCGAAGGCAAATTCATGCCGTGGAAGTGTCTTCGGATTACGAGCTTGAGTACACTGTGGCTCGGAGGGCTGATTGGATGAAGTCTGTTGCTGCTCATAAGCGATGTTGCTACCTTCGTCGTTGTCCACAGCAGCTTCCGATGGCATAACAAGTCCTTCAGTAATTTTGATGAGGTTGTCGTTGTTTTCGACAGCTGCAAGAGCTTTGTCCTCAGGCATGTCAGCGCTGGATGTGGTCGTACGATCTATGACATTGTTGATGAGAACTTCCTTCGCTTTTTCTTGTTGTTTCTGCCTTTTGCCCCGGATGTGAGTGGCGGCAGTAACCTTGATGTCGGATTCCGTGGCTGAATCCACAAGTCGAGAAGGCTTGAGGCTGGGCGGTATTGCGTCCTTGAGGATCCGGTGGTTGTGAATGGCATGCATGTTGACTATGTAGCGGCTGTGATCCGTGTGTCGAACATACATGCGGGTCCGTGATGTCACTTCGCGCTCCTGCGTTGTGTGTCGTGCCTCACCAGGCTGGCAGTTTCCAGCATGGCAATCGTGCTGGAGGTTGACTGCCGCAAGAATATCCTACATGTTAAGACGCGTGATTGAGAACAACCAAAGCTTGATGCATATATGACTTACCGAAGCATTTAGGACGGAGAAAGAGTCGGATTTGAGTACGACTGGCATATGCAAAATGGGGTGAGGCTGCTCAGCAAAATCAAACAGTTGCACCGTCACTTTGACTCCATGCGGAGATTGAGTCCAAGAAGATGTTGGACCCAGTATCTCGACCACTCGACCTATTGTGAGTGGTGAGTATATGCCCTGATTTCATGCGTGATCAGCGTCAAATTCATGATCTGCATCAAGAGAAGAAAGGCAAACATACACCCTCATGTCTGGCAATGACGTGACCGCCGACCTTGACAACATCCTGTGCCTTCGTCGCAAAGTCTTTGGCATGGTAGATAGCATTAGCTGGTGGCTGCGCGAGATGAGCATGAGCGATTGTAGCTGTCCACTCGACTGGATCCGGCGCCTTGCGACTTTGGTTTGGCTCCTTGTAACTTGGCTCCGAGTCTGGTTCCTCCTTCCTTTGCTCCGGCGAGTATACATGCGAGTTGTTGATAGAACCTGGGCATAGCTACATTAGTTCGAACATGTAGACAGGATTTTGGAATACGCACCCGGAACAATTGGCTCCTGCGTCGACAACCCAAGCAACTCAGCAAACTCCGAATACTGACTGATGAACTCGAGGATCCTGGGGCTTGCTTGCACCCACTTCCCTCCCCGTGCTTTGCTCTTCCACCAGCCTCCTGTCGCGATATGTTTGACGGTGTCCATGCTGGCAAAACACCAGGCGATGTCGCGGCTTGGTGCCTGGTGATTACTGTGGATGGATGCAGCACGGAAGACGGCGTTGTAAGACTCGTATCGTTCGGTCGAAAACAGCAGTGCTGGGCCAAAACGTCGGATATAGAAGGCCAGGTGAATCAGGAAATGGAACTTTGGTTTTGAGATGATGATTGCCGGACTGCACTTTGCCGTCAAGAGCAAGAAGTCGTCAATGGTAGAGTTAAGTTCATCCTATAGTAGAGAAGATAAGCCACTCTATAACTCATCATATGGAACTGATTACCGTATAGTTGTCGATGTTTTCAATCTCCGTGTGCCAGAGAAGGACTACAAGTCGTCCAATGATAATCCAGCTGTTCAAGACATCTTGGGGAACGAGATCGTGCACCGCAAACGCCATAACTTGTGATAGCGATTTGAAGTGCTTACCAATCAAACCACCTTTATACTGACACATGTATTCCGCCGACAACTTGGGGATATTCAGTCCAGACTCTTCAACTGATCGTAAACGTGATTCGAAGATGGCCAGTTTCTTGTCCTTCTCAAGAAGTGTTGTTGTCTGCGCCCAAAAGTATTTCACCACACCAAGTAGGATAGTGTGGAGAATCTCGGTCGGAGTGTCCTTATTGATGTCGACACCTGTATGCATGCGTGTTGAGAAACTGGTGTTAGAATAGAACATGCACATACCATAGTCGTCCATCTGCAGGAGCGGATTAATGACACTGCCACGGGAGCGAGCTTTGCGAAGCTCTGCGTCAAGGAGTGCTTGAACTTCTTCTGGTGTGGCTTTTGCGACTCGGTGAGGGTTGTTCTTGCGAATCTCCTGGCCAATCTTAATCATCGAGTCGAGAATCGGCTGTGCGATTGGGTCTTTGACACCAGAGGCACGTGACGATTCGGCGAGCTTTGTGGAAGCTCCTGATTCATAGGCAACAGCATACTGCTTGCATAGCTCCTCGTATGTATCCCAGCTCGACCTTAAGCTGCCGCTCTATGCAAAGAAAGATGATATCCATTGAGTAAAGGCGTGACAAGCATCAAGTGTAGATAAACTCACCTCAAAGAGACTCGCATAGCCAGCATCCGTCCTCTTGAATTCCTGAGTACCTCCACACTTGCAAGTCCGACAGAAATAATTTGAGTTTAGACCAGAGCAGCTACAAAGCTCGGCTTGCATTGGGTTGTCACCAGCGAACAGAAGTGGGTATACTTGAATGAGCACTTCCTCTTTTGATTGGCAGTCATATGCCTTGATAGGATCACGATAGGTTTCCCTACGATAGACATGAGAACATAGAAGCCGGTGTGTAATAGTAGAGTAGACTTACGCAATAGAAGAACGTACTCCTTCCATAATTTCGAGAGGGGCAGCATGAGGAGATGTAGCAACAAACCGCACGTGGAACTCCTCAGAAAGCTTCTCTCGGGGTAGAGCACCGTTCGAGAGATAGCACGAGAAGTGTTTATTCCACTGTTTTGACTGATTTCCCGAGACATCGTCAAGGAAAACAATCACCGGGATAGAGTAAACCGGCCGGTTGACAGCTTTCTCTCGCAATGGGTGCGGCATCTTGTCTCGGAATTTGCATGTCTCTGATCAAGGACAACGTTAGCACAGCTCGAATATAAGTGTGGAAGAGCATTAGGATCACAATTACATACCTGCAAGCGGGCACCTGCCCGAAAACTTGTCCCGCAAGAGCTCCGGGTAAGTTGCAGTGAATGTGTCCACCGGAACGGTGACCAAATCGTCCATCTGGATAAGAGTTCCATCCTGAATGAGGATACGACCAGTTAGGATAACATAAAAACGCAAGGATTGCGAAACAGACCTGTGCTTTGACAACATCGTGTCCCATGGCATACATCCGTGACTCGGAGCCACTCTTCCCCTTCTGCATGAACCAACGAGTGGGGATGAACCAGCCGTTGTTGGTCAGGGAGACAAGCTCGTTGACGTAGAAGATGCGACCACTGCCCACCCTGACCATTGGTGTAAGCAAGTGGTCAGGGACATCACGCAACATCTTCTCCCCGTGCCAGACTTGGGACATCTTTTCATTCGCATATTCGGGGTAGAACACCATCTCAGGCCGAGTGATTGGATTGGAGATGTCCTAAGTAAAGACTGTCACAAGAGGTAGAAGACTGACTAAATACACGACGCACCTTGGCAATCGAGTCCCCGATCTTGTTGAGATACCAGACATGACCCTGTGCTGACTCCTGCCTCTGCGTAGATATCCCAACCTCCTCCTTCACTTCTTCATGTGCTTTCGAGACTCCCCAGTGCGAAGGGACCGTTGCGCCGAGATGTCGAGCCCATTGAAGTATTGCTTTTTGTTGTGCTCGAGAGAAGCGCAACCGAGGTGACCTGAACAGCAGGTCGGTAAGGAAAGTCTGCGGTTAAGTTAGAGCAGGTAAATGAGCTACGATTGTTAGCTACGCACTGCCTTGTCCGGGTATGGTGCCCACTGGCCGGTATGTCCTTGTTGCGTTGCAGCTGTGCGATCTGCGTGAGCCTTGAAGACGTCTTCAATAGGCGGGTTATCTAAGAGATGATGAATCAGTATGAGAGTTAGGATTTATTCTAATATACGTACCGTACTCTTGTCGATATCCTAAGTTGAAATCTTCAGTATCATCGTGAAGAGGGATTTCATGACCTTGAAAATGTTCGACAGCAGCGTTTGACGCGTCTTTGAGCGCCCGTGCGAGTGAGGCTTCAAGCGCGTTGAAGGACTCATCGCCTGCGGTGAAAAAGACTTCTTCGCCGTCCGCGTCGTACCAAGCTTTCGATTGGCCGGTATTGTCATGTGCGCCGTAATCGTAGGTTGGGCCGGCGCGTTGATCATACTCGTCATACCAATCAATGTCGTCTTCATAGTGAGATTGCCGATCTATAATGTCGGGTAAGAGATAAAACAAAACACAATCCAGCTGAAAAAACGCACCGTGTTGCTGTTGGCTGTAAGAACTCTCGGCGGCACGCTTGCGTGCCTGCTCTCGCAGCTGCAGCTGGTGATTCTGCACGTTTGCGATATGCTTCTTTTGGGCCGCATGTTTTGAGATAGAGGCTCGTGGGAACCACATGTCCGCTCCGGCTCGCTGTGGACACACAGTGCAGCGAGCTTTGCTGCCTTCTATTCGAAAGCCTATTTTTTTTACAAAATGACAAGTAAATTGAAGATGAGAAGAAGCATGATTGTGACAGGGGAGATGCGCACACGACATTTCATCAGACGAGGACTTTGAGCTGGATGCCATTGACCTGTAGTATGCGGGGTGTGCTGTCGGCCGAGTGAGTGAAGTAGGCGGTCTCGAGGTCACTGGCAGAAAAACCTCCCAGGTCGGACCGACCTTGGGCCCTGGGTCTACCGGACCCTGGATGGCCTTGGTGACAGCCAGCTTGGCCTATTTTGGTCCATCCCGACGCGGGTGGAGCCCGCTCAGTGTCTGGGCGGTCGATCGTGATGCGACACTCCAAACGTTGTTGAGACGACCAACAAAGTGTATTGTCTGCGCGAGAATGGCCCCGACATCTATTCTAAGGCTAATTGGTACCGGTACGACGTTTTTGACTTAATGTCTGTTTTAGGTCCAGCGGCAAACAGCCGTGTAAGAGCTGTGCAAGCCCAAACCGTGGGAATTAAGATGGTAAACCGGACCGGAGTGGTCAGCCCCTATTCTGGCCCTCTAAACACTGGCAAAGAAACCATATTAATTCCTTCTTTTGTCGCTTTCTACAGCACGGCTTGAACGACGTATATCTGTTTATCGGCTTGGATAAGCTCAACATTTTCCTCGCGCGCCTCGATAACTGACTTCTGCTTGCGGTAGCGGATTCCAACATGATTTCATCGCGGAAAACGTTGTCCTCATTCATGTAAAGACGGGCCCGGGCCTGATATAAAAACGCTTGCGGTTATGCGTTGGTTTGATTGCCTTCCCCCAATTCGTATCTTCAGACTCATATCACTCATAAGTAGGGGCTTCCGGCTCCTCTCGATACCCGTTGAATGTCTCCGCTCGGGTCTCTGGACCCGCTGGAGCCATCCATGTACTATGGGGGAAGCGACTCATCCCACCTTCTGTTTGTGGGACGATCGAGTCCGGCCGGCGTCCTACGCGGTGCATATACCGCAAGAAATCATAATCCTAAGAAACTCTCCAGGTATGCTTCGATCAGGCACAATATGCGCACCCCGCTTTGCGCTCTGACTCAGCTTGTCGCTAGGGTTGGCCGTTCTCCAACTTCATCCAGCGGTCCCGCGGGGTACATAGAAGAAGAGATTGAGTGGTTATATAAGTATAAACCTCGCCTCTGTGACTGTGGTTCTTTTGCCTCAGTAGGTGTAGATGTCAGGAACGCAAACTTCTTGAACGCATACCTGTGAAGACCGAGGATAATCCATAAGATCCACGGTAAGTATAAACTGATCCCTTGGTAAAGCATCCTTGGTGGAACGTTCGGCCCCGCATTCCGATGCAACTCTCTCCTTTATAGGCGGTCAATTGACTCATCCAGGGGTACTTTGTTACTACTGAATCAATATTGGTGTTACCCTTCCATATGGACGACTTCGCCTGGACAGCGCTTGGTGCAACGATGGAACTGCCTCCATATAGCGCAATCAATGTGGCCCTCTTGAATGTCGCATTTTTATGTATGAGTACTTCGTTTGCCAACGTATTCACTTGACATTTTATTGTTTACCCCCAGTCTCTGGGCCCGTATGACGAAGTTTGACGAAGTTAGAGCCAGACGTCACCTCGCACAAGAATAGGTCCGACCAGGTCCGAACCGCGACCTACCGCCGGGTATTTTGGGCGACGCATCAGATTCACCTCTTAAATCCGCCTCTTTACCCGTCTGGGACAGCATCTAATCAGTTAACCTCGTTCCCCACAAAGGCATCTCTGTTTCAGAGCAACTTTACACATGGTGGTCCTAAAATGTATGAGAGATGATCAGTACTGCTCATAAAGAGCTCAAAAAAGATCTCTCGTTGACATTGAATATTCCCCGGCTACTTCGAACTTCTGTTCGAGAGTGCGTATAAGTACGTGAATGATGATGCGGGCTATGTGTTCACCCGGGCTGAACTCTGTTGCTACGCGGGATTGACCTCCGTGTCGAAGTAAGAGGATGAACGTTTCAAGCGTTCTCGCGAGGCAAGAGATGGAAGGGTCTACGCTTGTGTAGACCGCGAACGTACTGTATTAAGATGTAAGGAAAGAGTGTGGCGCCTTCTCCCTTTCGAACATCTGAAGCTCTGCAGAGAACGTCGTCTCCCGCCCCACCTCTGACGCTCTCAGCAGATGGTGGCACACACAAGCCCCGAGCCAGACGGCCGGTCATGGCTTGAGCAAAACTTTCAAGACTTTCTTTTCTTCGCGATGTGTCGGAGTTGCGTCCTTGGCCCTGCTCAGGCGATTGGAGGGCCGTTATAGAACACGCCCTCCCTTCCCCAACGTTTCTGCCGCGTCGTTCAGCAATATTAAGAACAAAGACCAAACGCGAGCCAACAACATGTGGCCTTTGATGGCTGCTGTGCCCCAGATGGACGCTCGTTTCCCCACAACCGCCCTGGGGGTTCTGAATTGCCTTTTTTGCACAGCAAGCTTCTCTTTCACTCATCTCGGTCGTCACTCTGTGGAGACCCGGGACACCGCGTTACAGGGCTAATTAGCACCGCTTCGCTGGATCCGGGGCTCTCTTCCTCGTTGCCATGTTGCTCATGAAATGCCTCCAGTAAGCTCATGCCCAAACCAATGGCCCGAGAGCTCAATATCTGATTACGCATTGCTTTGCGAGCTCACCACCCTCTTCCGATGCTTCGGCGGACTCATCGTACTTGGATCGCACTATTGAGCTGATCGTCGAGTCTTACTCCTTAGATCGATCTTAGACAGTATCGCTGTCGTAAGCATCCCCACATCACCGGTAAATCTTGGCTTAGCATGGCTGTCATTACAGACCAGTATTCAAGAATAGATCGACATCGCTACAACACCTTCTCGCATGCTGACTGACCTTGGCCATGACTGGAGTCTGGTGCGGCACAGTGCGGCACGCGTTACCACTGCGAGGCTGTACACCGACCCCGCTGTCTCATGTCAAGCGGACTTGTTGCTCCGTCCGGACCGCGCGCGTCTATGTCCGTGCACGTTGTGCATAAGTACCGCCGCCGTCCTCGGATGGATGAGCCTTCAAGCCAGCATCGTAATCGGTAACTGATCTTGACCTCCTGCGGCGCAGTGATGCTGACCCACACGGTTGCAGCTACGGCACCCTTGTTCTATCTATCATCAATCTTACGGGACCCATATGCCGACCGCCTTACCTAGCAGGCCATTTCCTCCACTTTCCTCGCGGCACCGTGCTGTAACAGCTTTGATTGTACCAGGATTGCCGCCGTGCGTGGGGCACTTGGCAGCCTTACAGAATAAATACCTATCTCGGGCGAATCGTAAGTCGCCTTTTACTTCAAACAACGTCAGCCTAGAACACGACTATTCTATATCCCGTCGCCGATCGCGATCGGCAACACAGTCGAGGCCGCTCTCGTCCGCCGGTCGCGCGCCAAACAGCCTCCGTAAACACGGTTCGTGCATTCTAGCCTTCATTCTAGCAAAAACAAGCCATGAAGTCGAACGTGCGCATTCGGCCCGAGCATGCTTCTCCCCCATCCCCGACTTTGCCGCCGACTGGCACGCACAAGGACGCTTCGCATGGGCGTGGGGTGACCTTAGTCTCCCTTGCAGACCTTAACACGTGCTTGCCTAAGGACGGCGGCGCTATAACGTGTAGGGTGACCTGCCAGGCACAGCTCTGATGCACGTCGCGATTGCGGGGAACGGAGCTCTCGCGCATTCTCATCGTCTCGCCGCAAAAACGCAGAGGCACGGGTATCTTCCAACCAAGCGCTCATAGATCGGTCTTTCAAGCATAAAGACCACGCGGAGTACCTTTCCTGGCCCTTCAACCGGCCCAGTCCTGTTCCCAAAAGAACGGTGAGTACGTGGATTTTCACTGAGCCAGCTCCGATCAGACTCTGCTCCTGGCAGGACACACCGCCGCCGCTCTTCTCGAATTTCTCCGAAGTTCCGTGGCACCGCTCCAAACTCCAAACCTACAGCAACGGTGATGATCGCCTTCCTTGTGACAAAAGCTCGAGGGAAGTATGGCCCGGCGAGCTGGAGAGACGCCAGGTTCCGAGTCCGTCGTCGTGCCTGCACGCTGTCCTCTCAACGGGGGATTTCCCACTGGCCGCTTCTTTTTGAAGCATAAATCACGGTCGACCGGCTGGACAGGCGGTTTTGTTCGCCGGGCAGCAGCACCAAAGACGCTCTTGGTAATCTGCGGTATACAGATGAGGGTGGGTGGCAGTTTAGCGCGGGTCGAGCGCAAATGAGATAATGACCGAGAACTGCGATTGGTAGTTCGTGAGTCCCCTTGACGTCGAAGGACCCTTTGTGCTGCGCGAACGCGTAAACGTTCACGTCGTTGTTGATGCACGCAAGTCTCGCGAATGAAATGCGAGCGCTGACTAGTCTAGAACTCGCCGTTTGTCACACCCTTCAAGCAGATGTAGGTTTGCTCAGATTGATCGTGGTGCCGTGTTCCGTAGCGCAGATTAGAGGCCTTTTCATCTCGGCAAGCTAGCCACAAACCCTCCAGGTCGTTCGTTTCAGAACCAGCATGTAGTAAAGACAGATAATCATCACGCTCTGGTTTGGATTCGGCTCACTGCAACCCACCCACGCTAAGCTAAAATATTTCGACCCTGAAGGACACTAGCCCCAAAGCCAAATCCACTGAAATTAATACTAACTTGAAGTACCATCGCATACCTGTGGCTCCTTGATGGTTTTACGTACTAAAACGCATCGACCATCGACAAAAGCAGCGTGCGGCCACCGCGGAATCGAATCGGACTTGCCGAAGCCACATTTTTTTGGTGGGCCGCAATTTAATCAGCCACGCTGCCCGGCGCCTAACCTAAGCTTATTATCCGTGAAACCACCGCTCAGCTGTGGTGCGAGCCTTGCTCGATTCCGATTGATTAATTGGGGACCCGCAAGGACGTTTACGATAGTTTGGCCTCGTAAAGCACAATGTGCTTACAGCCGCTCCGCGTAGACAGTTTACCTGATTCTGCGTCGTCTCCAGGAACGCAAGCCATCTTGGAGCTTAGTGGCACCCGGGAATCTAATGGCAGACCGATATGATGGTGGCGACGGCGCGAGTGTATGCATTACGATAGGGATAAACAACAGTCACAACTTGATCATCATGCACGTTCAGCATCGCGCATATTGGACTATGATCGCGAACGTACACATGTACCTTCGGAGAGTTCCCAAAGGCTGCGTTGCTGATCACTTTACAGTACCATGATAGATGAAAGCGCACAGCAACTTTCGAAGCCTTCGTTGCCGAGTGCGATTAACGCCAAGATACGAAGCGCATCCGTTCACGCAGATAAAGACAACCATACGACGGAGGAAAGAAACGTTATGCAAGATAACACAGGTCAATAAACATAATACAGCCTCGACAAGATAATGACGACAACGACGGGCAAAAACCGAGTACCAGCGGAAGCAGCCAAGGAAAGTGGGACAAGCGGAGAAGGCACTAATGGATCGATCGAAAACAGAAGTCGAAGTGTGCATGTGTGATGGACTCTGGCGAGGACAAAGATGGGGATGAATAGTTCGAAGAGTGTGAAATGAACAGGATAATGAAGTCGAGGCGCAATAGGGGGCGAGTTAATGGGGGACGAGGTGACAGCGAAAGCGTGTGGGAGAGGAATTCGTAAGGTAGGTTTGGGGAGTCGGGAGTGGGAGAGTTAGATGAAGGATCAGGATGATGACGCTTGAAGTGACACAAAGTGAACGGGGTGGATTAACGTAGAGTTTAAGGAAGATTCTGCGTAAATGCATATTGTTACAAAACGTGTGTGATGGGAAAGACGACTGGCAATGTGGCATAGGGGGGCGTGTGGACAAGGGAAGCATAGAGCAAGCGTCAAGGGTGCACTGAGTGCAGAGCGTGGGGCATAGTCCGTAGAGTTCGTAACCCAAAAGTGATGAAGAGAGCTATAGTACATTTTGTTGATGTTGTTACGCAGTCCAAGTCGCGCAGGCGTAGACTGCATAGAAGCGAAACGATCTCCGCTGCTCCCGCCAGCGGAGACCGACGAGGACAGATCGAGAACTCCAGGAATCGTTGAAGAGGCGTAGTAGGTGTAGTGTCGTAGCGTCGATAAGATGATCGTGACGAGGAAGCAAAGAAGAAACAAGAGAGACCGACGCAATCACCACCACCACCACTTCCCACCACGAGGCGCTTTTAGTACACTGGTCCGGGCTGGCATCCCGCCTACCCACCACGCGCATACATCCATCGTCCCTCGGCGCCCTCCTCATTCGTAACAAGACGAACAGGGGGAAATAGAAAAGCCCACAACACCACCCACGGCCCCTCTGCCACCCCCACTCACTCCTCCATCGCCGTGTCCCGCCCGTCCTCACGCTCCATTGAACCCACTTGCTCGTGCTCCCCTAGACCGTTAAGCTCCCCCTTGCGCTCCCTCCGGCGTCCGCGCTCTTCATCCTCCTCGCCTTCGACGCCCTCAGGCACGTCCGCGAGCATCTCCGACTGTTGCGAGAGAGCATGAGAGTGCCCGTTCCCATTGAGCGACGGCGTAGACGGACCGTCGTCTGGAGAATGTTCGATGCCGAGCTCGGACTCGAGGTGGCGGTTACGCTCCTCGAGGTCACGCGAGCGGGAAGCCTGCATGGAGACGAGCTGCTGCAGGTAGCGGATGTACTCGACGGACTGCAGGAACACGAATGCGGCGGATGGGAAGAAAGCCTCATATCAGCGTCTTGCTCGTTTTGTTGATGTGGATGGTAAAATAGGAGAGGAAGAACAACGTCGAGGACGCGGGAATGGGGACAGATGGAAGGGAGAAACGAAGACGACAAACGTATCAAGCGAAGAGCCACAGAAGAAAATCTCACCTTGCGGAGGATCATCCCCTTGTTCGCCTTGATCGTCGCATCCTGCCCGTTCGCACCCCCAATTCCACCACCGCCGAGCTTGTTGTCGCCGTCCTCGCTCGGGTCCTTCTTGACCATGCCAGATGAGGTATTGTTGCCATTCGCAGAGGCCATTGTGAACTCCTCGCCCTCTTCACACATGGCAAAGAGCTCGTCATGGTTGAGCGAGGGAGTGTTTTGTGCACCGTCCGTGTTGAGTGCGGAAAGGTCGGCGGGGAGCTCTGAGCCTGGTAAAAGGGGACCATATCATCAGATAGGGGTAATGGGAAGGATGGGAAACCGGCGAACCTGGCTCGCCAGTGATGCCAGGGACGATCACGCTCAACGATTGAGCGGTAGGTAGGGGAAGAGGAGCTACAAGAAAGCAAAATTAACACCGAAGTCACTAGAGATATAGGTTGGAAAGTACTAACAATCGCACTCGAACAACGCAGAGGGGATCAGCCCCGCAAGCTCGCTGATCCGCTCGTTGATGTTGTCCCGACGCCGACGCTCGACAGCGTTGTGACTCTCCCGGCGCCGCCTGCGCTTCTCCGAGAGCACCGTGAGCGGATCCGACTGACCCGGGCCCGCGGAGACTGGCGACCCGTGGTGCACAGGGAGCGACGTCGAGAGCATGTCGAGCTCGCTCGCCGTCGCACTCGGCTTCTTCGCATGACCGATCGAGTGCGAATGGGAGTGGTGGTGGCCAGGGTGGATCGACACCTCGCTAGGCGAGATGCCCATCCCACCGTTGCTCGGCGTACTACCGCGCCAGGCATTCGCGCCATTGCCACCGCCCATGTTCATGCCCATTGGAACGCTGTTGCTCATCCCGCCCATGCCGCCGGCACCATTCCCGCCGTAGAACGGCAAGCCCGGGTGGAAGCCAGGGGCGAAGCTCTGCGTGCCGTTGTGCCCGTTCTGGTTGTTTTGAGGCGTGCCCGAGGGTGTCGTGGACGAATGAAACGCCGCGAACGGCTGGCTCGTAAGCGACTCGGGCGTCGGGAGGCTGTACTCCGCGCCCGGACCGTTTTGTGCGCCTTGCTGTCCCTGTCCGCCGATCGCGAACTGAGACGGCGACGGCTGGAACCACGCGAGTGGCGAGACGGGCTGCATACCCCGCGAGGCTGTCCGCCCCGGGATCATGATCGCCTGGGGATGCGGCTTCCCCTGTCCCGGTGGCGGAGAGGTGCTGGGGAGGTGGTGGCTGTGATGCGAAAGGAGGTGAGCGGGGTGAGCGCCCGAGATGGATGATCCACGCCGGTCACGGCGGTTGCGCGTCGGTCCGACGGAGCGACTTCGGCTGCGATCGCCGACGGGCGAGGAGGCTTGTGCAACGGCATTGGGGTCGATGTTGGGGGAAGGGGTGTGACGGTAGGCGAAGGCGGGTGGTGGATCGGGATGAGGCTCGTAGCGCATCGATGAGTTGAGGGCCGGGAGGGTTGAGTTGAAGTGGGCATGCATGGTGTCGCCAGGGGTACCTACGCTGTTGTTGGCGTAAAGGTCGGTACTTTCGGGTCTATCTGAGCGCTGAAGGGCGAAATGGTTGGAGGCAGAGGGGGCGGAAATGTCGAAGATGTTGTGTCTGTATTGCTGCTGTTCTGAGTGGTGGGGGTGATGGGGGGCGGTGGATCGTTCATGGGAGTCGTGACCTGGGAGGAGAGATGCGAGGTCGTCTGTTATGTCGAGAGGGGCACCAGGATTGTGCTGCATATGGTGGGCTGCAGCTGCAGAAGGAAACTTGCGGGACGGGTCAGGGAGAAAAGCGAGGTTGTGGGGCATGAAGATGGGGGTGTCGGGGGGCGGAGGAGAGGTTGAGTGGTTGGAGGGGCTGTCGATGGTGTGAGGGGGAGAGGGGAGTTGGAAACCATCCTGGCGTACGACTTGAAATGACATCGGCGTATCGTTGGCGTTGATGATCGAATTGGCCTTTGCCAGCGAGACGAGCTGGAAAAAAGAGAAGAAAAAAGCGATGAGCCGACTTCAAGTAGTCCGTACAAGTGCTGACATGGACATCCTCCAGGGCCGCCACTTCAAATACGCTCTTTCTCTCCCACCTTCCCCATCCGGGGTACTCGGTCCGCACATGGGAATAAGGCACATTTGCGTCATGTCACACCCATCACACAAGTCACACCCCGTCCCCAGATCTCATCTCCGCTCCCGGGGTCCCCTTCCCCACACCCCTCACCCCGGCCAGCCGCGACCTCAGAAATATCGCCCCATCGCGTCCCCCAATCAAACCGCGTCCTCTTATCGATTCCCCCCTCCCAACTCCCCCTCACCCAGCATACAGCCTATGAGCTCTCTCTCCATTTCATAGCCCTCAAACATTTTATCTATCCGTTCCCAATTAGCCCCATCATTTCTTCCACCCGTCTGACTCTGACACCACCCACTGTCACTCGGCGCTGTCTGTCCATTAAGCGTGTCATCCCCAATCTTTGCGCCGCTTTCAACGTAAATTAATAACAATCTCATTTAAACCTGTCACTACGCATCTAGGGCACACTATCTCCACCTACCTGCGGCCGAAACACAAATGTTAATCAATGAGCCTACCTCCAATGTTTTCCTGTGATGAACCCTCCCAGATCACAGAAAAAGGGCGCCCAAATCTAATCTATCCTACTTACCCTGACCGAGCTCTACCGAGCCTCGTACAACGACCCTACAGCATCCAGTGATAGCATTTGTCGATCGATGGGCCATTTAGCAGATGCGGACCCGCCAAGCCGCACCCACACGCGCGTGCAAACCCGAGGAAAGGAGCCACGGCGCGCGACGCGAAACAGGGGACGGAAGCCACCCCGCCTCCGCAATCTCCTTCGAGAGCCTCCCCACGTCCCTGGCTCTCGCGGTTTCGCGCTTCGCCAGTTCGCCTGGCACCCAGGGTCGATGAAACAGCTTCTTCCGTCGTGCCTCGGACCATAGAACATGTTCGAACCCGCTGGCTGGCCGGACGCCGGAACGCTCGAGCGTCACTAGCTCCTACGGCCGCTGTCACCGGCTAGAACTTGTCACTCGGCGATAACAAACGGTAACCTACCTCCAACCGGTCGCCCGAGAGAGGACGGTAGGTGAGCATCGACGGCGAGCTGCAGAGCAGAACGAGTACCAGACGAGGTATCGACATCCAGACTCCACAGGGGCCACGGTCCGCCTCGCCGACACCCAAAATACCCTTCCACCTCATACTGGGGCCCTCGATGCCCGAATCGCACCTCGCATCACCATCTCCTTCCTTCCCCACCCCCACGCAACCAAACACCCGGCCTTCGTCGGACTCCGTCCAGCCTCTCCAGCCCATTCAAGTCCAGCCCCTCCCGCATCCTCTCATCTGCATCAGCGGCGCCGGTGCCATTCCGAGCGTTGACTCTGGCTTCCTGCGCTTCTCAATCCCCCGAAACCCTATCATAGCGCGCGTCCGCTCGCTCGTCCCAGCAATAGTATAAGAACGTTATTATTAGGTTCCTCACTGGCTGAATGAATGAAAGACGAGAACGGGGGACAGCCCATCACCACGAGGCAGGGCCCACTTACGATGCTTGGGAGGCATAGGAATCCAAAATCGGGTGCGAAAATCAGCGCTAGCTGGGCGCAAGCGCGGTTCAGCGGAAGCTGCATCCAGGATCCGGCGGCACGCTGAATCGCCGATGTGACTGACTCTGCGGGCGCCCCCGGTAGCTGGGGACCGTAAACCGCGCGAGGACGCGCACGAGCGAGTCCGTCGGGATGCACGATTGCCTGAGAGGACTGTCTGGTTAGCGTTCGAGAGAGCAGAGCAGGGGGCTTCTATTCTCAGCATCACGCCTCTTCGAACGTCGCCCGAGGCTTCGATATGTGGGGTGGGAAACGCACGATAGCGATCGACGGGAGGCAAGTCGACACGTAAAGAGGTACATTGAGGGACGTGAAAAGAGGGCCGATGCGAGCTCCTCGCCGAGAAAGTTGCCGTCCGAGATTAGACCAGGATAGAACAGAGCGCGTGGAACGCACCACCAAGGTGGATCAGAACAATTCGGCGAAAGTAACGATGCTGAGAGTGAATGCGAAGCGATGATGATGTCAGCGCCACTGAGAGTTAAGATAGAGATAGACAGTGGGAGTGAGCTTGAGATAGACGATGACGACGGTGATAGCATCTGAGTGCGCACATTGCAAATCCAAGCTCTGAGCCTGAGAGGGAGTGGCGACGGCGACCTCGAGCATGACGCACGTACGCAAGAATAAGCTCCTGACGACTGGCGGTGAATATCTGGACGCTGATACGCAGCGGGGCGGTACAGAGCACCCGCGGATCCGATCCAGGCAGTGAGCCCACGCCAGACCCAGGACAGTGGAGGATGGGTTCCGCCGGGAAGCGCGGGTTAACTATGTCGCGCCTAATTTTGTGAGCGAGTACTAAAGGCGAATATTTAGAAGACGGAGGATAGACCTAGTACGCCTTGTCTTCATCTCCGTGGCGTTGCGGCTAAGATCCTGTCGCGAACATGTGGGTAAGAGTTGGACGGCGCCAGAGGAATGAACCTCTTCATCTCCTGATGCCACGGATATGAAATGCATCGCAGAACAGCGGTTCGGATGATGGCGTAAACATTCTAAGAGTCGGAGAAAAGCATCAAGACGGCGGAAGACAACTTCGCCCAGTTGAACTCGAACCACCATTTCATCGGCCTAGATAAAATTGAGAACGTCAACATCCATCAGCGCTCTCGAAACACTTACCTACACGCCGATAGCACTGTTCTCGTCAACCTCCATGTGTCTTGGCCCTCGCGTGCGCACTGCCTCGCGTTCCACTCCACTCAACCCTTCGCAGTGAGGCCCGCCACAGTCCCTCGCTCCAACGTCCGGCTAGTGAGTGGTTGCCGGTTATCCCATCAGAGAGTAGTGTGTCAGAGCGCTTACGCCAGCCACCGCGCCACACAGAGAAAAAGGAAACCCCAGACGTAGAAAAAGGTAATTCGCATGAGAAGAGGGGAAAGATCTCTTGACAAGCGCAGCAGAAGCCAGACAGAATCTACAAGGTTCGCGCGTGTCTGGGTTTCCCGACTCGGTGACATGTCCGATCGGCGTCTCAGCGTTATGAACGAACAATGAAGCAACGCGACATGACAAGGCGGGCAACCTTGAAACTGTACTCAGAGCTCGGGGAAGGAAGAGAGATGAACGGCGTGATGAAACACAGGGCGTGACAGAACGAGAGCGGCGAGAAAAAGAAACAGAAGCCCGTAAACAGCGCACAATCGGGGTCCGGGGGGCGAGTGAGGTAGGTGGCGCACAGCGTGCGACGCGTGCATACACTTGCGCAAACACCGTACACGGCGTGAACAACCTCTATAGAAAGTTGCCACTGCACGTAAGCACAATGGAACCGCGAGCGCCGCGACGCACTTGGTGCTCGATGCGTGCTGGACAGCCACGTCGCGACAAGTCGCGGGCATTCATCGCAAATCGTCCAAGTGTAGCACAGTGCACCCACCGATCCTGAGCGCGGGCGCTGAGCGACTTGTGCCGTTGTTCAGAAGGAGACCGAACACAATCGGAGGCTCTAGTCAGGGACAGATGGGAGATGCGTTCGTTGTTTGTTGGCCGAGGCGCCGGTTTCACTTTGACTTTGGGCTTTAGCTTTGGCAGGCTTTGGCGCGTTGCGGCCTGTTTACGCGGCGTGAGCGGCGGGGAGAATTCTCGGGCCCCGATAAAGCCTATTAAACAGGCGAACCTTAAACGAAGTCTCCGATCGCGAGCTGGGGAGACTCAAGCCTCAAGGAGCTTCAAGGCTCGAGCGCATTCTGAGGTGAGAGATCATGGATGGAACGGTTGGCAGATGTTGACAGTGTCGACGGCCCGGTGAGACTGACAGCGTCTAACGCGGACGGCGCTTGGCAGCAACCAGCAAGAAAGGCCGGGGAGAGGTCGGGTCTCAGCTGGAGTCGCAACTAACGCATGGGAATGCCAGTATAGCTCAATGGGCGCGAGAGACAATGATGTGGATTGAACATACGCTGATTTGCGAGCCACCATCCACATCACTTCAAACGTTGTAGACTCACATCCCATCGTCGTGATCGAGTGTCGCAGCCAACTTGAGCGAAATGTACATTGACGAGACTGTCCTGCCTCCGATTTTGCAACCATCGCGAGCTGCCAGCGAGGTGATCAGTGTTCCCTCCTGTGGAAAGGTGCTGCTTACCATTGAGAGGACCCCAAACGAACTTCGGGGTGGCGTGAAACCCCTAATATACACAGCCGCATGCATCATCCTTCTGTCGGCCGACACTGTCCTCTCCTCTCCGAGACATTGTAGAATGAAGAACAAAATTCCCCACAGGTTTTGCATATGGTCAACGAACATGCGAGGAAAAAAAAATCAAATAAAGATGCCGTAGTGCAAACCCATTAACAGGGTTTCTGATCCTGCGACGCAACGCGATCGTGGTGGGAGTGCGAGTAGAACTGCCGCGGGCCATAGAGCCCCGACAAGAGAGTTCAATAGAGTGCAATATGTCCTTGCGGGGGGCGCGACGCCTGCGCAGGCATGTCGCGAAGGCGAAGGCAAGTGGACGTTTATTCAATTGTCGTTCGCTATTCAAGCACTGCCATTCAGAAGGCACCAAGCGGACGAAGATGCGGGGTAATACGTAATAGCGAGCGAGGAAGACCTGGAAGCGGAGCCAGTGAGAGTCTTCGCGTCCGGCCAGCGGCCAGGCTCACGGACCACGGCAGTGGCAAGACCGAATGGCCAATGGACATGCATGGAACGGTGCACAAGGTTCAGAAGATTCTGATGAGACGAGAGAGGGTGACGGCGACGGATTAGGAAGGATGAGCAAGGTGGCAAATCAGTTTTGGCGGTCCGGCAAACGGTAACCGGACCCCGATTCTGAACGAGAGTGACAAAAAGTGATCGAAAAGTGTGACAGAGCCCGTAAACAGCATGCGTCTTGACGTAGACAGACTGACCAAAGCCAATCAACGGGCGCTTGTTAGCTCTCGAGCATGACAGAACCTAAGGCAAGAGCTGGCCAGTCGGAGACTTTAGTGGATCTCGCTGTCGAAACCCGCGTGCAGACGGACGAACAAGCTGCGCGAGCTAACATTTGGAAAGACAGTGGGAGGACAGGATGTGGGGACAAGTGTGGGGGCACAAATCCCATCGACAGGACAGATGCCGGACAGGTGCCGGGGGAGAGACCCTGGTCACTCTGGGGTACAGCAAGCGCCGAGCCAGATCGCTGCGCAACATATCGTCGAGTAAACTTTCTACCTTACCCGCTGCTCCACTGCAATGCGCCCCCCAATCCCAGTCCATTCCAGGGAGTCGTACGGCTCCGGAGAGCTAAGCACTGCTGAGAAGGAGTCCGGGCAGCAAGGAGACGACAGCCATACGGCCCGAGGCCGCGAAGGCAGGCGCGAAAGCAAGACCTACTAGGGCCAAGAAGGTGGAGGCCCATGTACGGTGCGGGTGTGATGTGGGAATGATACGTCGATGGTCCTTGATGGACAAGTGAGCGAAGCACGCGAGGGGGCAATGCGCACCCAGAAAGTTTCCAACCATCGACTTCTCATCAATCCACTGTTCAACACGTCAACCCACAAACGGCCATTGTAGAGCGCAAGTTCCGTTTAAGCCTGTGCACCCGGGAGGACCTAGAGGTGCATCGCATCAACCAGGGACAGGAAGTACTGCGGGACCGCGCACGCCAGGAAGGGCTGATCAATGTCAAAAGGTGTCTGACAATGGTGCGGGAGCTAACGTGAACGTCGGGTCGTCGGCTGTCGTCGGGAACTTGCGGGACTTTGGCGGGAGATGAACCGACGGACAAGCGGGAGTCGACCGCACAAGAGCGACAACGAAAAAGTAAAGAGAATTTCTCAGAGGACTAAAGGCGTGGCCTACTTATAAGGCCGACTGCGTAACCTGGATAGTGGCAGCCCTCGCCCACCTGACGCGATCACGGTCCACGGGAGGAAGGTCAGCTGAACGGATTGCACCAGCGCTGGCATCACTCGTTATCGACGCTACCCACCACTATCGTGGCCAGGTGTTGGGTTCTCCGTGTCAGGAGAGCAGCCCGTTGCGAAGAGATATAGGACGCAAATGAAATATCTGTGTATACCCCGGTGCAGAGTGCGGCTGGACGTGTCATCTGAGTGCTGCAGATGACCGCGTCTCGCTTGTCCAGGTACGTGTTCTTGGAGCCGACCCCGCCACGCTCGCGTGGCGAATCTTCCTCCGCACCTTTCTTGCTGCATCCCGAGACCGGTTTCCAATCCTCCGACGCCTTTCAGCATTTACTGACGCCGACCGACAGCGAAACTACAAGGTATAATAGGGTATAATATCCTCTCGTGACACAAGATTGCTCCGTGATGGCGACTGAAGTTGCTCTCAGCGCACACGTTTCTCCGAGATTCGTGGAAAGACCAGTTTGGTCTCAGCCGCGAGCGATTTCGCCGCCTGCCTTCGATTGAGGCGAAGAATCTTACACGTCGATGATAGCTCTTGTTTCTCACCGCAACCAAGTTTTGGCGATGTTATGCCTTGTCATTCACCGCGGGCGCTTTGGTTTGGTTTACGATGGTTCTCCGGGTTCAACTGCAGCATACAGTGCGCCTTGGTACGTCGATACGTACGTGTTATTCTTAGCCCCGCATGAGCTGAAGTCCCTCCATCAAGCAGGACATCAAGTTATTCTAACTCGGGCGAAGTACTAGTACTGTAGCTACAGTACTGTGCCTCGGAGTTGTTGCCGGGTGAATTTCGCGTCCTCGAAGCTATCTCTAACTTCTCACCGAACCTTCTAATCGCCCGAGCCCGCGTCATCGCGCAATCTTGAAACAGCTTCTCCGAGAGTCAGCTATGGTTCAACTTCACGCGTCCATATTCTTTCTGGCAGAAACCTGTTCGCGTTGGGTCGGCGCGCTGCTCCTGCCTCTGAGGTTTTAGAGCCTCTGGTTAATGGCTTTATACGTTGGCGTCACCATTGCCCCATAGGCCGTGCTCGCTGCTACGTACTCGGCATTCTAAGTAGCCACAACACCGATGTTTGCCACTAATGGCTAGTATACTCGTACATATTGTGACTATGAGCTCGTCTGAAGGAATGGCGCAAACAGGATCACGAGCTGTGTTGCACTTCCGTCCCGCTCGGAGACACTCCGCGCTCCACGCTCAATATCAATGATCACCATCTTCTATATTGGTTCGTTGGTTACATGGCACTCTTTTCAGTGCTCTAGCCTACTTGACCTGAAGTATGACCATTACACACTGTATACAGGTGTTTCAAGTAGGCAAGTATCCTACGCACGCGATCCTCAAAAGTGGTCAAACCACTGACACGGGTCAGCACCAGTGATGATGTACTTGTATACACATATGAACTTGTCTATAGTAATATTGCCATGAACAGGATCACGAGCTATGCCGCACTTCCGTACCGCTAGGAGCTCAATGGTCAACATCTTTTATAAAATTGACCCACCAATGATACAAAAATACCTTTTTCAGTGCTCTGGTCTACTTGGCTTAAAGTAATAGTTACCTACACTCTGTCTGCGAACAGCCGCTTCGACATGATAGATTCATAGCGACAAGTACCTGGTCTTGACATTGCTGAGCATGCTCAGGTTTGTGTCATTAGTCTAGGTTCGCAGCAGTGTTACGCCATATCTGGTGGCTCTCATCATTATGTTTCTTGATGCTGGTGATGTATGGCTATATATGCCTGTGTACTCAAGGCACGGTGGGCGCCAAGTGATATTACTCAAAAGCTCCAAATGTTGTTCTCTACCCTCTGACCACTCCCTCTCTCCAACGTATTTCTGTGTCTAACGCCATGCTTAGTGTCGCGGGTTCTCCTGAGAGCAGGCTGGTCGTTACAAACTCGGAGGTGAGAAGTTATGTTACAGGTATTGTCCATTGTTTCAACTGGTGTTACATATGCTGAGATACGGTGATAGTGTCATTGGTGGTCTGGGTCTTTTATGACTATTGTAAGTCTTTCCGTATCTGAATTCGATTTATTAATGATTGCATATGAGAGCAGTGTTAAACCTTGGCGAAGAGGTGTTGTTATGCGCTTATCCCTGATTCAGAGACGATTGATGACTGTGATATTCTTACTAGATACAACTTATATGGGTTCGTCACATGTCCGAGCTGGTATTTCACAGGGTCATGCTCACTCTCGCAAATAGAGTAAACCATGGTCCCGAATAACAGTTTGTTATGTGATAGTCAGTACAATTGCGGAGCCAGAAAACAGTTATACTGACTGACGTTGCTCAGCTACGTTACGCGGGGATTACCCATATCGTGTGAGTCCGCTGATAACCAAACGGTTCCTTGAGCAATGACTAAATGTCTTCAAGCATTTCCGCCGGTACGCCTTTCCTCTACTCTCACTCGAGATGTGCTTACTATACCGCGTTAGCCGGTGATCTGCATAACCTTCCAATTGATAAAGTAAGTCTGACTAGATTTCGAAGTGTCATATCACTTTTAACCTCAAACACGTTAGACGTGTGTGATATTTTTATCCTCTGATCGCTAGCAACGATATTCAAGATCGACTGTAGGATTTTTTGTGAGATTTATTTCTGAGATCGAGAGGAAGGCAGCACTTTACGCGTTGCTATCCAAGGCACTGCCATCTCTCCATCCGTAATATCACTCCAGGCAGTCGTGGTGTTTTGTCTACAAGGTACGCTGGTGGTTATTGCATCAGGGTGGAGACGACTCACCGTCAAAAGCTGTAATCATGATCCGTGTCGATGCCCTGTATCCCCGGGTCAAAGTGGCCAGTCGCTTGCTGCATTCTGTGTTTGTTATATCACAGGTTGGCAACATTTCTTCCATGGTCATTACAATGTTGGCAGGCGGCCGCGGGGCAAGATCTATAAGTAAGTTCCAGACGTTGTTCAAGTCCATACGTGAGAGTGAACCGTGATTATTAAAGCAGGAACGGCTGAGGTGAAGCTCTATCCTGGCTTCAGTGTTTGTCACTGGCGCGACACCGCCGTTGGTCCGGCATCCTCCCTCTTCGTGGCCTCAACATTTTGTTTCGAGATAATTGCGCTCACTTTGGCTACCTATCGCATCTATACGCATCTTAAGGCAACAGGAAAGAAGTTATATTCCATATGGCGATCTAATAACCTCTTCTTTCTCGTTGCCAGAGAAAACCTAACTTATTTCTGCACGTGCGTACCGTCCCTGTCACCTGAGACATACGCTCATCTTAACGTCTTTGAGTTGTATTTAGACTAGCGATATGGTTAGCGTTTGCTGTCATTGATGGGACCTTGAGCTCCAGTGACAGCCAAGAGGCCGCGTTGCTAGATGACACCATGTTTGTCCTGGAGACATACTGGACATCCATACTTGGGCCTTATCTTGTCTTGAATGTTCGTAGAAATGACACAAAGCATATCAATCCATACATAAAAACGAAGATTACAGGGGATACTATAGTGTTTGCATCGTTCCATGGCGAAGGTGTTGATAGTGATCACCAATTTGAAGGGAATCATGCGTAGTCTTGATCATGTTTATTAATACGATAGGGTTTCACGTACGGTACATAAAAGCAATTTATCCTCAAACAAGGTCTATCAGCTCGTATTGAGAGATGACCGCTAGAATCCATACCAGTTTCACAATGGTGTGTTCATCGTTGGTTACTAAAGCGAGAGGCGCAGATAGGGGCTATCATTCGGCGCCACCAGCCATTGCGCCTTCCCTTTCGAGATTTGTCATGCCCTTCAGCGACTTCTCGTGACACAACAAGACCGCCGTGGTGGCGACCGAAGTCGCTCTCAGCGCACACGCTTCTCCAAGATTCATGGAAAGACCAGTTTGGTCTCAGTCACCAGCGATTCCGCCGTTTGCCTTCGATCGGGACGAAGAAACTTACAACTCGGGCGTAGTCTCCCCTAGGCAGACCCTATATCAGAAGACAGTCGTTCTTGATATTAGGGTCTGCTGCTGTAGGTAGGGGTGACACCGGAGCAACTCTGAAGTTTGCGCGATTAACCAAATGGAGAATTTTTTTGCCCATAAATGGTGTGAGGATGGCGAGAATGACAGCACGCTGTCAAAACTGATCAGCGGTGTTCGAAATGAAATGCCGAGGCCGGCAAGCAGTGCGTCCAGCGTAAGACGCGTCTCGAATCAACGCGTCTTCAGCGCGTCTGGTCAACGCGAAGCCCGTTCAGCCGTCTATGCTACGATGTCACGAACACCTCTGAGCCCGTCGAAGTCAGGAAACAAGCCAATATTCTCTGTTGGCCCGCAAACAAGCGCGTCAACCGCCGCACCCAGCTTCACTGATCAGCCACTCGTCTCCTGGTCGTCTCTGAGAGAATGGACGCCGGTCGAGGCCCCGATTCCTCCTGCCCCTCCTCTGAGCACTCCAAACCCAACCCTGAGCCTGCGCTCCACCAGCTTGGGTGGCTCTAGTCGCACTGCATCAAAACGAAGACTTTCGACAACTACTCGCGATCAAAACAGTGTCCCTGGTCTTCACCCTGCCGAGAGACCTGCACAGAAGCGTCGCAAGGTCGTTGCTCATGCCATAGATCCGGGTCCTCCTGGTAACGACGCGTCTGCTGATGGCGGGAGGGCCTCTGACCGCAAGATCACTGCCTTGGAGAGAGTCCACGAGATCGCTAAGGGGGAGGATTGGACGCTTGCAGATCTTCTGTATAACCTCTTCAACCCGGAAACTCGACAGTCGAACCTCTGTAGCGCCGGACTTCAGCAGTGGGTCTCTTATTTCTTTCGAGGAGACCACCTTGGGCCCACTTTTGGCGAGGTTCTCGCCTGCCTCATGCGACACCCATACGGTGTTTTGCGAGACGAGGAATATATGCACCTCAGTTTTCCCTTCCCCATCCAGGACGACCCTAACATCGGCATTCGACCGATTCGCGCTTCTCTAGCTGCATTCGCAGTTCATGTCGTCAAAAGCCAGCTCAAGCGAGAGGTTGAAGACGCTGTCAGATCAGATTCCGGGCTGTGCTACAAGCTCGTCAAAGCGAACGAGAACGTGAACGCGAGAAACTCGACAGGTTCACAAGCGGTCGTGCACCAGCCCATGCAGCAGCAACCAACCTGGCAAGACATTGGAAGCACAACATTAGAAGAAATCGAGCGCGTCATCCTGGAGCGTCAGCCCCTTCTCTACGAGCTTTGTGAAGCAGTTGCAACACCCCGACAGCGATCAGATCGTAAAGAGCGTAAGGCCAGGCCCGTCAAGAACGTGAGTTTTTTTAGCGCAGCATTACAGTAGCCCGCTGATCAAATTATTGCAGATTATTATACACGGGATCGCGTCCCTTGACTACTCGCACAGTAAATACGCGCAAGCGTTACCTCTTTCTGCCGCCTTGTTGAATGTTGCATCGGGGACATCTTATGACGTCTTTGCCTACAGCAATCGCATTGGTCATACAGTCGCTCAGCGCACGGCAATCAACCACCTCAAGGCACTATCAGAACACGAAGCTATACTCACACGGATGCACGGACACGACCCCACCAAGCTTATTAGTCTGAGCTTGGACAATGTTCAGAACTATCGACGCGAGCAGCACCTACGATTCGGAAGAGGTCATTTATTCAACATTGGGCTTGCTGCAACGTACGTGGAACGGCCTATCTCGGGTCCTTCAGGACTTAGCATTGAAACCAAGCTGGGACTTCTATCGCTTGACCGACGCAAAAATCTAACGGTCGAATCTTTACTTCAGTACATCAACTGGGAACACGTCCATCAGGTCATGGCCCTCCACTGGCTTCGCGTACTCGCAAAATATATTCCCAAACTCGAAGCACGAAAGCTCAAACAACATGTCAACCTTTGGTTCCGTACTCGCTGCAAGAAACTCCCTCTCCCTGCCGAGGCAGCCAAGATTCACCCGCTTGCGACCTGCTCAAAGAATGAGGCTGTGACTACCGAACTCAAAGATGCTATTGTCGACTTTGCAGCTCAAGTGGGCTACACCGCCGACGATTATCCTGAACAGATCCTACTCCTTCACGGTGATGGTATGACATTTGACCTGGCCCTCCGTTCTCAACGTTACCTGCAGTGGGATCCGCATCGTTTCAACAGCCTAGCTTTCATACAGCCGGTTCTTGCAGAGTGGCACACCGAGTGGACGAATGCAAGCGTCTGAGAGTTGTACTCCAGGGAATGAAGCGAGTTATACAACCGAATTTCTATTGTCTTTTGTTGCTTGACAGCTTCCTCCACCAGGGCCCTTGCAAGACGATAGCCACGCGCAATGGTCTTGCAAAAGACGAGTGCAGGCTTGGTCCGATTCAGCAGCCAGTACAGAGATGGGTGCGAGTCACCATCTAGGCCATGAGTGAGTTCTCGCATAATGATGCGGATGTCACGTCGCTCATTTGAGTGCCGGATGATCTGGTAGGCCCCTTCCTCGAAGCCTAGAAGCTCGAGAACACGCTCTGTAGCAGCACCCGGTTGTAGTGTTGCCGTCGCAGCAAAGACAGGTATCCGATTGGTGAATCTAGCACGCACCCATCCAACCTCTCGATATGCCTTCCGAAACGTCTTTCCCCAGGAGTTCATCAGGTGAGCTTCATCAATAGCCATGACACGCAGTCGCGAGCATAAGTCACTGTTTGCCAGAATACTCTCGAACCCCTTCGATGCAAGCTGCTCCGGTGCGACTAGAATCACCCTTGAGCCTATCCTGACAGCTTCTTTGTACAGATTGCGACCTTTCTTGTACTCCCTCTCGAGTGTGTCACGATTGATGACGAGTGCATCAATCCCTGCACCTAGGATCCTTGCGCCCTGCCGAAGGTGAGACTTTGACCGATCACCTTCAGGGGCAACAGCACTGACCATGTTTTCTTCTAGAGATTTTGTCGGGCATACTACAAGGATCACGGGCTCCGTTGGAAAAGCACGAGCGGGAGACAGAGATGGGTTGCGTGCAAGATGAGAGATGACATGCATAAGTTGGATCAGAGTCTCAGTCTTGCCAGAGCCAGTCGACGTCACAGAGAGCACGTCGCGTCCATCGAGTAGTACACCTATAGCCTCTGCTTGATGATCGCGAACATTGATCTTGAACGCCTCTTTGAGTACACGTCGGATGAGCTCTTCGCCCTCGACAGAGCTGAACGCCATTGCCTTAGATGTCTTTGCACATCGCACATTTGCGCTGCATATCTCCCTCGGTCTCTATGCACGGCATGTCTGCTTTGACATCGGCACGTCAAAGCTGTCATCGGACTTCATAACATATCTCGAAAAGGCGAAGTGTCACTCTCATTATGGAAGGTGTTGCACGCAAGTTTTGCTACGGTATCACCCTCACCCACGCGTGCAGACTAACTCGGGCGGAGTAAATATTGTTCCAGGAGTTGTTGTCCGAGTCGGGTGGATTCCACATCCTGGAAGCAATCTCGGACTTCTCACCGAGCCTTCTGTAATCAACCGAGCCCACGTCATCGCGCACTTTTGAAACAGCTTCTCTGAGAGTGAGTTACGGTCCAACCTCGCATGCCCATACTCTTATTTGCGTTGGGCGGCCCGCTGCTCCTGAGGCCCTGGAGCCCCTATTTACCTCCTTTGTTGCCGTCAATATTAGTCTTGCCCCGTAGGCCGTAAATACTGCCACGCACGCGGTTTTCAAAAGCGGCCACGGCACCGACATGTTCCAGTGCCGGTGGTTGTATACTCGCATGCACCTATGATCTCGTCGGAAGGAATGGCACAAACAGGATCACGAGCTGTGCTGCACTTCCGTCCTGCTCGGAGACACTCCGTGCTATATGCTCAATGGTCACCGTTTTCTATAGTATGGTCTCACTGAATTGCACCTCGGTGCTCTAGTCTACTTGACTTAAACTGATGCTCGCCACACACTCTTTACAGACAGCCGTTTTGACATGACAGTTAGCGAGTAGGCAAGTACCCGGCTTTGAATATTGCTGAGCATGCTCACGTCTGTGCCATTAGTCTAGGTACCGGGCAGTGCTCCGCCTTGTCTGGTACTCCTCATCATTGTGTTCCCTGATGCTTTTGATATAGGGCTATAGACAGCTGTGTGGTTAAAGGCACGGTGGGCACCAGCTGATGTTTTCAAAAAAGCCCTGACTTTGACCCTTTACCCTCTCATCACTCCCTTTCTGAAACGTATCTCTTCGTCAAGCACCATGATTGATGTTCTGGACTCTCCTGAGAGCTGGCTAGCTATCGCGAACTGGGAGTTGAGAAGCCATATCACAAGTATTGTCCGTGTTTTCAGCTACTTTAATTTATACTGAGGCACAGTGATAGCGGCATCGGCTGTCTGGGTCTTTTATGACTACTGTGAGTACTTACATCTTCTAACGCGGATCATCGGTTACATACATGAACAGTGTTGAACCTTCGTCAAGAGGTGCCGTTATGCATGCATTCCCTTTTCGAAGGAAACTAATTGTGGAATTGTGACCAGATAGATTCGATATGGGTTTGTCCTACGTCTTTGTTTCATGGGGTCGCGCTCAAACTTGCAAATAGAGCAAGCAATGGTCCAAAATAACAGTTTGCTACGTGATGGTCCGTGACATTGTGGAACCAAGCAGCGTTAAGCTGATGAAAGCTATCTAGCTACGTTATGCGGGGATTGCCCATGCTGTGTAGGTCCGTTGATAAACAACGGCTCTTCAGTGATGGCTGACCATCTTCAAGCATTTCAGCGGGTACAGCTCTCTTTCACTCACACCCGATATATGCTGATTCTCCTGAGGTAGTTGGCGACCTATACAACCTTCCCACTGATAAAGTACGTCGTTTGACTCAAATTTGATGCGTCACATTGTTACTAATTCAAAGTATCAAACGCCTGTTAGATGTACGCTTCATGAACCCCTCTTCTAGCTAATAAGGAACCTAATACCGATTGTAGGATCTTATGTGCGATCTATGTTAGAAAGCAAGACAAAAGCAACCATTGATGCATTACTATCCAGGCACTGCCGTTTCATTATCCGCCACATCACTTCAGGCAATCGTGGTGTTTTGCCTCCAAGGTAAGTCGGTAGTAATCGTTTTTCAGTGCGCACGGCTCACCGTTTAACAAGCTGTGATCATGATCCGTGTTGATGCCCTATATCCTCGAGTCAAAGTCGTCAGGCGCTTGCTACTCTCCGTGTTTGTTATATCACAGGTTGGAAACGTTTCTTCCATGATCATGACAATCTTGACAACCGGCCGTGGTGTGCGGTCTATGAGTGAGTTTCAAACTTCTTTGTAGCGTCTGTCTATGAGAATTGAATGATAACCATTACACCAGGGTCGACTGAGCTGGAGCTCTATCCAGACTTTCGTATTTGTACCTGGCGCGACACCGCCATAGGGCCGGCAACCATCCTCTTCTTAACTTCAACGTTTTGTTTCGAGGTAACTGCGCTCACCTTGGCTTCCTATCGCGTCTGTACGCATCTGAAGACAACAGGAAAGAAGTTCAATTCCGTGTGGCGGTCTAATAGCCTCTTCTTTCTCGTGGCCAGGGAAAATCTGACTTACTTTTGCATGTGCGCACCTCCGTCCGTCCGAGACACGCAGAAACAAATAACGCCTTTGGGCTCTCCCTAGATTGGCAATATGGTTAGCGTTTGCTGTCGCAGATGGATTCTTGAGCTCCAATGATAGCCAAGCGGCCGCAGCTGTAGAAGACACCCTATTCGTCCTGGAGACATATTGGACGTCGATGCTAGGGTCTTATCTTATATTGAATATCCACAGACACGACAAGATATATATCAATCCACACGACACGGGGACGATGATTACAGAAGCTAACATGTTATTTGCATCGCCCCATGGTAAAATCGGTGACAGTGATGGGGGAGACTCATAGTCTAGTTCTTGAATTATCATGAACAGTATGAGCTATAATACATATAATCTCACTTGAAATCGTCCATCAGTTGATCATGGAAGGCGACCGGTCGAATTTATCCTTTTTTTGAGGTTTGTTCACAGTTAGCCAAATTTATAGGGGCCATGTTCGGCGTCAATTGCTTCGGTTACGAAGTCCAGCCCATCGCGTCTTCCTTTTCGAGCTTTGTCATGCCCTTCGGTGAAGTCGTTTGCGGCTCTCCAGGAAGTGGAAAATCCACCTATTGCCATGGAAAACATCAGCTCTTCACCGCTCTCAACAGACCACTAGCCGTTGTCAACCTTGACCCCGCCAACGAGAACATCCCATACCCATGCGCGCTCGACATCTCTTCCCTGATATCGCTGAACGACGCAATGGACGCGCATGGACTGGGCCCCAACGGCGGGATGCTATATTGCATCGAGTATCTTGAAGCGAACTTCGACTGGCTGGAGGAGGGGCTCAAGGGAATTGGAGCGGAGACATACGTCATGTTCGACTTGCCGGGGCAGGTTGAGCTCAGCACGAACCATGACTCGCTGAAGCGTATCGTTCATCGACTGTCGAAGATTGGGTTCAGGGTACGTGGTTTAGCTCTCTTTAGATCGGATATGTAGCTGAAGCGCGTAGCTAGCTGCGGTTCATCTTTGCGACGCTCACTACGTGACCGATGCTTCCAAGTATATCTCGGTACTTCTGCTCTCGCTGCGAACGATGCTACACCTGGAGCTGCCACACATCAACGTGCTCTCGAAGATAGATCTTCTTTCGAACTATGGAGACCTAGGTACGTCTCACAGTCATCGGTCTTGAAGTAGCTGATTCAGTCGCGCAGACTTCAACCTTGAGTTCTACACCGAGGTGCAAGACCTCTCCTATCTTTCCAACTCTCTTGACGCATCATCGCCACCTCGTTTCGCGGCTCTCAACATGGCACTCATAGAGCTGATAGAAGATTACGCGCTTGTGGGATTCGAGACCTTGGCCGTAGAGGTACGTCAGTCAATTCAATGACACTGTCCTCCTTTCTCTCGTTTGCCTCCCTGATAATGCTTCTACCCAACCAGGACAAGTCTTCGATGTTGCACCTAATGCGTGCGGTTGACCGTGCGACAGGGTACGTCTTCGTCCCTCCGAAAGACGCTCCAAAGCCACCCGGGACGGTCCCCAATGCCTCCAACTCGCCCGATTCAGACCCATATGACGGTCCGACGCTTCGACCCAACCAGGATGCTCTTTTCTCAAGTGCTATGGCCCCTATACCTGGGACAGCAGGTCAAGACGTGCCTATGAGCGCTCGGGATGTGCAAGAGCGCTGGGTGGACGCGCGGGATGCGTGGGATGCTTACGAGCGGGCAGGGTGGCGGAGAGAGGCCGAAGCTGTGCGGGGGTTGATGAAGGGCGGCATTCGGGAAAGGCACGACGGTAAGATTGTGGGGAAGAGTTTTGGCGCTTAGGAGGCTGAGCGTTGAGGGTCACTGTTGTGGGAAGCTAACGAAAGTTGACAGCAGAATAGCAGTGTCGGTGGTTCGCGGAATGTCGATATGACTAGTAGCTATGAGAACACTATGCTTGGTCGAGATGGTATAGGAAAGCACAACGTGGCCTCATATACGATTCGTACCAAGTGTCCAAGCAGTACAGTTTCAGTGCCAATCGCGGTAGCGATCCCAATTTCTCCGATGAGGCTATTGCTATTGTACAGTGTGTATTATGGAGTGTATATTATTATGCAGCGTATATACGAGAGCTAGTTCGATATTGAAAATAAACTCTCCGTTTGCCTGCGGGCTTGATACGAATCCCCATTCCCCTTCCAGCTCTTTGCCTCCACGACCGCAATCCCCAAAGCCCTAATGACAAGACACCTACGAAATTGCAAGAAGTTCATTTTCCACAAACTCATCATCCGTAGATGCAAAGACCACGGTGCTGACAAAACCAGTCCGCTCTTTAACAAATTTTGCATGTTGCTCTCGGACGTTTAGCACCAAGTAGGGTCCGAGAAGTGACATCATTACATTCTCCAGAACCATCTTTACTTGATTCGCGATGAAGGTCTGAACAGAACGTCAGAGGTAAACACCGCACGCAGCATATGCCCAAGCTCACCCAGTTGCTATATGGATCCCCGGCGTCAAGAAACATAACCACTAAATATGCCGTTGACCTAGCAGTTGGATATGAGTGTGAGCTTGGGTAACATTGACCAGGAACAAGTCAACTCACGCAACAAAGTAAACCAGGCTCTCCCGGGTGACAATGTAAAAGAGGTTCTTGGATTTCCACATGGAGAAGATTGTTCGATCCGACTCTTTCAGATGGTTCCAGAGGCGATATGCTCCCAGAGCAAGAACTACAAGCTCAAAGAGAAACATCATTGCTACGTCAAAGATGGTAGTCCACGGCGAGATATGATAGCTCCATGCGCAAGGAGAATTGCCAGAGCGGAGCAAAACTTCCATCGTATCTGTTTAATGACCAACCGCCTTCTTAGCTTATCTATACGTTGCTTGCAGTATGCTCTTACCCAGATCCTCCGTAGTGTGAGCCGGAGTTGCTCGGACTTTTTCGATGGTTGACAGGATGTTTCCGACCTGGGAGACACCGAAGCAAATAAACAGGAACCAAGTGGCTGGTTTAGACTCTCGGTAAAGGGAGTATGTACGAAGCATCATGACAGCTAATTTGTCTATGAGAACTCTGGAATACAGCTTCTCCGAAAGATTGAAAGACACGTACCTTGCACAGAAGCAATGAGGAGCGTCTGAAATGCAGTGATCGACACTGATATACCAAAACCTGTGCAAAGTATCGTTACGATCTTCGTCATTGTCAGGGGGATGAGACACTTGCATGGTGACCTGATATTGACGGTATCGTTCGGAAATTGTTAGCGATACATCATAAGTCACGGTTCCAGATCGTGAATTCTCACGTCTGTGAGTTTATCAGCTACCTGAAATGTCCGGGTCTGACGCTGAATCGTGGCGACTTACGGTTGCTATAAGCGAATCCAACTTAAATAAGGTACTAGCTGTGACAGCGTCATTATAAAGAGCCACGAGTCGGTGCGCTTGGATAATACCTGCTAATGAACTTCGAAATAAGTTCAAAATTGTCATCAGTGGTTGGAAATTCTCAAACTCACGCCGCATTCAATATCCCTACGTATCGTAACTGAGCATAAAGGGAATCAACTTAGACACAGGGAGTGTTTTGACTGATGAATGTTTACTCACAACAATATAGCATGCCGTTACAAACGACCACCGCTGGCGCTGCGCAAGTGGTTTGCACCTTCATACATGTGATCACGAAAAGTTGAATCCTCACCCATATCAAATCGACCTAGAGCAACGAAGTTAGCGATAAGGTCTTATATATCGAGCGATGGAAAAACAACGAGCCTCTAGGTCCAAGTTGAGTACTATGATATAAATGGTCTTATCGTCAGTATGGCATAGCTGTTTGTACGGCGTCGTTGGCATGTAGAAACCCACGGTAGTCGTAGCATACCCAAGTGGCCATCGATGCTGAGCGTAAAGATATACGTTGAAATCTTCCATTGCTTTCCAAAATGATTTACTTACCGGTAACATAACCGGAAATCTGGTAACCCGCGATTGACGGCCACTCACTAGGAAAGCTAAGGACAGAGGACATGGTTCCCAAGTCAAATCGAAAATGCAGTGACTGGAAAAGAGAGTGGTAGAATGGTAGGGTCAACCAACGTCAAGTCGTCTTCGTTTTAAGAGGCACCTTGCATTGGAAATGGGCTGTGGTCAAGGAAAAAGTGAGTCGGCTGCGATGAATACTCACGCACCATGACATAACGTTTTGGACATGAAGCGGACAATTATATCCGAGAAGAGAAAATGACGCCCCTTATCGAAGCAAGTTAATGTTAACCGCGCGGCTGCTTTAAATTTGGTCTAAATGCCTCAAGGATGTGCGCTAGAAGAAGCGTTAAGCTATTGATTAGCTCGATCAGTTTGTTTGATCGTGGGGACGTTGATAGTGTGCGTACTGCACTGTACTGCATCACGCTCATCTTTTGGATACGGAGGGATACACCGGCACGGGAAATTGGCTTTGTACTCGTTGCACTAGATTTGAAAATTGTCATTGACGGGCCGCTAATTAGGTCCAACAAAACCCGTGGCACGATATCCAATGGTAACAACGGATAATCAGCTGCAATACGAAACTGAGGACCAAGTAGGTCGTCCGCAACAACGCAGCCATTGGAACAAGTGGTCCTGACAAGTGGAGATAAGCCGCATATACCAATCCCAAGAATAAAAGGGTCACAAATCACGAGAACCGACCGGAAGTCCGGGAAACTGAGCCGTGTTTCGACAATTCAATTGGCATTGTTACACAAAGGTGTCCCTAGCATGATGGACTTTGGACTGAACGTACAAGGTGACTGACATTTGGCAATAGTTCGAGCATACAGTGGTACTAGTGCCGAGTGGTCATGTATTGAGAGTGCGTTCCCAAGAGTGCCGACGCGCACCATACTCAGCTTAGGACTTTGCACAGCACTCTGTTCAGCGCGATGAGTAACGCCATCATGGACTTAGACATACTCGCACCTTGACTTCATGCCACCGCCCCCGCCACCGAATCGCAAGGACATGCGGGGGTACACTTGGATTACGCCCATAACCTGGTCTCTCGTCTTTGGTAACGACCCGCTGCAAACGCGATTGTGGATACAGTATCGCCTTCGGCGAGAGATCGCCCGTTGAGACGATCGTCGTCATGCTTCCGAACGTTCAGGACGAGATAGGGGCCGAACATGGATGTCCAAAAGGCCTGTAATACCAGGGTGACCTCGTGTGAGGCCCTCGCATCCTGTAGATGGAAGGAAACATGTGAGCAATAGTCGTCCATTACAACCAACACAGATACACTTGCCTTAGTTATTTCAACATTGGTTTTCCATGGGACAGTCACCATCAGCCACAGGAATATACTACAATCGGCGGGTCAATGTTCGCGCGGCGAAGATAGCGCAGTCACGTACATAAGAGCGTAGGCCAAATTTTCCCGTGCAACCAGGAAAAATAAGTTATTTGATTTCCAGAAAGAGGACAATGGGTGATTGCTCCGTCGGTAATACGTCCAAAGACGGTACAGGGCGAGCACGAGGGCAGTGGTCTCGAAGCAGAACGTGGAGACAATGAACAAGACAGAGTCCCATGACGTGCTGCTGTACTTCCATACACAGAGTGCGACACCGGAAAGAACTTCGATTTTTGCTGTGGCTGGGTTGACGCGCGGTTACTCGCGTCCTCTGATCCACTCGAGAGAGGAGGAGACTTACCTTCGCCCTCGTGTCCGCCATGATCCGTGAACGCGGCAATTGTAGCAATCGCGCTCCCGACTTGTGATATGACGAAAGAGCTGATTAAGACAAAAGCTGCGTATGGTGATTGACGGTAAAGGGCATAAACCCGCATCATGATGACACCTGTTTGCTTGGTATGAGGTTCTGGTTTGAGATGTACTACCTGTCAGTATACCTTGTAGTGAAATGATAAGAACCCTTTGAACCGCAAGAGCCAGAGCCATGGTGTCGAAGCCTATATAATATACGTTAGAAGCATGCTCTTTCGCGGCTCTCCAGAAGACGTACAAAACGATCTGTAAACAAGCTCCGTTCTACGTGGTCACAGTCAAAGTTGTATTGCGTCGAACTCACTCCTGTCATGATTGTCAACTATGTCACAGTCAAGGTCCCGAAGCTTACATGAGCAATGAGGGGGGTGTATAGTCCGCCAACTGATGGGATGCTAAGCATGATTTTCAAATGAAACACAGACCGCAAGAGCGTCCTACCTGCTCGATCGCTTCCACAAAGTAAGCGAAAGTCATGGAAGAGTCTAGCTGGGGGACTTACACGGCGAAAAGGATGCCACCATAACGGAGCTACACGTGATAGTCTTCAGAACATAGGACTGAAAAGCTCCGCGTATTGAAGACAGCCTACCACGAAGTAGAGGATCTTGATTTTTGACCACCGCTGGAACTGGCTCAACCACCATGAACTACAACCCACTCACGATCTACCGAGATGCAGCCTCACCCATACCAAGTCAATCTACACGTGCCGTGCACTGATCAACGGACGGTTCCCATTTTTGCAGTTGTACGTACCTCCAACCTCAAGTTCAGCACTCCAGATATGGAATCAGGTGAGGTGATACTCGCAACTTAGCACTGATACAAAAGGGCTCACAGTAGTCGTAGACGACCCAGGCAGCCATCGACACTGAAAAGATCCGTGTCAGCAAGAGGAGAAAACCGAACCATAAGCCACTGAAGGCTGCCACCTGTGAGCAAGCTAGATTGCTGATACTCATCAATGAACGCCCACTCCAAAGATAAGATGTCGGAGGGAGATGCCATAAGAATGCTTCGGACCAGCCCGGCTGCAGTGAGAGCTGGGATGATGATGGTGTGGGTGCAGGAGACAAAGGCGCCCTCCTCTAAGGCCGCTTTATCGGACTGGACTAGGAATGTTGGCTAATGACGCCGGTTGCAATCAGAGTCTTCCGAGAGAACGTGAGAGTTCATGTTCGAGAGGGTCAAAGTACTCCCCGTCGAGTGATCGAATTGAGTCCTTCGTTCTCTAACGACCCTCGCCGCGAACGGCTGATAGCATGAACGCCCGATTCCGATTTCGTTTGCCTGCGTGACCAAACGCAAGAAGTACAGTCTTAGCGTATTCAACATGAAATGCCTACGTATGGCATTAGGATCCTACACTAAGTCGAACTGACATCATTCCGGAGGTATTGAGCTCAGATAGTTCCTTGCCCACGAGAACACGCAGCTCCGAGAAAAACGCGACCTTATCGGGAAGCTGAAGGATGTGCATGCATCAGCCAAGGAGGACAAGAGGAGGGCGAAGGGAGTGTAAGTATGCGCACCTGGTATGATGTCACGCGCCCCGATGTGCTTGGCACGACGAAAATGAGGGTGTCCTTTTCAGTCCCCTCTTCGGCTGTGTTGTCGTCTCCGATACTCGATACCAGCTTGAAAGGTTGCAAACCTGGACCTGCTTTCGCCCCACTTTTCTTCGGACTTTTTACCTTGGTCTTCGCTGGAGTGGGGATTAGTGAAGCCTTGCCCGCAGATTCAGAGGCAAGCATCTTGAGGAGCACGCCGCGGACAACCTCCCAGATGCCCAGACCGATAAAACAAATGAACCGAGGGCGAAGATGCGCGACTTTCTCTAAGAAGGTAGGTACAGATTCTTGCATCTCGGCTTTGGACAGTTCGGCTGCCTGTTGCGTATGCTGTCGTCAGAAACAAATACAAGATGGTCAAAGATGACTCACCTCCGCCGATGGGCGTGCTACGAGGTTTGTCTGAACTTTTGATAAACCTCTTATTTCGATCGAGAAGAGGCATGGAAGAACTTACGAGGCCGAGATTGAACTTATCAGGAAGTGTATAGTCCTCGTTCGGTGACAACTGACGCGGTGTGAGCCCTGGAGTTCGGTTGAGCCATCACGACACGACAAGAACTCAAGTAGGCTTACGTACCTGACTGATACAGGCACCTCCAGAAATGATTGTTAGGCCTCGCGAAATGGTGTCCTCGCTGAGCAGACATCTCACCCGGACTAAGTAACGAAGGCAAGGGTATAAGCGATAGGGTTTACAGAGAACCGCGAGTTGACGTACTTGATTCCGCAGAATATGACTGCACGCAAAGGTCAGATCATGAGTACACGGTTCAAATTATGGGTGGCATGCGCACCATCCAGCCCCTCCTTCACGTTGTCCGAAAGCGGGTGGAGATGCGCATACACCTCTGGCGGCGCATACGACCGTTTGACTCTCTTTGACGGAGATTTGGATGAAGACGGCGACTTGGACGCAATCCCCGGAGAAGAGGATGATGCGCCCTTGGCGTCTTTAGAACGTTTCCTCTTCCTAGCAGCGCTGGAAAAAGAAGAATCGTCTGAAAGGCTTGACGAGCGCTCAACCTTCGTTTCTCCCGTGTTATGGACGTTGGGCTTGATAGCTTTGGCATTACGAGGCGAACGGCGGGGTGCCAAGCCTAAGCTCAAGTGAGGAGGGCCTGAAGCTTGCTTGACGGGCGAAAAAGAGTAGCTACCAACGATAGCCCGAAACGCAGCTGTTCTCGTACCACTGACTGAGGAAGCTTGTTCGACGTCCACATCCGCGGCACCTTCCTTCTTAACGTGTGCATCCATCTCATACTCCCCCGCTCCTATATTTTGGCTCCCCTCCATCATATTGCAAGTGTCCAGTTTGGCTGACCCTTTTTGTGTGTCGGTCGTGTGGTTCATCTCGAGTTATATGAGTGCCCTCAAAATTATGAGTAATAGCGACAGAGGAAGATCCGTGACGAAGAACAACCCATGCCGGGAAGACACTGAATCGATATGTCTTGTCGTCGCCGAAGATAGTGTCAAAGACCAATATTAATTGGCGGGGATGGCCGGCATCGGACTTCGGACTTCGGAATCGCACTCGAGGGCGCTGACGCTACTGTCCCAGCTCTAGAGCCTTTGCTTATCCCTTGACCACCAAGCAACCCCCTATAAGATATCAGGTCTCCGTATGCATGCTATTTTCCAGGTACAAGAGCTAAATCAAGAGATATGTAGCCATGTGGACACAACAGATACGTTGGCCGCCCTGGCGCGAACGTGTGCAGCGTTCAAACATCCCGCCCTTGACTGGCTTTGGTCTGGACATCTCGGACCCATCAAATTACAAGATCTCGTCGAGGCTTTGCCACATACTACCGAAACCAAAAGGGACGGATCAGTTGAAATAGTACGTTTGTATGTCTCAAGGATTATGGGCATTGACGATCAAGTTGCTGTAACCTCATCTGTAGGTTAGTTTAGAGCTCCCGACTCAGGCGAGCTGGGAAAAGGTCCTCTCATACGCAATACGCGTCCACTCTCTGTTTTTGATCAATAGCACTCCTCTGGCTTCAATCGGAGAGAGACTTTTGCTGAGGCTTGTTACCCCGCCGTCAGGCGTCGAGCAGACGTTTCCCAAGTTGCGACGACTTATCATCGACGAGGGTCACGGTCTCTCGTGGAACTCCAAAATATACACTGCCTTCTTGTCTCCTGCCCTTGTCTCCCTATCCATACCTTTTCAGAGAGACGACGACCCAACAGTGTGGAGAAGACTCCCGGATCAGTGTCCTCGCTTGCAGGTCCTGCATGTGACGGACACACTTCACGGTCTTGATCCAGTGCCTCAACATGTAGTTCACGCAATAGCAAAGCTGCGTCCGCTTATGAGGTTCACTTGCGCAGGCCTTGACGGTCGCTCTCTCCTCAGGGTTTCTCAGCTCCCAAACATACGTCATCTCTCCCTTACAATGATGCATCTGAACTGGTCTCCGCCACCCAGCAAAGAACTGCTCTTCCCCTGCCTAGAGACACTAGATATATTGACTTGGAACCATCCGAATGCTCATGCCAGCCTTTTAGCACTTATACGATCGCTATCTTTTATTCCCACCAAGCTTGCGATAAAGGGCGTCTCGTTCTCTCAAAGCGACATCGCGGATATCTTCAGCGCTTTATCAGAATTCGATGCAAGCGTCAACTCAGACAGACTCGAATGCTTTTCTCTTCTTGGCTATGCTACCAGAGCGGCGTCAATCTTTACAGTTGATATCTTCCGCTTATTGTTCTGCCACCATGTGCTACGAGACCTCTCTCTTTCTCTGGCGTTGGCCGGGATATCGCTTTCGTCAACTGATCTTCTAGAGCTCGCACGGGGGCTTCCTCTTCTCGGGAAGCTAGTGTTCGATCCGAGTTCGGAATCCTCAATCACTTTGAGCGGACTGACAGAGTTCGCACATCAGTTACCACGCTTGTCTGAGGTGACAGTCCCCGTTGACGTCTCCTGCCTTCAAACTCCACGTCATTCCCTTTCCACCCCAAGATCGTCTAGCATTGAGTTCGTCGACTTATCTCTTTGCGACTTCCAAGACGTGGCCTCTCTTTCTGGGACTCTCGCAGACAGCTTCCCTCATTTAGTGCATCTAACGGCCAGGAGCTCGGGAAGGGAGTCGACTCCTGCCGTCCTGCCGCCGATCACGTTGCAGTGCCTCCGTCCCTTGCTCACCCTCAGCAAGCTTACGCACCTTGAGCTGTGCATCCCCTATGCGTTCAGCTTCTCAGACGGAGACCTTCACGTACTCATCGCATCTCTACCTCTCCTAACCCACCTCGTCCTTGGCAGCATACCCCTTTCATCCAATACGTCTCCTCCCGCGTCCGTCAGCCTCACTGGTCTTCTATCTCTAAGAACCACTCAGCTCTATCATGTAACGGTTCGCATTGATCTGGCCTCTTGCTCCACAAACAGCCCCGACGAGTTCCTGGGCAGATGCAGGGATGATCCGCCGAATCGGACTCTACATACGCTATGTCTTCTGCTGAATTCTCCTCCAGAAAATCTCGAAGATACGGTCATCATTTTAGCTTTTGCTTTTTCACGTCTGAAGAACTTGGGCGTGGCACATAGCCAGAGGGCCAATTGGCAACCGAACAGTGCATTGGAAAAGATACGAAGGCTAGGGAAGACGGAGGATGTCATGACAATGGGTCTTTGTGACTTACGACGTTTGGTGGCAGATTCTTTACGTTCTTGAACCATTGTACAACATTTTACACATGAGGAAAAAGGTATTCACCAATTACCTGGCACAGCTTACGAGTTACGGAGAATTATCTCAATTAGTAACAGTGTGCACGACGCTCACTGATAGGGCACTAATTATCATGCAACATTGTAATGCAGGGTAATGGATGCATAGTGCTAAGGCAACCACTATAATTGACTACCTATGATATAATTAGTACTACTCGCTTGACGCGGCATCGCAATGCTCGGTCGCGCCGTGCGCGAAGGCAGCGAGCTCCGTCGTGTCGTGCGCTGCTCGAACACCGCTCGCCCGAGGGATTTAGCGGCTGATTGGGGCCGGAGCGCACGCACCAGCCGAGGGCGATGCAGGGCGGCAAGCATAGGAACTTTGTTTGTCTGCGCGTCCTTGACAAACTCGCCGAGCACGCCCTGCATCACGAGCGTCGCAGGTACACTCTCGTGCTGCGCACGGCAGGCGCCCGCGCGCGTCGGGGCACAACAACGGCGACTGTTTCAGCTCTGCGTCTGCGTCTGCGTCTGCGTCTGCGGGTTTGACGCGGACGCCACGCGACGATGCTGATATGGCATTTCGGGAACGCCCAGCGTCGTCGACGCACAGCCACGGGTAAGGAGGCCGAAAAAAAACCGAGCTCGTCGGTCTTGAATTTGGGACGTGCGCTCTGCCTCTACATGATCGTGCAGAACCGCGACTTCTTCTCCTCGCCCTGCTCCACTGCGGTCGATAGCGCCGTTGCGGGCGCGATCTTGGTGAACTCGTCACTGGCGATGTCGAGCGACGCGTGGCCCTCCGAGAACCACCCGCCAGGGAAGAAGCGCGATGATGTCTTGCTCTCGTGCCACTTGCACGACGGCTTCGCGGGGATGTCAACCCGTAGCGAGGACGCGGTCCGCGCTGCTAATGATTCTGTTCTCGCCGACAGGGGCGAGGCCGCCTGCAGTTGGACTTGACGGCGAGGGGCTGAAATTCTGGGCGTCGCAGGGCTTGAGGGTCGTGATAAGGATCAGGGGGAGGGAGAGGATGCCGAGTTCGGACGCGAGCGTGTCGCCCACACTGGCACGCGTCGTATGGCCGCCGTCGGAAAAGCGCCGAACAGGAGACCACGCGCGCCGGCGCCGCGATGTTGTTGGTAACCCGCCGAACGAGACGCCATGCGCGGAGGCGCACGACCGAGACGCAGAAGGCCGCGAGCACGCGTCGTATGGCCGCCGTCGGGAGAGTGCCGAACGAGAGCCCACGCACGCCGGCGCCGCGGTGTCGTGTCATCCGAGCCCAAACCAGCGGAACACGGAGGATGAGGCGCAGTCAATGTGAGGGAGGCGCGCACACTGCGAGTCGTGGATGCTGGCGTCGACTCGGAGGGCGCTGCAGGCTGACCGAGGAGCACGCTGGGCGTCAGCGGAACAAAGAACCCGCCGAACGCGATTCATGGACTTTCGAAATGTCATTGAGGTGGCTGAAACTGCGACTGCTGGAGGTTGTAAGCAGAGTAAACGTGAAGGAAGGATGATAATGACGCACTGCTTGTTGTAGATGCGTGCGCCGTGTGCGCTGGCGACGTGACCCGGTCACGGACGTAGACGGTCACAAAAAGACCACCACGCCAGTTCGATTAGCACATGTTGAAAGTGCAAATCAAGTTTAAAAACATTCTTGACGAGGGCGAGACAGCACCTTGGCCATTGGGATTCGGCTCACGGCTAGTGCTCCTTGTACAGAGTACATGTCCGTAGAGCTTGTGCCCGTGGTCAGAGGGCACTGGGGGAATGATGACCCCATTGTGCAAATAGGAAACATGAAGAGAGAAGGAAGACCCTGGATAGTTGGGCCATCCAGTACGCATGCGTAGGGATGGGGGCCAGCCTGGGTATAGTGTGTGGTGAACGGAAGCAAGAGATGTAGCGCGGGTTCAAAAGTTTGTAAGTATAGGTTCCCACGCTTCGTTCTCCATTGGTGTATGGCGGGGTGTAGCACGAATTTTATGTAAACGTTTCACGGGCGAGAAGTGTAGGCGGGGAGGACCGAGGACCGAGACGCAGTTGAGGAGATTGATGCACGCCGTGAGTGAAACTTGAGGGATCCGACGGGATAGAGCATGGCGTGATGAGAGGTGGGCGTTTATGGCGTCGACAATGAGGGGGGCACTGTGTGAGACTTGGACTTGAGAGAGCCGGACGCGAAGTTGGTTGTGTAATATGAGTGACTTCAACGTTAGATTGTGCGCTCTACGTGATATTTTGAGATCGAAACACTTTCGACCGAATCATACAAGGAGTTGTGGTGCGTAGCCTACTGTAATCGACTTAACCTGAGAATTTAGGAATCGTCAGGCTTCTTGTCAGTGAAGAATTCGCTGCCATAATCTAGCAGAAGCTCTTTTCCCGCTTCAATATCTCCTACTATAGCGATTGTGAATGACCCATCGTAACTTAGAAATGAACGTAGCTTACAAGCAAAGATGCCGATGCGGTGATCTCCGTTAACAAGACGAACTGAAAGAATCGCACATGTTCAACCAGCACCTCGAGTTGTTGCTTTAAAAAAATAGACACACCAAAGGCTTTACAGTTTGCACGTCGGACAGCTCCTGAAGGGTCGACGCCTTCGACGTGATTGATATAGCGTGAAACATTCCCCGCAAACGAGCTATCGATTGACATTGAGCTGTTGAGCCTGTACACGTAACTCCGTCCGCGGTAGTTGGCAAGGTCGCTGGGTCATCGTCAATCTAACCGTATGAGCAGGATGAAGGACAAAGATACATGCCCTCGGGATTCAAACGTTGGCTCATAGATGAGTTCGCCAACATACTCTAAGTAAATCAAAAGTAAATACGGTAAATGTTAGCACTGGTGCATGTACACCTGGAGCCGATTCGCACCGCATAAAAGGTCTCCGGTTTTAGCGGGTTCTCGGAGGAACGCGCCTAGTCCCCATTGACTTTCCTTAACATCGATTTCCTGAGCCGTCATTTGTTAGCAGTCGAGTGAGAGTGGGAGGGAAGAATTACCTTGCATAGTCCGTGCTGGATCTGCGAGTTACGGCAATTTCCTCCGTCCATTTCTGCTCGAAGTTAGAAATACAATTTTACTTCATGTGCCGATGAAGCTTACCGCTAAATCCAAAGACGTTAGCATGTGTCGAGATACATAGATGAAAGGACACACTTGCACCCGCACCGCAGACAGAGCTCTGGATCGCACTCCCGAGACTCAGCCCGACAGGTACATTTTTCAGTCATGCACTGTAGCTTAGTGCATCTGCAGCCTCGCCAACGTCGCTTGCCTGATCAGTCAAGCAAAGATCAACGTTTTTTACGTCGAAATTTGGTGATAATGTGACTCACAACTCGACGAGCATCTACAGTTTCTCTGGCAATGTGCACTATTGTGATAACAAGCACAGTCAGTTTCCGCTGTGCATGGGCCACTGTGATTACACGGTTCGTTCCTGCGTCAAAGCACGTCAGTCAATTGTCATCACGTGTTAGACACCTTTGCTTACGGAGTGAACTGGCTTGCGTCTCCATCTTGGCAGAAAGAAGAGAGTAAGGGTTTATTGACCGAATGAGTAAGATGAATGACCGACCTACGTAAAACAGGGCTTTGTGTGGGGCGTTGGTGGTCTCATCCTTGGCTTTCTTCGGATAAAGAAAACGCCACCAGAGAAAGACCTTAGGTAGTTGCATCAGAGAAAGTATAAACCCGAAAAGTCGCTATCTACCTCTTTGCAAGGTTTGAAGCACAAGAGAGCCAGGTCACAAGGGGTACTATCAGGAAGAATCTCGAGAGAAAGGCGAAGATCGTCGACCTCATGGTCATCCCAATCCGGCCTGATATTCAACTAAATGACGTCCGCGTAAGCATAAGCGGAACTAGGTAATCAAAGGACAGCTTACATCTGTGTATGGTTCCTGCATGAAGCACTCGAGGCTGCACGCCTTGCTGATTGCGGCGAGTATTTCTTCGACAGTAATAGCTGGTTTCCGAGGTGCAGGCAAAGAATTCTGGGTTACTGAAGATAATTTTAGCAGTTGCGTGAGGTTCAAATTAGTTCAGGACTAACAGTGAACGGTGCAGAGCGGCTGTACACAGTTAAGATTTGGGCAAAAGATACCAACTGCACTCTCGACACGGGCCCTCGTGTCCTTCTCATCAGGTACGAAAAGTGTGGCAAAGACACTCCAGTCGGTGATGCTGTTTCCGGGCCAATCCACAAAGTCACTAAAGAGTAACATTTGGTAAGTGTACATCAACGAGCCACCGGAGCTTACCGTCTCAAACACCGGGAAATAAGACCTGTTCTTCCGGAGGTAGATATTAAGGTCTCTGGTAACACACCCGTTGCATCAGTGACGTCAAAGGGAACCCCGTGAATTCTGTTGAGACGATGTGCAGTCTCCATGATAATGGCCTGGTCTTGTGCTGTTCAGCGTGACCTTATCCAGGACCGAGTCAGACTTAACTCGGAAAACATACCGTCGGGATCCGGGGGGTCATTTTGCCACGCAAATGATTCATATTGGTTAACGTGTTGAACCCAGTTGAACGAAGGCTCGTCGGCATAAGGGATAAAGGGCATCTCGTCTGCATCGTCGCCTTTGAATATATTCTGAGAGATGGGGGCGCTCGCCTCATATGCAGGATGGGGCGCTAAAGGCGTGACAGAGGCGACTTGAGCGTTCTCGTCCGTGTTTACCTTGATCACCGCAGGAGAACCGTCTTTCGCCCTAAGGGCGCGCAGAGAAGAGAGTAGGGACTCGATTTCATCGTTTTCGCCATCGGTTGGGGTGTCGCCCGAGGGCGGGGCGGAACAACACGATCGTAGCTTGTCCCGAATGTAACCTTGGTTCCACAGGTTGTACTCTTGACGAACCTGGCTGTAGACGAGGGCAACAAGGTTGGAAACCTTACTCGGTTCCTTCAAATGTTGATTGTCGGCGTCTGAGCACGTTTCAAGAGGCATTATTTTTGCGACGCAGGGATCACAGCGAATCAGTTCCTCCCTTGCGTTGTCTGCCACAGTGACATCTGCCGACCCCAGGAGGCTGTTGGATGTCAGTATCGCGTTCCTGTGTTAGTGTTTCGTTACCGCGATGGTTGAGTCGAAGGCCGTTTCGGCGACTGCCGCCTATGCGCATGTGTTGTTGGGTAATTCACACGTGCTTGATTCGTTGACTTTTCGTGCCGAGGCCACTACTTCCTGGAGGCAACTCCAACATGACCCACTGCGCCATAACTTTTCACTGAGCACCTGTCAATTTCGAATGATTTCCGGGTCAGTCAGCTTGTTGAATAAGCATCGCAAATCTATCAAACATTGGGATGGATCATCACGACAAAGTTCTCGCCACGACATGGTAAGCTAGCCACAGCTTTGTGTCTGTACGATATAGAGCGGTTCCATTGCTAGATCTTCCGACGTTCTCGCGTTCCAACATATGAAATCATCCACGATCCAGATTTGTATTTGCTCGGAGGTCCTAATCTTGCCACCGCATACGCGAACACCTGCTTCAGCTCCAGGCCGTCGCTACCGTACGATTTCAATGATGCGCAGGATGAGGGATGCTCCGTGAAAAAATTCACTCTTAGGACAGCTCTACGCGCCGATAGTTCATGAGGGAGAAAAGAGAAACGATAATCATGCGTACAATCGCCAGACCGTCTACACGGGTATCATCTATTGTACAGACCTCTCAACTGATTCTCAACCTCCTCCGGCGAGAACTTGATATCTGGTAAGAGGGCGTAATGAGCAAATAGGCACGGGTAACCGTGTATCGAAAGTTCACTTACATTTCTGGGGGTCTGTTGTTCCACACGAAAACGCCGCGAGCAGAAGAACAGATGATTAGTAAAGCGTTCTGACGGAACGCGTCATCTCGAGAAAACCACGTACTCTTACTGAACTCCCGGTCTTTTTGCTTCTGCACGAAAGCCCTCAGCGCCGGCACAACCAGCCTAATCACCTCGTCCTCCAGCGCACCCCTCTCCGTGCCCTCGTCCCACGTCCCGCCCTTCCCATCGCCGTCGATCACATCGCCGAGCACGCGCACGCCCTTGTGCCGTTCAAGCACCTCCTCGAGCGCCTCGTAGAATTTGACGAACGCCTCCTTCGCCGCCGCCTTGCCTGCGCTCGCACTCGACGCCTCGCTAAACGCGCCCAGGAGCGACGCAAGGTGCGAGTCGAGGTACCCTGCTTTGGCGGTGCGCCAAGCGGAGCTTAGCGCATCACGTGAGGGCTGGGACATCGTGTCGAGCACGGTAGTAGCCCCATTCAAAGGGCTGGTGGTGTGTTGCGGGACAGACAGAAGGCGCGAGCGGAGATAGGTGATGTTGTTGAGAAGGAAGATGGACCCTGAGGCTGGCTTGCGGTGTTGTTTCGAGAGGGAGTTGATCGTTGTGATGAGCTCTTTGACGACGTCGACTAGTGCATAGAGGACATTTAGTCATCGATTCCGATAGGAAATATGGATGGAGAGAACGGCTCACAGACAAAGTGCTGCACCAAAACCGCCTCGTCGCCCTCGCCAAACGTGCTTTTCCCGACCTTGCTCGCGGCACCCATCTTCCAGTTCCCGTCTCCCAGCGCAACAAGCGCCGACCCAACAGCGCTATGGACACTCGGTATCTTCGCAAGATAGTTTACAGTCTGTGACAGGACGAGCGAGTCTTAGCCTTGAACCGAGTTAGGAACAAAACCACACGTACCGATATCGTAATCTCCATAACACTGGTCCCAATATCCAGGCCCTTGTCCGCACCCGACTTGGCCGTAGGAGCGGTCGGCGCGCCCGCCATCTTGATGTCCGCGAGTAGCTCGGGAAAGCTCCGGAGACACACAGCCCTGACCGAGTTCATCGCGTCTTTGTGCTCCGAAGGCAGCGTCCCGCCCCCTCCTCGGGCGTCGGCTCCCATATTGGCGGTGGACGTCGAGCCAGAGGTAGAAGAGTCCTCGCGTCTCGTGGCAATCCGTTCCCAGCGGCTGTAGAGAGAACTGTCTTGTAGAGATGTGTACAGCCCGAGAGCAAGGAAGGCATGTTTGTGTAGGTTTCGGCGGACGATGTTGTTCAGGGAGTTAATTGTCTCGGTGAATAGTTGAAAGAGCGGGGTGAGAAGCGTAGTGTATGCTTGTGCAATGAGAGAGGGTGTGGGGAGCGGCGCAAGGGAGATTAAGGAGGCATGTTCGCTCTATAGGATGTGTACACATTGATAAGGAACTCTCACTTGGCCCAATAACGAGAGGAAGACTGACCTCGGCTGCGCTCAAGAGTCGATCAAGCCAATCGCTGAACTCCTTGCCCATAGCGACGCCGTCGACATTCTCCGCGCGATCCACAAGACGCTTTGCTGGGCCTGAAAGGGCGCGTCTATGCCACGAGCCCCGCATATCCGCATAACCAGTCTGAGCCGAAGCAAGCGCCGAGCGGATGGCGGACGCTGCAGGGTGGGAAGGGTGTGTCGACGGGAGTGGCAGGGAGCGAAGAGCGGCAACAAGAGGGGTGAGTATCGACAAGATGTTTGGGGGGAAAGCTGTCGAGGCCACTGTGGAGGGCGATCCGGAGGACGCTTCTGCGACGAGCTTGGTGTAAAGTGACGCAAGCTTATTGGCGCCGGATTGGACTAGCGTTGCCTGAGGTCGGGGATTAGGATGAGAAGAACGAAAAAAGTAAAACGTACAGCATCGCGGGAGTCTGAAGCAGACTTGAAGGCTATGGATGCATTGAGCTTCTCCAACGTCGTAATGTAGGTGTCAAGTTGGCCAGGTTGAGGACTGGGTGTGACATTAACTGGGAACCTGCCACAGGCAGTGGACAACGCACCCTCGGAGAATAAGCCCCTCTTCTTCCGCTATCCCTTCCTGACTACTGGCGAGTTCATCTATCTTGAGTAAAGCTCGATCGATGTCTATAAGCGACCATGTAAGCGTGCCAAGCAGGGTGGGTCATGCATATATGCGCTTACTATGAGCCCGTAAGTTGAGCTTCTGGGTCGAGGTGTACAGTGGGAGGACTGATTTCTCAAGCTTCACGAGACGAGATTCAAAGGTAGTCAGGATTGCTTTGGTCGGCTCACGTTGAGCGGTTCATCATGGACAAGGTTATTAACGCACAAGACATCCGACGCGATATTTGACGCGTCTTGTTCATGTTTTGCTCGAGCTGACGGATCAGTCGTTAGAGATAACTCATCTTGGGTCATTCGAGTTGCTTACGAGCTCGATTTCTGCGCCATCGTCGTCCATGGTGTGAAGGTCGTCGGGGAGGTAGAGCGCGGAGAAAACGTTGCCTTGTTGAAGGTGAGTACGTAAGCTGGACTGTGTTGGGGACTGCTACCGCCGGGTGTGTGACGAGTCTCGACCAAAGCTTAAGGCGACCAATGGCAGCACAACCCCAGTCCCAGCCACCACAACAGCCTTCCAACGACATCCTCATCGCACCCAATGAGCCAACAGAGCCGGGCGAACAAAACCAGCAGCCCAGCATCGAGACCCCCGACCCCCAGCCCATAACAGACCAGGACGTCAGCGAGTACAGGGAACAGGATCGCTTCCTGCCAGTGAGAATTAATCTCGGTTAGCCTGTCCTCCAGTCTCTAACCTCGCGTCTGCCTCTCGTCTCTCTTTCTATCTCTCGTTGGCAATGCGACCCCGTATTATCATCCCAGATAGCCAATGTCTCTCGTATCATGAAAAACTCGGTGCCACCCACAGCCAAGATCGCAAAGGACGCCAAGGAATGCGTTCAGGAATGCGTCTCCGAGTTTATCTCCTTCATTACCTCCGAGGCCGCAGAAAAGTGTCAGATGGAGAAGCGCAAGACCATAGGCGGAGAGGACATCCTTTACGCCATGGCCGCCCTGGGATTTGACAACTACGCCGAGACGCTCAAGATCCATCTCGCAAAACTGAGACAGGTGCGTAGCGTCCGATCTTCCTTATCTGTTTCTCCATTTCTCATGTTTGGCGTAGCATCAGACAGGCCTGGCTCCACCCCGCGGGGGCGAAGGCAGTGGCGCGCGTCCAGACGAGGAGTAACGCGTCGACGCTGTCCCCGCACCGGGTCTTCATCCACATCTCACGTTCTGCCTTTATAATTGTTTTCTGCTTGCTTTACTGTGCTATTGCTATGCTCCCTAGACTAACTTATTCATCGCGTTATTGTCTACTTCTCAGAACCTGGCTTCCATGGCTCGTTCCCCACTCAGGAATGTTGGAATCAGCGTCTATGCATTTCTCGTTTTCTCCCTCTTCCGTGTCGGGTCGCCATAACTGCACGCTAAAAATAGGGCTCACCCTGCTTTTTTTATGCTGACAAGACTACCAATCGCAGTTCATCAGCGCTCATTTCCGCTATGTTCCTCCTGGCGCGGATCTCCTTCAATCTCCTGAACGCGTGGCATCCGCCAAGAAACTCGGAACTCTTGACGTGCAGCCGTAGTGTACTCAGCCTCACGAAAACCACGGTTAGTAAGACGAGTATATCTGCCCATTTGTGCTTGGAAATATCCTCGGAGGAGACGTTCCATATCTCCAGAGTATCCATCGTCCTATTCGGCGGAAAGCCCTTCCATCTCTCCAGGAGTTGCTCCAAGTTGAGCGGGTGGTTGGTGAGATAAACCTGCAAGACGGCCCTGGAAATCCTGGTTTCCCGGAGAGCCAGTATGCCGTCGAGCGTCACTGACGTAGACGTAGGCTCAAACGGTCCATTGGATGCACCATGAGCCGAGAGTACGTCGAGGTTTGGCCAGGCGATCGTCATCGTGGCGAGATCGGTGTCCGACAGATTATATTGAAGACTTAAGTCTAGGTTAACCTCTTTTAGCCTGTGTAGCCGGAGCAAGGGCTCCAAGGTTTCCGGGCTAGTATGTGTGTCGAAGTGGGTAGAGGACACTAGTTTCAGCCGTTCGAGAGCTGGGAAACACCGCGATATCATCGTGATGAGCGCACTGAGGTTGTCTCCGCGCGGCAAATCCAGCGATATAGATCCGAGTTTCGAGGGCGTGGCGAGCGCAGTGGACGCTTCATCACTTAGATCCAGATTACCCGAGATGTCAACGCCAACGTGAAGGCGAGTTAGGTGAGAGAGACTTTGAACAAATTGCCATAAGCCGTCGAGGGTGACCAAAGCCTCTGAGCCCAAGCGGATCTCCACCTCCTCAAGAAGAGGAAGGGAGAGTGCAATCTCCTGCACGTCGGTTTGGGAAAGAGACAGCTGGAGTTCTATACAACACAAGTAGAGACGTTTCAATGATCTCTGGCAAAGCAGCGGTCGAAGAGTCTTTATGGTGATTACGGTCTCGGTGTCTAAGATATAGCCTATATCGAGGTCTCCATTTATTTCAAGATCTTCCAATCGTTGTGAATGCGCCTGCGACAGAAGGGACAAGAATTCCTCCATCTTTGTCGAAGAGAGTTTCAAATCCGCTAGCATCACTGTTGTTGGAGGAGTCTCCAGACTACGTAAAAAGTTCATGGTGTTTTTGTAATCTTCGGAGTAGAGTTCTAGCGTTTGTAGAGCAGGAAAGCGCAGTGCCATTGCTGTCGGAGTGGGAAGTAGGGTTTGTTTCGTCCACAAAGAAAGATACCTAAGGGACGGCAGTTGTGAGACAGCATGTAGAGCGTTATTGTCAAGGTCTGGGCACTCCAGGTGCTCGAGCAGACGAAGCCGTTCAACGGCACGAGACATCGGGCCAAATAGTACTGTGGGAGATCCACGTATGACACGGTGTAGGCCCCGGAACGGAGTGATCTTCAATGACCTTAAAAGCGGGCTCTGCTTTGACAGTAGCTGCCAGGCTTCCACTGCATCAGTATTTGCGCTGAACTCCACGTTCAGAGTGGAGAGATTGGAGGAGAAGAAGCTACAATAGAATCCAGGACTCCATGAACGGCGCCCGTTGACGCTATCGGCGATGAGACTACGGAGCTTGGGGAAAACTTGTTCGATGGTATACGATGAAGCGAAAAGCTTCTGGGCAGCACGCTCGTCTACACCTGATATGAGCAAAGATGGAATCCTGAGAGCACGGATGCGCATAGTGTAGCTGAGGGCGTGTGTCCAGTCATCGTCTGTTTGAAGGACACAGATCAACCTTTGGAGAGCAAAGAGTCGATGTCAGCATCGCTAATTTCGAGGGCAGAGCTGCTGGAGTGCGCGCATCATCATAAGATATCCATCCCGGCCTACCTCGGCGACATGCACAAGGGCTTTCGTCACGTTTATAATTTTGATAGGCTCAAGGTCGCCCGACCAGAGACAGTCGAGCGCGGGCTCTTTCAGCATCTTGCATGTCCTGGCAAGTGTGGCCAGCGAATCTGTGGTTGACGCCTGAGAGCAGATCGCTTGTTGGATCTCCACTATCTGGAACGCAGGATGCATTACAAGATCGAAAATTGTCTGCAGAGGCTTCCGTATCTATGGATGGTCAGTGCTACATAGCACTAGTGTGCGAAAGATCGGCGAACAAGGGTGAAGCTCAAATGAAGCTAATTACTGACGCTGCGGGCAGACGACGATTTTATCTGGGACGAAGTCAAGAAAAAGAGGTAGCGAGATGAAAGCCTTTGCCGGTACCTCCGAGGTTTGTGCCCCCTTTTGACACAGGAAAAGGTATTCTATCAACCAACAATTGTGAACATTTGCGCTGTAAAAAGTGCGGCTTACCATATTTGGCATTATATTTCCAAACGTGGACATATTCATATTCATTCCCCGCCCCAAAATGCAAAGTCCGAGGAGAAAAAATGAACTTTTCAGTGACTTTTCTTACAGAAAAAGCTCACTGGGAAGGCTTTCATCGATCCGCCTTTTCACCCACTTTTTGTAGAAGAAAACACTGCAGACAAACGGCGACTTTACCCGGGATGAAACCGAGAGAAAGAGGCGGCGAGATGAAGGCCTTTTCCTCCGAGTTTTGGAACCCCCTTTTGCATAGGAAAAGGTATTCTTTTAGCCGACATTCGTGTCAATTTTGAGCTGATAAAATAGACGGGTTACCGAATTTAGACTTTACCATCCTGATTTGGACGTGCTTTTATCTAATCTCCGCACAGAAATACAAACTCGGAGGCAAAAATTTAACTTTTCAGTAACTTTTCGCACAGCAAAAGATGGGTGAAAAAGGCTTTCATCTGTCCGCGTTCTTTAGTCACTTTTTGTAATAGAAAAATCACAGTTTGTCTGCAGTGAAAATAGCAATTCGCCTGGCGTCGACTGGAAGAGAGTTCAGACGGAGCTTCAATTATCGAGCTAGCGCCGCCCCGCCGTGCCTATTTCGACGCCTCAGCTGACACTCCGAAAATTTCTTGCATACCCTTGCATACCCTTGAACGTTGAACAACGTACCCGAGAGTAGCACTGGGGCAAGTAGATTTTTATTTTGCTCTTACTCAAAAACATACAGCCTCTAGCTCATTCAGGTGCAGGTTATGTCTTCTCACTACGCTCTGGATTAAAAGGACACGGCCCCTCTATCCTCGTGACGCTGCGTGTTTTCTTCTACTGTCACCGCGCCTCTTGGCTCGATGACGGTTGTTTGAATGGGAACATGCATCAGCAGACCATTGTCGAGGCGGGCCGCACCTGATGCATTCATAACTGAGTTGACGTGAGCTGGCGTAAGGCTATCCTCAGCCCTAATACTCTAGGTTGCTATCTGTTTCTATACAACGTCGACACCGCCTTTGACTCCATCAGAGAAACCCCACAACCGTTCCAACGTCTCGCGGAGAGACGGTCAAGTGGCCACATCCGAATAGTGTATGACGCAGTATCCTGTTCATTGCAGAAGCATTCGTGTAACAGTGAGCTGTTATCTCGGCAGATGGAGCTTCTGAGAATGCTGATTGCATCGAACAAAGCCTAAAGGCAGTGCCATATGCAGACTCCGGGACGAACGGTCGCATCACCGACACGACCGCGATCAGTGGAGCTTCGAAGTGTCTCCACCAGTATGCCACCATGCACACTTCGTATGTGCGGATAAAATGCGACGCTTTCCTTGAACACCCTGCTGGTAAAGGGAAAGGTTTCCTTATGCTGGTAACTCTAATGCACTATTTGCAATGCCGGTGACTCCACCCGAGGGCCAACGTCCCATCGTGACCATTTCTCGCTTACTTCTCTCGGTGGTGTCCACCATAATCAGACGACATTGGGTCGAGGCATACCGAGGTGTGGAGGACAGCTGCACCACTTCAACGTTTCAACGAGGTACTCCCTCAGATGAGGTGATCATAGGGTCAAGCAAAGACGTATAAAACGTCTCGTTATGCTGCAGGTTGTTCACCATCCGCTGCTTCTTCACTCACCATCACCGGCACTCGAGCTTAAGACTCAATCGCTGCGCCTAACCTAGTCAACGTCCAAGAATAACCATGAAGTTCACCATTGTCTTCACCGCCCTCCTCGCACTCGCCACCGGTGTCGCCGCTCAATGTGTACGCTCTCTTTGACGTTCCCACACGCTCCTCGCGTATTGACGAAGCATGTTTAGTCCGGCGGCTGTGAGCCCGGCAAGTGCTGCACTGGCTCTGCTTGCGTCAGCTGCGCCGAGCTCGATGCTCAGAAGGCCAAGTAAGCGCTCGGAGTAAAGATAGCGTGTTTTAGTCCGGTACGTTCGTCGTATACCTCCTGTTGGAGCCACTGTAACTCGTTTTTTTAATTTCTGTTTGGACAAAAGCGTATGATGTAGGAATACTAGTAGTGAGGGTGAAGTACGTAACGATCCAAGAGTGTGAATGTAATCTGTCCCAAGGCTTGTGGTTGTGTCTGATCAAATCAGTGCTCGAGCTTTCATATCATCGCGTGTTACTCCTTGCGCCTTCTGCACATACAAATGAGACGCACAACAGTTAGGGAGACTATACTCAGGTGTACATGCTAATCTAACCCTTTAAGGGCAATACATCTCACCAGTACTTAGAACACGCTGTGCGAGGACTCCCTGCAATTACAAACCACTAGTGGACAACGAAAATGCTATCCATGGTCATGGCAGACTTACATTGTACAATAGATCTAGGCTGAGAAGTTGAGACAAACCTTGGTGCTATTTCTCCCGTCGCAATTGCGTATGAGAGATACATTGCTTTCCATCACTACTCAGCAGCAAAAATAGGATGTAAAAAACATATAAAAGTCGCCCACCCAGGGTCGCTAACCGTTACCACCAACAACTTTCACCTCATTCAAGTAATCCACTGAAATGAACTTCGCCATCGTCTTTACCGCCCTTGTCGCTCTTGCAACTGGCGTCGCTGCCCAATGCGTGGGTACAATTTCTAGAAGACGATTTGTAGCTCACTTCACCGTCGTTTAGTCCGGAGGATGTGCCGCTGGAGAATGTTGCCAGACCGACCCTGTCGGTTGTGTCAGCTGCGACGAGCTCTGACGTCCTTGGTACGTGCTTCTCTCGCATATGAGGCATATGATTCAGGAATCTGACGTCGCTTCAGGAGCTGAGCGCTGAGTCTTCGGGCAATACCATGATGGTCTAGGATAAATAATGACATTGTAGGGAGGGACTAAACAGTTATTCGTGTCACAGTAGTCGCTGTTCCGAAAATTTCATCATCATATACTGTATACTGCCCTGTCTATGTTGATATAAAGGTTATGGTTTAGGAACATTTTGCATTTGCAGTAAATACATTGCGGGCGCTAGACCGAGAAGTCCATCGTGTCTCTTGTCATAAAACACCAGCGGAACGTGAATCATGAGCGGTGTTCAGGTCACAAAACTCATGCCAGTCACTCCTTGCGCTGAAAACTACTCCAGACTGAGTCTGATTTTGGTGTGTCACCCGACTGGTCCGTCCATGGCACTCTGATGCTTGCAAAGGCTACGGTTGTCAGCTCAGATGAACATGATGGTCCGTAGCCCGTTTGCCTCTCGTATGCTTCTCGCAAACTAATGATCATCCAGGGGCCCACCATCGTCTGCAACATGGACTGGACTATTATAGTCAGATTGTAGCTTGAAACTGACTTTAAAGCCGTCAAAACAATGAGCAGATTGATCAAAGGATGGGACCAACTTCAGCTAACGCAGATCTAAGGCTCAAGGAAATGAGCAGTGCAGAAAAAATGGCGCTAATTGGGAGTTATCAGTCAATGAATCTGTCAGGGCTGGCTACTGTAGGGACTCACAAAAAGAAATAAACAAGGTTATCGCGAACAATTATAACCGAGAGAGTAAGCGCTGCGCGCGCAGGGTTGCGACAGCACGCCTTCGGAACATGCTTGAACGCATATACCAGCGCAAACGCGCAGACAATCAAGTCAAACGCGAGCCCTGCCATGCTGCCTACTGGGTAAACCCAAGCTCGGTTCGCGGGCGTAGACTGCTCGCAGGTGCATACAGCGCCTTGTGTCCATTCCGCTGTAATGTATGCTTAAGTTCACCCCTTTTCTAGAATATGAAGAATAGACTTACAACGAAGAGTAGGGCTGAAGTCAAGTAGATAAATTCCGAGGACGATGTTCAGCCCTTGAGAGATAGCATAGCCTATCGCAAGGATGATGAAGACTATTTTAGATTTTCCGAGAAGCACGTATACACGGATCGCCATCATGCCTGTGGCAGTAGGACGAGTACTCAGCGGGTAGAAAATGAAGGGCCAGTAGGGGTTAACCTTGCAGGATGAAGGAGAACACCATATGTAGTATTTGGTAAACTTCATAGAGACCGAGACCTGATACAACAATTTGTGAAGCAGAATTTGTGTGAGTCATTGTGAGCTACACGTACAGCTATTTGTATTGATGAATGGTATTGAAACACTGTTGGTACGAGGAACCAAAGAACACGCACGTCTGCTTTGATGTCAGCAGTGTTCTGTACTTTGAGACGTGTCTGGCCGCTCACTATGCTTGACATAGGAATATTGGTGTAAAGCACTGTTCAGTAGTGAGTCAGCAAGGTAATTTATAGGAGGATGCGATTAGATCATACCTGTCTGTACCCTTGAATAAAGCATCAGTCGTCGCAGAATGAAACCCTCGTCGTTATTTCACTCACACTATGTACAATAAACCGATGTATCGCATCTAATAGATCTGAGGAGTTATCACCAGGATCTACAAGTATGTCATAAGTCGATAAATCCGCACCATAACATATACGATTGTTGTCCACGATAGCCGCTTCTTCTACAGAAAGCATCACTCCTCCAGGTGCCAAAGACAGAACTGTTCCACCGACCCATACAAAGTCAATTATTGAGTAGCGCCGCGCGCCAGTGCACGGCAAAGCCCGTTAGCATTTTGCTTCGCCCATGATGATATCATTTGCCGCTAATCATACCGACTACGACTGAATCTAAAAGCACTCTACACTTGACTTGCCATCGACAGATACCAGATGAAGTTCAGGGACTATGACACATTAATTGCTTTATAGTGTCTTTCTGGAGACATTGTATGCGGGGTAAAGACGTCCGGGATATATTCCAACTCGCAAAGGCCAACTGACACGAGTGGAAGACCGCCAGAGGTGGTAACACTAAGTTCGGACAATAACAGAGCAGGACGGCGGTATATTCGTGAGACGAGGGAAACCGAGAATACAGGAGGAAGAGCAGGAGATATGAGGGAGATGAGATGTCGCTCCAGTAAGGGAGCGACGCGTATAAATAGATAAAGTTCGTGAATATCATAAGATCGAATCGAGGAAATGAGAATGCTCGTCGGGGCGGAAGCAAAACTCCAAGGAAGCAGAATAGGGAGGGCCGCAGTCGAGAAATCGAGGCTGCGGGTCTTTGAAATGTGATATGTGATATGTGACGCGGTTTGTGGCGTAGTAAGGGCGTGTGCGGGCTTACAACGAGGCAAGAAGTAGTAATGCTTTAGACAAAGAGAGTGAACTTTTTGATCGCAGCGTGTACAATGTAAATGCTCACGTCAGGGAACATGGAAAAAGCTATATTCAGTTTTAAGCACGCGGAACTGGAGAACCCATGTTGCAAGCATTCCTGAGTATCGATGAATAGGGTTGAAATAGGGAGAGCCTAGCATTGTCGACTGAAGTATCTTACAATTCAATGTTATGCTGCTCGCACAATATACGGAGATCCCATTATCTGATAACACAAAGAACGAACTGGCTGCATGATCATTGAACACGGAATATACTATATCAATAGGGCTTGTTATAGGGACATCACCATCCAGCGATACTGGAGGATGGCGGGACATGGACTAAAAATACGAACGGACATGGTTTTCCAGAGTCAGGATCCGACCGACAGTGGGACCAATCTTGATCCAACAGGGCCCAGCATGATGTAATTTTACGACCATAAGTTCGTCCTGTGTCCCGTCGCACCCGCGAACTGAACTTAAAACGGGACACGTCCCGCTTTGCTGGACCTAGCGAACCTAAATGCGGGACATAGCGTAGATAGGTGCTAAATTGCCATCCGCGTCCGAGCCACTTTCTTGAGTCTAATCACTGAGATTCTTTTGTCTTCTTCTGAAGTACTTATATTTGGGTTACTTTATAGACGTCGGTGCAGGAGAGCCATCAAGCACTCGTTTTTTTCTTGCCTAATGAACTTGTGTTTCGTTGCGCCAACCCCCAGCGAACTAAAAAGCGGGACACGCTATTTCTGGTAATAGAGTTCCCACACCGCCGCGCGAACTTGTGGTCGTAAAACTACTGTACAGTGTATGATATCGCAAGCCGCCTTCACAGACGAGCATTGAATAACAAGCTCACAGTTTGGAGATGCATTGCAGCCTCAGAGAGCAAACTTCATGATTGAGATTTGGACTGAGAGATAGCTTGAGAGATAGAGTCCACGAAGCATGTTGCAACAAACGCCGTTGACAAAGTGAAATGTAGTTATGGGGGTTCAAAAGCGTGCGGGAGGCGAGGCAACAAGAGGCGGAGGAGCACTAAGGATCAAACCTCAGTGCGAGGGAACCGTATGCTTTGACATTTGAAGCATTGCGGAGCGCTGAGACAAAGATCTGAGACGCGTTATGCGAGAGAACAAGAGCAATGTAGGTAAACTATCTCACGATCACATGATACATTCAATTTTTCAATCTACCCGAGGAAACAGATCCTTAGCGACCCCCTCTTACCCTTTAGCTTAGACGCTAACGGGAACCTATAGTGTAGCTTTGTCATAGTCATTTCTACTTATGAGGGACAGAGTGACATACCTCTTGCGATATGTTGAGCACTTTGGAAAGGATGGTCCATGAGGCTTGATCGTTATCATATAGTTATAGCTGGAACTTACGGTAGTCATAGAAAACCAGCGTCGGTACCGCCACTGAGCTGGCTCTCGGTACACTTTCGGTATAGTGTACGTAGAAGGAGAACTTACGAATCGCGTATTCAGTCTTGTATACATACTCAGCAAGTGCCAAGTACTCTTTCTTTTCAGACTCTGGCATGACCGATAAATCGTTTGAAAAATGAGGAACGGATAATGAAGACACGGGGACGGTGGAGGGCCGTTTACATGAAACCGAGAGTACGGTATGTGCTTGGAGCACTAGTTACCTTGCGGAGTCCTTGAAATACCCTGCGTTTGTGCATAAATTAGACTGGCAGTCGTACATTAGCCCTTGATAACTCACCGCTACTACTGTACAAGTATTCCCTATCCTCACACTCAAAATCGAACGCAAAGTTAGATTACGTCTACGCCCGCCAGTATCCAAGTACGCCTGCCCTCGTACTCGCCCCCATCCTTGATCGGAGATCAAACTTCAAGGACAGCGATCCTATGGGTTGTTACGCCCGATTTATACGCAGAAGACTGAACCAGATCATATTAGAGCTGCTGTTTGTTGATCGCTGGTTAGCAGTAAAGCCACTTAAACTGCAATGAGAGTGATTGGTGGTATGCAAGGCAGCTATCCGAGAGAACCACGAATACGTACAGTCCTCTAAAGTATTTATCATTATGATCGTTCTTGAAACTGGCGTCTCTATTCGATGTGAAAGTTAGCCTACTTTCAGAAGATCCACGGATAACTACCTGGATGATCATCTTGGAGGTTGTGGAAAACGGGAGCAGCAACGTGATTGCTGTAGAGTGGCGAGAGAGGGCGTGCAGCATGACATTGAGTCTGAGGGTAAGGAGATTTAAGTTAGAATAAGGGTCTACGATAGCCAACAATGCAGTAAATTCGCACTTCTGTGGACCCACCACAGCTCGTAGCATGCGGAAGCTTGAGGCGCTGACAGTTACAGCGCTGCAAATGTAAGCAGATGCAAAGTGCTGAAAGAAACGTAGAAATAGAAGCCTGTCAAAGGGAGTCGGTAGGTGCAATGTCCTCGCGCATGATGTTAACAATTTTGGCCAGAAATTATGTACTTACATCATTTGCGAAATGAGTGAACACCGTGAACACGGCCGCGCAATGCATGCGCATGGACATGCATTAACCGCTTGAGTTAGAGGTTGCGTCCGTGCACATATGACGGCCTTCCCTGTAAATTTTAGGACCCTTCTATGTCATCTGCCTACGATCAACATTAAGAACCGACCTGTACGACTCCAACTAATTCAAGAGAACGTTCTTGGTGGTCGTAATTCCGCCCTTGTCGCGCCTACGATCAGTGTCAGCCAGTGTGTAGAGACGCACCACCGGCACCACCTAGCATGCTGTTCTACGGTCAGAAATCAGATCGCCGAAAACTGTATAAAGGACCTACCGCAAACACCCTCCCTGCCCAGAACCACCAGCACAATCGACAATAGCCCATCAATAGGCCGCCAACTCGATCTCAGAAACATGAACTTCGCCATCGTCGTTACTGCCCTCGCCGCGCTCGCCACCAGCGTCGCCGCGCAATGCGTAAGCACCTCCCGTCTCCTCTCGTTCAAATAACCTCTATCGGGGCGGAAACTGTGATAGTCCGGCGGGTGCCAGCAGGGGTACTGCTGCACCTGGAACGGGTGCGAGCCTTGCACCTGAGGGCTGAGGGCTGAGGTGCGTATTGCTCTTGAATTACTGTCCTGATGCGGCGGCCTAATCATGGGTCAGAACTGGAATGTAGTATATAGTAGGTGTTGAAGATGCGAGCGGTTATGATGGGAGGTTTTCTATACGCGTACAAGGTCCAGAGGGAAGGGCAGTGTATTCACGCCTATGTTTCTGCTAGGACATGCATATATCAGCCCGTTTGTGAGCGACGAAGATCCGAGACCCACCGTGTTCAGCCACCCCAGACACCTAGACGAGGTCAGCGTCCACAGAAGGGGAACTCGCAAGGCCGTGTGCATCCACGAGGCAGGAACTTTGAGAATCGGCTAGTAAATGGACAAAATGGATACCTGAATGCAGGGCGCCCTACTGGCCACAGCACGTCCTCGCCAACAATGGTCTTGTCAGCGACATCACCCCGCTATCACCCCGGTTTCCGAAAGATTCGTAACAGCGTGCGATCCACTGATGAAACTCGCATTCAGCTAATACTATGAGTATATGTTACACGCAACAGGATACGACGGCTCCACCAAGAGAAATTCCAGATACCGCGAAAGCACCACAACCCAACCACCACGGCCGCGGACACGAACCGCGACTCATCAGACTCATCGACAACGTTACTCCATGTTGGATTCATCCGCCGAATCGAGAAGGCTAGACGCAAAGGGCGCAGTGAGTTAACACGGTTTGTATAAAAACGGTGGGAGACGTACCTGTACTGCTTCATGAGTGTGCACTCGCCGCCGTTCTCGAGGTCGATGCTGTACGCGTAGAAGTAGCCCTCGGACGAGACGACCATCACCTGGGGGAGCGTCCTGTAAACCGGAATCAGCATCCACTTCACTGGGGAACGGACACGAGATGGATGTATCGATGCGGACCAGCACTCGCAGGTGTTCACGACGCATGGGGCACGGGCGAAACGAAGGTAAGATAGACGACGTACCCGCTTAGAGAGACGATACACCGTGCGCCGCTTGTTGGTAGCCGCAGAAACGCGAAGTCGCGCGCGGGCTCCCACATCTCGGTGAACGTGTTGGGAAGGTATCCGCTCACCGAGGTCGAGAGCGACTTGCCGACCCTCAGCGATGTCCGACGGAACGTGGACCTATTGCACAGCATATCAGTCGGAGCCGCGACGAGGGATGGAGTTGGAAAACGGAGCAACGGAGAAAAGGAATACGAGACGCACCCGACAGAGTTTCCCTTCCGCCGATCGTCGATGAACGCCTCATATCCGCCATCCGCACCCTGCACGCCCTCCCGACTATCAATCGACTCGTTCTCCCTCGGACTCTCCGGCCTCTCCCCAGCGCCCGCACCACCGGACGAACCATTCCTCTTCCCGCCCTTCTGTCCCGGCCCCAGCTTAAATATATGCACCGTGTCGTGCGCAGAGCTGACCGCGAGCAGCGTGCTGACCGCGTTAAAGCTCATGCTGTATATCTTGGCCTCGCGCGTGCCCCGCCGGAACTGGTAGAGTTTCTCCGCGCCGGGCACGGACCACACGCGGATGACGGTGCCCTTGTCGGACGCGGTCGCGAGGAGCGTGCCGGTTGCGTTGAGCGCGAGGAACGAGATGGGCGCTTTGTGGGCTTGGATGACGTTTGCGACGGTGAGCGTGCGTGTGTTGAAGAGGAGGACGTCGCCGGATTGGATGACACCACTGCCGCCGGGGGAAGCGGGCGCGGGGGAGGCTGAGGTGGCAGAAGGTGAAGGGACTGGGGAGGGGTATGCGAGGTAGGAATTGTCGGAGGAGGGTGAAAGAGCACATATTGCTGTGGACGGTTATGGTTCAGTGGGAGGTTGGCCACGTAGGTAGAGGGCGAAGACCCAGCGAAGGATGGGGACTCACCGTCTGGGTTGGGCGTCGTCTCGATGACATGGAGGAGCCGCATGTTTGAGATATCGTAGATGTATATCTCCGCCTCCAGCACGATGACGAGTGTCTTGCGGTTGAGCTTGACGGCGAGGATCGAGCTCGGGAAGAGCAGCTCGCAAATCATGGATTGTCGCTGTTGTTGGCAGTCCCCCGTATGCGTTCTCGGCAACTTTCACGTATCAAGGCGATACGTACCTTGGTGTTCACAATCTGAAGCTTCCGGGGACTTGACTGTGGATGATCCGCTGCTCCGACGAGGGCGATGAGGGACGTGCAGAACAGCATCTCGACGATCCCCCGCGCGCCGTCATCTACGTGCAGACTGCATCAGCCCCGTATCGCGCAAGGAAGTTGAAGGACGCACTCTGGGTGTATACACGTCCAAACGGGTCGCAATTCGTGATACTGTACCCTTTCCGCGTGCCCACCGAGATGCACCTGCGAGACACAGCGCGCGCGAATGCAGGTCCCCATCAGTCTGAGACAGACCAACGAGGCGAGGCGACTCACGAGTAGTCCTGGTTGAAGTTTGCAAAGAGCATGTTAGAGTGAGTTCGTTCTGTCATGGTGTGGAGGTCGTGAAGGATGCAAGGAGAGTCTATGACGGATTTCAACGCGGAGGGTGTGGGGGTGAGGGCGTTTCGGCGACAAACATGGCCAAATCTGGAACCCGCTGCAACGGTTGCATGGCTCCCATGGTAGGCTGTAGCCCCTTGCGCTCTCGTTCTCCTCGTCATCCAAGCTCACTGTCCACAGCATCCTCACGCGATGTGGTCTGGTCTCCAACGAAATTCAGCTCCATTCCAGAGACACCAACAAGTACCAAAACAATACAATGCATCATTATTACTCTCCACAATCAACGACGCACGTGGAAACTGCAGGACGGCCGTCTTCAAACGATACGGGATAGGCCAAGGATAGGGTAAATGACGGGTAAATAAGGTAAGAGGATCCACGGTTGGCTCTGCCAATCCGCGGGGGGCGCAAATCGCAAGGTAAAAGCAAGAGCAGAGCGCACATCGCCCGCCGCACCAAGAGGCTCCGACTGCTAGGCAAAGCAGGTATCTAAACTAACGAAAAGGGCCTCATGATGATGATTTGGTTCGCTTTGGGTTTGGTTTCTGCCGCGTCTGCTTTGGCTTGGTCTTTGGACTGGGAGCTGGTGATGACTTCTGCTATGGCAGGGGTAAGTCCAGGTAGACGACCAGGGGGGTTTCAACGCACGTTCGAAGACTGATTCTGCAACGCCTGTGATACGTTCTGCCCTCCCAGTGCTCCAGCAAGTGTCGAGTAATGGCTGATCTGTGATGGTGGGAGGGGAGAATGGACGCCCTCTGAGATGTTGAACGAGGCGGGGTCGAGCATCTGGGTGTGTGGTTGCTGGACCGTCGTCGTTGATGCAGTTGTCGTCATGATAGATCGGGGTAAGATGTGTTCGAATCCGAGACAAGAGCTGAAGGGTAAAGTCTGAGTGGGTAAAGGGGTTGTCGTCAATGTTGGAGTCAGGAGTGAGGGATGGCGGTGACGAGGGAAATGCCGTGACGGCGTAAGCGGGTTGTACGGTTGGAGCAAGAAGCCCCTCGGCGTGTCGAGCTTATATCCAACTCCACGGGTCGGCCCGAGGGGGAGTGGCACCTCGGCGGAAGATGTCAAGTGTCAACGACTCTGATATGATAGCGAGTGCAGTTGTGTGTGTCTCACCAGCCCGCTCGTCGTTCTCCTCACTGATCACACCCGAGCCTACCTCGGTCACAACATGAAAAGTGTTCTACTGCCTAGTGCGCGAATAAAGCAACAACAAATCAATTTCACACAAGAATGGAGAAGCTGACAGCTGTGAAGGAGTGTGATTATAGTGAATGGCAAGGGGTGACCGAACGCTAATTAAGCTTTCGAAGCTTCGATGAGTAGTTCAACTTTCATAGGATTCGCCAGCTGAGTGTCAGGGCGTGCTGCTTGCGGTCTTGGCGCAGCCCCGAAAGACGCGGGAGTCGGGAGGCAGCGATCGTGACAACGTCAAGGCACAAAGCAGAAACATACAGGAACACTCACTTCACACCATCCACAGCTTCGTTTCCCGCAGACTAATTATCCCCAGCATTCGCAGGGCGGTAATACAGCAATATAAAACATATCGAGTGTAGATCGTGAAATGCAGGAATGTCTATGCACACAGCCACCCCCGCCCGAAGTCCCGCTATTTTTGGAGCACCGCCAGCGGTCCTTCACTTCCCTCCATGCCCAATCCGTGCCTCCCTGTGCCATATACGAGCCAAGTCCGAGTCCGGTGCAGCGAGGTTGTGACATGTTGAATCAGTGCCACTGCGCTTGTTTTCCGTTTGCTCCGGGCTGACTTCGCTCGAACAGCATTCCCTTTGCCCCGTTGGAGGTGATCTTCATCGCAAATCTTGCTAGTCGACATCCACAAGTCGGATATGTCGAATGCGTCGTTCATCAATGTCCGTGTCACCGCGGTGAATCCCAGACGGCTTTACCGGCATGATTTGCGCTTGCGCTCGTCGTTTTCTTCGTCAGTCAAACAATTCGTGTGTTAGCTAAGCGGCTTGAACGGTCGCGCTGCTCCTCTCACAGACCCACGCCCCTTCTGGGCCTCGCACTTCTGGCAGAGATGATCCATGTAGATGAGGTGCCCATCTACGACACATCTCTCCGGCGGCAACGGCGAGGCAGCTCCCCACTGCTGCTCCGAGGTGTTAACGGACATCGGTGGCCCCGTTTCAGCGTCTCCATGCTTCACGTGTACCGAGATGCTCGTCTCACTCTGTGATAGGCCAGAGGCCCTGCTCAGCGTGCTACACGTTTGGAACCAATGATTATGGCTGGCTTACCCGCTCAGTCGTCATGTGAGGCGCACCCGTGCTCCTCCATCTCTCCGGGGCACAGGATGTGGGCTCAGCATGGGCAGATCGAGTGTTGTGGGCTGGTGCAGCTGTAGCAGGCGGTTGCGGAGCTGATTCGTCCTGTGCACGCGACATAGGTTGCTAGTGAAAGCCTCAGCAGCCATGCATCCACCCAGAGAAACGTGAAAGAGACTCACCCGGCTCCAGCTCTGTAGACGGCTGCTAGAACTCTCGGACATGCCCATGCGAGCCGAATACTCTCTCACCTGTTCGGGATGCTGAGGCCCATGGATCCCATACACGACATTGTACAAAGCATAATCGAACCGCCCGTTGCAGTCGATAAACTCGGGGTACATCTCCCAGCCGTATGACGAAGAAGACCAACTGGAGGACGAGGACGGATGGTAGTGATAAGAAGAGCTCGAAGAAGACGAAGTCGAAGTCGAAGAAGCAGCAGTTTGGCCCTGGGCTTGTAAGTTCTCAGGCACGGCCCGCACGATCCTGGACATGTTCGACGACGCCTCGGGTTCATCAAGGGCTGAGGGCAAGAAAGAGACGCAGGCGGCACCGCGGGCAATAACCAGACGGGTGGCCAACTGCCACGGTTGGAGTCGGAGTAATGTGGTAAGCCGGGCACACTAGTCCGGACGAGCGCTCGATGCTCACGTAGACCGCCGGATGGCGCGGATGCTCGGGTGTTCGATAGGTTGCCTGGCTTTGTAAGGGGCAAGGTCTTGGCTTGGACGGTTGATAATCGATCGAGGGCGATGCTCTGCACCTGCCTACGCGTCTACCACCTTAATGGGCTAGGTAAGAAGGTGGAGCTGTGAGAGTTACATTGAGAACGGGCTTACGGAGCGGCGATCAACGCGTCGTTTCTTAGTGCGTTTCTAAGTATTCCGCAAGCGCCGGGCGGGAGTAGTGCCTTACCGAAGGAGACAACGATTCGCCGAATATACACCTTGGAGTTTCAGGACGAAAAATGATGAGCTGTGGGATAGACGGCCTCCGGCTTGAATGTACATCTCCGTCGGTGTGCAATGTATGAACAACTGAGCCAAGTCGACGGGCAAAAATGTGGTTCAACTGAGGATCGAACTCAGAACCTTCTGTGCACCGAAGTGTGAGACAGAAATCATAACCATTAGACCATTGAACCTTGCGAGACAAGGGAGGCTTGTGCCATTATGACCCACGTGGCTTGCTCTGTGCCTGAAAACCTCATCAGCGGACCGCGGCGCCCGCCAAAGTAAGCGCCCAATCTTACCCAAAGAGGCATCCTGCCATCTACCTACTCCAGCTTCGTAAGTCCGTTTTTGTCTGCAAGCGAGCCATGCTAAGAAACGATCCTTAGTCTTCGGTACTTGGAACATGCTAGGAAGAGTCGCTTTTTCTGGCTACTCCAGGTAGGGTAGGCGGAAGCAGGTGTGTTCCGACACCAGTCTTCACATCTTGTCTGCAATCTCCAGCTCCCTCGAGCACATCGCTTATCATATCCAGTGTTTTATCCTAGACCTGGGCGTAAGCCCTGGCCTCTTGTGCAAGCTTTTCCCTTGATCACGGAACAGAGGAAGAATGTCTCATGGTTCATGCGCAGATCTGATCCCAGTCCGATGCCGCTGATCGCTCGTACCTTTTCCACTGACCATGTGGAAGATATACACGCTGGCAAGAGTTTTATCCATAAGCTAACGATAAGTACAGTAGAAGTCTACCCAAGCGAGTCTCTGGATATGAAAATATTCCAAGTATGCATCTTCCCTCATCTTCCGCCATTCTAAGCATACGAGCATCTCCTCCGCACCTGATACGGCTCCGTCAACTGACCGGAGAATGCCCGAGCGCCTAACGTCATTGCCATGAGAATTTTCAGAAAATGCGGCGAAACTTCAGATTATATGACCATTTCCGTAAATTATGACATGGGCGGTTATTTGGAACAAAAAACATTCTCATCTCCGTCTTAGTCTCCTACGAGATCTCGCCTACATTCATCTCATATCGATGCTTTCCTTAGGCATATAGGCGAGAGTATATACGCGTCGTGCAGCAACGTCTAGCAATGCAAACTGAGATCGATGTTAACGTCGACGGGAGAAAGATACCTATCGCAATCACTCGGCGTTCTACGTATGCCACAGCACGCATCACATACGCCACATTAATGGGAGCCGTTCTTTTGGACGCAAGGAAATTGGTGGGAAGCGTGAGAGGGCCTCAGGGCTCACGGAGAAGTCGACCTCGCCGCTCGCCTTTTCTAGCCAAGAAGGTGGAAGTCTGCACAACTGTGGCTGTTTCTGGCATTAATCTCTCTCTCGCAGTTATTTTTGCAGCAAGCGCTCCAACTGCTTCCATTGTACATCCACCACTGACCGTTTGGACACTCAAGCTCAACTTTGATCGGCAAGGCGGCAAGTCCGCAGCCACAAGGGGTTGCACGTTTCACAGCCATAATGGTTGATAAGTAGTAATATAGGTGCGTCTCCGTTATTAAGAATTTTCACGCTCCATCATATCCCTTCAGCGAAGGTCTCATCTTAGAGCCTCAGTTCACTGCTGTAATTCAAGCCGGTGCTTCTTCATGTAAAGGAGTTGGTTTATAGCTCAATGGCTTTGCCCGGTTTCCTTGTCCATAATCGAGTTCGCCTACTTTATCACGAGTATTTAATACCCAGAAACTCTAAAACCTCGTCGGTGAGTCTCCCCGTGTATTCCGGTGAAGGTTTATCTAAGTCTCCTGCTCTGTCCCTACTCAAATTGTTCCGAGGACCTGAGGAGGTCTTGATGACGAGAACGTCTCGGAAAGAGGAATAGCTGATTTCGGGGCAATTTAAGACTTCTATGTTTCTGAGAGCAGGCCGAACATGCACTGAAATACTGAAATCGCATCAAGTGACTATGTGCAGCGCCAGATCGTAGGGATGCTCCTTACATATCGATATGCCTATTTCTATATCAGCTAGGATAACAAGGTTTGCTTACAACAGGAGCGATTTGGGGACTGCTACGTACTAATACCGGCCAGGGTCGAGTGAATAACGGACCTTTGAGATTCCCATATATGAAGTATGTTGTCCCCGGATTATTTGTCTTCAAACAAGTCGGCTCTCGTCATTGAGGAGAGGAATTTGACCTATATAGGGCACTTATACAGACCGATGACCAGAAATGGTCATCTCAGATCTGTAAGTTTTTAATGCTCGAACTTCAGATCCTCGCGTGATTATCAAAAATTCGAAACTCAGAATTGTACAGGACCGTGAAAACTAAACATACTCAACTTGAACCAGAAAGTCTACGATCCAAGTGTAAAAAAGGGTCTGCTGGCTCCAATCACGTCTCGTCGGTATCCGGTTTAGTGTCCTTTGTGCAGCCGTTTTACACGTGTCGCTGCGCTCTTTTGACGTTGTGTAAAACCAGAGTCCGGCTTGTCATTATGAAGACGCCGTGATCCAGCTTGTTCCGGTGGTCAATGCAGCAAACCTCAACATGTCGCCCAGATTAAACTGCCATAGCATCCTCCAGAGACGAGTGAACGGCTTACTCTTTGCCAATCGCCATTGAGTAATCGACAGTGAACAACAGTGGATGTGAGGCCTGTGCGTTCCCTACAAGTGAGGGAGACTGCGAAAGGCCTCACGGTGTGAAAGGACAGTGTCATTCTGAGCCTTGTCAATAACCTGATACATTTTTACATCTATACCATAGTCCATGAGATATGATCTGAGAGACGCCCGTTAAAACGTTGGTGAGAAATGGCGTACCTCGGATCCTTGCTTGGATCATATGGAAGCACGGCATCCGCCGGCCGTGGAGCCGCCTGATCCGTGGGAATCTGTGGGCGCCTAATCCAAAGAAGCTTTCGGAACATCGTGCCGTCCTCCGTCTCCTCGCACCTTGGCGTTTGCTGGTGAGAGTCTCATTAAACCGTCCTCAGCCTCTTACTGCGTCCCGTTCCTCTGCTCTATTCCATCCGCTCTCTCAATTCAGGCCACGCGTAACAGCTACTAGCAATGCGATCCGGCCAAGCTAACGTCGACACCATCGCGATCACCCGACGTTCGACACGTACCATAACGCGTGTCAACTACGCGACTCTGGGCGGGCGTCGTATACCTGAAACCAAGACAACCACTGTAAAGCGTGAACGAGTCACCAGACTCGTAGGCAAGTCATTCCCACCACATAACTCTCTCGGCCAGGACAGCACGCTCGAGTCAAATGTTTCGGCCGTCACGCAGTCTCGAGCAGTCAGCAGCAAAAAGCGGAAAGTCACGGGCACGCCGCAGCGACAGCATGGAGAACCTCTCTCGAAAAAGGCCAAGAGATTGGTTGCGTCCCCGGAGACATATCCACAATTGCGACCGTTGGGAGATAACGTGAAGGAGGGGCTAGATGGTATGCCAGCCTGATTTGCTATTATTCGTGACAGCTTAACACTTTGCCCATAGTGATATTCTGTGGGGTAAAGTAAGCGTGTTCACAGTTCCGAAAATACATATGGGAGAGACGATGTGCTTAAAATATATGCAGCCCGGGAAAAAAGTCCGCTCAGGTTGGCCACTATTATGCAAACCCCAGGAACTACTTCTGGAGATGTTTACATCGTTCAGGTACAGTCTTTCAATGGGCTCATCTTCTCAACCTGTGACAAGCTGAACTCGTCTTATGCAGGCTTTACTTCGCGCCAGTTGGCACCAAGCGAAGATCGTACGCTTCCGGGTGACTTCAATCTTGGCCTGGTAAATCTGCCCTCGTCTATAACAAAGTCAGCTCAACACGTATAGGTAGACCGATATTGTCGAAAGGCCCACATCACAGGTAGTTATTCTCGTGCACCTACTACTTCTAAGTGCTTGACCACAGCGGCTAGGCATGTCAGCTCTCTAAGGCCGAGATGCGCGCCGGTGTAGTTCCATTCCTTCGCAAGGTCGCACGACTCCATCCCCGGGTCATTGCGATTGTCGGCACGCAGACGTGGAAGGAGACTCTTCTGCCCGAGCTCGAGAGGCTCACAGGACAGAGATCGAAAGACGTGCGCAAGGCGGGTCTGCAGCCCTTCAAGCTCGTATCACAAATAGTCTCAGCCGACGAGTCCGGAGAACTCGGGGACAACGCTACACTGATATACGTTGTGCTGAGTACGTCTCCGGCGGCAACGCTAACCTCGGTAAGTCTTCCGACATACTTGTTGAGCACTGGATGAGAACCTCATGTTACTTTCTCAGCTGAAAGATAAGGTCGCATCCTTCGCCGAGCTGAAAGCGCTCGTCGAGAGTAGGGTATCGGAAGTTGACACAATCCCGATGGTGGAAGTATGCTTAGATTCCATTTAACGGACCTACTAGATGAACATGGTATGCGTCTACTAGGTAAGAGGGATGTGTTATTGTGGTCCCTGCGTATGTATCCAAATACCTACTGTATAGTATAATCAATCCTAGTTACAATTGTTGAATAACCTAGAGTATCATGTAGTAAAGCGCCGAAGCACCTTTCAAAGAAACACCTTCGAGAAATACGCCTGTACACCCCCAATACCGCTCGTAATGGCCCCAATGAATCCGTCCGGACGCACCACCACTGTGTACGTCTCGCCCTGCTTGACCTGGTAGCCCGAGTAGGCGTGTCCTGCCCCATCACAAAGGACGAGTGCCTGGGACTCGCTGGTGTATGACGGGCAAGTAGCCTGAGGAAGCACGACAATGGGCCTCACAATCCCATCCGTTCGGCTAGAGATCGCCTCCAGGAATGGCTTTGCACCGTCCGCGTCGGGGGAAAACACCAATACCGTATGATGTGACATCTTGAAGTGATCAAACAGCCTGTGCTTTGTCCCCTCCGCATCCACCAATCCGGGCGCATCCGGAGCCCGATCACCCGCGACCAATACCTTGTCCTCGCCCTCCACCGCATCGCCATAAGCGGGCGTCTCTGGTAGGCCAGAGTTCCTCTCCTCAAGTACAATTGCGCTCGAGCGGTAGTTGACACCGTGCATGCGGACCTTGTCGGGCCGTTCATACTGGTCTTTCCCTCCAGAAACGTTGCGCTGAAAGATCTCCGTGGTGAGGTTGAGCATCTCGGAGATGACGGGGACGCGTTCGGCACTGTAGGTGTCGAGAAGTGAGGCCGGAGATAGATGTTTAATAACGAGGGCGAGTTTCCAGGCGATATTAATCTGTGTAGGAATGCGAGTGAGAAAAGGATGAGGAGGAAGGGAGGGAGTGCTCACAGAGTCTTGGATACCGGAGTTGAGGCCTTGGCCGCCTGCTGGGCTATGTACACTGGAGTAGAGTCAGTATGAGTGTCGTTCAAAATAGATCCTCAACTCACTGTGCCGCATCACCGCAGATAAAAACACGTCCGATACCAAATGTGCTAGTCATGCGAATATTCGGTCTGAGGTAAACTTCCGTTAGCAATCGAGTCCAACTTTGCAACATATCGAAGATAGAATCACCTCCACTCGCTAACCGTGACTAGCTTCCTGAACTTGATGTCCGCAGGGACAACAGCTTTGATGTGGTTGAGCAATTCGGTTTCGTTACCTGCGAATATCGCCATGTCCTTCATGGGGTCGGCAGCCAAAACCTGCCACCCGTCGTTCTCGGTCCCAACTTCACGACAGGGCCGTATAACAGCCCTATTAACAGGGAGAAGCAATGAGCGACCACTCGGAAAGATATTTTAGCGTAGAAAGACTCACATGGCACCCTTTGGATTGCCAAATCTATGCATGTGTTCGCGATCAAGGCCCTCGGCAGTGAAACAAATGTCGCTTAAGACAGTGCGCACATCCTCCCGGGTGTTTCCTAGGAACGAGATATTGAGCTGCTTGCGCACAACACCTGGCACAAGGAGATGAGAACCAATCATAGACACATGGACGGGAAACAGGGGCACACCTTTCGCGCCGTCTGCACCAATGAGGTACTGGACGTTGATGGTTTCCAGCGTCTCTCGATCGCCGTTCTTTTTGGCGATATGGGCAGTGACACCACCTTCGTTCTGCTCGAACGATCGGAGCTCCGCCCCAAACTCAACCTGGCACGAGTATTTTGCCAGAGTGCCGCGTAGGAAACCCTCGATTCCGCTTTGGCCCATCGCCTTCGGGTCCATCTGGGTTTGAGTTGTTAGCAGGTCGCCTCACCAGATTGAACTCAATCGGAACTCACGTAAGGGAAGTGTGCCGTAGCATCCTTGGAAGCTAACAGCGAGATGTCCTTGTCGATCTTGAGCCCCTCGCCAGGCTTGTACGTGCGGATGGGCACCACCGGCTCGAGCACTTGTACGAGGTCCGTGACGCCGAGCTGGTGAAGCAGATCCTGCGTGCGCGGCTGGACGACCCAGCCGCGCGAGCCAGAGTGCGGGCAGGGGCTTTTGTCGATGATTCGGATGGGAATGTTGTTTTGGAGGAGGGTTAGGGCGGCAACGAGGCCGGAAGGACCAGCGCCGACCTAGGAAGGGTGTTAGTTGGTTTCTGATAACGAATGGCGGCGACGTAGTCAGAATGCTCACAATGAGGACGGAGGGATTAATAGACATATCGGAAGGAGAACCGGTATTCAGTGTATTGTCGAGTTTCAACTATGGGCCGAAGGTGTTGGTATGGCACGCCGTCGTCTCGAACCGTCCCAGCTTTTATACTACTCCCCGCCGACCCATGGTTCGACCAAGGCGCATCAGAATGGGATGACGAGTCACAATGGCATCAGTTCCGAGTTACGTTCGCGCAATGTGTAGGACGTGAGGTCAATCGAGTTAGTAGTCAAAGGAAAGACAAGTTCAACAGAGGCTTTCCTGAAATGGCAAGGTATGGCGTTTTTGGCGTTTGCCATCCGCTCGAATCGGCCGGTCGTGACGGCAGCAGGTCGGCGTCAAGGGTTATAGGTCCCGACGCGGTGCTCTCACAGTCGGTGCGAGCGAGCGAGGTTAACCCCCGAGACGAGTGCCCGGCTCGTACTGCTTGAAGCACGCTTACAGCCTCAGGCCTCATCGATCATCTACCAGTGCAATCCCCACTATCATCATGGACAGCATTCCTATTGACGATCCAACTGAGCTTATTCATGCGTCCAGGTCTGGGATCGACAATGCCCTTGCCCAGCCCGAGCCCCATCTGTCGCGGTACCTCATCGAGAACTTTGCCAAGCTCACCGATCCGCAAGGGAACATCGTTCTAAACTGGTCGTTTCTGGTAGGAGAAGGCCACTACTGTCATGGGTCCGTATGCTCACTCGACCTCCCCACGTTTACAGCGATGCGTCCAGAATAGGATGTCAGTGAAAAGACTTATGTTAGGAGAGGAGAGCTCAGGCTGGGATTCGTTTGCCCAGACATGCGTGAAGGCCGGCATCGTAGAGTGCCTACTGTCCATTGCCAGGACAAAACTCATTCTACCAGAAGACTGGGAAAGTTACTGGGGCGAAGAATCATACTATGATCTCACCCCTCCACTCATGGCGACGGACGTGATCGAAGAGCTCGCGTCTTGGGCCAACGAAACTCAGTTGCAGTCCCTATCCACGGAACTTTCGAAGCATGTCGTCATCGATGTATTTCTACTGGTGAGCCTAATTTACGAATGCAATAGCCGCACCCTCGACCACAGGGTGTGTGCGGAAATAGATGCTGATGGTTCTACTCCAGAACATGAAACACAAGCTTATAGTTAGGCGGCTCACAGCGGCGAGAATGATGGATACTCTGTCAAGAAAATTACGCATGGGACTTCTCGACAAGGCACCTCTCTCGATCATCATAAATGTCTTGAACGCCCTCTTCCGCCCTCTTCTGCAAGACCCGAAAGCAGATTCGACGCAGTTGATCGACTCTAACACTAAGTGGCAGAGCTACCTGGACGACGATCTCAAAGACCCTGTTGAGGATGGCGAACTAGGCAGCTGGGACAACAATGACGTCTCTCGGAAATGGATGGCAAGCCGTCTCTTTTGGCGTATTCGACATCACGTTATGCGTGCGATCGATTGCCTGATCAACGCCCCTCCATTTCCATCAGCTAGATTGTGGATCGATATCCTCAGACGCAATCCCAGCATCCTTTCCCTCCTCATTGACTGTGCAATACTGGAGCGACCATCGTACTTCCCTGAATCTGAAATCGGACTTTCCGCGTCGCATTCCTTGAGCAGACTTTTTTGCTGGCCCTCTTACATAATCCCAGGAATCCCGATCTCAACAGCAGATACTAGGATGTTTTCGCAAGATTTGAAAGGGGTGGTGCAGCTACTACAGCTATTGACGTCGCAGGGCGATTGGGCTGAGAGGATCCTTGATATATGGGCATGTTACGAAGATGAGGACGAATCATCTCTTGAAATGTACGTCTGACCTACGTTAATGTACAACATAACTAACAATAACCTTGTTTCTATTGGCGCAGAAAATTTCGCAGGCTTGAGGAACTGTTACCCGAGCGATCAGAGGAGATCAGACGCAGTGCGTTCCCTAAGATCTTGAGGGATTGTAGTGAGTGAATCGACGGATAAATACAAGTCTCGTGCTCAGCATCCACAGGAGGGTGTCGTACTGCTGTGCTGCGCCTAATCTCTACGCTTACCCATGCCGCCGATCAGTGTGGCATGAAGAACGTAGAGCTTGAGTCGTTCTTGCACGTTGCATACAATGCTACAAAATGGCCGAAACGTGTATATGATGGCGAAGACATCAGTATAACAGTGACCGAGGATACGATAGGGCCGATAGCCCTGATGCGGATACTTGCGGTTCTGGCCCACCGAAATACTCTCGACAATCTGCAGCTCCTACAAAAGGCTCCTTCTGGTTTATCTCCCTCAACTTCCTTCGAACAGATACAACAAATCACTCATCCAGAGGTCGTTCGACGAGCCATCGGAATCTCTCTAGGTCGGGTACAAGAACGCTGCAACGATGGGAAATCATATCTCGCGGTGAACGACATGATACAGGATTTAGCTGCATGCCTTTCCTACACTTTGGCCGCTGAACTCGCTGCAGCAATAGTCGCCTTTGACGCTAACACCGGAGGCGCGTATGCAAAGGAGACACAAGGTGCGCGCAAGCTTCTTGTCATCGCACTCGGAAACGCTGCGGAAGCTTGGTTACGAATGCGGCGCTGGCAAGACGCATACTTCTGCGCCCTAGGAGCCGTTAATGCTGCAGAATGTATTCCAGACTCCGAGGGTCTTAACGCAGCCATCGTGGCTAAGAATAAACGCCGAGTCGAAACAGCCAAGACTTGGCTAGAGTCCAACTCTTGATAAGTGTATCATAGCAGAATAGAAGGACCCGATCGCCGAAACCGTCCTCTATGGGCAGCGGACGTCGACTTTCCGTGTTGCTTGATTTCGTCTTCTCTCTTTTACCCCTTCCCGTTTAGTTCCTGTACCGTAACACACATTGTCTGCGAATAATGCCTCACAGGACAATAAATCGAGCTTTTGAAATGACGAAATAAGATAGACCCATTTGAACTCTTATGATAACTGACCTGTTGTTTCCAGATCCTGCAACTTGAGGCTTTGCCTCAACGATCAGATGACGATGACGACTCAATCAAACTCCTCAAGAGATGTCTTAAGGTACAAAAGACGCGAAACGACAAGACTCCTGACAAAATTGAGGGACTCGTGTTCTCCTCGTTCCCAAAGAAAGTCAACCTTCGTCGTATGGATCTCTCCCTTTACGACCTCGTCTATGATTATCTTCAACAGCATTGGTACAATGACATCAAGCTTCTTGTCAGCACAGACACGAGCCGGAACGGGCATGTGTTTGACGGCGCTGCAGTATCGTACCCCTACATCTGTTTTCAGTCTCTTCGCTATGGCGCAGCTGACCACTTTCGAGGTGAATCGGCAAGGTATGCTTACATTGATCAACGCGTACCTGTGGAGATACAATATCTCTTCCACGTCAAGCTAGAGCGACGATACCGTTCTACACTCACTGCGACGCTAGCCGTTGTCCGAAGGTTTGTTGCTGCTGATGCTCGTATTCAATTTCCCTGGGTAATGTGGTGAGCATTCATTCACTTGTCTGCCATCAGTAGCTAACGTTTGGCCAGGGCAAATGATCTTGGCGTTGCTGCCTGGACTGCCGATCAGTTTGCACCACTGGAAGTCTTCAACATAACACGCCTGTCGGGACACCTGGTGCACGCGCCGATTAAGCTCGGACATCATAAACTATGGATTACCATTGCATATGATCATGGCAGTCCAGAGGCAGACATTCCATCTCAGGATGACATGTAGAAACCAGGTGAGCACTTGGCCCTTGTTTCTTTTTTCTATGTTCGCTTACTGACACTGAGAAGTAGACCAAGCACCGCCAGCGGGCCTATACAAATTGAGGTACAAGATCTACTGTACCTACTTGTCCATGTCATGAAATTTTATCCTACTCCTCGCCTTCTTTGACTGCCTCCTCACACTCCTCAACCGCCTCCTCGCCCTCTTTGACTGCCTCCTCACCTTCTTCAACTGCCTCCTCACACTCCTCAACTGCCTCCTCGTTCTCTTCAACCGCTTTCTCGCCTTCTTCGACTGCCTCCTCGCACTCCTCGCCCGCCTGTTCGTACTCCTCGCCCATCTGCTGGTATTGCTCACCCACCTGCTCGTACTCCTCGCCCGCCTGTTGGTATTGTTCGCCGTCGTATTCTTGGTACATATCCCAGTTGTCGCCATCTTCCTCATCGCCGTCTGCGCCGATGGTCTCCTTCTCGTAGACTGGGTCACCGTCCTCCCTGTATGGTGGGCATTCCTCCTTCGTCCAATCAATACACTTGTCAGGAGATTTGATGCCACGCTCCGTGAGATAAGTTTGACACAAAGCCCAGAGCGGTATCTTCTTCCCCTTGCCCAGGTTTGGCAGGTTGACATCACGAGGAGGGCCGCAAACCCTGTCCTGGGGTGCTGCTCCTTTGTTGCTAGTCGACTTGCCAAGTCGACTCAGCTTGATCTTGACTTGGATGATATTGTCGGACTCGAATGTTGCTCTGCGAACCACCAAAGGTCTGTCAGCCTTGTAGCAATCGTCACGGGCGGGTGCAGCCTCGTCGTCGTCGCTGTCGATGATATGTTGCACACCGGTTTTCTTTGCTGCTTTTCTCGATACGCCGACAGGAGTGTCGCTCTCTTCTTCGCTCTGGAACTGAATGCAGCATACGACGTCGAAGTCATCGTCGATCAGAGTCTCTGATTCGCGTCGTCCCTTACTGCGCTTGCCTTGCTTCTGAGTTCTTCGTGCCCTGCGACGAGTATCTCGATTGCGGTACCATTGCTTCACGTCCTCCTCATCGCTATTGTCGTCTTCTTCCTTGTGCTTGTTAACATACTGTCCCTTCCAGTTGTGGAATGAGGTGTTTAATCTCTTCGCATATTCGGCCCTTGTCTTGCCAACCAAAGACTGGGCGCCGCCAACAACATATTTCCAGAGGTTCTGTTCGATGCGGTCGAGCATTTCATCGTGCCACTCCGAGTTTTCCGTGTACGACTTGGTGAAATCGGGAACAATCTGGTCACCGTCTCTGAAAGTGCCATCGGGTAAGGGCGAAATTGAATACAGGGCAGAGCTGTCGGTTAACCCAAGTTTTGCGATGAAGCACTTCCTAATACCATTCTAGGTTTTGCTTGAGCATAGGTGTTTCGTCATGGGACAAAAGATTGCTTACCATTATCTCGTTGTCAGAATCAACTCCCACGCGTCGCTCCTTCAAAAAGTTCACTTCTTCTTGAAGGCTGCGGACAGTATCTTCGCTCGCATCCATCCTCTTGGTGAGTTCGGTTCCAACTTCAACGCTCTTCTTCACGGCTACCTCAAGCACGGTGACTCTCTCCACCAGGTTGCTTGTTGTCTCTCGCCCCGCGGTGACCTCTGTCTTCACCCGGTGGACCATATCCCCGAGCTTGTGCAGTTCCGCTGAATGACCACTGATTTGATCGGTGAGCTGACGCGGGATCAGCACAGGCGTGCGAGAGGGAACCATCAACGGCCCAGGAGGAGCCATTGACGGTGCGTGGGAAGGAGCCATTGACGGTGCATGGGAGGGAGTCATCGACGGCGCGTGGGAGGGAGGGGCACGTGGAGCCTTCGACGGCCCAGGAGGAGCCTTAGATGCCCCAGGAGGAGCCTTCGACGGCCCGGGAGGAGCCTTCGACGGTGCACGAGATGGGGCCGCAGATGGCGCACGAGGCGGGGCCATGGAAGACTTCCCATGCGAAGGCAGTGCAGGAGAAGACACTTGCGGTGGACCACGCATGCCTAGCGGAGCATACTTCACCGGCGCCAGAACAGTGGCTGTGCGTACGTGCGTTGGCGGAGGCAGCATGGTCTTGGGCATCTGATGCTCCAAGTTCTCCAGACCAGGATCGATAGCAATGCTTGCCTGTTAAACGGTGAGCCAAGACCTCTATCAACATGTGCATTTACTCACATCTACAGTTTCAGGAACAGAGACGGAGGCAACAAGCGTAGTAGAAGAAGATGACGATAGCATGCGTGTGCGAGACGGGCTGGCAGATGGGCGGGGAGGGTGCTTGGGCATACTTGCAAGCACTCGAGCCATGGCCTCATCACCGGTGAGTGTCCTTTGACTTGCATTGTCCTGTGGTAACGGTTTTTTGAAGGGCATTTTGAACCCTTGAGATGATCCCGATGATCCTTCGGCTTTGGGCTTCTTCGACTGACTCGACAATCCACTCCCTTTGTCCTCCCGCTGTCTTTTCTGACCTGTCTGAACACTGGCGCTTTCCCCATCATAAGCTCCAGACCGCACAACCGGTATGACTCCTCCTCGTCCTCGGCCGGTTCCTCCTCTCACCCCACGTGTTGCTCCCCCTCTTCCCCCTCTTGTCCCCGCCACCTGCCCTCGTACGGCCGTGCCATGTGGCCTAGCACGTGGAACCTGATTGGGGTTCTGCATGAGCAGGTCAGTGCCAGCCGCTGGTGCCTCTGTTGTTTTGCTGGGCCCCTGCGGCAGACAGTAAGGTTTTTTTGGTTGATTTTGGGTCGGATCGAGTGCTGATTCTTGTTTTTGCTAAGGATTACAGAGCGGGACAACATGCACCAAGTGCACTGGGCCCAAAGCCGATGACATCTTTGTCATGGACGGGGTTCTCTGCCTCTCTGGGGTTTGGAATGCACTTCGATGGCGGGTGATCGCGAGCAAGCCCAAGAGTATTTTATCTAGCTCCCTTATCAGATCTCCCCCATCCCTTCCTTCCTTCCTCCCGTCATCGACGCTCCCAAGACGCTCACCGGCTCCATCCCCCAGCATGCCCCTCAAGAACATTTACCTCAATGGAGACACGGTCATGCTCAACATGGCTGACGATTCGTCTTCTCCCATTGGCACCAACCACAGGGACTTCATGTTCACCCATCAGATCCGGTGTGCAGGTCATCATTCTAGAGATCTGGTAAGTTATAGGACTTGATATGACTAGATCTAACCTTTTCTACAGAGGATTATTGTCAAACAGTACAGGACCGAAGCAGAGCTCGAGCGAGAACAAGCCACGTTGAGGACAAAGCCCTACTTCAGCGAATCAATGGTAGAGTAAGTCATCTCTTCTGATCTTGAGACAAGGTGACGCATATACCCAGGCGCGTCCGGCAAAGTGTTGCTCTCGCCGACAACCTCACATACCTGATCCCTGAGCCTGTCGACATCCGCTTCCACCGCCATGCCGCCCCTAACACCCTTTATTGCATCACCCCAAGGCCTATTGGCGAGTATATACCTAGCTTCCAGCGCACCACCGAGTCTTTTCGTGCTGTCTTGGACCGAGTCAAGAGGGAACGAGCGGAGCTGGAGGCAGCCGAGGCAAGTGGGACCAACAACGACAGCGGCAACAAAGAGGCGCCAGAGGCCAAGCGGGCTCGTTTGACATCGATGCCTGTCGAGGTAAGCTATCATTTCACTTGCCAACATCGACTTATCTCATCCTTCTCAGAATGTCGACGAAGGGTCGTCTTACCAAGCGGGCATTGCAAGGCAAGTCCGCTATGTCCTCTACAGGACTGTGTATGCTAACATTACTTCTAATTAGTGACACTCAGGAGAGCGCGTCTACTTCACCTGAAGGCACCACGTTCGTATCTTACGCAGACGAAGTCCTCGCCCGATGTCTCGAGTGTTCTAAGGTTCATCCTAAGGATCGTCGCTCCTTCGAATTCTGCTCCTGCTCCGGCGAAGACACTCTTGAGCCCGGTCCTGACGCATGAATTTGTTAATTCAGCGCGCTTTTTGAGGTGCCGCTTCAGTCCTGCTGTACATTTTGCTAGTGATCTGTCTGTGCTATGTTTGTATTTGGTAGTGCACTGCATGTATTTGTTATGTTTGGAATTCAGTGCCATTTCCCCGTTTAAATCGGATGTGATTCGATCCTCTCATCAATGGCCCGAATGATCCGAATGTGACCAGATATGAAAAGCCGATGAGATCAACGCCATCCAAAATAGGAGACTCAGAATGGATCAACGCCATCCGAAATAGGAGACTCAGAATGTACAGACTAGGCAATTATGCAGACTCATTCGGTCTTTACCCGCTCATGATGAACGTATCATAGAGCAGTGAGGGAATTGTATAAGGCGGCTAGTGAGGTGCTGATTGTAGGTCTATACGCAACGCACTAGCCGGCTTGCATAGGTGGACGCGTGTGCTTTGTGTGTTGATAAATTATATAAAGATTTCAATGTATCAGCCGCTGATATATACCTCGAAACTCCGGTGCTTTGTCCTCGGCACAGGTTTATTCCTACATGTATATAATATTCTACTAGGACGATGAGCTCGCCGTTCACGGTCAGGCTACGAGATCACAATACTCCACTGATAATGGAACAAAAATGCGTACAAGTTCGTAGTTGAACATGATGGACCACCATCGACGCATCAAGGTGGCCTCCAGCTCGCCGCCTTTGTGCTGGTTGTGGTTGAAACGGGCCAACACAGCATTGTTGCGCTCAAAGCTGTAAGTCCAGGAGCCATAGGTGGGACCGTACTTGTAGATTTGTTCCTCTACATGCTGAGCGAAGTGAAAGTACGGTGTCAAGGGCATGTGCATAGACGCCCAAGTCTGTGCAGCTCGAGACAGAGCTGCACCCCCTCGACGGGCATCTGCTGGAGAGATTCTTCGCGTAGTTAGAATACGAATAGCAGCACTGAACTCAAGGATTGCATCATAATGCCGAGAGAGATTGCGATCAGGGGCAACAGCTGCGACCTCTGCATCGAGCGCGTCCGGTGGAATTGTTGAGTCAGTCTCGAGCAAGTACTCCCGGTAGCGTGCTCTTGTTGCCTTTGTGTACGTTGCTTGTTGCTTCGCATGCTTGGTCTGCGCACCCGATCGAGGGGCATCAACATTGGGGATGACTCCATGTCGCTGCCATGCTACGAACAATCCCACAAAGAGGATGGCGATCAGATTGCGCCATTGATCTGCTTTGATAGATCCTTTCCCGTGCGCCATCTACGACAAGTGTGAGGTCTAGGGCCTGCTGAGTAACCAGAGGTAACCAATCTGGTGCTTACCGATGGTGGTAGTCGTGTAACTTCAGGTGGCCAAGTGATCCCCTCGAAGAATTCTTCTAATAACTCGATAGGGTTGGTGCTTGAGCTGGCGTTGAGCAAACCGTGTTTGACTATTATCACCTTAGTGACATGCTTGACCAAGCCTTTGTAATTATTAGCCTATAATTAATGAGGAAATTGGGAGGGAAATGAGGCCGAGGACTTACCAAGAAAGAAACAATGCATGACATCGACTACTGCACTCCCACCCGGCATCCAGCCAGGAAGAAAGTTCAAGGGAGTCCACAAGACGCCTCTGCAGTCTCGTATGACCTGTGCTCTGACCGGGTCTGCATTTCGTGCATGGAAAGCGTACTTGAGGTGCCTCCAGTCGCTGCGATATTCGAAGCAGGTGTGATCAAAGCCGGAAGGGTGAACAAGCAGGAACGATGTTGCGTAGCAGGTGGGACACATGAAGCGTTTTGAGGCGTGGCTCTGATAGCCATTGGTTCGTCGGGTGGACGGGAGATCCGACAGGTTTTGCCAGAGATTTCCGTGTACTACTTCGAGCTCTTGTCGTCCGTGTACAGAAAACTCGATACCGTCGGTGAGGCGGATCATGCTATTGGTAAATATCTGCATAAGATTGTTGAGCTGAGCCAGGTTGGGCTCGTGTGGACCGGGGAGAACCATGACGAGAAACGTTTCTTCGACTGCGTATCTGATGGCCCGTGGGTTATTGCACATCACGACATAGAATGCTCCTGTTGAATGACAATCGCGTTTTGTCGACTGAAACCTGTAGAAGCTCAATGGATATGTGCGATAAAGGAACAATGTTCTGACGTACCAATCAATGTTGAATTGGAGAACAAGTCCGCACGGCAAGGAGACGAACCGTTGATCAAGCTCATGAACGTCGATGTCTGTAATCCCAAACTCGCCTCCTCGTCTCCGTTCAA